AGAAAATCGTGCTTTTGTCCATATTTAAAGTGGAATTAAAGTTTACACCTTGCATTGCACCGCATCCATATGCATAAAAAAAGAACATGTTCTGAAATGTATACTGTTCATGCTTACATGAAATATGCTTTATAATAGCAAAAAGCAAATATTTTGCTATGCTTTTTAACAGAATTGCTGTAAATATTTTTAAATAGAGTAATTTGTTAGATATTTCACTAAAGAACAATATTAATGCGCTACTTAAACTTGTTGTTAATTAGTAAATTTAACCACAATTTTTAAAGGGTCACCCGAAGAAATAGGAAGATTTAAAACTAATAAACCGATTACTAATAATAGAACTAACAAATCTGGTTTGTTAAAAAAACATTTAAAAAACACATTTTTTGTTTTCTTGAGAAAAGAATTTGTTGCAACAACAAACCAGATTTGTTAGTCAATCCCAATTTATTTCGAATTTATGATATTATACAATTAAAAGTCTAACATTTACATGCGAGTCGATTAACGGGCAAAGCAAAACTATCCTCTTATCATTTTCGCTTATTGTTTGCCCTTTTTATCTCTGTAATTCATCGCATATACTTAGTCACATCAAATCTATATTAACAATTCTTTTTCTCGTGCACTAGTAGAAGAATATAAAATTACAATTATAAAAACACATATGCAGATCAGACATTACGTCATTAGTTTAGATCAACTGTATTGGTTAATTTTGATCAACCTCCCAAAAAAAGTCCGGAAGAAATCAAAGCTCTTTTATCGGTGCAAACTTGTGGACACCGTGCTACAACACCTGCTCTTAAGTGTCGTTGCACGGGGAGGAGGCCTTGTCAGTGTTGAAAGGTGTGATGGATGGCCTTGTGTTCGTGGTTCTGGTTCTGGGTACCTGGCAACCCCTGCTTCGCATTCCATGAGTGGTGAGATGGTAGGTTGGCTCTAGTTCAGCTCTTGGCGGCTCATTAGATCAGTACATCTCTTGCGCAAGCGTTCTTGTTACCACCACAAAGAGGTAAAATTGTGGCTCCGCCTTCAACCCCTAGTGGGTCGTGCCACCCCTCACTGATAGGTAATCTTTAACTTCCTCCCTTATCATTGTGGGCGGTCTCAACTCTTGTTTGCTACCCCCTTCCTACCCTTACAGTAACACTCGATTTAGAAACTCGCACAATAGTACCGGCGCTTCCAGTATTATGCACAGCGGTTACTCAGAACGATGATCGTATTTAAAATTTCTAATTAAAATCACAAAAGAAGAAACGGAAAAGAACATTAGGAAATTTTTTAAAAATCTATATTTTTAATTCTCATAGTTTTATAGTGAGGTGCATGTGATGACACGGGTTTGTGATTTATATAAATGCACAGTGACAGATATCGGATATAAAGGCTGAAAATCAAACGTCATCGCGGTCAACGCGATGCTGGACCTAAAGGGCAGCGGAACTACCGCCGCTGAATTACCAAGAACCACCGCCTTCACTAATCTCTCCATGCTTTTTGCTGGTATTTCTCATCAATTTACTTATCAATTTCTATATGCACAGATTATTCAAAATACTCTCTGCAGTTTTAAATATAAGGTATTCTGCTTTTATAATTTCAGTTTTATAAATTTTCAGTTTTTCCTTCGTAGATATGTTTTCGATACCATACTTTCACTACAGTTTTTATTCTGATGTAATTTAAAAGTGTAGTCTGGTATTTGGGACTGTTTTTGAATCTTATTTCAAGATTTTTTTCATTATAGAATAAAAAATCAAATTTTACCTTTCTGCATCTTTTAATTATTATTGTAAAGTGTTGGAAAAAATTTTTTGTATCATTTTTCCTCAATTTTATTAAAGGTATACTGTGAAGTTGACAACGCCAAATTGAGGTAGGTGGCTGGCGTAAGTGATAACGCCCGTTAGCGTCATCTAAAACAAAAAAATCAAGTTGATTTTTGTTCTGTAAGACGATGGCTTTGTCCTGTGCTCGAATAAAACATTTTAGTCAATAAATAACAAAAAGGCGGACTTATAAACAAAAATATTAAAAAGATTTCTTTTTTATTAACATAAAGTTAAAAATTTAAAAGAAATATAATTAAAATTAAGTCATTCTAGTACAGGACGAAGACATGGTTATGTAGAATAAGCTCAGCAAAAATGGAAGCAATCGGTTGGATCGATTTCTTTAAATCACCTGCGCCGCTTGGAAAAATGTAATTTTTAATAAAGGCGTTTAAAGTTTGGATTTTAGATGTTATAAAAAAATGTATACTAATCGGTTATGCCTGGTGCGTAGATTAAATCTTCAATTTCCTCGAAGGCATTCTTCTTAGATACATTTTCTGTTCCTCAAGATGATCTGGACTGTTTTGATGCGTATTTCGTATTTCAATCAAAAATTTACAGTTTACTCTCCATACATAGTACTTTTAAAATATGTCAAGAAAAGAAATTCGAATTTTGAAAACAGAACGCTTATAAATTTAAAAGATCCATAATTAATTTCCTCACTTTGATATTTTCTTACTTCTGCTTCTCAACTACGATACAAAGTTTGTTTTTCTTATATTCCGGTCTAAGCTTTCTTAATGTTCCTGATAAGAAAATTTTACAATATCTTTTATAATATTTAATGACAGAATTTTTTAAAAAGAAAGATGCACAACTATAATTGAAAGCTAGCTAAACTTTCTATTTGATAATTTTACTAAGAATTTTATTATGCAGATATGTTTGTTAAAATATACACTGAAAAAAGGGTTTGGTATTGACAACCAAACGTTTGGTTGGTATTTAAACAACCAAATTTTTTTTATTGAATCAACAAAATTTTGGTTGTCCCAACCAAACTTTAGTTAGGACAACAAAAATCCTTGTTTTCTAATTTTTGTTGTATAAAACAAATTTTGATTGAGACAATTAAAATTTTGTTGATTCAACAAAAACAAAAATTTGGTTACTTAAATACCAACCAAGCGTTTGGTTGTCAATAACAAACCCTTTTTTCAGTGTATCTGAGGAAATTGATTTTTTTGTGAGTTCTTGTTTGTAAACATTTTTATTTCACATAATCTGCCTAGTTTTCAGTTTTAATCAATTTTTAATTATAAATTTTTTTACATTTGTAAATCTGTATTTATAAAGTTCTCGATTTCTTAAAAAGAACATCGCGCTTGCGTCAAAAAAAAATTTTGTGCAAAAATTGACAGTTAACGTGCGGTTTAGAGTATTAAAAACAAATCAAATACACTTTTTCTGTTTCTTTTCTGTAATTTATGGATTGGAAATTGGATCGCCAATTAGAAGTCTAAGAATATATGGCACTGTCGATTTACCCGAAAGGGTGGGGCAAACCGAACAAGTTATTGATTTTTTGAAAATTCAAAATTTATTTAGAAAGTTTCATTTTTAATATAGAGTTTTGTTTTTTAGTTTATTATATAAAACTAAAATATCTTGCAAAAAATACATCACTCAGAAAAAAGATATGTTTGAACCAAATGTACCATTTTTTTATATTTACCCAATTTTTTGGTGAGTTCAAACAAAATTTGTTTAATTCAAATAAATATTTATTTGATCTAAATAACTGTTTGGTTTATTTTAATAAATTTTTTGAACAAAGAAAAAATTTGATTGAGCTAAATAAACGTTTGGTTTATGCAACCAAATGTTTGGTTAACTGTATATCAATGCATTTATTTTGTTGATTTAACCAAAATTTGGTTGCTACAAACGAATTGTTTTCTGAGTGCATAGAAATTCGGAAAAATTACAATGTCTCTTAAGAAGCAATGTTCAAGAATATAAATAAAAAAGAAAAATGTTTATTATTCAACTTTAACAATATTTTTCTGATACTCATGACCATAAGGAACTCAAGAAAATCTTTTGAGAAATTAAACAATCAGATAATCTTTCAGCCGACGGTAAATGAAGAAAATTATTCATTAAAATCAAATGTTATCAGCAATAACGAGTCAAGCTTTAGTTTTGCTGTCTTTTGGAACATTAAAAAAGTGCAATTGTACTTGATTATTGTGCTGTTCTGGTGCTTGACCCTAAAAATATATTAGCAGTATTTGCGGAACCAAAATTGGGAAGAGGGAGATGAAAATGTCTTCCCTAAAAAGTTGAAGGAAATTTACAAACAATCTTTATTAAAATTATATTATTGATTTATAAGAAATGATGAATATGATAAATTTTTCTCCATTTGACAGTACATTAGTGTATATTGACAATAATTATAAAAAGAGTGATCAGTGATCGCACGCGTAAATCTACATTAAGAAAAGAATTTCTTAAGTAAACAACTGGTTGACCCTTCCTTGTGCATTACGGAAATGTGAAATCTGAAGCTTTATTAATGGACTCTAACGATGAAAAGAAGGGGACAGTCTGACCCAAGTGCGACATACCTTGTGGGTATTTGCGCAGAAAGCAAACTGAGGGTTTCGCATAGTCGCTCGTACAATGTACACACAAGGGTGAACCTTGTTGCCCGTACCTACACGTCTACTGATGCCAATATCTGCCAAATGAAAATATATCTGTCCACAAACAAAATCGGGAATTATATAAAACAGGGCATGAACTTTCTCAAGAAAAATTCCCGTAATTTCCGTTAATAAAACTTACAATATTGCATTTAAAAAACTGCAGCAATATATAAATAATAACAATAATAATAACAATGTTAGTCAGGCCAATCTTTAGAATTACTTAAGAATAATCTGCAGTCAAATTAAGCAGCTTTTCCAATTTGTATTGGGAATTTAGTTTCAGTGTAGGATTTGTCTATTTACATTGTTTTTTCCAGAATGATCAAATAACGGTACAATCTAGAAAAATTTCATGAAAAATCTAACATTTATATCTGATTACCATTATCAACATTTACCTTTAATTTAAGATTAAAACTTTTTAAAACTTAACGAGTTGACAATAGAGCATTTTCGAATATCTGTAATGTAATATGTAATGTAATTCATTTTCTAGATGCCAGTGGTACATACAAAGGAGGCTGGAGCCACGCTACATCGCCAGCTCCAGGACAAGGTATATCTAAATATTCTTCTAAAATCTACTTAAGTCTACAATACTTTGGAAATATGTATCAGTTTAGAGAACCTGAATTGGCGTATATTTTAAGGCGTCGAGTAGAAGTTAAATTTCGACTCTTAAACCTTCTCTAGTAGGTATGTTTATTTTTATAATTTTATCCATGACCTATATGTAAAGTATCGACAACCAAAGTTTAACCGCAACTTTAACCATTATAAGTGTTAAAAGTAGGACCTGCCTTGCAAGCAAACACTGGCAAACGAAGTAAAATTAGCCGTCGGCTCAAGTCAGTTCAAAATTTGGCAAACCTTCGGCAGAAATTCAAAGAACAAGACTTATTCAGAGCTTTGGTCAATCAAACTAAGGATAATCGTTTTGTGACATTTCAAAAACGCTATTTGAAAAACCTAAAAAAATTTGTCTGCTAAACTGTAGTTTAACGTTAATCTGATAATATCATTTTGAAAAAAGTACTTAAATGGGTCCAGGTAAATGCGACTATCTATAGGTAGAATTCTTTAGTATTATTTAATATCGTTTTTTACTATAGTCAAAGAACTATGTCAACTATCGACGTGAAATGTCAGTACTACAGGTATACTACATATAATTATATAGGCACTGATGTACTATACGGGTAGTCAATATAATGTTAATCCCACACAAACAGTCGGTGCAATTCTGATTGACCTCGAAAAGGCATTTGACTCTGTTCAGCTAGAGCGGCTGATTTTAATCTTGATTAACAGCATATATGACTGTCAGGTTACGTGATCGCCGCAATGTTAATTTGTCGACCATATTTTCCGTAAAGTACTCAATATATTGAGCTGAAATTTTATCAAAAATTCTAAAATATAATGAAGTAATATACAAAAATGTAAACCTCGTTTAAAAACAATTGTATTCTCTGGTGGAATGAAATTACTCATCTTCTATATACTTTACAGAATAGATATTGGGTAGAAATTCCGTTTGAGGTAAAAAATAGACAATTCAAGCATTGATTTATCCAATAGTTTTGATAAATTATGTTGTAATTGTTGCCTATTTTTTATTGTTTAATAAAAAAAAATTATAAAAATATTACCGTCAGATGGGGTTACATATTTCGCTTAATACAAAATGAAAATAGAAGGTATATGTGAGAAATTAAACATTTCAGATTGTATATTGCTATACGTACGTGGAAAAAAAAATTCGACTCACCGATCGCGGATTCCCTCGACGGAACGATGGCAGCATCACCTCTTCTGGACCAGTCCTCGCAGTGGTTCCCTTCTTATGTGGGGGAACTGGGAAAGTATGCAGGGACCATGCTTCCTCTGCATTTTCCTTCCTGTCATTCAGTCTGAAACATAAAAAATTTAAAATACTAAAAAATTAGAAAAAAATACACTGCACAAGAAGGATGTTTAAAATTCTTTATATTGTTTTTTCCGTAATCATTATATAATAATAAAATAAAAAATCTTACCGTATATACCTTTCGTTCATGCCCACAATCTCCATCTCGAAGCGGCACTCGAAAGTTTTTTTCCAAAATTGGCACAAAAAACACACACCAGTGATTTAAAAATTTTCGGACACTCCCGTATAAAAATTAACTTATATGTAAAAATTTAGAAATTAAATTATTTCACAAGCACGTAAGATCTTTAAGTAGAATCCGAAGCGCGAAGGTACTTTTCGAAAATGGAACAATTCGTCTGACCGATGCTACTGAAGTTACCTCCCACCCTTCAAAAATTGATGAAGTGAATTTTTAATCATAAAATTAAGACGCGCGCGAATCTCTTTTGTCCTTCTCTTATAATATATAACTATCAAAACTTGAGTAGCGTCGGTAACATGAATCGATACATTTTCAAAAAGTACCATCGCGCATAGCATTCGGCTTTAGTCTCGTAATTGTTCATAATATTTAAAAACGTGACCGCATAAGTAAAAATTAAAAATGCCTTGAAAATATTAAAATGTGTTTTTTGAGTCAATTTTGGAAAACAACGTTCGAGTGCCGCTTCGGGATGGAGATCGGGCATGAACGAAAGGTATCTACGGTAAGATTACTAATAGAATTACATTTTTATGACCCTTAAGTGTAAGAAATCGTTAAAATCCAAAAATCGATTTTCTAGGTCATAAACACCCTGTTATCAGACGCCTTATTTGCAGTTTAACAACTTATAGGGCCTAAATTTTTTAAAAAATTTACCAAATCGGCTTGTTAAATATTTGGGAAACTGAAATGCCCCCGCCTTGTTACCATTGCGTTAAATGCATTTTTATTGACTTTTTGACCCCCTCCAAATAGGTATAACGTAGTTTATAGATGGATAAAGAACTGAAAATATATTAGAAATATTCTTTAAAGAGAACGTCGGAATTAAAAATAATGTTGAAAATTTTTTGAGAAAAGTAGATGAAATGAGAAACGGTGGGGTAATGATAAGTTAAAAAGTTGGGGTTGGAGTTGCAAGTTCACGCGTCGCGGCGCACGAGTTGTTCCACAGAGTCGCTTGTGGAAAAGATGGGAAATGCGGGGCGTAGGCGTTGGCGTCCCGACGCTTTGTGACGCGTTGAACCGCGGCCCCTTTGTCGTCGAAAGCCCTGGGGCTTATAGAAACGACTGCCGCTGTTCAGCTACCAGCGGTGTAAACGTATAAAGCCGATACTGCTCTTTCTCGCACCCACATAGTCAACCACACTACTCCGACAAACACACGAATACATATACAGAGGAAAAGTGAGATAGCAAATATTATATTTGCCTGTGTGCTTGACTACTGTGAGGGAGAAGCGTGGACAATCATTGCAGAGATCAGAGCAATGCCTGTAGGCAGCTTGTTATAATAAACGGCGTGGCTCTCGTGTGTAAGTTTGCGACGATAACACACAGTTTTGATTGCTGTTTCGGCTTAAACTCAAATCATTTCTGAGAACCAAAGCTGACTTGGCCTTTGCATAGTTTGCGGGTTTACACTCTCAGGATGTAGGCAAGTAAGCCATCGCTTTGCTTGAAAATTAGAAGCTGATGCATACTGACCGCGAGCGCTTTTCTCTCCCGTGAAATTGAAATTACACAAGCGCTCAAAGAGAAATGTTGGAGAAGTGCTTTCGTTTTATCTCCAACAGGAAGTGAAGCGGCTGGCACAATGCAAATGAAGCTGTACTCTCGCGACAGTTGACTGGAAATTCCTAGGCCGGAAAGATATGATTTTAATGAAAAAATATTTACGGATCTTTAATAAAAAAATTCATTAAAATCAATGAAAATTTCAAGCAAAATCTTATACTGATTCAAAACTAACTTTTCAACAGTCATTCGGTTAACAGCTGCCACACCTAAAAATAGGCGTGATTCCATTGTCTTAGAGACAATACTGACACCTTAAACATTCTGAATTAAATTGCTGCTAAATAAAATCGAAATTAAAGAGTAGTACAAGGTTATTGACTGAAATAAAATGAAATAGGTAATGTTACAGCAATCTTTTGGAAAAAATCAACTATCATTGAAAGAGAAATTGATAATTCGATTGAGAATCGATTTTCTGTATCACTGTACACGTAAAGCTGCTATTAGAAGTAGTTTAAGATAAGTCTTACAATAATAAAAAAATAATTTCCGAAAGGCGAGGGACGTAGATTGCGTGACTTCCTGTTCCTGCCTTGACTTGAGTAAGCTCAGAACGTTCTGAAACCCCTCCTTTTTGTATGCGGCCACCGGGGTTAAAGAGTCGACCAATCATGTTCCCACCCCATTCGCCTATGATAATTACGTCCTCGGAAACGGCGCGTGCCTTGGCAGTTTGCTCACGCGCCTCATCGCCTGTCTCTGTACTGTGAACAATGTACATGGCGTGACTATCACAATATTATAGATACTACATCGACCATACGCATAAGTAACGATTTCAGTTCTTTTTTCACTGATTAACGTTGATTAACGTTACCGAAAAGATCAAGGATCACAAATACTTATATTATTAATACATATACCTAATGCCGAAAGCTTTAAAAGAAACAAGGCGAAATTGACTGACCTGAATTGGCTTATAAGAAAATTAGGAAACTTTTGCTGAGCTGCAGTTATTTCACAAAAAACCTCGACTCAAAGTCACCTCCACTTCCCAGTGTGCAAAGTTTCATTCCAAAGGTAAAATATATGTCAATTTTAGATATCTGAAGACAGAGTTTAAAAGCTAAGCATTTCTTCAACCGAATAAATAGCTATGTTATTCTTCGGTCTTAAATCAAGACGCATTTTCTTAGAAAAAGAACAAGTCACGTTTATTCGGTGAAACGAATAGACCCTATCTGTGGGCAAAAACATTTCATGTCTGTCAAAATACGTCTTAAGAACGTCTCATGTTCATCTTAACACGTTATTTTGACAGACATGAAACGTTCTAAAATATTCCAGAAACGTATCTAGAACAAGGATGTTTTTTGCCCACTGAGATATTGTTACAACATGTAGATTTATAGTAGAAAACTTGGTCAAAAGTCGAAATATCTAGCTAGTTAAACAGCTTTTTAGTTTTTCTTTTCCAAGGATTCTTAGAATTACTTATTCTGAATCCAAAGACAATTGTAGCCCAGGTGGAAAAGTTCCCGGTAGTGACTACCGGTACTTTTTCCTGGAATCGCAACCAAAATTTGTTGTAATTCCCGGAAAAATTACCGGTAGTGACTGTACAGGTAGCGGTACCGGTAGTCACTACCGGGAACTTTTCCACCTGGGAGTACGCACCAACATTTATATTCCTGAAAAGTTTTCAAGATACCCTGCCTGATATCAGGTCAGGATATTTATATGTAAATATTTGTTTGTAACAGAGATAATATAAACCTATATTTTTTCTCAATGTATTTTACATTGGTGAATTCGTTATTTCGTGCAGATTTCTTAAAATTACACTGCGAACGATTTGTGGAAGTGAAAACACGATTCTCTCGCCCTAAAAAGAAATCAGAAGTGAATATGAAGCGATATGTAGGGGAAACGACGATGAATTTGTTCATGCGTGAACGTGTCACGTATAGGCACGTGACCGAGTATGTACTGCCAAAGACATAATACAGCATGCCTGAAAAACTTGTCCTTTTCTACCCTGCCAATATGCTTGTACGCACACTTTGTGTCCGCTTCTTTTCTCTTTTATTCAGTGATGCACATCGAACAGGAAATGGTCCCATTTTATTTGATTCTTAAGGTCGGCCATCGTTAAAATAAGAAAAATTATCATCCATAAAGAGATTCTGTAACTTTTAATGAACAGAGAGAATAAAAGGAAAATTTGGGATTTCATTTCTTTTGTTCCAAGATTTGTTGACAAATCAATGCAAACCCATTGATTTTGGTATCCACATATTTTCCAAAAATGATACAACAAGCTTTATTCGGTTTCATATTGTTTGTTGAAATTGAATATATACTTTTCATTTATTTTTGATAGTGTAAACGAGTTGGATAAGAATTTTTATGGTATTCGAAAATTCAAATCACTCTTGACCCCTGCAAGTACGTACCGTAACCAAGATCCGGTATGGTAGCATTGCGGAACCCTCGCTTCCGGTCTAAAATCTCAGGGGGTACATACTGATTACATCAGAGTCAAGTTGGGTCACGCTACTCCTACCACAGACCGTTACCCATTTTGGCCTTTGGTGAAGGGGAACAACGCGATACCATGCCGACGCCATGCGTGTTATATTGCTTCTACATTATTTCATTATTATATATGCACTCCGATTTAGACGAGTGTTCCATTTTAAGTAGTTTATAACTACTTTCAAGCTGTGTCTTTTCGTTTTTATATTATACTGGGCTTGAATTATAACTTATTTCATAAATGTTATACTGTTTACTTATTCTACGTGAAATGCAAAAAGAAATAAAATTTTCATTCAATTTCTTTCTAATGCTCTAAAGATTACTTAACAATAATCTAGTGTTCTTAAACTGAAAGAAGTTACTGGGTATAAAAATGTACGAACTTACTCGAGTGTTAGAATCCTTTAGAGAGGATTTCCGTGTAGGTAAACACAAACTGAGTGCTTCGTAAACGATTCCCCCTGCTTTTGTCGAAGGTTCCATCCTATCAAGTTGATTCTCTCTTATATGTGCTACGATAGTCACATTCCCGAAGGATTGCAATCTGCTTAGGAGCACAATAAAAGCTAATTTTTTACAACCCTGTAGCTTAAAGATTTACTAAAATTCAGCACATACGCTTCATATTATGTTCGTCTCTTGCCTTTTGACCTAATTTTAATAAGGTTTTTTTTATTTTTGAAGCAGAGGTAGGGATATCTTTTTGTAATATATGCGCGAAAGTGCTAGATTAAAATAAAGCTAAGTTATATACATATATATCTTAGCTTTGACACTAAAGGTAGAGTGGCTATGCTAATAATAATTTTATAAATTTCTACTTTTATCGATGTAACGCACTAACCACTAATGGCTCCTCCTTTTATAATTGAAATAAATTAAATTAAGTAACATTTTTTAAAAACACTTTCTGTCAATGATAAATACATTTAGGAAGTAAACTTGGCAGATGCTATACTATGAGTAGCAGTTGGTGTTCGCTATGTTAAACAATTTGATTTTGTGCTTCTGATTGGAACGTAGAACAATCTTGAGTAAGGGTCGCAGGATACGGAATTCAGGGTCCAAGTTGGGGTTCTGCCGCAATCAGTGTAGCCGCGGGACTCCGACCTATCCTCGGGTCTTCCCTTCTCTTCAAATTAACACAAATGTTAACGCCATTCCTATGCTAACTTCACGCCGACTGGGTCAGATATAGAAACATTGCACATTTTTCTTCCAAATTTTTGTAATTTTAAAAAATTCTTCTTCTATATTTCTATATTTCTTCTTCAGTTGCGTGACAGTCCCAGCAATTGCCAGTCAAACCTTTTGGATATTTAAATCATAAAAAAGTAAACGTGAACCATCCTCTGAATTTATGATTAAGAAATAAAAAAGTCATTTGCATTTTTAACAATCTGAAAATAATTAACTTTTTAAAACGCCAAATACTTGGTAAATTAATAAAAAAAAATTAGAATGGTTCCGCAAAACAGATAGAAATAAATTTAAATAACAATTTCTTAGAAATAGATTCGCATTTTTCAAGCTAAGAGTGTTTAAATGCGAGCGAAGTGCACATATTGCCACGCTAGACGTGTGTACCTCTCTGTTGAACATATTATCTGCGCATTCACAAGCAATTACATGGGGTGGGGTAATCCTGTTACGAGCTGTAGAGATTCCTTGGGGGAGGATCAAAGGACCAACTAGTCTGTACCATTTTATTCTTCAAGCGTAAACAATACCAAAACCGGAGAAAAAAAGGAAGATTAAGATTGAAAGGGAATTGTTGGATTTGTTGCACTTTTATATATTTATTTTTTCTTTTAATAAAATTCTAAAATCTATTCTTTAAGCTCATTAAACAATTTATTTGGAAAAGTATAATAGGTTTCTTTTTCCTACGTAAATTTATATTTATTTATTTTTTAGTATTCGACTTGAACTGCAGCAAATTTAAAAAATGTTATTTTTGAGAAAAACGTGTTTAAAGATCGATAAAAGCATTGATTTTAACGAAAAATATCATACCTTAAGCTGATCTGATATACCATCTTCTTCTTCTCCTTTGAAAAGCGTCTACTGGGCTGTTGAAGCTCTTCTTTCAGCTAATAGATCCTCTTATATAGCAGCCTGATGTTGATGCTCTGCCAGCCATAGCTGACGTACTGGAATTCGGCGTAGACTTCTTGAAGATATGTTGTTCTTCTAACAATCTTCGTTTTCTTCGTAGCTGACCTTCGCCCATGTTGATTATGAGAACCTTTTCAGCTTAAATACTGAACATCCACAAAAAAATATATAGTATTTAAATACAAGTTTGAAAATTTCTCATTTTCTGGAACTTAGGAATATTTTTCATGATTTTTTTTACAATTGCGATAAATATTTTACATATATGTACTATGAAGTTCTTTTCGAAATCAAACACAATCTTTTGTTTTAGGTTACGGAAGCAATTTATCAAAATCAGCACTGGATTCACACACACATCTTAGGCAACCTGGTATGTTATACTTTTATACTAATTAAAAAATTATAATTATGCATTTCTTGAAATTAATATATCCTTAAGATGTCCAGAACGCAGGGTATCCTTATATACTATCAGGAAGCTGTTTGGTGATACTGTCATTTATACAATTTGGGTTTAAGCTAAAAAACACAATTTTTTATTCATTTTCTTAAATGAAGGTTAAATTGTCGTCAAGTCAAAGAATATGAAAAGCAAGATTGAAATTATTGGATATCGGTAAAGAAAGATAAAGAAGCAAATAATGAAGAATTACTATTTTTTTAGATTACTATATACATCAGGATTTACTGTGTATGGGGTATGATCGTTAGATGTGATTTCACTTTCGTTACTAAGCTTATACTATATTCGACTCATTCTATGCCAAATAAATTACTGTAACTTGCCCTTTTCTTCTATTAACTTGTAAGTGAATTATCGTTCGATCGAAAAGCGAAGTTTCAGCACGCATTTAGAGGGTTTGGCCATCAGAAACAGGGTTTGAGGTCTAGCATTTTTGTTTCTTTGTTTCCTATAGATACAAAAAGAATTATCTTTTTAAAAATAAAATTTTTTTAAATCATAAAATTAAATTAACAAAGTTTGATCCCTGAATTTCGCATCACAAATTTTGTGTAAGATTTCTCACATCCAATTATTGTAGAGTTATAAGTATGCTTTACTGAAATTAAGGTCGCTAATTACGAAACTAACGTTAAATTTCTAAAATTTTCAACCAACTAAGACGCTATATTTTCTAAATTAAAAAATGTAAATGAAAAATTTGGAAGTATGGTTATCAATATGAATAAAAAAATTAGTACATTTGCTCGACAAAGCTCTTTAGGATCATTCTTTCAATTGAAATTATTATGATCCAAACGAATTCTATTCTATTGTGCAGTCGCGATTGTATCCTTTGTACGATGTAGGGTCCTCCATAGTTGAGCAGCCGTAAGCGACCGTGATGACGCATTGTGAAGCTTTTAAGGGTGATAGGGAGCTCACTGAAACAAGCATGTAATAAATAGGTATATGTTAAGAAAAGAAGGGGCTACATTCTTTTATTGGAAAAGTAGTTGTAAAGTTCATATTCAACTTAGAAGAAGATTATAGTTTAAAATATGTTTTCAAATTGATGAAAATTGGGCAAGAAAGTTTATCTATAAACCAGTTTAGTTCACCTGAAGTATACCTGTATAATAAATTGTACATTAAATTGTCTTCCTACTCGTCAACTTAGAAACTTGTGCTTATTTTTTAGATCCTTATCAAATGTTTGGAGCGACTAGCAGTCGCCTTGCAAGTTCAGGTTCTGGTCAAATTCAACTATGGCAATTTTTACTTGAACTTTTGTCAGACTCTAGTAACGCTGCATGCATCACATGGGAAGGAACGAATGGCGAATTCAAGTTGACAGATCCCGATGAAGTTGCGCGACGATGGGGAGAAAGGAAGTCTAAGCCTAATATGAATTATGACAAATTATCTAGAGCCTTAAGGTGGGTTGTATTTTGAATTGTTTGATAAATTTAGGAGATAATTAATCCGGGAGATTTAAGAAATTTTATTATTATTTCAGGTACTATTACGACAAAAACATCATGACAAAAGTTCATGGAAAGAGGTACGCGTATAAGTTCGATTTCCAGGGCTTGGCTGCAGCTACACAACCAGCCACAGCAGACCCAGCGGCCTACAAGTATCAAAGCGAACTTTTCATGTCCGGGTATGGACACGCGAAGCTCAACCTAATGCCGCCGCCAGCTGCTTCTGTCTCCGTATCAGTACCTGGCGGTCTTTTTCAGTCAGCTTCAAGTTACTGGTCCACTAGTCCTGGGGCGAATCTTTACGCAAGCCACCATACACCGTCGGGTCATGTACCTCCACATCTTGGCTCCTATCCTCATTATGCATGACCCACTGCGGAGCATTGGGGTACTTTGGGAACCCCGCGTTGAATACTTTTCCAAGTGTCTCGTCACTGTTGTTCCATGTATGTGCACTGTAGTACAATTGCCACTTAAGCAGGTAACTGTGTACTCCATGCCATTCCTCTATCTGACAGTATCGTATGCGTACATGCTGCTGATGATGATAGCGGTTATCTTTTATGGTGCAAAACCTTTGTATATAGAGATATAATGGAGGTGGATATAAAGGGAGGATTGTGTATAGGCGGATTCTCAAGTACGCTAGCTACAATTTTACTATTGAAGATGACTTGGGATAATAGGATTATATTGGCATTAGTTGTCATCACCAAAGAATTACCAGAAACTCAATTTTATGACTGAACTATAGTGGGAACATTTTCAAAATCTATTTGTAGTGAAGAAACAGTTAATTTACAGTCTGTAAGTGAACTAACTATTGTTTTATCTCTTAAACTCAAGCGTGAGAGACGTCTTGTAAAAAAAAGTTAATATATGTTATAAAACAATTAATAGTACAACTTTATCTTTTTCAACACATTCATTTGTTTTCAAATAAGTATGCGGAATATTCTACTTTCTTGGGTTTAAAAAATAAATATATTTTTAAAATAATTTAAATATGTATTTAAATTTGTACCCTTGAGAATAGTTTTTCAAAGATTTATTGACCCCATCATATTCCATGACACGCACAAGATCAAAGAATTCTTGATCAAAATAATTATAATTTCCGATTTGGAAATAAGGATAAAAAAATTCCTCCGGCACTTAGGATTTTTTAAGTTAAATAAAAAAAATTTAACTGATAATTTAAGAACAATAGAATGTAAATTATTTAAAAGTTATTATTATTCGATTATTTCCAATCGAAATTATAAGTTATAATGTGCATCGACCGTGGAAATTCTATAACAAATTGAATTTTAAATGTGAAATTTTTATGCAGTAGAGGCGTTCCATGAAGATGACAACTTTTGAATACCAGATTTTGTTATTTTAAAACACTTGTAACTTGTAAGCAATCAATACTATACATAATGTCAAAAAGACGTCTTTTAGACTTTTAAAGACGTAAATTGGCAAGGCATAGAACCTTTTTAGAACGTATCAATGACGTTTACATAAGAAATACCATATGGCGAGAAATTAAAGACGACCTGAAAACGTATTTTGTTAAAGTTCAAAGAACGTCCACAAAAATACATTCTCAGGACGTCTATTGAGCAAGTGTGCCCACTGAGAATAGGTATAATCCACCAGTTGAATGTTATTTGAATGTTGTTCCAAAGATGACTTTTTATCAGCTTCTGTATTAAAAGTAGTAAATTTTTAAAAAATCTCAAATTCCAATTAGTTCTCCTTCTGACAAATTTAACTTTCACTTTTTTGGCATACATACTTATTTTATTAAATAAAATTCAGAATTACACAAGACTAACCGAAATATGTCGCTAACTTAAGACTTGAAGTCAAGTTACCCTAGTCCGAAGTGTTCAATGTGTTCTTATATATGTACATAGCCATGCAAATATATTTAAGAGGGAAACCTTAGAACATTTGATTAGGCAATTACATGATCAAATTTTTTGAAAAAAGTCATGTAAAAGTTTAAATAACAATATCTTGCAAAATAATGGCAATTTAAAAAACCATTTCGATAACTTTAAATAAACCCTAAAGTAAATTAACAAAATCTAAGTCAAGAGTTACCGGCTCCATGGAACGCCTCAGTAGAGTTTAAAAAATTATACAATTGGTGCAATTATAGTTGAATAATTTATCTACAGAGTAAATAAAATATTATTGTTTTTTAAGTTGTCAGTAAGCAGAAAAAATTCGCAATATTCTACATATACCTTCGATGGCTGTAACCTTATGTAAAATATTTAATATAAGTGGAGTGGTTTAAGTTGTAAAAATATGTACGCAGTGTTCTATCTTTATAGTTAATATTTTTCAACAAAACTGTCATAAATTAAAAAGTTATCATTCTTTGGAACAAATTATATAAGAAAAATAAAAATGAATTATTATCCAAATATTTATTTTTGAAAAAGGAATATGAATTTTATTGTTATGTTTATACAGAAATGTTTATTAAACTTTTGCGTCAGGCAATGAAAAATAAGTCAATTTTAAATTTACAAAAGTATACATAACATATCCCTCCAAGGCAATGCAAAAGAAGAAGAAATTACATACTTTTCCTTTCAGCACGTTCATTGACTTGACCTAAACATTTACTCGCGATTAAATCATGAATAGCTTTTAATATTGAAACGGTGTCGGTCAAAGCAGCAGATGATGGAGACAGCGATCTCGGATTGCAGTGACTAAGGTACTTCAAACTTTTTAGTTATTTTCAAAGTAGGGTAAGAGTGTACGACATTTTTCATTCAGTATTTTTTTTGCTTATTGCGGGGTAGTTATATTATTCCTAGGACGAAATTATCACATAAATAATATATGACCATTCCAATCGTAGAAATTATAATAACGTTAAAATCGTTTATAGAGAAACAAATAAAAACCCCATTCCAACTGTCGTCATGCTTTGGTTTTCACGGATGAGGTCCTGTCGTTTCGAAACTTTGCAGTCTACTTCGGATTCTCATTTATTACAAAGAATGAACGAAATTATTAATAACTTTTGAGAAAAATTTCAAGACTAAATAAAAATAAGTAATACACAACATTATTCCTGTTTATATTATTTATTAATACATAACATACTTGGTTTTATATATTGTTGTATTTGATAGTTATTTTATCTTATTCATTTTACTTTAAACATTCTATTTTTTGCACTGTTTCCAAAACATTGTTTGCAAGGATCTTTCCATTTGTTTCTTTAAACATTTGCGGAAATATACATAAACTATAAGAAGTTAAAAATGAATCAGTATTTCATTACAATCTGATTGCGTAATTTATTAAATGATCTTTCTTTATGTACATTACGAATAATTTCTGATTCATGGAAAGTAAAAAAATTATTCTTATTATATTTAACAATCAATGTCCTCCAATATTGGTCCATTTTTTACATAAATATTTATAAAAAATTCTTTCTTGAAGAGTTTTGGTTAATTATTTTTATACAGTACCTTACATATGTGCAAGAAAACTGAAAACTATATATACCTGAGCATCTTAAGATAACACTTTTACAATTTCCTTTACGATTTCAGTCAAAAGAGAGCTATTATCACTTTTTCCATCAATCTTCAAATTACCTATCGCGCTCTATAAAACAAAAATAATATTGATTAATTATCGAATTAATTAATTTAAATAATAAATGATGAGTTTTACATTACAACTTACGTTTTGTTTTAACAGAAGACACACGTGGTGTCCTTGAAGGGAATGTCCATAGAGAGAAGCTGTATCGTCAATTTGCTCAACAAGAGTGAGATGACATTTTTGGCAAATTTTATTTAAAGCGTCACTAAAATCTTCACATCGAGATATTTCTTTTTTAATTTTAGCCGTTAATTGTCCACTTTTTAATAATTCCGTAAGAATATCTTTATGAGAGAGATGACCAATCATAAAATTACTGCACGACAATTGCATTGTAAAATCAAGCTTTTCTTGTACTGTTCCTATTGCACTTTCTACCATATAAGTCAGACTTCCACGTAATTTTTGAGGAAAAGTAACATCTGACACAATAATTGACAGTTCAGCTTCAGTATTAGTTTTCGGTAGCAATTGAAAATTCAATTTAATTCCGAACTCGTCTTGCGGCTAGAGATAAAAAAGATAAATGTGGTTTTTTCTAATAAAGGAGAATTTTTTAATTTTTTTTACACGCAACAACAGAAACAGAAAAAAATGTACTTACAGATCTGTCAAGTTTCAATGTCGATGAGTCGGACACATTAAAAACCAATTCTTTCACAAGATTTTCCCCAATATTAGTTAAAAGAATAGCTGTTATTACTTTATTTGTTTCAAGAGGTAATTGTTTTAATTCATACACCATATTTATTGTTTTGTCACTAGCTAAAGTTTGATACATGGGAATTTTCATCTCAGGAGAAATCATATTAATTTCAGATAATTTAATATCATTGGATACAATTTCTTTAGATGGTGTTGAAATTCCAGCTGTTTCCTCATAACCAGATGTTTTCTTCACTTTTTTTTCCTTACTCTGCTTAGATTTTCTCTTGTGTTTAAAATGCTCATGAACATCCTCCGCATGTTTCTCGGTATTCTTTGACTTTTTGTATTTACCTTTCTTACTATCGTGTTTCCTAATAACAGCAGTATTCTCTCCAACTTCTTCTGACTTTTCTCCCTGACTCATTAACCAAAGATTAATACCTTTATCTTCTTTCAATTGTTCATTTGATTGACTATCTTTCGCGATCCTACGCCTTTTTTTTGATTTATGATTCTGTAAAAACGAGTGATTTTAATTACCTATGTATCTAATACATTTCAAAAATAAATTTAATATGATTATATAAGTTGCAAAATTTTCCTACAAATTTTTTTCCTATTTTTAAGAAATAACGTGAAAAATTAATGAATATAAATGTTTCAAAATTTGTTATACCTTTTCTTTCTTAATATTTGTGGATCCAATTTCATCAAGAGTCTTTTCTTCTGCTTGTCGATGCTGCAGAACTGGAAAACCTTCATCCTCTCTCAACGGTAAATCCAAATCAATATTTAGAGCTCGATGTGGATCATTTGCATCTACATCGTCATCATCATCACTGCCACTTAACTCCGCTCCAGGCGGTAATTCTCCTATACCTGTATTTACTAGTTGCGACGGATAATTTTCATTTTGTTCATCTTCAGAAGTACCAGATTTCCTACCTAAGAAAACTTTTGAGTAAATAACATCTAAATACACGATAAATAAAAAAATCCAAAAAATTTAAATATACCTTTACTTCTTTTTGACCTTTTCTTCTTATCAAGCTTTCTATGCTTCTTTTTATTAGATTCTTTGTCTATGTTAAAATATTTTCTCGAACTTCCAAAGTCCGAAATTTTCAACGAAACAGGAATATCAAGTTCGGCAACGGGAATATTATCAAAGTTTTCCCCATCATTATTAGAATTATGATAAGTTAATGGAGTTTTGTTGCTTGAAACTTTAAGATAATGGGGATTATTTTCCTGTTCCAATATTCTTGCCTCTCTCTTTTTTTGAAGTTCTTCATTACTTAATTCATATGAATCTCGTTTTCCAAAACTATCAGATTTATCAGCTTTTACAAAAATCTCATTCATATCTTGATCTTCTGAATCAGAATTATCAGAAGGTGGACTATTAATCCAAGAGTCCAAATCTAAGTTAGATGGAATTTGCACCTGTAATAATTATCAATTAAATTTCTATAGTCACCAATATCATTAAACAAAATAGTAATTTGTTCCTTAATCTTACCTTTTTTTGCGCTTTAGGAGCTACAGGATTTAATTCTCCAACAAAAGCATTTGATAATTCTAAGGCAAGTTCAGGATTTTCTTTTAGACACTCCAACAAAGCAACGGCAGAACTTGACCTTTCCTGAACTTCTAAATCACTACTACATATAAAAGCAGAAAGTTTTTCCTTAAGAAGAAAGATCTGTAAAAGAAGATAATTTATAAATATAAGGGGCACATATGATGTTTTTACTTCAGAAATTAGTTTTTTTTTTAAATTTGATTTTTAAAATTAGTCTTATAAAAATTGTAAAAACGCAAAAAAAACTTTGAAACCAACCTGTTCCATTACATCAGTATTGTTTTCTTGCACTGCTTTATTTAAAACATGAGTAGAAAGTTTAACAATGTTATGCACATACACTGCTTGAATGTGGCCAGGTAATGATGATGCTTGAGATCGAACCATTGATTGTAGAGTTCCTAATGGATCATCCAGTTCGCTAAAACATTTATCCCAATTTTTAACAAATGGCAGACAAATAATCGCCCGTAATTGCTTTTTATTCAATTGTATGAGTCACTTTATACTTAAAAAAATATATAATTATAGAGTAAAGCGCATCTTACTTTGAAAATTCTCCACAGATCCACGCTGCTGCATATAAAACTTCAGACATTGTTGCTCGAGGCTGCCCAGCAAGAAAGCAAGCGTTCTCCAATAATAAGGCACACTGCTGAACAGCATATTTTCGAATTGCTTGAACACGTATTGCAACATCCAATAATTGAGTAGCTATTAATTGTCCGTGTTTTGTTCCCTCCATTCGTGTCAAGTCCACTAAGACTGATATATACCTGTGCAGAGAGGTATATTGAAGTTTTCAAAAAATTAATTTTAATTTTCTTTTTAAGAAAAAATAAAGTTTAATCAAATGAAGAATTAAACTAACCATTCAAAATAAGTAATGAACTGATAATTATTCTGAGAACAAATTTGTATAATTTTCGAGAGTAATTCATCTCGATAAATTGTGCCTTCAGCTTTGTCCATGTGAACCATAAGTTTTCTAACAATCTCCATTAGATTTTTCTTGGACACCATTCCATACAACAAGTCCAAGGCACGCAATCTTATACTTTCATCTTTGTCATCAAGGCACTGCATGATGAGATCTTTATGAGCTTGAACACTTTTTGGATGTGTCTTTAAAATTTTTGACATTGCCAACAATCCCAGATATTTGAGATTTTGATCTGAATCTTCAATGAGAATTCGTAATTTTTGTACGCACAGCTGAATGGAGTCAGAATGATTTGGCATACCAGACGAGATCGATATCAACACAGCTATAACAGTGTTGATACACTCGTAAAGTAGGGACATTGCAGATGTACTGAAAATTAAAGAAAGTCGTCAATTTATTCTTAATATTCATTAAAAATAAAACTGCATCTAATTAAATAGCTGAATATAAGCAAACTTATAAAACTTTCACTAAAGCATTTCAAGAAATGATTATGAGAATTTACATTTGAAAGCAGTTGATTGCGATCTTAATTTAATTGATATCAGTGTTCAATAGAATCATTGCTGGAAGATAAGAATATTTAAAAAGAAGAAAAAACATTTTTTATTCAACATGCACGATAAACGCGACTTTCCGTGCTTTTAAAGCGGGCGAAAAGTATGCTTTTGACGCCCGCAGTTGTTTAAAACGTCAAATCTACTCAATTAATTTTTAATAATATTATATTAAATGCAATAACTGCCTAAACAAATTATAACTCTGCTGAAAATTCTTTTAATAAAAATAGGATTTTATGTGGATTTGTACAATTTTTTTTTAATTCCTTAAAAGAATTTCCAGCAAGGTAACTGTCAGAATAAAAAATAATAGTATAGAAAATTATATACCTGTGTATCAAATTCGTTAAAGGTTCTATTAGCTTTTTGCCAAGCCTAGGTTCTAGGGGTGTCAATGCGCCAAACTGAAAATTGTAATATTATACTCTACAGCTCGCATACATTAGCATATTTAGAGCAATGTATATTTATATACACAAATTCCGCTTGTATTGTATTGTATTATACAGCATATTTATGGCCTTTAAATAAAAAAAATTCTGTATTCTAAGAATTACAAAAAAATTAATTTATACTATTTCATATAAATTTATAAGATACAACTGTTTAAATAAAAAAAACAATTGAATCACATAAGTTTGAAGAAGTTATTTTTTATTTTTCATTTCTCTTCTAAATCTAATTATATTTGAAAAACGATTTTCGTGTCTTATATTAGAGGATTTTCATTGGTAATTAAAGTTTGAATGTTGTGATGCTTATTTTTCGATTTTGTCCTAGTTTTGAGATTATTAAATCTATATTTCTTTTTTTTCTTTATTTTCTATAATTACTCATGGTGGGTAAAAAATTAAATACCTAGCAGGGTAAAAAAGACACTCAATGTTATTTGTTTTGCATTAATTGTAACGTCTTTTCTTGAAACATGCATTCAATACATGTTAGAAAATCAATTACGGATAATAAAAATATAATAGAGGAATTTAAAAGTGACAATAATCTTAAGGAGATAGATCACTGTGAACCTTTCAAAAAATCGAATTTATTATTTATTTTTTCTTAAAAGGTGCAGTAGGGTCTGAAGAATAAGATACAATAATCATTTAAATAATATTAAAAAAAAGCGCGTGCTATTACGATCAATGAAACGATTTTAGAAAAGCATGCGCGATTGGATTTGATAAAAGTAATTTTTCACTTTGGTTATGTGAGGTGTGTATTGTCATGTAAAAATTTTCAGCTGAAAGGCATATAATTAAACAATATATGTGAGAAAAAATGTCTTAAAGTAGACTTCATGAGAGCTATTGATCAATTTGGGATTGTGGGTATTTCTAAAATATTATAACGTCTTGAAAATGAATCGGTGGTTCAAATTGCCTTATCTTGAAGAAGCATAATATTCATATCAAATGAACACTATTACTTTTTTTTAATAGTTAAGGTTAATGGATTTTAATTTTAAAAAATTACATTTAGGGATTTCTGAAGTCACTAAATATGAACCTAAAGTTCTTATGACGGAAAAGTATATTACTATAAATATATTTAAATTGATTAAGCACAACTAGTTATGGTTTTTAATTTGCCCAACTCTGAAGTCTAACAAGATAATTAAATATAAGCTATTAATAAAAAAAAAACTCAAAATCAAATTTTTAAACCTTGATATGAGGTCAATTAGAGGTTGAGTCAATCGACGACCCAATTTCATTTCGATCAGCGTTAATGTTGAAAACTGAGTACGGAAAATATTACGAAATTTAATTGAATTATTCATTTAAAATTATTTCTGTATGATAAATTGAAAGTAATTATTTGTTAATTCCAAAAAAAAACAGTATAGTGCAGGTACACCTATAATAAGAGTAGGTAAAAGAATTAACTCACAAGTTTAATGATTTTAATAAGCATCCAGTTGTTTGTAGATGTAGTCATGAGCTTGAAAAACACAGGAGCAAGACTTAAATAATTTTTTGGATTTTTCCTAGCTAATTCGCACACAACATTGACAGCAGCTGATTGAACACCGCTATCTGGATCTTCAAGTCTTTCTTTTAGTCTAGGGAAAGCAGGCCTTAAAGCTTCAGGAAAACGTAGGAACACTTTGTACATCATTAACACTGCCTTTTTTCGTAGATATGGTTTAGTAGAAGTTAACAAAGTCATTATATCGTTAACTAAATCTCTTGCTAAATCATGGCTAATGAAACAAGAAAGACCACTTAATGCCAAACCTGCATCATATTGAGTTTGACTATTTAAATCCTTGCGAATCATATTTGTAGTCAACATCAATAACTGAAATTAAACATACATTAAAAATCGATAAATAAAATAGTGTTGTTTTTTATTTTTACTTTTGTAATTAAAATATTACTTCAGTTTCTGTGTGGAAGCTTTGACTGGCAGCTAAGTATCCTATTCGTTTGTAAGTAAATTTCGGTGATGACATTACTTCAATAATATTAAAACCTGCCCAACTGACATCATATCCCAACATTTGTAGCTGAAAAGTCAATAAATTTAGTTTCAATCACCATTAAAATAATTAGTAAAAATAAAGTATAATTAGCCTAATTAGGATCGCTTATATTTTTATTATGGATGATGCTGTGTTGAATTATCATGTCAACGAAAAAAAAGTTATATAAAAAGCCTCTCACAAAACATACTGTTCATTTTTATATTAACTAAATACATTTATAACCTAAAATAATACCTACTTATAAAAAAAAATTAAGAAATATTTTAATCTTAGACATGACATATTTTTTTCTTGATGTGTAAGTTAACTTTTTTCTCTTACTTTTACAGTCTTCTCATCTAAATTTTTAAAGGCCGGTGAACCAGTTAATTACTCTTTTTTTGATAGTTTAATTTTTTTTTTTCATCATAAAACCCGTTTGAATCTTATGTACAAACAATGCTAAAATTTTATGAAAAATTCTTAAATATGTAGTTAATTAAAATTTTATTTTACATACATAAGTTAATTTTGCTATAGCATTTGCCTTGACAGCAATATTATCTTGTCGTAATTCCTGTTTAATCTCTTCCATACACTGTGCAATGTATTTCGCCTAAAAAAACGATAATCTTATTTTAAACAATCTACAGTAGTTTAGAAATTGTCAGTGATTATATTGAAACAATTAACATTATAATGAAATTTACATATTGCCACTTGTTAAATACCTCATTTTCTTTATTGTTTCTAATCCCTCTTACGAGATCTGTCAGATTTTTATCAAACATACGTTCAAAATTTCCCTTCACTTTGCGGAAAGCCATAATGTAATCTTGTCAAATTAATTATTAATCATAAATATATCCACATATAAGATACGTCTATATGTATAATTCATTTCCTTTTTACTCTACTTATTTATGAATTACTTTCAATAAACCCAAAATATTCAACCAGCTTTAAAACTCAGACATTTTGCTTCCTCTTTAAACAGGGATGGGCCCAAGAATAATAGAGACCATGAGGGTGAAGGTCGTATTAACAGTTCTAGAAGAGGAGTTAATCTGTGAGGGTGGGGGCATTGGGTTAACAGACTCACGTTTTGTTGATTTTGATATTTACAAAATTCACCACTTGAGGCGCAACAATCGAAAAGTGTAGTTTTCAATTACGTGTAATTACGTGCAATTACGCCCATTACTCTGCATTGAAAATTCAACGTGTGTTTACCATCTAAGTACAAATTGTTATTCCTTGTTCTCTTTTTACAGTTTCTGCACAACGTGGTGTGTTGCATTAAATTATTTAAGGTAAATAAAATTAATAAATTAACGTTTATCTTGGCAAAAATTTATTGTATTTGTATTTCATATCATAGCACTAACCAAATACTTTATTTAGAATATTGCATTAACTACGTCTAATATATATTAGATAAGAAAATAAGGTACCTTTTATCGTACTTGACAAAAACTATGCTTAGAATTTGAGAACTCTACTAATTATTCCTTTTAAGTAGTTTTTCCCTTAAAATTACACTTAAAAAATTGTGCTTTACTTTTGTGTCATTTTACTGTATTTAGTATGTAAATAATAATCTTTTTAAGGTTAGAAATACATGATCGTCTATAATATTTATCATTCTGAGCAAAGCGCGTTGTTAATATCCAATGACTGTTGTAAATTTATTCTTCTGAGTTGTGGTTTTTATCTCTTACATACTGAAAATGTAATTTTATTGATGTATGGACTTTTGCAATGACATTTAAGAAAAATCAATTAAGAATGCATTTTTTACAATTTTAGATTATCAAAATGGCAGACTTAACGTGGATGATAATTAGAAACAATAATGCGTTTCTCCTGAAGAAGCGTACGATTAAGAAGCCTTTTTCTACTGTGAGTATTTTCATATTAATCTATTTTTCTAATTCGTTAAAACAGATTAATCATGCATTGCACCTTTTCAGGAACCCAATAATTTAACAAATCTCAGTAGTTATCGTTATTCTGGATTAATCCATCGCAAAAGCGTGGGTGTCATTGATACTCCAGATAAGAAAGGATTCACAGTTGTATACAAAAAGGCGAAATCTGCTTCAAAACCCGCGAAAACTGTTGTGAGGCGTACAATGAAATCAGGCAATCGGCGAGCTCTTCATAAATTGAAAACTCTACTCACAGCTAACAAGTATCGAGTAGATCTTACCAAGGTAATATTTTTTAAATAAAAAAAAAATCATGATATAAATTATTAGGGGTAGCTCCCAATACATATAAATGTGTTATCATTAAAATAAATTTATATATTCTTTACAGGCCGCTCTACGACGTGCAAGTGCAGTGCTGAAGTCGCAAAAACCAGTGACGGCAAAAAAGACACGTATTGTAAAGAAAGCCGATTGATGTAATCATTAAACAAATAAATGTATTTGTACACAAATTTTGATGTCTATTTTTTAACTTAATATAACAATAACAGTGGAAATTATGCGACCTCCTCTCTGTTGATGATTGAGAAACAACTTAAAAGAATATAATAACTAAAATTGTTTCCTTTTAATTTTCTAAAAACTAATTAAATTATAGAAGGAACAATGTCTTAAGGAAAAAAGAAGACATGCTAAGAAAAATAAATTTAGAGTATTACAACTTGATAGCAATTTTATTTAATTAATTATTATTCTACATGCGTAGATTTGGAATAACGTTTTAATAGTTTTTTTTCTACGTTCTGTTTTCTTTTTTCTAATTTACATGTTAATTCTTCAAACACTGCATCATCCTGTAAAAACAAGATTGAGTTAAACTAATTTAATATTAAAATTATTTTTATCACATTCGTAAACAATAAATATAATAATCAAAAAAAATATCACTCTTACCTCCACAATAAGATAAATCAAACAATTAGGCATCGTATTGTCGCACAAATTATTCTTCCTTTCAACGTAATTATTTGAGGATAATAATTTTATATTATCAATTTTGCTTACTGCTTTTATAACATTTATATTTTTAGAATGCATTTCATATTCTTCTGAGACAATATGCACTACAACAAAATTTTTAAAAAAATGTTAATATGTAAGGATAGAATTTAATCTTTCACAGTATTGTAAGTTGTACTACCTTCAAAATTTAATTTTTTGCTAACATTAGTAAGCAATCCCCTGATTCTATTAATTGAATTAATGACAGTATTCATCTGTTCTTCTAAATCTAAATTTTCATATTCCTGTAGCTGTAAAAAAAATGTACAAGATTTTTTTACTAATAAAATTTAAATAAAAATTAGATAACATAGTTTTAAAAATACCTCTTTAAATGTAGGATACGATGCTTCCATCAATGACTGAAAAGATGAAAAATTTGGACACTTTTGAGACATTTTGATATACAATTCATCGGTCAGAAAAGGAGTAAAAGGTGCCATAATTCTGAGTGATATCTCTAAGCACGTAATAAGAGCAAATTGATGAGCTAATATAAGGCTACTTTTTCCACTTTGGAATCCTAATTTAGTTCCTTCCTATAATAAATAATAAATATTTGTATAATATTTTGTATAAGGGCCTTTTCCTAAAACATTATTGTTATGTAAATTATCAATATTAGATTATAAAAAGAATATAATAATTAATCACTTCTTACAATATAGTAATCACAAAATTCGTAATATAAAAATTGTTTGATTGCTGATGATGCTTTATGCAGTGATTTTTCACTTAGAGAGTCGTTAACAATTTTCACCATATGTGCCAGTCTACTTAAAATCCAACAATCCAAAGTACTTAATTCAGTTGGAATTGGTATGTAATCATCATTGGTCATGCGCAAAGTATATTTACATGCTTGTAAAATTTTGTTACAAAAAAATTTATTTGACAAACACTGCTCTACATTAAAACTGTTAGTCAAATCTGTAAAATAAATAGCAACATTATTTAAAACTAGGTGATTCTATTCTACAAATTTCTGTTTTTAATTAAATAAAAAAAAATGTAATTACATACTTTTTATGTTGAGAGAAGAGAGAGTAAACCGTAAAGCATCAGCACCACATTCTGGAATACCATTGGGATATGTTTTAGTATTTATAGAAAAAGTTCGTTTCAGCTCATTGAAACTGAGTATTCCCGAATCATGACTTTCCTGAGATTGTTTATTAAGATCCTGTAATTTTAGACAAATATATTTTAATTGAATATACTTAATGCATATGCACTAAGAGATTAAATAAATTAAGAACTGACCTTTAAACTTATGCCATTTATAACATTTTCTGGGGAAATTACATTTCCAGCACTTTTTGACATTTTTTTTCCTTGAGCATCACATAAAATTCCATGTAATAATAATTCCTAAATTTAAAAGAAACAATAATTTTAATATTTCAAATTTTATGTTATTAATTAAAATAATGTTTTTATTATTTACCTTAAACGGTAATTTGTTAGTTAATACAAGTCCTATCATAGTCATCCTGGCTGCCCAGAAGAATAAAATATCTTGTCCTGTTACTAAAAGCGATAGAGGATAAAATTTCTTGAAATTTTCAGTCTGCAAAGTTACAGAAAATTACACAAAATTTTATAAAATTGCAAAAACTGTATAGTACAAACATTAAAAATAATTTTAATTTTTTTTTAATTTAATAATTAAAATATATTATTAAAATAATAGTTACTTGATTAGGCCACCCCCACACAGAACTGGGTAATAAAGCAGAAGAAAACCATGTATCTAATACATCATTGTCTTGTTTAACTTCAACTTCATTGCCGTATTTTTCTCTAGCTAATTTTAATGCCTCTTCTTCAGATCGGGCAATTAGCCACTTACTCTGATTTTCATAATCACATCGATAGGCAGGAATTCGATGACCCCATATTAACTGACGAGACAGACACCAATCTCTAAAATCATGAAATTCATATAATAAAAGTAGTTTAATAAAATTATAAAAGTTTATTTAAAATACTTTTCAAAACTTTATTACTTTGTTAACTTTAATTGTAAAAATAAGTTTATAAATAAATAACAAATTTAGAGCTGAGAAAAATAATTACTTTATATCGTTCAGCCAACTAAACCAAGCTTCCTCGTATAAAGGTGGATCCATCTTTAAAGATTTATCACGAACTGCACTTATTGCAAGTTGTGCCATTGATTTGCAATTTAAAAACCATTGTTCTTTTAACATATATTCAACAATATCACCAGTTCGTGAGCATACAGGAACTATCATTTCATGATCGCGTGTACTTTTTAAAAGTCCCTTTTGAGATAATTCCGAAATTATTTCGTTTCGAGCAATGTACCGTGGAAGATTCTGCATGAAAATATAATTCTTTATTTACTACAATCTTTTGTTCAAGATTCTTTATAATATTTAATTCAAGTACAATAAGAAGAAATAGCAATACACGCTACCTGAAACTGTCCAGCGTGTTCTGTCATTTTTCCATCCTCACCAATTACATTTATAATTTCTAAATTATGTCTTTTGGCAATACGATAATCTTCTACATCATGAGCAGGTGTGACTTTCATAGCACCTGTATATTTAAAATATTTTTTATCTTTATCTCCGACAACAGAAAAGTAATTTAATTGAAACCAAGGTTATTTTGTAATTACACTTACCAGTACCAAATTCCAATGAAACGGAATCATCCGCTATTACAGGTATAGATGAATTTTTAAAAGGATGACTTACAAAACGTCCAATGTATCGACTATATAATGTATGATTTGGATTAATAGCAATAGCTACATCACCGCATATTGTTTCTGGCCTGGTAGTGGACACAATAATTGTTTCATCTGTATACACATATTGATTTCTATTTTTTAATAAAATTTTGTTATATTAAAAAAGAATAAAAATTATTTTAAATTACCTGAGTCTTTTAATTTATAAGCTATATCTACTATTTGACCAAATGTAACTTTTTTCTTATACCCAGGAACTTCTATATCTGTTCTTTTCATAACTCGTAAATGATCAACTTCGATATCAGAAATTCCACTACATAATGAAGGAGACCAGTTTATCATAGCTTTATCTCGATATAATAAATTTCGTTCATATAAAGTAATAAATGCTTCTGTAACTGACTCCTGGTGAGACTAGAAAATGTAAAAACAGATTAATTTAAAAGTATTAAATGAAAAAATCAATAGTACTTTTTATTTTACAAAAGATGTCTAATACTAAAAATATCACTGTAAAGTAATAGTATATTTAAATTTACCTTACTCATTGTAAAATAATGTTTTGACCAATCCAAACTGGCACCTAATTTTCTTAGTTGACGATATATTGCAGACCCTTTATCTTCATTCCATTTCCAAATAAATGACAAAAATTCTTCCTCTGTCATATCATGTCGTTTAATACCTTTAGTTTTATATAAATATTTTTCAACAACGGCTTGAGTGGCTATCCCAGCATGATCCAAGCCTGGAATCCACAGCACAGAATCGCCTTTCATTCGGAGCCTGACAATTTTTAAATGAAAAATTACTGAATGAGATAATAAGTAAACTGACCTACAATGGAAATAAATACGTGATACTCTGCAGTTTTTCTATAGTACAAAGTAACTTACCATCTGGCAAGAATGTCCTGTACAGTTGTTGTTAAAGCATGTCCTAAATGTAAGTTACCAGTTACATTAGGTGGTGGTAGAATCATTGTGTAATGACAATTTTTATCATTTTTTACGTTAAAATATCCTTTCTCTTCCCACAGTCCGTACCATTTTTCTTCAATTTCTTTCGGTTTGTAAGAGACTGGGAAATCTTAAAATAAAAACAAATATAATATATTCTCTGATTTTACTTGAAAAAAATGTAAACAATTTATTTGTTTACCAGTTAATCGACTTTCTGATAACATGCGACGAGATACATGTGACCATTTAAGATGTACAAGTAGTAAAGCACGATTCCCGTTCATTGTTAATATATACAAAGTACTTAAAAATTATATTTTTATTTTCATTCTAGACTTTACCCTCCTTTTTTTCAAAAAAATTAGGTTTTGCTTCCGATGTTTTATTTTTGGTTAGGAATCCATGTTTATATTTTTGCTTATACCGCTCTTATATACATATATATATATATATAACAGGTCAGGGAATCTGAAGTAAGTTATATAAAGTGGAACATCCGAAATGTGCCATGTCTGAATTAGAAACATTTGGAACGTTCCATTCATATTTCGAAGTTTCTTCTTTATTATAAGTAATTTGCTCATCTAGTTATAACATACACCTAGTTAAAAACAGTTTAAAATTTCAAAGATAACTGACAAATGTATACAGTTGTTTGCCGGTTTTGTGTATTATTTGCGAATGTTTAACAATAAAACTCTAATTACTGGACAAATGTACAAGGAGGTGATGACTATAATGAAAGTTTTAACATGTTAATAAAGTTGCCAAAACATTTAATTTAGAAAGCAATTAAAAATGGATAATATTCACAATTTTCAAGTAGAATGTGAGAGTCGTAAGTACATTTATTTATATTCTTGTTAAGTCAGGTAAATTTAATTTTTTTACATTTATCTCTGAATCTATTAGAATAATTGGACAAAATTTGTTTGCGTAATTTATTTGAGGTCGAATTTTAATTTTAAAAAAACTTTAAATCATGATAGATCAAAGGTCTAAAAGAATGCGTCTCAGTATTAATTTTTTTTTTTATGAAAATGGCATTATACCACAAATAATTTAATAAGTATGAGATTATTTTATTTTAACTTTTTTTTATAAGCAAAAAATGATTTTTGTAGATGATCATTTACCACAGTCAGGTGAGGAAATGGACAAACAGCGACACAAGACGCTTGCTTATGAGTATTTATGTCATCTTGAAGAAGCTAAAAAGTAAGTTAAAATTTAAAATAACACGCATAGTGCTCTTTTTGAGTCCTAGTAGACTGAACCTACAAAATTAGATAAAATCGAATATATCGCTTCATATGGGGGGGCGATTGATTTTTCTATGTCAAGTACATTAATTTGTTCAAAATATAGTTTTTCATTGAAAATAAATCAATACAACAAATGATCTTTTAGGTGGTTAGAATCATGTTTACGAGAAAAACTTCCACCAAGCACAGAATTAGAGGAAAATTTGCGAAATGGAGTATATTTAGCTAAACTTGGCCATTTCATGGTTCCAGAGACTCTTCCATTAAACAAAATTTATGACATCGAACAAAAACGATATACAGTTGCTGGTTTACAATTTCGACACACGGACAATATAAATCATTTCCTGAAAAGCTTGAAATTAACACAACTACCTACAGTATGATAATTTTCTTAAATATATATATATATTTAGTATATCAGGGTAGTTTTAGTATTAAAAAAATTTTTATTTAGGCCTTCCAACCTGAAACAACAGATATTTACGACAAGAAAAATATGCCTAAAGTTATATATTGCATTCATGCATTAAGTTCACATTTATTTAAATTGGGTAAAGCTCCTCAAATTCAGGACTTGTATGGAAAAGTAAACTTTACTGGTGTGTTTACAATTTATCAACAAAATATATTTTCTTTTAAGTTTTAAAATTTGACAAAAAGTTTAATTCTTATTTTTTAATAGAGGAAGAAATCAATGCTGTTAGTAGAGAATTGCAAAAATATAATATTCAAATGCCACCGTTTCAAAAAATTGGTGGCCTTTTGACTAATGATATGGGAGAAGACACCGCTGCATTACACGCTGCAATAATTGCTATCAATCAATCTCTCTCCAATCAGGTATTTCAAGTTCTCAAAGAATAAGTAGATATACATATATTTTTTTTAACTTTAATTTTTAATAACAATAACAAAAATTGTATTGTTTACTTGAAGGATCATAATGCAATGTTAACCCAGATGCAAAATAAAACTGCTCGTTTAAACAATATTAAGGCTGAAAATATAAACTGTTATTATGAAACTTTAATAAAAGCAAAGGAGACGAAAGTAGAAGCTGCAATTAATAGGGTCAGTAACTAATTTTCATATTTATATATTTTATTAGTGTTAATGATATGCACTAATTTTGATTAAATAAACTAATTGATTACAAAAATTAATTAATTATTTATAAAATTATAATTAGAATAGAAAAAAGAGCAACATATAAAAAATAATTAACATAATTCTTAATTATTTAAATAGTCATTTAATGAAAGTTATGAACCTGATGTATATGACGAACTTCTTACTCAAGTTGAAATTCAGGGGCATATTAATCACGTCAATGGTGAGTACCTGTTTTTTAATTACATATAGTTAAAAAAATTATTTTTTTAATATTTACATATTTGGGGAGCATGAATATTCAGCAAATTTCATTCTACCAAAAATATCGTGCGATCAAAAATTAAGTTCCTGATTAACAGTTAACCAAAACTAAGTAAAAAGTAAATCTCCTTTTTATTTTTAATTAAGAAAAAATACTACTGTGATCCTTATGTTACTTTAATCGTTTCTTTAGTTTTTAACTACTTTTTATAACTATATTATTTCATATTTTTTTTGCAGTTCAATCTGCTCTACGTAACGTAAAAGAGTCTCTATGTTATGGCAAGAAATATTTACTATCTGCCTTAAATGATCCAGCACTTCAAATTATGGTAAAATATTAGATTTCTATTATAATTCATTAAATGAAATAAGAAATTTTTGTCAGGGAAATTGAAAAATTTATTCTTGTAGCAACCCTGAATAATGTTTCCAGTAAGGAGAATACTAAGTGTGTAAACTTTAATTTTTATTAAACTAATTACAGAATATTTATGACGATAATGTTGATATTTATAAGAAAAAAGTTGCCAAATTGGTGGAAAATTCAAATTGGGAAGACAATTATCAATATTTCCAAAAACTCCTACAGGAAGCCGTAAACGAAGCAAATACAGTTTCGTTACAAGAGATTAAGAGTTAGTTTTGAATTCAATTTTAGTTTGTAAACAAATTTTCAATATATGTATTAATAAATAATAATTTATTAATTTACAGAAGCATTTGCTTTAAATGAAATAAATAAAGCTTTACATGAGAATGACTTCGAACAATTTTGTGAAGCTGTATTAAATTCTACTCTGGGTTTGTCCAATAATGTTGAAGAATTTGCTTTGCCTTTATATTTTGAAGAAATGAAAATAGATTGTGTTGAGTCACAGGTATGTTGATTAAATTTTATTATTCAATATTCTTAAAATAAGAAGAAATTTTTTGCAGAGAAGTGTATCTTATACAGATATCGTAGTCAGCATTCGAGTTTTGTCAACCATTGCAGCCATAACAAAGGCTATAGAAACAGGAAGTCCAATACTAACTTATCAAGCTTTATCTTGTCCTGAAGCACACGTTATGGTATGTTGTATAATTTAAAAAAAAATGAAAAGTAAATTAATTGGAATTTTTTTTATAGGATTTAGATGAAGATAATAAAGTCAAATATTTTCAAGCATTGACGGCGGTTTGTTATGAAAAACAGATTTCAGATGAAAGATGTCGACTATTAACATATAATGACATACAAGAGAGTGTTGACCTCGTAAATCAACAATGCTCAAATGACAATGAAGGTAAATTTGTTAAATATTAGTTATCAAAAATATAAATTGTAAAAATTATAAAATATAAATGTTTGTCTCAGTTTTGCAGGCATTAAGTCATTTAAATGCAGCTGTAAAAAATAACAATCGAGATGAAATGATGTCAATTTTACAAAGCTCATTATTAACATTAAAAAAACCTGTATCATTTTCTGATACATCGCTTTATTTAAAATTATTTAAAAAATGTCTTGAAGAGAAACATTCAGATGGTTCCGAATTGTGGTTAGAAGATATTGAACAAGTGACCAATACAGTGGCTATTGAAGCAAAAAATGTTCAATCAGGTAAGAAGTTAACGTAACCCAATTAACTTTAATAAAATAAATAAAAGAAAAATGTTATAAATTTTGAAATTATGTTGTTTGCAGCATGTGCCTTATTAACACAATTCAATAAAGGATTAGAGAGCAACATTTCTTTTACAACAAATTGGCTGAAAATGATTGGTTTACAAATTATAGAGGGAAATGATGAAAAATATAATGTAGCTTTTGCAAAGCTTTTTAAAGAAAAGGTATTATAATTATAACTTTCATTAAAAAATGCGGGTTCAATTTTTGGATTCTTCGTTAAAGATCTTTTTCTTCTCTGCCACCTATCTCTCTACTGGATTCTTAAATTTCCGAATGAACAAGTGAAAGAAAAATTAAGAAATTGTATTTTAATTAATAATTGCAATTTTAACTAAAGTCAGTAAACCTTAATAAATAAAAAATTCGTGTAATTTTTATTTTTTATTATATAATTTATATAATTACAGAAAAAAAAGAATGCCTGTCCTTACGTTCGTTATATTACTCCTGAAGGAAATGAATCATTTCTAGACTTGGAAAATTTGAGTTATACTTGGGATTATCCGTTAAATGAAGCAGAATCATTCTACTTCACATATGAAGATATTCGGGTAAGTATTAAAATATTAACTGAAATTTTTGTTTCTGAGTGATTAATAACATTTTTAAGTTTACTAAATATTTTCTATTTTGTAGCATTTAGTAAAAGAGGTGAATAGTGATTTACTGGATGATTTATCATATAATAACTTGGATTTAACAATTATTCTACTTCAAGCTCGTATTCGAGGATATTTACTTCGTAAAAGTATTTCTGACAGATTTACACATTTTTACGACAATATAGATAAAGTGAAAAAAATTCAAATTTGGTGGCGAGCTATTTTAGCACGCAAATACAATGAAAATTATCTTGACACAAAAGTTAAATACGATAGAGAGGAAGAAATATCGACATTAAAGTACTTCAAAAAATATGTAAGTCTTTAAATAAACATATCATTCACTATAATATATTATTTTTTTGCTTTAAACTTGACATTTTTACATTTTTTGGAGTAAATAACTATAAAAAATTGCATTAAATGTTCTAGGAAGATAAAGTAGTTAAAATTCAAGCTTTGTGGCGCGGAACTGTAGCTAGAAAAGCATTTCAATCACTTTTGCATTTAGATAAACCACCATTTACAGTAGTTAAACGATTTTCTGCAATTCTAAATTTTAATTCTGAAGATTACGATAAAGATCTTCAGTTGCAAGTAAGTACTCTTAGACAAATAATATATAATGCATTCTAAACTATTAGAAAAATAACTTTAAAAAAATTATCTAAATAATAAAATTAATTTTAAATATATCCCATTTTTACTCTCTAGCAATTAAAAAATGATGTTGTACAATTAATCCGACATAACCAAAATTTATCCCAATTGTTGGATAGTATGGATATAAAAATTGGACTTTTAATTCAAAATAGGATAACTCTCAAGGTTCGTTTGTATGATTATTTTTTTATGATCATTTTTCGGGACCCAAAATATTTTGACGCGCAACCAACATAATTTTTATGCAGATAGTATTGTCGAATAGAAAATAATTTTTTTTTTTAAATGATCTTTAAATTAATATTAATAATATAATATTAAATGCAGGATGTCGTAGCTCATGGAAAAAATTTAGAATCTTTAGCGAAAACAAAACATGTAAAAAGGCCACGTAAAGATTCTTTTTCTGAATCAACAATTTCCAAAGGACTGAGATCTCTTACTAAAGAAGGACGTAGAATGCTTGAAGGATATCAACATTTATTTTATGCATTACAGACAAATCCTACTTATTTATCTAAATTACTATTTTTATTACCACAAAGTAAATCAAACAAATTTTTGCAAAATGTTATTTTAACTCTCTTTAATTTTGGTTCAAATATTAGGGAAGAGTATTTGCTACTAAAACTTTTAGGAACTGCTCTTCGAGAAGAAATAAGGTAATCAATTTATATAATTAAAGTATACAGTATTATTTCTAGGTTAAATTGCTACTGTGTGTAAAAGTATTTTTGGTCCACATCTAACATTATTTCTATTATTTCTCAGATGTAAATTTGAAAGGCCTTCTGAAGTGGTAACAGGAAATCCTCTTGTTTTAAAAATGGCTGTCAATTATGCAAGGCAAATTAACGGCCAAAGAGCTTTGCGTCAAATTCTTGGTCCATGTATTGAGAAAATTCTCTCGGATAAAACTATTAATATTGAAACTAATCCTGTTGATATTTACAAATGTTGGCGTAATCAACTGGAAATGGAAACAGGAGAGACTTTGTGAGTTCTATTCTAATCTTCATTTTTCTAAAGAATATAATTTTGATGGGCTTTGGAAATTAATGTGATTTACTTATTTTTATAATAAGAAAAATTTTGATTTTAGAGACCTTCCTTATACAGTTACTCATCAACAAGCTTTACAATATGACGAAGTCCGAAAAAGATTGAACAATGGATTAAAATTACTACAAATTACAGTACAAGAACTTTTATCACGAATAATTGCGTCAAAAAATTTAATTCCCTATGGAATGTTATATATGTCCAAAGTTTTAAATGAAACATTAACTGAAAAATTTCCAAATGCATTAGAAAAAGATATGTTAAAAGTTATTGGAAATCTTATTTACTATCACTATATTAATGCAGCGATAGTTGCACCTGATGCTTTTGAAATAATATCATTGCCTATCGACAAATCTTTGTCAAATGATCAAAGACGAAATCTTGCAAGTATTGCAAAAATTTTGCAGTTTGCAGCATCCAAAAAAGGAGTAAGCTTTTAATAATAATATATATAATCTATTTTATAAATTAAATTCTGTAGGTATTAATCTCAATTAATTTTCATTTTTTTAGTTCGGTGATGAAGCAACACACTTAGTTTGTTTAAATCCATTTATAATAGAATGCCATGAAAAATTTAAGAAATTCTTTCGACTTTGTTGTGAAATAGAAGATTTGGAAGATCATTTTAAAATTCATGAATACACCGAAGCTACTTTAATTGAAAAGCCTGAAATATATATCTCGTTGCAGGTAAGTCTTCAACAATGATTATAGGCGATTTCACGTCAGATTTCAACCGATCTCTTAAATTCATATAAATTTATAGTAAAGAATATTCTGAAAAATAGCTAATTTTTTAAATATAATTTAAACTATTATTACAGGAAATATGTGATACACATGATCTTGTGTCAAAATATCAAGAACAAATTGCTCCAAATCCATTAGATCCTCTACATGAACTTTTAGAAGATTTGGGTTCAACGCCAACTGTTGCATCATTATTGGGATTAGGTATTAATAACATTTATTAAACTTTTGTATAAAATAAATTTAGTTTTAAACTACTCTTTAATATAAGTAAAATAAATCTATACCTTAAAATATATTTTCAAATTACCAAATTATATTAAGTTGTCATATTTCAGATCCTTCAACTGACGAAAAAGTTTTATTTCGACATGGAAAAGCTGAAGTTTGCTTGACGCTTACGAATAAATTTGAAATTCCGGAGAATGAGGATTTAAATTTAAATAAACTTTTTATTAAAACTAAGGAGCTTTTAGTTTCTTGTATGCGGTTTTTACAGGGTAATACATTATCTGAAGCACTGGAGTCTACTTTATTACCCGCCCAAGAAAAATTAACTGATGATCATCATTTATCAATAATTTCTAATTTGAATGCAGTTCACAATAGGTAATCTATTAAATGCATTATCTAAATTATATTTTACTTTTGAGATTTCTGAAAAAGAGGTAAGGGTTGAATTGACCTTTGCAAAATTCTTAAAATTAAAAAAACTTATATTTTCTTTTAGCCTCTCTCTAAACGATTGCAAAATCCAACTGCGTTCTTATCTCAATAAACTTGAACTTGATGGTTTGGTAACACAAAAAGATGGTTATCAAAATATAGTGACAGCAGTTGCTAAAGACTTGTGCAATAAGGGAAAGTATCGACTTTTCCGAAACAAAGAATTGCAAACTCTACAGGAAACAAAACACCAGCTTGAGGAAAAATATAACTACTATAAAGAACAAGTAGAATACTACAATCAATATATTCAACGGTGTCTTGAAAACCTTCACACTGGAAAAGGGTATTTAATTATTTTTATTTTAAATTATTTCTATTCTGCAATAGAAAATATTTTAATTATTAATTACTTTTGCTAATAGTTCTCTACATGCCATGAAATTAAATGAGAAGAATAATCATGGAAAATTGAAATCAAGAACAACATTGAAATACACTGGCGCTAAATTACAGGAAAAAGGCGTACTTCTGGAAATAGAAGGTCTTCCTCATAGTCAGTTTAAAAATGTCAGTTTTGAAATTACACCCATTGAAAACAATGGAGTTTTTACTGTAAAAGGCAAATTTATGGGAGTTGAAATAGAAAAAATTGATATTAATATTCAAAAGCTTTTAGAACTTCAATTCGAAGGTTATCCGGTTATGGATATGTTTGGAAGAGCAAAAATTAATGTTAATTTATTGCTATTTTTGTTAAATCGAAAGTTTTATGGTAAAAATTAATATTTTTGTGTCATCTTCATACATGTTTAATATATTTTTATTTTTATTATTGATATTGTAAAGTGGTGTGTCATCACTTTTAGGTAATAAAATTGTAAATTCATAAATGTGCTAAAGTTTAAGTTAATAAAGTCATGCACGCTTTTATTTTCATTAATTTTTTATCTTTTTTGAATGATAATTTTAATTTATAATTAAGGTATTATTTTTGAAAATAAATAATTGGAGATAAAAACTTTTTTCCTTTTATTTAATAACTTATTAATCGGTGAATCAATGTATTATTAAAGCTTTATTATCAAGATGTTTCATCTTACATTTTACATTATTTAACAAAGTGACTTCGTTAATGCTTATAAAGCATTATGACTTAAACTCATTATATGTACAAATGTTTAATATAGTGAAAACAATTTAATTTATATGGTTGAAATGATTCATAAAGTTAACGCTATATGTATAGTATACTATTGAAATTCTTTACAGATCTAGTATCTCCAGTTTCTCTAAATTGAAGCAATTTTAATATGTTTCTTAATATTATCAATAACATCCCTGCTCGATGCAGAACCACCAAGATCTTGTGTGTGTACTCCTTCATTAACAGTTTTATTAATAGCATTTTGAATCAAAGTTGCATGTTCCTTATGTCCAAGATGACGTAACATGTCAACAGCAGCATTTAACATAGCAATTGGATTCGCGACATTTTTTCCAGCTATTTTCTTTCCCGTATTGCGAGTGCCTGGTTCGAATATTGTATAATGATTTCCATAATTCTTTCCTGCTAAAAGTCCTGCTCCTCCTAATAAACCACATACTACATTTGATACAATAGCACCGTATAAATTTGTTGTCAGGACAACATCGAATTGATGAGGATTCGATACAAGTTGCATACACGTGTTATCAATAATCATATCATTATGTTGAATGTCTGGATAGTCTTTGGCAACTCTACGTGAAGTTTCTAAAAATAAACCATCTGAAAGTTTCATTATATTGGCTTTATGAACGGTGGTGATTTTCTTTCTATTATTACGTTTTGCATATTCAAAAGCATAACGGGCCACACGTTCAGAATTCGATTTAGTAATAACTTTCATGCTTTCTACCACGCCATCAACACTTTCATGTTCCAACATGGCGTATTCTCCTTCTGTATTTTGCCTAATTATTACAATATCTATATTTTGTTGTCGTGATCGAACACCTTTATACGATACACAATGCAGTACATTAACATATAAATCTAATTCATTGCGTAATGCGACATTACGAGAAAGAACACCCGCTTCTCTACTTCTGGTTTCAATATTTCCCTTGAGTGCCACTCCATTTCTGCGAATTGATGTTATAGCATAAAATAGATCATCATTATTATCAGCATTTGGATCGATATCGATGTCTTCAAAATCTACTGGTACCCCGGCAAAAGTAAATACCTAAATGATTATAAAAATCATAAATTTATACATGAATTTTCGAGTAAAATATTACAAACTACACAAACTGCTACTTTAGTCAAGCATTTAAAATCAATTAATTATGGAAATTTTCTCAAAAAGATGTTCAAGTCCTGGTGGATAAGGTTTGAAGCAATATCTCAATTGATAGACATAAAATAGTAAGATAATAATAAATATATACATTTTAAGTATTGCAATATGTTCAGTTTGATTTTCTTGTGGAATATCGCACTTAAGATCAATGTTTGTCAACTGTAAACTTTTCCATAAGCATAGTACAAATTTGAAACATACCTCTTTTACATATCCCATTAGTTCAGGACCAATACCTGCTCCAGGTAAAATAGTAACAGTATGTCGACCACCGTAATGAGCCTTTGGAATTGGCATAACTTTTTTAATTGTAGGTGTTCTGTGTTGAATTTCGAAAGCAGACATAGATGTTGCTCCTCGATGAAGTTGAGGAATCAGTAGTTTTGACTGTAGCATATATTTAATGAGTGAACGAGAAGCCATTTTGATAAATTATTTAATTTTTAGATAGTTTTAATTGACAATTAAAGTATTATGTAAAAATTCTGTCAGTATTGCTTTAAAGACACTTTAGGTCTGTAAGGTCAAAATCATATTCCAAATATATCATGAAAGAAGCAGACGACACCTTAAACTAGGAAACGTTCACTGCACGAACTTTTATCATGTTGAACATTTGAAATGCGACAGTCATTAAGGTGCCATCACATTTCGGCATACATAAAAACGTCACAAGAACTAAAGCGTAAAATTGTGTAACTAGATCATAGTGCGAGAAGGACAAATGTATATCTTCATCTCTTTCATACTTATTATCTAGCTACAAAGTTTGACGTTTTACACCTTTATGTGATTGCACGATAAATAATCAGAAAATCATGAAGGTACATTTATTAATTAATTAATTAATAGTAATATATGTATTTCTTTATCTCTCGCACTCAATGATGATTTTCTATTTATGCACTACGCTTACATGTAACTTCACCATAACACTTGAAACTGTCACACTTCAGAGGTTCTTCTGCAATAGAAATATGAAAACCTCTAATGAAGAATCACCTTAATATGTTATATATATATAACGAATGGCCACCATTTTACGTTGGTGTTCTCATCGGCGCAGACAGTACGTGAATAAACTAAAGAAGTTCATTTAATATTGTGCAAGATTTTTGGTATTCCTCTGCTGCAAAATGTGTTGATAAGGTAATCACTAGTGTCAGTTGCATGGATATGAATTATTTTGTGATTTCTGAAGGAGAAGTGTAAAACGTAACAAATTTTCTTTTCTATCCTCGGGCGTCAGCTCAGTCCAGCTGGGTAATTTTTCAGCGTGATTGCGTTACGCATTTGTGCTAAATTTTTCATTGTTCCTTGCAACTTCTATCTGGATTTTGAACAAAATTTTCGGTTTACACCAATTGAAAGGAATATTTAGTGTCGCTGATAAATGGACAAAATGTGTTGTCTCGTGTCCCGAAAAATTATTTCCAGTCAGTATTACATAAATACATAGTGCCATTTTCTTACTCTCAATAAAAGTTTTCAAAACAGGTAAAAGAATATCAAGAACCTTGAAAAGTGTCCATATTCATATATAAATTGAATTATTCCGTAACCATTATCATTGATTAAATCAAAAATTTAGAAAATAAAATTTTGAAACGTTGAACAAGATCTCCATTTAACTGATCATTAATATGTGTATGTATATTTGCGTTGACCGTCTCAAAAATTTTGATACTGGGGAATTCTGAAATAATTTCCCAAGTTATTTAATTTAGAAAATTTTAGAAACAATTTAATCTTTTATGTTCCGTTTTATACTTTTTATAAATTGTTACAATTTTCTGCATCAATTTGAAAAATATTATAGGTAATCTTTCTAAATTACCTAGAAAAATTGTATAATTGTAGATTCTGTTAAAAAAAACTACTTTCATGTATTTGTTTTTTAGCTCAATAGTTTTTTTTTGTGTTGATTGGTGTTATTGGATAGTATATATTTTTGTTAAAAGATTAATATTATATTGATTATATATTTTTAAAGAAAAGTTTCAGCATTTTTTGTGGATCAGTTATTTTATTGTAAATTCGTTTTCATGATATTTCGATGACAAATTTTGTATTTTGTTTAACTAATACATTGGTATCGTAAGAACAAGATTACAATAAAATAATTACTCCAAAAACTGTTACTATAATGCTAAATATTTGTGATCTAATTTAATTAAATTTTGAGGAAAATAATATACTTTATCTTAAAACTTGTTTATCAAATTGAGTAATTTCATCTTATTAGTATACCATTTAAAAAATGTTATTTTTACATGACGTCCTTCCTTAATTTTCTTTATTTTTTCCTCATGTATATTTCTAACAATTGATTAAAACTTACTCTTTACTTAAATTTTTTTTAAATTTATGTTGTAAATTATAATGTGTTATCAGATGAATTTAAAAAGTTCTTAAATTTGCATTTTAAACTGCATTTGCAAACTGATTTTAGTAGTCAAAATTTGTTATAGAAACTATAAATATGTCCTATAGGACAGTGAATAAGTTTGCTATTTCAGCAAACTTGTTCTCTGTCTCTATATTAACGAACACGGTTTGCAATTCCATAGACAAAATTAAAAATTTTAAATCATATTTAACAAATATAATCTATAGAATATGTTTTTGAATAATTGTTATGCAAATTTTTCTTAGTGTAAACTTAAAGTATCCAACAATAACTTAGTGAACGATAATGCGATTAACACTTTATTTCGAATCTTTGTTAATCAATATAAAATATGACAAGGACAGAGACTTATGTACAAATAAAATACAATTTTATCAAGTTAAATTGATTTAATATTGAAATTGAAGTATTTATTAAAATTATGAAAAAGACAGTGAAAACTACTATAAATTGTTATCGATTTGAGCAGAGTAAACAGTACAAGAAAGTGACTGAAATGAGTTGTCGCGAAGGCAGCATTCACATTGTGACGTCATAGTCGCGATAACAGTTTCAGTTCTTTATTTGGTTGCCATTGAAAATGTAATCGAAAGGTCTATTTATCGTTTTCTATATATATGCAGTTTAATTTTTGAGTTAATCATTAAACTAAAAAGATACTTTCGTCCAAATAAGAAAAATAAAAATTTGAATCTATTTCGCTTAATGATAAGAGTAGAAGTAAGTACTCGTAAATTATTGGTGAAACGGTACATTCTCTTGAAAAAGGCAAATAACTTTATTACGGCATTTTCACAATAAAATAATTCTATTTTTAAAATTTCATGCTAGCCATATATGTATAATATTCAATAAAGTTATTCCCCTTTTTAATATATTTACTTTTTTTTCGAGTTCATTATATCTATTTATTACTTTATTTTCCATTTGAATTATGACAAGAAGTCAGTTTTTTATAGTTTTGCAATAGTGGTGCTTTTATAGTGTTTTACAGTGATGATTTTGTGTTGTGAAAATATTGTGTTGATTAAGGTGAGTTTATTTGAAATTAATTTTTAAAGAAAAAAAATTTGTGAATATCAAATAGAGAAAACTTTTATCTCATTTTCAAAAGTAATTTTATTATTTTTGAATTTTTTTCATAATTATAATTTTAAATGATTTTATTCTTGATATTTCTATCTGATTTACAAAGGTTTTTCCATGTGAGTTTATATAATATCAAAAAAGAGGAAACAATTAACGGGATACCAAAATTTAATAAATAAAAGGAGAAAACTGGATTAACTAGTGAGGACCGTGAAAATTACGAGTTTATTTTATGTGATGATGTATTGTATGTAAATGATTAAGTTTATATAATTATAAATTTAATGTGAAGCTTTTTATGTATAAATGTAAATACTTTTATAACTCTTCATACTTGTACGTGTTGTAAAAATAAAAATAAATTTATTCAGATAATTTTGCACAATACCTTTATTTTTTTCTCATTTTTAACCCCCAACATTTGTGATTCGATCTGAAGAAAGGTACCTTTATGACATCCAAAATATTCAATAAAAATTTATTTTCATTTTACGTAATTAAAAATAATAATAATAATCTTAGGTACCTTTCTTCAGACCGCGTCACATTTGTAAATTCATTTTATCTAGAAAATTCTCAGATTTATTTGCTCAACTTGGAGCATCAATATTCTCAAAATTTAATGTCATTATTATTATTATTATTGTTTAATTATGAAACTAAATATCGATTTTGCCTTTTTGTTGCAGTGATATTTAGCCTGTCGATTTCGTGCAAAAATTAACAACATTTTGAAGATGGAGGCAGCAGCGAAATCGAAAGAGGTGGCAGACGAATACATATCGTCGTTGGCCGATCTTTCTGTTAATAGTAAACCTCTAATCACCATGCTCACAATGCTGGCTGAAGAAAGCATAGAACATGCTCCGGCAATAGTCGGAGCTGTTGAAGCCCATTTGCAAAAGGTTATTAGTCTTTTGTAGTTACACTTTTAATACGAAAACCTTACTGACTTCTCGGAAGGCTAATGTATTCTCTTTAAAAAGCAAACATTTTTTAAAAGTCAAGTTATCACATTTTCGTATCGAAGAAGCAAACGCGTTTATAGAAAATTTTTAATACTTGGATAGTTTTCTTATGTTTAGTCTTCTAAAAATTTTAATCAATGATTTAGAATTTATGAATGAAAATATTTTCAAAAAGCGTAGACTATTACAAATTATATCCCAAAAGGATTAAAAAATTTTCCTTTAAATGTGAAAAATTATTAATAATTAAAATTTTATTTCAACATTTGGAACAATAAAATAATTATATTTGTTCATTAAAATTTTTTTTTAAATAGTCTAAAGTACTTGAAATATGATACAAAAAATTTCAATTGTTAATAACTTTTTATATTTAAAAAAATATTTAAATCCTTTTAGGACAGAATTTGAAATGAGATACACGACTCTGTATATCTGTATTTGCTTCCAAGATATTGGAGAATGTTTCAACTGATGCTTTTAACATGCAGTTTAAAAAAAGTAGTCATTATGTACAAATGAAAAGATTTTTCTTTACCTTAAAAGCAATATATTTTAATAATTAATTAATTTTTACCTTTAAGAGAAGTAAACATTAAGAAATTGACTTTTCTATCTACTATATTAAATTAAAAAAATTTCTTCTAACATAAATCATCGTTCTGCAAGTTGCATATTGTTTTTTGGCGCCAATGTCGTTAATGTGTAAAAAAGAATGGCCTCGAATAGTTGTCTCTTTTCAAGAGATGTTTCTAATTATTTCATCTAATTTTTAACTGTGTTTTGATTATAGTGATATTTAATATATTTACTGCTATAATAGAATTCAATTTTTGATTATAATTTCACGATAATCTAGACATTTCTATTACAAATACCATTTATATATAAGTAACTTATAATTTACTATTAAAATTGAAAAATCACAATTATGTTGATAGAAATATTTCTAATGGCAGTGAATGTATTAAAATAAATTGAACCAAGTTATTATGATGAAGATCTATGATTCTGTGATATTATTCAGTATTATGAATATACTATATAAAGTGGAAATAAAGTGGCATTTTGTTCTATTTAATATCCACACTACGATCATTTGTTTTTTAAACATTCTTTCTCTTGAAATTACTTCTTCTGCATTTCAATTTGAACTCATAAGGGACAATGCAACTCATAGAATCAATATCGAGGCAAAACTATCTCTTTTCGTACATGATTTAATATAAAAGCATTGCACCGATGAGAGTTTCATTTAAAACGTAGAAGAAATTAAATTAATTGAATTTACCGGAAAAAGCAGGGAAAGGTGGGGCAAAATGGATCTGTGGGGCAATTTTAATTACTTTAATCTGATATATTTTTTTATTTGCAAAATATCGAGGAGTTTTGTATTTAAAAAAAATAGTTTTTTCAAAGTATTTCCATACTTCAACTTCATTTCAAAAAATAAAATTTGATTTCTCATTATTAATCTCTTTCCTGCACCAATAAATAACTTGTATATTATATTTGTAATTGATTTTTTTTAGATTCAAAATTAACGTTAACTTTGTATTGATGATTTATACTTTACGTTGTTAAAGTTATTTTCATCTTACACTTGATATTGACATATTAATTTATATTTAATATTGAAATATTTATTTATATTCAATTTTAACAATTAATTTATAATTTATATTTTTATTGAGCGCTTTATATATTAAATATTAGAGAGATATTTCGTCTTTACAAAAAGTGAGTATGTCGAAAAAACGAAAATTAAAAATGGTCAACAACCAAGTTTGAAATTGTTGTTTAATTCAAATCAGTTTTACAAAATGAACGTAGGTTATAAGAATATTGTGAACGTGCGTGTGATTGTAGTGATATATTTAAAAAAGAGTGCACTCATAGCTTAAGGTAAAAGGACGGAGCTGTTCAGAACATTTTTTAAAACATTTTCCCACAGCTTTACTCTTTTATTCATTAAAGTAAATACTCAGTAATAGATTAACTTTACATTGTTTAATTCAATGAATTAATTTAATAACTTTAAACCAACAACGAGGAAATTCAATTTAATTAATCAGCAATGAAAAGATTTAATCATTCTACTAAATAATTTATTATTTAAAAAGAAAACTATTAAATTGAGTAGAAAATTGTTAATTTGGCGTTGGAAAAAATATACTTGTCTTTGTGAGAATTCCAAATTGTTTCTTGGAGTAAACAAATTCACAACAGAGTCCTTAACATGTTCCGTTTTGCTCTATCTTTTTCTGCTGTGCAAGTTGGTTGAACGGGTTAGTAGAATAGATTGTTGTTGTGTTTTATTAGGTGAGAAGTGACTGCAAGCTACCAGTTCTGTATCTCATCGATTCAATAGTCAAAAATGTCAAAGGAAATTATCTAGGCCTATTCTCTCAAAATATTGTCAATACATTCTCCAACGTTTTTGAAGAGGTAAATCACATTTTAAAACTTATGTATAAATTAAATTATATTTTATATTAATTAAAAGAAGAAAAAAAATTGTAAGAAAGGAAATTGTTGATTATATTAAAGAAAAGTTTCTTTGAGTAGTATAATTGAATTTATTAATGACAAAGAATAAATATTATTGCGATAAACTACAAGATATTTACGCGAAAAGATAACAGTACGTTTTCAAGAAAAACTATAAGATAATCGTGTGATCGAACGAGGTCACTGACTTGAACTTATGCTCATGTAAAGCACATCTTGAGTTATTAAATTATTGGTAATCAACCTTCATTTCAATATCTTATGCCTAACATCGATAGCTATTAGAATATTTAACAGGGTTGCTACTGGTATTAAAAACGAGGAAAATACCCGTAATACCGAAAAAAGAAAACTTCAACTTCAATTTCCTTGAAAGTTCAATTTTTATTCTTAATTTTGTCTAATTGTTTTTTTGCTTTTTTTTTAGTTTTTCATCCATTAAATTTTTTTACTATTATTATTTCAGTTTGATCTCTAAATAATATTAATGATTTTCGCTTTTAATAATTAATAAATTGATTTTAAAAGAGAAGAAATAAATATTTCTGTTTTTATTTAGGTTGATGAAGCAACAAGGGCGAGTATGTTTAAATTACGTCAGACGTGGTACAATGTTTTTCCAGCAAAGAAATTGTATTTATTAGATGTTAGAGTACATGGCGTTGATCCAGCTTGGCCAATTCGTCCGTTGCCTTCGAATATATCAGCTTCGGGTTCGATCCACGTCAACCCTAAATTTTTCTCAGTGGTGAGATAACATATTATCAACTAATTTAAGAGAATAACTGACGAAAAATATCCTGCCTTTTATTATTTTGTATTATTCATGTTTTAGAGAGGTAAAAGTTTAATAAAAATTTATTATTTACAGTCGAGACAAAATTCGGGTGCTCCTAGTGCTCCTGTTTCTTCATCCAATTTATCGTTAACCAATAATTCATTATCAAGTGAGGCTGCAATGAGAGAGCAACTTCTAAAAAAAGAGCGTGAACTCTTGGAATTACAAAAGAAAAAAATTGAACTAGAATTACTTCAAGCAAAAGCTAGTTTAGAACAACAGCAAAGGCAATTATACAAACAAGTCGTCAACATGAAGACTGATCAGGTAAGCAACATATTTACTTGACCTTTAAATACCAGTAAACGTCTCTCAATCTTTCAAGCAGGGTTTCACTACTATACATTTTATAAAAATGTTGATTCCTCAAGCAAAACTTGGTTTTTTAAAACTGAAATTTGTACTATTATTATTATTAACAATTTGTTACCTTTAATAAATTTTAAATAATAAAAATAAAATTATTAATTGAATTATTCTCTAGACTGTGATGCCAACACTTGCAGCTTCATCAGCAGAAAGCAATTTAGAAAAATCCAATTCACCTAGTCAAGCACCAAATAAATCTTCTAAACAGGTTATAAAATTTTTATATTTTCTATAAAATTAACAAGTTTATTAGAGGAAGAAAATATTTTTTTGTATTTAATAAGGTAATTAATTTTATTATTATTATTATTTTGAACAGTTTCCAACGGCAACAGCGACTCTTTTGAAAAAAGCTTCTGCAGCAAGCAATGGTCCGCGGATAGCACCAGCCAGTAGTATCGCAGTGGCATCTGCGAAGCCTGTATCACGTGATCCGAGATTAAAGGTTGCGACAGTGGAACCAGAACAGCAAGATATTGCCCACGCGGATCCTCGTCTTCGGCCAGGGAATAGTAATGAGGAGGAAATTTGCGAGGAGGATAAAACACAAACAACGACACCTATAACCAGCACTGTACTTTCAGAGCAACTTGAGCAGCAGTTAATTTTAAAACAGGCTGTGACTAGCACTGACAAGAAACCTCCGTCGCTTGATGACGGCTCCAGTATGTCAAATTTAATCGTTAGTAGTAACAATAATGCTAATGCAAACCTCAACAATAACAATAAAAATTCCAGTGGTAATGCAAATAAAGATGCTGTCTCGCATCGAAAAAGTCAAAAAAAAGAACCCCGCTCGTCTAGTAATAGTAGCAGTAACAATAACTCAACTGTAAACAGTTTGAAAGTAATGCAAAGTCAATCGATTAATAACAGTAGTTCTTGTTCGGTTTTGTCAGCGAGTATTCGAGGAGGCGGAGGAAGCGAGTCCAAGTCAAAGGACTCTAAAAGTCCTAGTAAACGAAGCTCTTTAACGTCCGACAGTGCCTCATCCTTCGCCTCTTCCAAATCCTCGCACAGAAAAGTTGGATCGAAATCTCGATCCAAGCAGCCTCATTCTTCGCCGAGCAAGGTTCAAAAAATTGATAGAGATCAAAGTCCAGTTAGGTCAAAGTCGCGCGAAAAAGAAAATGAGGATAGTTCCTCGTCCTCGCGTGCCTCTCCCCAATCCTCATCCCAATCATCCAAGAGTCGTAAGAAGACATCGTCCAAATCCAGAAAGCGTAGTCCAAGTCCTTATCGAATTCCGAGACGTAATGAACTTAAATCCACTACAAGTTTGAGTAATTCCGGAGGCGGCCTCACCGAGGAGGAACAGTCAGGTTCGTTAATAGTGTCACCTCCACATCCGCCTGCATTTAAAGAAATCAGACCCGCAGCTAGGCAAAGAAACTACATTAGACGCAACAAGGACGGCAGTCTCAGCCCGGAACCATCGGCCACTAGTCCAGCAAGCAATCAACTTCTCTCTGAATCTCTCCTGGAGTCATCGACTAAAGATGAAGATCTTAGAGCTTCTCTTCTAATACCAGTTGCCACAACTACTTCCAGCCTGGCTGAAAAGAGTGAGTATCGTCTTTCTCCAAAGACATCATCGACTAATATTTATATTACCTTCTTCGTAGATTCGTATATCTAAAAATGAAAAAAAAATAGTACATCGTGTCAAGGAAGGCGAACAAAAGTAATAAACGAAAATTGACACTTTCCCAATTCCACGACATATTCCATTCACATTCCTCGAATATTCCTCAAAAAAGCATTATAAACGCTATTGTTAACATTGTTTTTGGGGTCTCTGAATACGAATCTGACAGATTTTTAAAATTTACGAATTCAATATGGCCAACAAAAAAACTTTTGATACAGCTATTTCCGAATAAAAATAAAGTGTTGAAATGCGTCGATGACTGGAGTTCGCCTTTCTTGCTTTTTTAAAAGCAAACATTAAAATTCAGTACAAGCAAAATGTTAAGTATTCGGGATTAGATTAACTATTTGACTAATACAATTTTAGAGATTTTTCGATCAAACATTAGCAAAAAGTTACAAACCGTTATAGTTATAAACCATATTTTTGAAAGTTCACTTTTTACTATCTCATTGCGAGATGGTATTGTATTTTTTATTAAATTATTTTATAATTAACAATTTTTTATTTAGTTTATGATTATTAGTTTCTTTACAGAAATTGAATAAATTATCAAATGTTTCTTGGGGAATTTTTCATTTGCTTGCTAGAACATTTCTTTTTTTATAGGTACTTTCAAAAAATTAAAAATTGAAAAATTATTTATTTTCACAAAAAATATTAAAAACCACGAAAAAATATTTTTTTATTATCGTTATAGTTAATTAAAGTATACAAAGATTAGTTGCAAATTTATTTATTTTGTTGATCATAAATTTATGTTCATGATTAAGACATTTTAGTTGAAAATAATTTAAAGGTAGTTTTTTTTAATTAAAATTAAGAAATATGAAAATATATTTATTAAGAAGAGGTAGTTGAAACATATTACGTAAGCATATTTTATCATTTTTTCTACTCTCCTCCTTTTTATCCTTCAACATTATGTAAGATATTATTTTCCAACGTTCCTTTCTTTAAAAATTAATTTGATAAACTAATTAAATTATTTTTCAAGTATTAATTTTCATGAGAAAAATATTAATTTTTTAATTTCCACGTCTTAGTACAAGAAACCAATTACGTTTACGTTTCTTCTTTCCACAAACAGTCTATAATTCCGCTCGTTATTCTTTCTTTTTCATATAAAAATGAATGAAAATAATTAAAATTATCAACAAAAAAATTACAAATAAAAATACACTTTTAAAAAAGATGAATTTTGTTTTTAAATATTGAATGTTTCAGAAACACTGTTAAAAATAACTATTATTTATGGAATTTTTATTTCTTTATTTTTATTTTTGCATGCAATATTTTCAAAAGAACATTTTGAAAAAACTTATTCCAATCTTTACGTTATAAAACTAAATTATTGTTTTTTAAATGTAAAAATGTCTTTGTTATATTCATGTGCTTTTATTAATTCGTGTACGTCCATATAAAAAAGGAAGTGTCAAATTTATTTTAGAAGTTGTGAACGTTTTAGTAAGGTAAGTTTTAAAAATTCTTGATGTTTGGTATTCAGAAAGGAACTAAATATATCTTGAATTGTCTAATTATGCGATTCGCTTAAAATACACTTACAGTTAGTCTATTTTCAAGAGAAATGTATTTTGATTAATTTAACTATTGAAAATTTGTTAGTACAAGTTGTAGAAAGCAAGTGGATTCAAATCTTTTTTCAAAGGTGAGTAATATTTTTAGGAATAAATGCACTTTCATTTTCAAATTACACATCGTGTACCCTTTTCATATGGACCTACACATTTAATAATGAAATTTAAGAAATAAAAATTATTCTTATATGTCAATAATTTTTAGTATGTATGATCTAGTATTTGGCAAAGCTGATAATCTATTGATGAACGTCCAGATGGGTAACTGAAATAATAACTTTTCTCGACTGTTCTCGATTAAATATAATTTATTTAATCGTTTCATTGCTTTCCCGTAGAGGTTGTTTTGTAATTAATGTATTTTATTTATTTAACGATAAAATTATATTAATCAAGAAAATTTTTGTGTGTTCTCTTTATTTATGTGATTTTGTTCTTTTGCAGAAGAAGATTTAGATCTCCGATTATTACCTCCCGTTAATGCGAATAAAAGACAAAGTTCCGAGCACGAGGAGCCAACTGTTACTAAAAAAAGCAAACTGGAAAAATTCGATGCGTAAGTATAGTATATTAATGAAAATGTAATTCAAAAAACTTGAACATTGAGTTTGAATTTTTGAAAAAATAAAATACAATAAAATTATTAAAATTGCAGATTGTTTGGGAATGAAGATGTTGATTTACGAATGCTGACTAATCCGAATGCGGGACGACCTCCGACACCACCGCCACCAGTTATTTCTGGTGAAGAAGGTAAAGACAGTTGGGCCAAGTTGAAAACACCTTCGAAAAGCAATGACCGGGACAAGTCTGAGAAAAGTACCTCTGAAGAAAAACGTGATCGTGATCGAGTTAGGGATCCTCTCGGGAGACCGAGACTATACAACAAAGTTGCTGAAGATCCTAAAGAGCGGCGTAGAATTCTCAACAATGAGGATCAAGATCCAAGGTTTACACGTCGTGGTCGGGACACGGACAAACACGAAAGAAATTCTGACAGAAATATCGAAATCATTCTGAAACAAGCGGCAGAACAATTGAGCCAAGGCGCGATCTCAAAGGCTGACTACAATAAATTGATACAGGAAGTACTTCATATGACTGAACTTGAAAAATTGAAAGTGGCCCAGCGTCAGGACAAGGAAGCGGGATCCATGGTCTGGGAAAAGGGATCCACTATGGACATGAAGAGTAGAATGGGTAATTTTTCTATGAAAGACGGCGATCATCACAGAAAGGAATACCAGATGGGAAGAAACGATGGTCCAAGGTGGCAACAACCTTGGCAACGTCCAGCCTGGGGCCATCCACCAGGTCCGCCCTTTGGAGGACCACAAAATCACTTCAATCCTGATTTTAGAATTAAGGGACCTTGGCAAAATGCAAGGCACTTTGGACCGATGAGACCAGATTTCAATCAATTCCATGGTAACTTCAATCCCAATATGGGTCCTCGAATGGGACCAGGAATGATGGGTCACATGGGCCCGAATGGACCAATTATGTCCAATATGATGGGACCCAATGGACCACTTGGACCGATGGGCATGGGCAATACCTCTTTGCCAATGTCTGGCATGGGTTCGATGATGATGAATGGACCTTTGGGGAAAATGATGCATCCCAACGTGCCCTCAATGGGACCACCAGTTCAAAATTCCTCGCCTACCTCAACGCCAAAATACGAACAAGAAGAGAACGAGGCAGAATCTAATGGGCCCGTAAATAAAAATTCTGCTTTCAACTGCGAACTGCCAACGCCGGATCAGAAACTGCTCGATGAGATTTCTCACGATGTTATGAGGTCCATTAAAATTGACAATATTGAAAGAGAAATTAGGTATTACGGTCAGACTGCTGTTGTTTTTTTGAGTTGGGACGATCCAAGGGAGATTGGATTCCAGGATGGAGTGAGAAGAGTTCTAATCGACGGCAAAGAAACGATCATGTGCGCTTTCAACGAACCTTACCAAGAATTCCGCTATAAGGAAAAGGTGCACAGGATCAAACTTGGAGGACCAACGAGGGAGTTGTACGTTGACGATAGATGGTACGAGTGTTACTTTGGTGGCCCTCCAATCTCAATAAATCTTGATGGTAAAATGGTGAGTGTTAAGCTGGAAGGACCGTCGCCTCAGGTGAAAATCGGTTCGGTTAAACGAACTGACTTAGTGGTAGGAAAAATAAATCTCATCATCAATGCAAAGGATATGGTGCCCGTGTTTTTGGATGCGAAACCACAGAATATTAAAATCGAGAGCAAATCACACACTTTGGAATTTATTGACTCTTTGAAAACTGTTTTGCTCAACGGTCAACCGTTCAAAGTTGAATTCGGAGACTTACCGAAGCCAATAATCGTCGGGGGTAAGAAACATTTCATTAGATTTTCGGTACTGCCGCGAGGCGTCCGCGCTGGTCACGTCAAGATTGATGGTATGAGGGGAGAAGGTCCTATCGAATCGCCTCCTTCTTCGCCAAAAGTCAGTCCAAATACGAGCATCGAAAGTACAACGCCCGCTTCAACAACACAGCCTTCTACCACTGAGCATGATTCTACATCTCAAGACGGATCCGATTTCCCATCAACGAATCCCAATCCGAATTTGCAACTGGATATGTTGTCCTCGGTCTTACCATCAGCAATGGCACCTTCATCTGGACTTTCGTATCAAGCCGAACCGGCGGAAAATCCTCCAACACAGGCACCTGTTTTGAATTTGAATATGGATGAATTGTTCCAGAGGCTAGTGGAGACTGGAATTGTTGCTAATCTTTCAGAACCAAAGAAACAGGAGGAACCGGAAAAGGAAAAACCGGAAATTATACCAGTTTCGTTCGATGATGATAAGACGTTAAAGGTAAAGCAACCTGCGGTTATTGGATTATTGTACAATGGGATGCAGTGTAGCTCTTGCGGTTTGAGGTACGCAACACCGGAACTCACATCCAGGTACAGTCTTCATTTAGACTGGCATTTTCGACAAAATCGGAAAGGAAAAGATTCACAAAGAAAGGCACATTCCCGAACGTTTTATTACGATCTTTGCGATTGGACACAATACGAAGAAGTCGAAGATTTGGAAGATAGAGGTAAGTTATCGTTAATCATTTTTATTCTTCCATTAGAATTAGCTTTCGTAAAATTAATAACAATATAAATTGTTTACATGTTTTTCAGCACAAAGTTGGTTTGAAACGGAGAAACAGACAACGGAAGTGGAAAATGCTGTTACCGAAGATGTACCGGAAGAAGCTGATCAACCAAGTGTTCCTACTGGTTCAGCAACAGAACTTCGGTGCCACGTTTGTCACGATGAATTTAAGCAATTTTATAATGAAGAAATGGAGGAATGGCACATTAAACCTGCAGTCGTCTTTGAAGGCAATAACTTCCATCCCTTTTGCCTTGAGGACCATAAAGTAAGTCATAGTATCTGAAATTTATTTTTTTACAATCTATTCTCTTCATTTAAATACTTATATATTTAAAATATTCTTTGTTGCATTCCTGCGAAATAGGAAAAGCTCCTTGTGGTATGTGCTTTTGAATTTGCTTCTAAATTGCAGTCATTTATTTTTTGCATTTATTATTGTTTGGTGTTTACCTTCTTACTCAATTATTTTAAAAATTTTTTATTTTAATTTCTTAATTATTGTTGATTTTGATAGGGTAGAAGAACTAATTGTCGATTTTCAAAGCTTATTTATGACTAAAAATCAGAGAGATATTAGAATAAAGTGCGCAAAAAGCATCTTCTTTCCATATAATAGACTAGACACTCAGCCATTGGAACCGCCTCGATAATTGTTTCCTTTACCCTACTGATGTTTAATGTTTAAAAGATCAGAAGGAACATTTTGTCTTTAAACTACTTCTTTAATTTTTGCAATATTGTCTTTTGCTGAACGTAATTTCCATTTTGATTTTAATTTTAATTAAGAAAATATTATAAACAGCATTTTTTTACAAATCCCCTTTTTGTTTTAATTTTTTTTAATTAAATTCTTAACTATTTGTTCTTTTTGAAATTGATTGAGTGGTTACTTAATTTTTTAATTATATTGGATCGACAATTTATTCAACTGGTTATTTTACAACAAAAAAATATATCTTTTTAGGGTAAACAGTACCGAGGGTGGATCAAAGGGCTCCCAAGAAGGGTTGACGGGTTTTAGTGGGTCGGGGCTGGTAGTAGTTCGCCAGCTTATTTTTGTTTATTGTTCTCCTTTTTTTTTACCAACCCCACATAACCTTGGCATGCGGAAGCCAAGGTATCTGTATACAGATTTTCCCAATAGTCCCTAAGCAAAAAAAAAAAAAAAAAAAAAAAAAAAAAAAAAAATAGTACAATTTTATTAATTAAAAAAAAATATCACAGACGTTGTCCTAGTCTTTCGTTTGGAAATAATAATACTAAAATAATAATAAAAAAATACTTTTAATAATTACAGCGGGCTTTAGAAAAATCGGCAGAGGCACTTGAAGCCCTAGTTGCAATGGAAGAAAATAAGGAATTAAGTTCCGAAACAGAAGAAAATATTGTTGAAGGGGAAGAAGTAAGAACTGAGGAAGATGTAGTTGTGGAACCAGAAGTGACGGAAGAAAATAAAGAGGACTTAGAAATAGAAGAAATCAAGACTGATCAATTAGAAAATGTGAAATCTACAGTGGAAGTCGAAGACACAGGTGTAGAATCTGATCCGGAAATTGAAGTTACGGAACCACCTCCAGCTCCTGTTATCGAGCAAATCGATCTTGAAGCAGATGAAAACGAAGGCGAAAAAAATCTCGATAACGAAGAACCTGTAATCGAAAAAGAGAAACTGGTGGAGGACGACATACAAGTTGAACGAGAGTCTTTCGAGAATATCAAAATTAAGGAGGAGCCTTTAGATGAACCTGAAATTACTAATGATACAGAATTTAATTTTGCTAATGTGGAAATAAAAGAGGAGCCAATTGAAGTTGAACCAGGTAAGCTTTCCAAATACATTTGTCTTTTTTTATTTTGAAAAATAATAGGGATATTTATTGAGAATTTGTAAATAATTTAATTTAGTTTTAATATTACATTCATCGCAATTAATTAAAAAAAATAGAATGATTTTTCTTATTATTCATGATAATCTATTCTCGCTTAAACCTTAAAGACTATACTGTTTATCTGGAATTTGAATTAATTAAATTTTTAAAATTCATTTTTAGATATTTGTCATTTGTAATAAAAATGTTCCATATAATTTTTGTCAGTCATGATAATTTAAAGGTGACATCAATTTTTTAAAATTTAATTAATCATAATTTTATAATAATGTTACATTTAAATTACAGAAGCTGTGCCTGAAATAATCGAACCAACTGAAGTGGATACGACACATGCTGCAGTGAAGTCCTCCATCGATGGTAATGTCGAGCTTGATTCAGCGCCTTCAACAATTCCAACTGCCCCGTCAAAAATCAAAATAAATATCACAAAACCTTTAGCAACCAATAAAGAACCAGAAGAACAAAAAGAGCAAAAAGAGCAAAAAGATAGTTCTGTTCCTGAAATTTCAGAAGTGGAGAATACCAGTCCTTTAATACCAGCCTCCATAAAGCCTTATATCAAATCCAGACAACTTCAAGTTTTTCCGCCGGTGGAAAAAGGTGAAGAGATGTCTGGACTGTGCACTATCATGTAAAAAAATAGAGAACAAAATGATCATTTGCATAAACGTAAGTATTCGTGAATTGATTAATTACGGATCAGATTTTTCAACCAGTGCTGTCATGACATGATGTAAGTGAGCGAACATTAGCATTTCTAAAATTGATTCTTTTTTTTCATTATTTTATTTATAAATTATTGCAAATACTTAAAAAGTTCGCAAGCCAAACATGAAATTCTAATTCAAATACTGTGATTTTATTAAAATATAAAATCGTGATTCTCTGACTTTTTTTTAATGCAATGTTTCGTTCTCATTATATCGTGTCATTTATACGAGGATTTTGTTAAGTTACTGAAAATGGACGTAGATCAAATGAATTTTAACGAAAGAAAGAATGTGTGTTTCTGTGTGAAAGGAGAGGTATGATACTGTATATAAATAATTTAATTCAGGACCCAGGGGAGATGAATTTCCGATTCTTACAATTGCTATCATCTCTGAGTCTTGAATTCGCTGTATAGTTTTTTTTGTAATAAGTGATTTTAAGATAGTGCGCGAAGATATTAGTTGCATTTTTTCGATAATGCGTATCGAGAAAGAAGCAAATGCATAATAGAGAAGATTTCATACGATTTGTACTTTACGATGGAAAGTAAATTGTGCGATAACTTTTACGATCTTTTCTTTAAACAAAAGCAAATTATTACTTATTCCTTTTTGTCAGTATTGAATGAAATGCGAAAATGCTCGCGGTACATCACGATGAAAAGAGAAAAGTTTCGTCCTTTTTAGTTAATGCTGTACAAAATGTGTGATATACATTTAAAAACTGTATACATATATAAGTATATATTTATATATATACACCATTCAGAGAAAAACGCTGTTATATGCTGATGGAGCAATTTTTTGAGGAACAAAATATTATTTTCAAGTAAAAAATATGAAAAATTTGTTGAATAATGGGGGTTTGATTATTTTCACTTTTTTCTTATTTATCCCTACATTAATACATAAAATGAATTCATTTTGAATATTTTCGTCATTTGCAATGCGAATTAATATTAAGAATAAAGTTTACCTACTTCAAAATAATTTCAATTTCTTGTTAGATTAATTCTACTAATGTAAGAGTATAATAAACACACATAATATTAAAAAATAAATCATTAAACTAATTTGTACTTGGTGTTAGATTAATTCAAATAAAGTTTAGTTAAGCAATATGGATTTTCTTTTTGACGAACCTTTCCTCATTTAAAAATCTAATAAATTTTTTTACATTGTCTCATCAATTATTATTTATGTTTGCATATGATTAAAAAAAAAAAAGATTTTATTCTAATAATTAATATATTTCTTTATAAAAAAAAGTATTAATTTTAACGCAATAAAAAAAAATAAAAATTAAAAAGTACAAACTTTTTCCAACAGAAAATTTTAAATCTTTCAGTAGACTAATAATATTAAGGCAAAGCATCGAATTCGAATGAAATGATGACAATCGTGAGTTGATGTGACGAAGAAAGCGAAACATTAGTCTCAGATGAAAACTTGCAGATTGAAGTAGAACCTGAAAGCATCGTTTTCGTATAAACGTCAATCACAATGACTGACTATTCACCCTGAGGAGAAGAAAGATAAGTTAAGCTTGTTTTGCTTTTCTATTACTTCTATATTACTTCTATTCTCGTTATAAAGAGAAAATTTTCGCTTCTCCTCACGGTATAAATAAGTCGCTCAATAATAAGTGAATGACGTTCAAATATCATAAGGTAGTCTACATGTGATATGATCGTTTCTACTATCATATCACTGTTGTTGGCCAGGGATAAATCAATAGACAGCAGCCCTAAAAACTTTATTCACAAATTGCAGTTATGTGGCCATCGAGGAAAAGGAATGGTGTCTTTAATGTTAGCAATGCCAAGAACAAATTGTAAATATCTCTCAAAACCCATTCCAAATCCTCCAGTTGGCACGTTACCAAACTTGCGAAGTTCTAAATACCAAGCAAGATTTGGATTTGGTGGCATTTTTAACTGTAATTTTTCATAATTATCTTCACGTAAACTGCCTCCAACTAGTTCTCCAACGTTCGGCACAAGAAGATCCAACGCTTCCACCTTTAAATACCAAGTTGCATTATCATTTTTTTCAAGAAAAAATAAATCGATCCTACCGCAGAAAACAATACTAACAAAGATTTCCGATTTCCACAATTACTTTTGTCAATAAAATAAACTATCATGTCAATTGATTATGCATTACCTTTGAAGAATCATCATCGCATTCACGCATGTAGAAAGGTTTGCCTTGCTTCGGCCAGTTGACAACGAAAATTGGTCCATTGCTGTGATCTACTAAAAATAATTCATGCTCTTTGGATAAAGGATCTCCATATTTCAGAGGAAATGTGAGGCGGTTCCCATGATTCTCCAGAATAGTAACTGCTTCGTCATAAGTAATGTAATTGAATTTTCTATCCAACCAAATAGGTTCAGGAGCTCCCAATTGGCGTACATCATCTGCGCCTTTCTCAATGAGAGCTTTGGTAATATTTTTTACTAAAAGTTCTATTTCCTCAGCCATATCTTTTAGCGATGTAATAAATGCAGTTTCTGTTTCTAGCATATAAAACTCAGACAAGTGTAATCGAGACTTTGAATTTTCAGCCCTGAATGAAGGACCGAAAGTAAAAACCTTGGTAAGTGCCCTGAAAACATCCTACGATTAAATAAGAATTTAATTCTTCATCTCCGCAATGTTAATTTTTAAACAAATTTTTCTAATTAAGATTAAACTACATTCTTCGGCGGTTGAAGAATTGTTGAAAGAATTAGTAATTTCCTCACGCTAATATATACATAATCACCTCGCAGCAGCTTCCAGGTGAAATTGACCAGAAACAGTAAGAAAAGCTTTAGTATTAAAATAACTGCAATCTTCATTAACTCCTTCTCTTTTCATAGAATCTAAAATGTCTTGAGAATCGGGCTTTATAACGAATATTTCTCCTGCTCCTTCACAGTCGTTTGAAGTTATAATTGGAGTGTGAATGTTGATGTATCCTTTGTTTCTAAGGTGATCGCTGACAACCGAAGTAGCGATATCACGTAATCTTAATGTACTAGCAAAAGTTCTTGTTTGTGGTCGAAAATGTAAAAATTCCCGCACATATTCACTAGAATACACTTTTCTTGGAGAAAATGGATATCCATCAGTTACCACGCACTTGCCAATGATATTAATGTCATCTGCGCGTAATTCCATTTTACCATTAGGAGAAACTGATAACTCACCTTTAACAGTAATACTACTACCATAAGTCAAATCTGATGTTTTATGCTTGGATTTATCTACTGCAATTTGTAAAAATCTTCCAGTCGAACCATCATTTAGGTCTAAGAATACAATATCTTTCATCTTACGAACAGCGCGTATCCAACCCTAAAGAAAAGTTTCAAAAATATACTGACAAATATACAACCCAAAGGACTATGAAATTAGAAGAATAGTTCTGGATGGGAAAAGAGGCAAATGAGAACTTTTGTGTAAAACATTTCATCACAGATTCCTCACAATCTAAATCGAATATATATTTTTATTTTAAATTAGAATTTTCAAATGAAATTCAGCTAAACGAATAAAATTGAATACATGTATTTTGTTAATATTATGGCCTTGTTTTCTGAAGAGATTATTAATCCTAGAAACATTATTTTTCTTAAATAAAAATAAATATGTTAGTGTTTATCATATTCATTGCTATTCTAAAGCAAATATTTCAATTATTTTATATGACCATAAGTTAATTTATTTAGGTCATATTTGATAGGTTAATTATTTTCAAACTCTTTCATTCTGTTCTTATTTAAAATATAATTACATTTTTCAAAAATTTTAAACATGTATATAAATGAGGAAACTGTTTAATATTGTAAAACGTCTAAAATTCCTGAAGTTACATCATCTCCCAATTTTTTTTTCTGTTTATGTCAAAATATTATTTTCAATACATTATTTTATCGTTTTTATTATCAAGAATTTTTTGTTATTTAAAAAGAAAACAAATTAAGGAATTAAATAGTATTTGGCTTTAAAATGTAAAACAAGTAAATTCAATTAAATCCTACAATTTCTGTTTTTAAAAGATTTTCAGATTTTAGAAAGACAATATATGATCTAACCTGTACTTTGATATGCTTTCCGACTGCATTTTCTAAATAAGTTTCGGAAACATTAGCAAAATGATGTATAAAAGAAATTGAAGCACTTGGTTTTAATAAAAATATCTTTGATAAGTGATTTAATACCATGATAAATTACTTCTTAAAAAGTTGTTTCAGAACAATTCAGAAACGAAAAAACAGATAATGGCTGAACAGGACTAGCAAACCGGAAGTCATCATGGATTGAAAAAATCGATAGACTCTGACTTGTCCAGGGTCTTTAAGCTACTTCTGCAACAACTTTTTTTCATTGACAAATGCAGTCCAAACCATGCGCGCGCATCTTTTTAAGGGTGAAATCATAAGGGTGATTTCACCCTAAGCTCGGTTTGTTTTCATTGTCCCCTATTAGGAACGGTGGTCTAGTAATAATCTAATAACTTTGACCCATTCTCTCTCTCCATTTTGTTTTTTCTACCAATTTATGTTACGAGCCGAGTTACCTTTTATTACGCAACTCTAAAAATGTAATATGATTGGCCGGATTCTCTTTAGTTAAATCCTTTAAGAAGGAAGCGGGAAGGTTTAAATAAAAGATTATTAATTTCCGATACAACGGAAGGGAAACCCGTTCAAGGAAGAATAATTATTAGTTCTTCCTTCGAAGGTAAAACCCTGTAAATTTATTAATATAATATTTACAAAGCTGACTAAGGAGTTTAGAAAACAACCTTTCAAGTCAGAGTCAAGATTAGAACTAACTTAGAGAGTTTTTGGTCCAGCGGAGTCGCTCTCCGCTTTTGGTCCATTTTGAGTTTGTGCGCATGCTTCACTATGGAGCGTATTCGCTACTCCTATACGTGTATCACTTCACTAACACTTATCACATAGTTCTTAAGTGTTACTTATACGTTCACACATACATAAGAGAGATTATACTTATTCTCTCCCATCATACAACATACTATTTATTAAAATATAATAAACATTAATCATCACAACATTATATGGTTAATCCATAATTATATTATTATAATATAATTATAACAATATTAAATTATAATATTCTGATAGTCAATTATTAATTAATTAACAATATTAATAACGCTTACATACAAATGTGTAAATATACTAAAACATGTGCATAAACAATTATTTAATTATTTATTGCTTTCTAATACAAAGCATTTCCGTTGTAGACTTTCGTTTATTGTTTAGCCCGTACGCGACTTTTCTATTGAAGGTAATAAAAGTCCGTGTCTGGTCAACATGTGTTTAGTGTCCCTTTTTTTTATGGAAAGGATCACATTTTTTCAAGTGGTTTTTATGACGTTCTAGGATTACATTTTAGAATTGAAATAAGAGGAAATATGTGAATATATTTTCTCTTATTTATTTGTACTGATTTACGACATTTCTCTTTTAATCTTTTATGTTGCTAAAAGAAATACGATATTGAAATAAACTTAAAAGTTCAACAGAAATACTTTAGAATTAGTCATGCTATTTCCTTTATGTGAAAACTCTATTTTATTTATTATGAGAAAATGTTAAGAGTATTATAAAATGTTTTATAATGACACTTATTTTAGGTTATTTAAATCGTAACTTTAATCATATCGTATCGTTCATTCGATACCTCGAAATGATTCGAGCGAGAATATAGTCGCTCGTTACACTTTCCCCCTTACGGAAATTTTCGCTAGAAAATTGAAAAATAAGAATAGTACAGATTGTCAAAATTTATTGATTAATTACAAAAAAATTTTATTGTAAGAAAAGTAGAATTAATGAAACAATAGTTATACAATTTTCTGAGCAAGGTATAGTTGATCAGCTATCACTCTCCCCCCTAAGAGAATGAAAAATTATATTTCAATTCATTAATTACACTCAACAATAATTTGACACTATGTATTGTTTAAAAATCTTTACTTTGTTTTAGAAATATTTCCAAATTCAAGATAACTATTATTTTCCTCGTCAAAAATAATATTATCATAATTTATTTGTTAATTTAATATTGTTAGAAATATTTCCAAATTCAAGATAACTATTATTTTCCTCGTCAAAAATAATATTATCATAATTTATTTGTTAATTTAATATGGAAAGAAATATTTCCAAATTCAAGATAACTATTATTTTCCTCGTCAAAAATAATATTATCATAATTTATTTGTTAATTTAATATGGAAAGAAATATTTCCAAATTCAAGATAACTATTATTTTCCTCGTTAAAATAATATTATCATAATTTGTTTGTTAATTTCATATGGAATCTCACCACTACAAGGATCTCAATATCCAGCATGGTTGAAATTGGTGCACAAACCATTCGGTTCTATTTACAATTTCGTGGCTGCAGTCCACCTTACGATCTCATATTAATAATCATATCGCAATTTACGATTTCGCAGATTATCAATCTCACATCGCAAGTAATTTGATTATCCTCGATAATCTCCATGCTTGTGGTCTGGAAATGTCCATTACAAATGACTTTGTTTAATTTTTTCTGATTCGCTATCACCGTTACCCCAGTGAATGTCTAGAAAAACTGCCTCAATTAAGTAAACTCTTTCAAAATCGTCCAAGGAATTTTGTGGATGAACAGGTGTACAGTTCACCTTGTTCAGAGGTTTAGGATAAATATCGTCATTTTAATGTTATGTAATTAGTGATACCTCGCAGAATTTCTCACACATTTCACCTCCTTAGTCAGCTTTGTAAATATTATATTAATAAATTTACAGGGTTTTACCTTCGAAGGAAGAACTAATAATTATTCTTCCTTGAACGGGTTTCCCTTCCGTTGTATCGGAAATTAATAATCTTTTATTTAAACCTTCCCGCTTCCTTCTTAAAGGATTTAACTAAAGAGAATCCGGCCAATCATATTACATTTTTAGAGTTGCGTAATAAAAGGTAACTCGGCTCGTAACATAAATTGGGGGCTCGTTACCGGCCTTTAGTGCGGGAATTTGAATAAGTGACAGTTTTATGACCTAAAACTACAAACATTATTTGAAAACAAAAAATTCAAAGTGACAGTTTTATAACATAAAATTATAAATTTTATTTGAATAAAAACTTTTATTCAAAGTGAATAATAAACTAAAAGTGGAAAAGAAAATATAATCTTTTGAGTTCCTGAAGTTCCTGAATAAATAAATGTTCCTGATTTCCTGGCGAGCAGTATAAGTTCCTGAATAAATAAATGTTCCTGATTTCCTGGCGAGCAGTATAAGTTCCTGAATAAATAAATGTTGCTGATTTCCTGAAGAGCAGTATAAGTTCCTGAGATCCTGTGTTCCTGAAAGCTGTAACCTGCTGTTCAACTGCTAATAGTGTTGTGTTGTGCGGTAGTGAATCCTCATAGAGGAATAAAGGGTCATTTCCGAAAATTTTATTGAAATCTTATTTAAATTCAGTGTAGTGAAATAGAATATCTACAAAAGGTTTGTTTAGATATTAGCTATATGAATGACTGCTAAATTGTAAAAGATTTTTCCTTGATGATTAATTTATTTCATTTAAGATTAAATTTAAATATTATTCTAATATTGAAATTTGCGAATGTTTTGAATAAATTAATTGGAATAATTAATTATTTTGAATAGTTTTGAAATTAATTATTGGAATTGTTTTGCTTTATTTTAATAAATTAAAATGTCTGAAAGTCAACAAGGAAATAATCTTCATCCCCATATGGAAGATATGGAGGAAGAATATGCGAATGATGAAATGAATGATGAATTACAATACGATGATATTGTAAATTATGAAAACCATTTGAATACCTATGATTACCAACAATCTCAAGGATTAATGAATCGCATTAATCCAAATGATCTTTTGCAAATAGCTGATATAGTAGGTCAGCATTTACAAAATAAAAGAAATTTAAATCCTTCGGAATCATCAACGTCAAAATCGCACCCTCCTTCTATTGCGGAAATAAATTCAGAAAGGTCGGGTCAATTTATTAATAATAATATTTCATCCTTGAAAAATTTTGTTGAATTGATACCAGAATTTGATGGAGAAAATATTCCGGTTCAAAAATTTATTCAAGAATGTTCGTATTTGGTAGAAAATACAAGTTCTCAAATGCAACCTTTTCTTTTAAAATTCGTATTAAAGAAAATTACGGGCAAGGCTGCAGAGTTTATTTTACACTCTCAAGTTGATACACTTGGAGAACTTTTAGTAGAACTAGAAAAATCATTTTCTTTTTCAGATGATTATGGAACGATTTTAGGTGAAATCACCAATTTGCAACAAGGTGATAACGAATCGGTAATCGACTACGCGGCAAAAGCACGTAAATTACTTTTTAAGCTGTCTCAGCTTTCGCGAAAAGATATTTCACATCAATATTTACAATTAAAATTAACTGAAAATGATAAACTAATAACAAAATATTTTACTCAAGGACTTCTTCCTAATATTGAATTTCGCGTTAACCTACGTCTTCCGATTAATCTTCAAGAAGCAATAACGATTGCATTAGAACAAGAAAAATATGTTTCCAATGTACGTAAACGTAGCGCTCCTTCAAACGAAATAGAAATAAATAATTCTAATCGCGAAGCAAAAAAATCGAAAACGGTTAATAAAATTGATAATAATCGTAAAAACAAATATTGTTTTACTTGCGGGAAAATTGGACATAATTCGCGGAATTGCCCAGATCGCGCGGAACCAGAATCATCCGACAATGATCAATCAGAAAACAATGATGAAGATGATAATAACGAGAAAAACGGTAACGGAAATTCATCGAAAAGTAACGATCCTAAACCGGAATGCGATTTTTGTAAACAGAGAGGTCACTCTACTGAAAATTGCTTTGTAAGAATATTAAAAAGTTTAGAATCAAGATCCGTATGCGCGATTTCAAATTCTCAAATTATATAAAACGAAAAATCAAAATTAAAGGTTACTCCGATGGCGTCATCGTTTGAGTAAATATAATCACGAAATAGAGTAAATTAAATTAATTTTTGTGCTGATTCGTTGTAGTGTGATCCTTGTGAAATGTGTGAGAAATTCTGCGAGGTATCACTAATTACATAACATTAAAATGACGATATTTATCCTAAACCTCTGAACAAGGTGAACTGTACACCTGTTCATCCACAAAATTCCTTGGACGATTTTGAAAGAGTTTACTTAATTGAGGCAGTTTTTCTAGACATTCACTGGGGTAACGGTGATAGCGAATCAGAAAAAATTAAACAAAGTCATTTGTAATGGACATTTCCAGACCACAAGCATGGAGATTATCGAGGATAATCAAATTACTTGCGATGTGAGATTGATAATCTGCGAAATCGTAAATTGCGATATGATTATTAATATGAGATCGTAAGGTGGACTGCAGCCACGAAATTGTAAATAGAACCGAATGGTTTGTGCACCAATTTCAACCATGCTGGATATTGAGATCCTTGTAGTGGTGAGATTCCATATGAAATTAACAAACAAATTATGATAATATTATTTTAACGAGGAAAATAATAGTTATCTTGAATTTGGAAATATTTCTTTCCATATTAAATTAACAAATAAATTATGATAATATTATTTTTGACGAGGAAAATAATAGTTATCTTGAATTTGGAAATATTTCTTTCCATATTAAATTAACAAATAAATTATGATAATATTATTTTTGACGAGGAAAATAATAGTTATCTTGAATTTGGAAATATTTCTTTCCATATTAAATTAACAAATAAATTATGATAATATTATTTTTGACGAGGAAAATAATAGTTATCTTGAATTTGGAAATATTTCTAACAATATTAAATTAACAAATAAATTATGATAATATTATTTTTGACGAGGAAAATAATAGTTATCTTGAATTTGGAAATATTTCTAAAACAAAGTAAAGATTTTTAAACAATACATAGTGTCAAATTATTGTTGAGTGTAATTAATGAATTGAAATATAATTTTTCATTCTCTTAGGGGGGAGAGTGATAGCTGATCAACTATACCTTGCTCAGAAAATTGTATAACTATTGTTTCATTAATTCTACTTTTCTTACAATAAAATTTTTTTGTAATTAATCAATAAATTTTGACAATCTGTACTATTCTTATTTTTCAATTTTCTAGCGAAAATTTCCGTAAGGGGGAAAGTGTAACGAGCGACTATATTCTCGCTCGAATCATTTCGAGGTATCGAATGAACGATACGATATGATTAAAGTTACGATTTAAATAACCTAAAATAAGTGTCATTATAAAACATTTTATAATACTCTTAACATTTTCTCATAATAAATAAAATAGAGTTTTCACATAAAGGAAATAGCATGACTAATTCTAAAGTATTTCTGTTGAACTTTTAAGTTTATTTCAATATCGTATTTCTTTTAGCAACATAAAAGATTAAAAGAGAAATGTCGTAAATCAGTACAAATAAATAAGAGAAAATATATTCACATATTTCCTCTTATTTCAATTCTAAAATGTAATCCTAGAACGTCATAAAAACCACTTGAAAAAATGTGATCCTTTCCATAAAAAAAAGGGACACTAAACACATGTTGACCAGACACGGACTTTTATTACCTTCAATAGAAAAGTCGCGTACGGGCTAAACAATAAACGAAAGTCTACAACGGAAATGCTTTGTATTAGAAAGCAATAAATAATTAAATAATTGTTTATGCACATGTTTTAGTATATTTACACATTTGTATGTAAGCGTTATTAATATTGTTAATTAATTAATAATTGACTATCAGAATATTATAATTTAATATTGTTATAATTATATTATAATAATATAATTATGGATTAACCATATAATGTTGTGATGATTAATGTTTATTATATTTTAATAAATAGTATGTTGTATGATGGGAGAGAATAAGTATAATCTCTCTTATGTATGTGTGAACGTATAAGTAACACTTAAGAACTATGTGATAAGTGTTAGTGAAGTGATACACGTATAGGAGTAGCGAATACGCTCCATAGTGAAGCATGCGCACAAACTCAAAATGGACCAAAAGCGGAGAGCGACTCCGCTGGACCAAAAACTCTCTAAGTTAGTTCTAATCTTGACTCTGACTTGAAAGGTTGTTTTCTAAACTCCTTAGTCAGCTTTGTAAATATTATATTAATAAATTTACAGGGTTTTACCTTCGAAGGAAGAACTAATAATTATTCTTCCTTGAACGGGTTTCCCTTCCGTTGTATCGGAAATTAATAATCTTTTATTTAAACCTTCCCGCTTCCTTCTTAAAGGATTTAACTAAAGAGAATCCGGCCAATCATATTACATTTTTTAAACCTTCCCGCTTCCTTCTTAAAGGATTTAACTAAAGAGAATCCGGCCAATCATATTACATTTTTAGAGTTGCGTAATAAAAGGTAACTCGGCTCGTAACATAAATTGGGCTTTATTACGCAACTCTAAAAATGTAATATGATTGGCCGGATTCTCTTTAGTTAAATCCTTTAAGAAGGAAGCGGGAAGGTTTAAATAAAAGATTATTAATTTCCGATACAACGGAAGGGAAACCCGTTCAAGGAAGAATAATTATTAGTTCTTCCTTCGAAGGTAAAACCCTGTAAATTTATTAATATAATATTTAGCCGATCCCAATAGTAACTTTTAATTTTAACAATAAAGTCACTAAATTTTTACTAGAGCAGGGTGGGGTAGTTGACGATAATTATGACAATAATTGTCGAGTGGGACAATGAACGTTCCGGAAGGTCGATCATAAAGAATCGATTATGCCAAGAATTGATTTCTCGAAAGAATCGGGAATCGAGTTACCCAACCCTAATTCAGTGAAAAAAGCTTTCAGTCTTTTGAGTTGGCAGGATATGTCAAAATTTTTGTGATGTCAATGTTGAGGGTTAGTTAATATTAATGCAAAATTATGATTTTTATTAATAAATGCATGTATCAGGAATATTACTTTATTATCGACAGTTGTAAAATAAAATATACAATATTAAATTAATCGAGACGTGTTAACATGTCCCCGTAATTTGAGGTTGTCAAGTTTGAAATTTTGTTTGTTTTATTCTTTATTTAATATTTTTTCTGATGAGTTTCAAAGAATAATGTTTTTCACTTTTATAATCGAGCAATTGTTTTTTTACAAGAATTAAAACTGTGAATCTGCCAAGCAAAATAGTCATTCAGTTAATCTTATCCTGATAGACAATTGGAAAATATTTATATTAGAAATATTATTTAAATACAAATTTATAAATGAAAAAGATAATTGAGTATAAACAGAATAAGAATATTAAGTAAATTTTCAAAAAGTATTTGGGAATATTATATATTTCAGGATAAGTAGTTTATTAACTTCTGAGAACCTGATATTTTTCTTAAAAATGTCGAATTTTTCAAAACACTTTTTTCATTTTCCGTTGGCGTTATTTTGATACAGCACGAATTTTTTCCACTGTAAATATATTGAAGACTTTTTTCAAGATCTCAACGTTATCTTTCTTATCGTTTTAACATTTATTTTCACTTTTATTCAAACCGAATGTGAAAAAATTATTCATCTGCAAAAAAAAAAAATAATTTTGTCATTGGAAGGTTTATCATTATCTGTATTTACAGATCTTTATTACTAAAATGTTAATTGGTCCTCTGAAGGTTATGTTATGTTTTAGAAAAAATACAATAGAAAGTTTTATTTTCATTTATTCTAGTTTATATTGAATTTGTATGATAAATTTTGAAATTGTTTTAAAAATATGAGAAAATAAAATTTTGAATATAATACAGGAGCGAGGGCAGTATGCATTTGAAGAAAAGTGGCCTTGTATGCGTCCTATTATATTAAAATTGCTGAAACAAGAACCTGTAACTCAGGGAGAATGGCACGATTTATTTTACTCTGTCCAAGTATGCCTTTGGGACGAAAAAGGACCTGCAAAATTGTGCGATGCCCTCAAGGAAGATATAATGGATTTTGTAAAACAGGCTCAACAGGTATTATAGCTAAAACTAGAATTTTTTTATTAAATTTTTTCAATTTATTTTACTCCACTGAGAGCCAATGGCATTTAACTCATTTTAGTGAGTTGAGTATTTCAAAGTAATTGTATTTTTTTAGAGAGTCTTAGCTCATCAAGAAGAACAAGCTTTATTGAAAGCTTACATAGCAGAGTGGAGGAAGTTTTTCACACAATGTAACTATGCACCGTCACCTTTTAGGCAATTAGAAACATCACTATCCGGAAAACTGGGTTCCAATATTCCAAAGAAGAATCCCTGTGATGAAAGCATCGTAAGAAAGGTAAACATATTTCGACACTTTTACTTTAATTTTTATTAATATTTTCTATATAGCCAGTTGTAGATTTTGTAAATAAAAAACTAATTTCCTAGAAATCTTTAGAATATTATTTAACATTCATTCTTTGACTTTGCAGTTAATGTTAGATAGTTGGAATCAAAGTATATTTGGCGAAATAAAACAGAGACTTCAGGACTCTGCCATGAGATTAGTGCGTGCAGAAAGAAATGGAGAAGCGTTTGACTCTCAACTGGTTATCGGAGTTCGAGAGTCTTATGGTATAAATAATTTTCTAATACAATTTTATTATTCTACTAGAATTTCGTGTCTTTTATATTTAATATATAATTAACGCTTTTTTTAACCTGATTGCAGTAAATCTATGTTCCAATTCGGCTGATAAACTACAAATATATCGTGAGAATTTTGAGGCAGCTTACATTGAAGCAACCGAGAACTTTTATTGGGTTAAAGCACCTGAACAATTGTCATTACATGGCGTCGAAAATTACATGCGCTATGCTGAAGCAAAACTCAGAGAAGAAGAGCTGCGTGCACAAAAATATTTGGAGCCAAACAGTGCTAGTGTGCAATTGTTGACTGATTGTTGTGTAAGAGTATTAGTTGCCACTTTCAAACCTGCAATTCTTGCAGAATGTCCACGAATGATACAACAACATCAAACTGACAGTAAGAAATATATTTTATCTTTACAGTTTTAATATAAATCATGGCTGCAATGATTTAAATCAAAGAGTCTTTAATATTAAATTTTTTAAAACATTATTTAAGAAATTGACGTTTTGTTTAGAACTGCGACTCATGTTAAAATTAATGGACAGAGTGCCTGACGGTGTTATTCCAATGCTGCGAGATTTGGAAGATCATATAGCAAATGCCGGATTAGCTGATATGATGGCTGCTGTTGACGTTATTACTCAAGATTCTGAGAAATATGTCGAAAGACTCCTGGATCTTTTTCGACGATTTTCAATTCTTGTAAAAGAGGCATTTGATGACGATCCACGATTTTTAACTGCCCGAGATAAAGCGTATAAACTTGTTGTAAATGATGCTACTGTATTTAGACTAGAGTTGCCCGTTCGACAAGGAGCTTCTTCTTCTGCTGTTGCTGTCATTTCTGCCGCTGCAGTTTCTCTCGCTGCTTTAAACAATAAACCAAATAGCAATAACAACATTCAACCTGAGTCTAAGTGTCCGGAATTGCTAGCAAACTATTGCGACATGTTACTTAGAAAAACACCACTTAGTAAAAAGCTTACTTCTGATGAAATCGAAAGTAAATTACGGGATGTGGTAAGTTTTATTATTTTAATACTCATTTACACGAACAATGTTAAAAACCAAAATGGACAGCTTATATTTAAGTTTCTTTTTTAATTACAGTTACTAGTTTTGAAATACGTTCAAAATAAGGATGTGTTTATGCGTTATCATAAAGCTCATCTAACAAGACGATTAATATTGGACACATCGGCTGATTCTGAAAAAGAAGAAAATATGGTGGAATGGTTGCGAGAAGTTGGCATGCCTGCTGATTATGTTAATAAACTTGCACGAATGTTTCAAGATATCAAAGTTTCCCAAGATCTCAATCAACAATTTAAAGAACAATGTCGAGCTGTTATTGCTGACAGTATTAATATTAAAGTATGTTTTAAATCAAAGTCTTATATTTATTAGGCATCATTTATTTGAAAATGGTACGAATTTCAGATTTTAAATGCCGGTGCGTGGGCGAGAGGAAGCGAGAGAGTGACTGTCAGTTTACCTCTCCAATTGGAAGACTATATTCCAGAAGTAGAAGAATTTTACAAAAAGAAGCATAGTGGGAGAAAACTTCAATGGTATCATCATATGTCAAATGGAACGGTAAAAGTTTTCATTCTTATATTTTCATATCTTTTTTTTATATTTTCAACCTTTTTAACCGAAAAAGTATTGTAATATTCTAGATTACATTTTCAAATCAAGTTGGTCGTTTCGATGTGGACGTTACAACGTTTCAAATGGCTGTATTGTTTGCTTGGAATCAACGACCTCTTGAGAAAATCTCATATGAAAATCTCCGTCTGGCCACTGAACTTCCCGATCCTGAACTGAGACGTACACTGTGGTCTTTATGTGCATTTCCCAAATTAAAGAGGCAGCTTCTTCTAGTTGATCCATTAGCACATAGTCCTAAAGATTTTGCACATGATACGAGATTTTGGGTTAATCAAGATTTTGCTATTGTGTATGTGCATTTTACTGAGCAATTAACATTTTTTTTAAACTTACAATAAAGGAATCAGTAAAAAAAAATTTCTTTTTAAATAGGAAAAACAATAAACTACAGAAGAGGGGAAAAATCAATTTAATTGGACGACTGCAACTTTCAACAGAGCGAAGTAAGGAGGAAGACAACCAATCAATTGTGCAGCTTAGAATTTTACGACTGCAAGTAAGTTTTTATACTTTTTAGTGTATTCCATTAATTAAATAATTAAAAGTACATCCATGTATGTGTAAAATATAAATGATCTTTCAGGAAGCAATTATTAAAATTCTTAAGATGAGAAAGAAGATTAACAACGCTCAACTACAAACTGAATTAGTGGATATTCTGAAAAATATGTTTTTACCAAGTAAAAAAATGATAAAAGAACAAATTGAGTGGCTTATCGAGCATAAATATATTCGCAGGCAAGACGATGATATTAATACCTTTGTGTACATGACATAATTCAAATTTTGGTTAAAAGTGTTTAAGCTTTTATTATTAACTTATATATTTTTGTATATCTGAATTTCGTTTTAGAATATTGTTTTGTGATTATTTGGAACGTAAGATCATATTTTAATGAGACAGTTTTAAAATATGATATTTCTCCTATTCTCCATGCGTTCGGTACATCAAACAATTAATACTTGTTCAATAGACGTCTTTTCTACAATTATAAAATTACTTTTCCCAAAGTTAAGATTTTCTAACGTTATTAAAATTATCAAAAAATCTGCGTCTTTATTTATTAAAGAGTCTCTGATATTGATAATTAATTAAATTTATACAAATTCTAAATTAAATAAAAAGTAGATACCCGAGCATTAAATAGGCAAAGGAACTGATTCAAATATTTTAATTTCATATCAATTTTAACAAGAAACGTATGCTAAACAAGGATAATATTGGAGAATGATATCAATTTCTTCGTTTAATGCATGTCTCAAAATCGCCTGTATGTTTGTAATTTTTTTTTCACATGATAAGATTAACTTGTATAAAGCATTTGTAATATTAAAATGTTAAGTATGTAAAGAAACAATGACTTATTCCTTTACTGGAATAAATTAAAGGCCAAATTTTTCACAAATTAGTATTACAATTCTTTCCATAAAAATTAAGGCACTTAATTGATATTTTTAATATGTAATTAATTTTTTTTATGCAATTAACTCAATTTTAATGTCAAAAAAAGGAATTTTTTTAAATAGAAAGGAAGCGCAAGTATTCAATGCTGAAAGAATTGTAAAGAATTTATAGATCATTTATTATTACCATAACTTTTTTTATGTGTAATGAACAAAAACATATACCTTGAGAAAAAATAACAGTTTCATTTATAAATTTCATACAACTTAATAATATTAAATTCATCTTACATTTACAAGATTTTTACAGTTTGTTTATTACATCATTTTTGATATGCGTATAAATATATTAACTTTGAGAAAATAAAATATAAATAATCAAACATAAGCTGTTTCAGAATAAACAGATGGTACGCTTAATATTTTGATAATAATAATAATAATAATATGTAATTCAGTATTTATGACCTGCATTCAGTTGCATTGATTAAATTTAACAATTCAAAATAAAATTGCATAGCAAATGAAAAATACGTTAAAACTCGAAACAATATTCATAGCTAATTGTACAATTTTTTTTACAACTAATATTCAAGTTATCTAGCAGTTATACCTTAAATATATATTATATACACATAAATATTTAACATTAGGTACATGATTTTTTTCATCTTGTAGGATAAACAAAATCAACAAACAATAACACGTAGACTATAATACATATGGTAAAATATTTATAATATCCAAATATTTCTATTTAGGTAAATTCAACATTTTTATTGAATTATTTTTTTTCTACTGCATTAAAAGGCGTAAAACAAATAAATAACGAAATCGATTAATAAATTATCAAAGCTTTTAAAAGACACAAATTAAATTAAATACACTGAAAAAAGTTTGGTAAAAAAAGCAATTCACTATTCAATTTTGAGAAATTATTATTATATTGTGTCTATCAATATTAAAGAACTTTTATTGAAATAGTGATTAAATTTTCAGCTATATGTAAATGTTGAAACCCCAAACTTTATTCAGTGTAAATTATAACGTACTGTAATAGTAACATCGATTACGACGAAATTTACAGGAAGACGTTATAACATCGATGAAGTAAAATTAAGTCTAAATTTGGTGTACCAATAGCATATACTTACATTGAAAGATATTAAATTTTTTTTTATTATTTTCCGAACATCCTGCCGTATTGGCACAGAACAAATAACATAATCATATGAGATGTAAAAAAATTAATATTCCGGACGATGCGTGGGTTGTATATGAGTTGCATTTTTTACAGAATTCGATGTCTCACAAACGTGTACTACAATACCGGGTTGTCCGGATCCTCCACGGTGCAATTCATGAGTAGCACCTGCAAATTAAAATTAATTATAAAACATACGTACAAAAAGCAACATTTTCGTGGAAATAAATCCTACGTGATAAATAAAAATTAGAATTACCAGGAGTTAAGTTTGCAATAGCTGCTATTAAATCATGGTTGACAAGAGGTTCGCCTTCAGGTCTAGGTTCCCAACCAACAGGTGGTGAAGCTGGAGGTGATATAAGATGTTGTTTAGTTAATGCAGGAGGCTGTAGGTATTGATCTTCCATATCTAGAATAATATAAAAAATGACAATTTGTTGATTCAAATTTTTTTTTAAATTTTGAATCAGAATCCTTATGTATATAATTTTAAGATTATTATATTGAAACAAACCTATAGGCGTTACTGGTTGTGCAAAATAGCAATTAATATCTGTGTCACCAAATCGCGATTGATGTAGTTTAATTCTGGCATGTGCAGCCGAACTTGGAGAAGTAAAATTTACTCTCATTCTTCTAAAAGATTTGAAATATTGAAATGTTGCAACTTCACCAAACTCCTTGAATAATGTTTCAATAGTCACCTGTTAACAAAAAATATATATACATCAATGAATGTAAAAACTTATTTAAACTAAAAGAAATTATTAATCGCATTTTTAAATCTTAATAAATATTTTATTTATTAAAGTAGTATTCTCGCAATGATCACCTACAAAAATAAAGTCTAAGGTCAGATAAATTAGTTGCCTGCATAATCACTAATCAATTTTTTTTTTTTTTTTTTTGAACGAAATTGTTCAAATTGTTATTTTTGTATGTTTATTAAACTTTATTATTATTAGCAATAGTCTTATTTTTACTTAAATCTCTAAAAAAAATGTTAAATATAATTATATAAAATAAAGAAAATAAACCTTTAAATCGTCACATTTGAAAACACGAGGATCTACATTGGTGACAATAATAGACATTGGTAGGTCTTCATCGTGAACCAATTCGTCAAAAGTTCTTGCATTAACATCACTACAATCTTCTTTCTCCTCAAAATCATATTCAAGTTGATCAAAATTTGGATGCATGTTAGGCAATCCATCGATTTCATTGATTATAATGTTTTCTGATTCTCCAGACTCTTCGTCGTCATCGACGTTAAAACTATGATTTTTTTCCATGATTTCATTACTGTCAAACAATAAAATAAAATAAATCTATAAAAATATATGTAAATAATTCATTATTTTATTCATCTTGTGTTCAGTGCCCAAAATAAGATTTTTAGGTTAATTTAAAACTAATATTCATAAATAAATGTCAAATGCATTACATTAATTCTGTGACATAATGATTAATACTAATTAAATTACGTAAATCACATTAAGAATAAGGAATTTATGTCGATAAATAATTTGAAGCTGATTTTTAATTTATTTTTTCAATTATAAAATTACTGCGAATTACATGTCATTGAGGATTTACTTGAAATAGTAGAATTGATGAGAATGTTTTTAATTAAATTATTTTAATGCATATATATTTATTTTGTCATATATTTATTGAAGTTCCTTAGAAAGCAGTCTTTACAATTTTTCGATTTTACTTTATATAAAATTCTTATTTTTCACTAAGTTTTTAAATACGAAGTTTTAAATATTTTTATAGAAACAATAAATAGTAAATTAAAGATATGTTTTTAAAAATAAAGTCCTCATGAAGATAACTTTACATTTCAGACATATAATTTTATTATATTTTAGCAAAAAAATATAAAACGCACTTGATTACTCAACTAAATAAATGAGGTAAATTTTACTTACATTTACAAATATTTAATATCTGTTGATGTTCTGAGTAGAATATCCAATAACAATAACACAATTCATTTAAATGTCCAATACATCACAAGACGATTTTGAAATTGTATGTTTTTAAGTAGAGATTATGTATTGTAACTTTAGTGACATATCTTGTACGGTAATCAACTGGTAATTTTAACAACAATTGTCTTCATTAAAAAAGTCGTATTTTAATGACTTATTAGTTATCTTATATTTACAACTTTCCCTTCGATAAGCATCGACGGGAAAGAAAATCATAGACTAATGATTTATAAGAATAGTAAACCGAAGCTCACAATCCACCATAGTATGTAGTACTGTTTTATACCACACACTTGTAGAGCTGCGATCGTTCACAACGAACTAAGGCAGAGATGGGTAGGTAACATTAACATATGTGTATTTCAATCATTATGTTATTGATATGTCAGTACAATTAATTACAAAAACAAAACAATTTTCTGGATAAGGTTGGGTTTATGAACTTTCAATTTTTAATTATTAAAAATAGATAAAAATGTTTTCTTTCTTACATAAGTTATCAATTGGAGGGGGGAAAAGTCATGAATTGACATCTAAAGACATGAATAGAACAGAAGATATTTTGAATAAAAAAAACCCAAATATTATAAATGACATAACTGAATTAAAGGAAAATGTTTACGGTAATTTATTTATTTCATAATTATTGACTAGTCTGCAATAACTAATTTTATTTTTATTTCTTTAATATTTTAAGCATTTTTTCTTTATATGTACCTATTAATTTACATTTTGTTTTTATTATTGAAATACTTTTTATATTGTAATGATATAGGTTAAAAATATTAAAAAATTAATTTAATTTAATTCTTTTAAAGATTCAATATACCATTATAAAATATCTAGTAATAATTTAATTTTCCTGTAGATTTATTACGAAATATAAAAGATCCAGAAAAACCTCAAACCTTAGAAGAGTTGGAAGTAGTTTATGAAGATTGTGTGTATGTTGATGAAACTACTCCAAAAGGAGTCAACGTTATACGTGTAGAATTTAATCCTACAGTGCCCCATTGTTCTCTTGCTACTCTCATTGGTTTATGCATTCGAATAAAATTAGAACGAAATTTAATAACTTTCCATAAGCTAGACATTTATATCAAAGAAGGTGCACACGCAACAGAACAAGAAAGTGAGTTTAATTTTACCTTTATTTTTTTATCGATATAAATTTCTTGTTTCTGTTTCAGTAAATAAACAGATCAACGATAAAGAAAGAATAGCAGCTGCCATGGAAAATCCTAATTTACGAGATTTAGTTGAAAAATGTATTAAAGAGGACTATTAAAAATGTTATTCAATGTACATAATATATATATATATATATATATATTATAATTAATTATAGCAATTATTTTTCTCAGATTTTTTATAAATTTTAGTAAGTACGATAAAAGAAAAAAGTATTATAAATATATTATAAATTTTTTATTTATATTGAAGCACTTATTATACCTTTCGGAAACCGAAGATATCACATTCTTGATTATATTTCTAGTACCTGACCCTAAATATGCACAGTATTGATTATTATTTCTATTGTAGGTATATTTTCCGTTAATTTAAATTTTTCTTTCGAATTTAATATAATTTAATTTCATCAAAATTATATCTCACATAGTAAAAATTAAAATTGTAAGGGAGAAAGTTCTGTGGTTCAATGGGATAATTTATATAAAGAGCCATAAGGCTAATGGATAAAGGAACCAATTATTATTAATGCAGCTAAAATTTTCGAGTTTTTATACTTGGGTTAAACATTTTTTTAAAGGTATTATAAAATTCGTATACACGAATTCCTGTTAAATTAAGATTGCTATCGATTTTTAATGTTGAACAGCATCTTTAAGTCCAACAGATATTTAAAATTTAAATTTATTAAACAGATATTAAAAAAAAAATTTCTATTACCTCAAATAGGATACAGAATTACAATTAACATGATGAACATGCGATGTTCATAATTAACGCTTTCTCCAGTAATATTGTTCTTAGTATGTATATTTCAAGTAGCTATAGTTTATTTTCAGGTGAATTTAGCTGCTGATTGAACAGCTAATCATACAAATTCCTTACGAATTACAGTTTTGTACACTTTGTTTACTTAGCATAAGGTTTTGAAATACAGTAAGGATTATTTCAAATAAAAAACTTTAATCCTTATGTAAATGAACATAAGGAACATATTGCTTGGTTTAAACTGATGCTTACTGTATGTTCAAAACATGTCTCAGTAAAACGTCCCATATCTATTATTCATTAGTGTACTGACTAAACTTGACATCGCTTCTTGGTACAAACATCAATGGCATATTACATTATCAAAAATGTCTTCCATTCTAAAATAAAAACAAAGAACAGCATAACTAATTTTTGCTTTAACATCTGCAGGAAAAATGCCATTTATCTTGCATACATAAAAGATGTGTCAAAATTAATTTTTTCGTACCATTAAAGTGTAAAAGTATGCATCATAGTTATTTATAACACACGTGCGTAAAATTAACTATTACACGAGTATGTAATGTTTGCAGTTTATAAATCACATGAGTAAAATTAACTTTTTCGCACGTGCATTATACAATATTATTTGCAATACCCATCTCTAAAGTAAAAGTAGGAAAAATCAAATAAACAATAACCAATTAAGGCACTGAGATACCATGTAAAAAAAGCTTGTCTGCTTTATGAACTACATAGGTTGTTTTTCGACAGAAAAAAAAATTAAGAATATTTAAGATGCCAAAAAAATTTCATAGTTCTATAAAAGTTTTAAATATGCACTTAAATTAACTTTTTTCTGATTTTACAATTCCTCATTAATATTACAAAACACCCTTTTTGCATTCTTTTGGCACTTTTTTTAAAACTATTTTCCTGTATTTTCATCGTATATGAATAAACTAGAATCATGTTCAAAATATATTTTTAAATAATTATAAATTTAAAAAAAAATGTTTCTCTCTCAAAAATAATAAATAAATATCCATTCTTTTTCTTTAGAGATGTTATACACAAAGTATCGCATATAAACCACTTATGAAAATAACATTTTCAGTCTCCTACGGAAAACGATTTGTTTTCATACTTGGTGCTCAGTGTAAATAAAAATAAATTCTCCCAAAAAAAAAACTATTGATTTTAAGGGAAAATAGTTTTCATTTAAAATAGTTAACCACAAGAAGAAATTTAACACAGGTTCTTATCTCTGAACTCCTCTAAGTGGATCGGGAGTAACGGAAGAATTTCGTACAACTCCTGAACTGTTAACATTTGACGGTAAAATAATGTTACTAGATTGTCCCTGATGATATCCACTTGCGGCAGGAATATGCCTAAAATTTAAAGACATTAAAACACTTTTATTGTATTGTCTTTACAATTTCCTTACTATATTAACTTTATTAGAAGCACTCGCATTTATTATTAATTTTTTTAATTCGTTTTACTCCGTGTATCGTATTTGGTAAATGGGATGGTTGTGCGCATAAGTAAAAATTGAATAACAATAATTCAGAACGAAATATAATTTTTGATAAAAAAAAATGTTTACCTTATTGCCGGGCTTGGTTGAGGAGCAACCAGCGATCCTCTGTGTTGGTATTGATTGTGTGACATGGATGTTCCAGTAGGCGGAGATGGGTCAGGAGGTAAACCATTTTCTAAAGTGGATGCATGACTACTGGAATTTGAATGTGGTAAATAAGCATTGCTCATTCGTGACTCACGACTTCCTCTAGACATCGAAGTTACAGGTGCAGAAGGAACTTCCGAATGTGAAAGATTGGAATGTGATGGATTCACTGAAGGGTGTATGTTGTTAACTATAATTAAGAATACAATATTTTTTTAATTCTTTGGCGGAAACTATAAAATTCTTAATGATAATATACAATTAAATCGAATAAAAATAATGAATTAATAAGACATTTTATGTATAAAAGAATATATTACCTGAATGTGTGTTTGATTGATTCGTCAAAGGGATGGCGAGTCTTGCATTTACAGCCAGTAAGTGATCCCTTCTTTGAAGAAGACTATTTACATGTTCTTCTAGTCTTAAATTTTCTGCCCTCAATTGATGGAGACATGACAGTAGTGAAGCAACTAGAAAAACACATGAAATTAATTTTGGTAAAAACAACTAGATCAAATTATATACATTTAAAAAGAAATATTGGAAATTCTCAAGTACCAAGAAACTTTCTCTCATATACTTACTATCAAAATGTTGAGCTTGTTCCATTAAAAATTGACTGCCTTGTTCCCATTGCCTTTCTAAAAGTTGATCGAGTGTTTGTGGCATTGTTCCACTTGTCAATCCACCAGCACTTGTCACATTAGAATTTGTATTTGCGTTTGAAAAAACTGATGAAAATGATGTTGGCGCCGGTGCTGCTTGACTGGACCTTATCTAAAACAATTAATTTACTACTTTTTAGGAATGTAATAATAGAAATTAGTTAAAATAATTAAACTTGTTGTTGATTTTAGGAATCACAACTTATTATCAGAAGAGTCGCTAAATACATAACATAACTATTTATAATCACTAAAGGTTCTTACAGTTGCTATTACTCGACTGTGTAGTTGTGGTCCAATTAGATTAGTAGTCGAATTATTTGCTTCTGTAAAAATGGAGTGGGCTTCCAATTCTTGCGAGAGCGTGTCAGACATCTTTTGTGCCATTGTAGAGGTGGGATTTAATTGGTTCCCCAGCATGTGTGGAGCACTGACTCCGTTTTGAAATCTAGAAATTAAGAAACTTCCTATTATTTTTGTTGGTACTACAAATGTGATAAGTTTCATTAAAATCAGTTGTAAAATTTTCACAGATTTGACATTATAAAATATTTTCCCTTACAACTTTATTTCCTTTTCTTCTTTTGTGTGATTAGCAAGAGTTGGTGTATTAGATGCTGATGGTGTTGGGGTTGTGGAAGAAGTTCCTGCACCCTTTCGTTTTCTTCTTCCTGGACCATTGCTGCTCATACTTTCAGAACCAGGACTACTGGGTGGTGAATCCTTAACAGTAGGTCCCATGATGCCACCAGAACCTGTTCCCACGCTGCTAAAGTGACCAGTACCCAGCGTGGGACCTTGTATTATTGATGGTATAGGAGCCACCGCCGCTGACGGTGGTGGTGTTTGATGGTTATTTCTACTGGTGCGCTTCGTCGTTGTCACGACTGTAATATTAGATAAAGATGATACTGATGAAACTATTTGAGGAAGAGCTGTTGGTGGTACCGTTGTTGTTACTGGCTGACTACTTGTAGAACCTCGCTTTGGTTTACGTAATTTTTCTTGCTTCTCCGACGATTGAGATCTAAAAGAAGAAAATTCACAAACTTTCAAATTTTTTCATAATTGTTTCTAAAAACAATTGAGTAACATTTTAATTTTTTACGTTAGTTTCATTTATATTTAGGTTGGTTCATCTACTCAATTATGTGCGAAATTCAAATTAATTTAATTCGTAAATTAAAAGGTAATTTTCCAACCGTTCAGGTTCTTTATTTTATAAATATTAACATCAATTGTTATTATTTACTTGAAAAATTAAGCGACAAGACTCACCACAGCAAATATCATTCGATTTCATAAAAAGTTTAAAACTTAAAGTAAATGATTTTAATACTTCTCGAATTTCATACTACAGCATAATAACACTTACTGAATGATTGTCACCATTTGCTGAATAATGAAGAAAAATTGATATTGAATTCTATAAAGTGTGTCTAAAATTATATTATTTACTTGATCAATTATATAACTTATAAGTAAAATGGGAACTGTTATAATAAACATTCAACAAATTGCAATCGACAACAAAGACGCGTTGTTATTAATTACAATAAAAACATAACCTAAAAGGCATATATCACAATCCCACGAAAGGAGATTATCAAATGTATTAAGTATTAATAAATTTTCACTTTCTCTATTATCGAAGGAATATTTTTTTTAAAATGCAACAAATTATATAAGAAAAACATTAAAGAAACGGTAATAAATGACCTCGACTAAATCGATAATCTTAAACACGGAAAATAGTAAGAATTATTAAAAATACACTATTTTTCTAACAATCAGAATACAATTTAAGCTTATCTGTTGTAAATTACAAACTGCACTTTTAATCAAACTTACGTTGAATCAATTATGAATGATTTTTTTCCAATTTTATTGTGAAAATGAACTATATTATATTGAAAATTGTAATTGTACACATAAGAGGTTAGAGCAAATTGCTTGTTTATGCTGAAGCGACGACCATTTTAAATGCTACTCCCAATTCCTTATCTTTGTCGTTCGCATTTACCCTCACTCTAAAATGGACAACAAGGGTGGGGCTGTTCATTGCTTCTTGAAAACGGGAATAAAGATGAGAAAACAATGCCCAGGGTCACAAACAGTGCAATAACCCTAGAACTTAGGCCGTTTCTACAATGGACTGCTTCGAAAACTGTTCAGAGATGGGTATGTATAGTAAAGGTGCTTCCACACCTTGTAAAAAAATAGGATAATAAAATGAAAATTACATTTTTTTGTGATTTTTATATGATTAAAAATATGTTAAAAAAACAGCTGTAAATCACAAAAAAACATTTTTTAAGTTTAATATTTATTATAGGGCCAAAATAACTGAAAACAATCATATGAAACACTTTCGTCTCGAAAATTAAAACTTCTACTTATTATTACTAATAATAGTTTTAAACAATTGGGATTTATATTTATTTAAAAATAGGATCGGCTAGGATTTCAATATACACGCTGGGTTCGAGTACATTTACTTAAAATCTAAATACAACAAAAACCTTATGCTCTAAAAATAAGAATAATTTAACCTAAACGCAATTCTTAAATCTAACCTAAATACTTGAAGAAAATTAAAAATATTTTAAAAAACGATTGGAACTTACCTTGAAATTGATCGTAGTACCCCAGACAGAACACTGTCTTGTCTGAGCTTTTTTCCAATTTTAAACTGAAAAGCTCTCTTAAATATGTCTTGTTTTTTCTTTTCAAACTTTTTTCTAAATTTCTTAGTTTCATGATTTGATTTCTTATAGGTATAAAATACTTAATAAAAAAAGAAACTTACCGAGATCGTTTAGATGGCGTTTCCTCCACGGAGTATTGGTCGCTATTGGGTATTACACTGGTTTTCCCATCAGCATTCGCTGCCGATGTGATCATACTTTGTTGTAATTGTTGATATAAGGTAGATGCACTGGTTATTGTACTTTGTACAGTATTAGGAAGAGATGTTGCTGTCAATGGAACAGAAACAACTATACTATTCGACGAAGTGCTTAATGACTGAGCAGCAATCGGCAACTGATTTTGTGTTATTGACATAATTACAGGAGTAGTAGTTGTTTCTTCTGCTGGTAGAACTGCGTTAGCCATTATTAACGGGCTGTCAGCTTTTAACTGCAATCAAATGTGAATAAAAAACTTTACTGGTAGAATTTCAAAGTTATAATATTTTGTTTGACTTTAACTTAAATTATTAGTCCTTGATAAAAAGAAAAGATTAAAATTAATTACCTTTTTCGTTTGCTCAGATTCCGATATTGTATTTAAATTTGTAGTTTCAGCAAGAGTTGTTTGAACAATATTACTATTGTTAACCTGTTGAACAATAGCATTGGTAGTGACTACCAAAGATCCACTGGTATCTGAATTGACAGATTGATTAGAATTTTCATTACTTAAAGCTGTTGGAGTTCGTGCTCCGGTTTTTCTTTTTTTACTAGTATGATTAGATGTCTTATTAAATGTCGAAGTACCAGACTTTGACTGACTAACATTTTTCTGAATAAGACTTGAATTTGACGCTGATTTAGAAATCGTTGTCGAAGAAAATGAAGCAGCGGTAGTAGGAATACCAGTACTTTCATGACCAAACACACTTTCCGACTGAGTTACAATAGTCTCCACAAAATTCGAAGTTGTAAATTTACTTGAATTTGCAGCATTTTCTTTTGGTGTATTTCTTCCACTACTACTTCTTTCATCCGCAACTCCATTAAGTTCAACACTGGGACTCATATTTTTGTTTTTAATAGAAGCGCCTGACTTTGAATTTGAATTTTTTCGTTTGGCATTGCTTGACGACGACTTAATTGGCGCTTCAGATTCTTTTTCAGGTGATGAATCTGATGATCCATTATCCGCTGGTATTGGTTTATATGGGGGAATAGTTTTGACATTTCCTCCCTTTTTCTAAAAAAATATATACAATTATTTTTGGTCACTGGAAAAAGTTTTCAATATTTATATAATTTAGTTTAATCAACTAACCAATTTTGAATAGTGGTGTTGACAATAACCGCAATATTTCACATTATCAAGATAATTTCCCGCTTCTTCGCATAATAATCCAAGACCCTGGGCACAAGTAACATGAAATTGCTGTCTACATCCAGCTTTATTACATTGCATGCAGGCTCCAACATTTGCTCTACTACCTCTTCCTTGTTCTTCGCAGATATAACATGTCTAGAAATTAAAGAAACATTTTTTAATACCTGATTAAAAGTACTGTCCAATTAGCACCAACAACAAACTATTTTCTATTAAAAATAATTAAATAAAAAATAACCACAAATTTATTTTTCAAAATATTCAAATTTATCTTTTACCTTATTGAATCTTTCTGAAGGAATGAGTTGAAGAATAATGGGCTCCATCGTTGTAACGTTACCAAATCGAACTTCAGGGATGTACAAAGCACATACTACATGAGCCCAACCAGCTTGATCTGTCCTCTTAAGAGCTCCATCTCTACTTGGACATAGTTCACAGCGCTTCAACAAAAATAGTAAAGTTATATGGTATAATTTAAGTTTACATGACATATTATATAGATAATATATTTTAAAAATGACTAAGAAATTTGTTTACCACACGTGCACTGCGCTCTTGCGATTCACATTTTCTGCAATACCAAGGTCCAGTAGGAACAGTAACAATACCATAGCAAGCTAAACAAAAATAAAATTTATTTATTAACAAAACTAAAGTTAGTTAAACTTGACATTTACGTATTTAAAATAAAAAACATTTTCAATTAAAATGTTTTTTTAGTGAAGGTATGAGTAACTTTATTTTTAACCCACCAAATAATTAAAAATTGCCTTTGATTAATGATTGAAAAATCCTTATGAGGAACGATTGTTAAATATTAGGTTATGTTGTCAAAATTGTAATTTCTTATTAAAATGCAACTTTGAAGGGTTGAAAATGTTAAAAATAAAATTGCTTAATTTGCACTGAAACATATTTAAAGCCTAAATTGTTATTTTATTTAAACATTGTAAAATATGGAGTTGGACTAATTTTTGTTTTGGATTGTTCCTTAAGATGGGAGATTAAATTTCAGTTACCCTGGTGAACAGCGACTGTACACCCTTGGCCATCGCAATACACTAATGGATTTTCAGTCCAACCCCTTTCATCAGAACACACACAGCATCCTCCAAGCATCTCCTTCATACTGCGATCCAGCTTCAGTCGTACCGCAATATGATGTTTGCAAGTAGAGTCAAGTGTATGAGGAATTAATAACAATGATCGTGTTTACGTCTTAATTCTCGCAGGTTCACCTGCTCATCAAGAAGCATCATAAATTCATTTATGTTCTTCGTTCACTTCCAAACAATTTTTCATACGTTCTTCGTTTCAACCATATACAAGCGTCTAACGCGTTTTAATGTCTTTACGAAAACAATGGAAAAATATTACTTATACGGCAATTCTCCTGGGACAAAATTGTCAATCAACAAGATCTATTAGTGATCATTGTTTTCAATTTCGAATCAAATGTAAGTTGAAAATTTTCATAGACACACCATCAATGGGTTTATTATTTACAAAAACACTGCATTTGTTTCACAAAGTCAGCCATCTTCATTTTTCCACCTACACATATAGAAAATCAACTCAATATATATATATATATAATGCCTAGAGTATGTGCTCTAGTTCTCTTTTTTTAATCAATGAACACAGAAAAAGACAGTGTCATTACATGCGTATCCTACGTATAATTACCATTCTTTAAAAAAATTATTTAATGTTGATAATTAATACATGTATGCATTTATTATATTTACATACATGTATGAGGATATCATTAATTTATTTATTTTATATAAATAATATAGTTGACCAAATATGGATACACTTTTATGTCCTTATCTATTCCATGTGTTTCTATAGTAACGTATGGAAAGACAAAAACAGAGATACCTTCTATCCTTTTCTACCTCGTATAAAGCTGGTTCTACAATGGACATTTTTTATATGGACGTGTATGACGTCATCAATTCTTATCTATATGGGTGACGTCATACGATTCCTTCACGTCAACGTTGTTGTGAGATGAGCTTAACCCCAAGTTTAAACTGTTTTCATGAAACATTATGGTGGGGGGGATTAATACTTTAAGTTTAATAAATAGAATATTTATATTTAATTGTTTAATTAAGTTGAATACTTTTCATCATTAAATAACTTTATAAACTATATATTTATTTATATAGAAATTGAAAAACTGAAAGAAACTCTGAAAAGTGTTTAGAAATTTATCAAATTAACGCATGCGCATAAACTCAGAATCTAACTTGTTAATTGACCGTTATAAAAGTACGCCGCTTTTTAGCACTTTTTAGCTTGCTTGCGCTTTATAAATGTGTTTTTCAGTATATGACGAAATGATTTCGTATAATCGAGTGTAATAATTGAAAAAGTTTAATTAAAAAAAAAAGAACACAACTGTCTCATGTAAGTTATCAGTTATTTAGAAGCAAATGAAAACAAAAATCATCAGAATACACTGCTAAAGTGAGGAAAGCCTTTCGTCGTTTTGTGTGATAGAGAACAGATTTTTACTCGTGAAACTAGAAACAAGTGGGAAAGTCACAGATTTTTCTCTAAATTTTTTCTTTTTTTGTTTTTGATTGTGTGTCATTAAACCTACAGTCAAAAATGTCGTTAGACAATCTAAGTGATTCGGAATTGCGGAAAAAACTCGTTGAACATGGATTTCCCGCCGGTCCAGTCACGCAAACAACAAGAAATATTCTTCTCAAGAAATTGAAAAGTCTAATTGAAGCAAAAGGCGGTGGTGGTGCATCGAGACATTCGCTAGCGGCAAGGTAACCTCTTATTTGCACACATTTCTAACATACTAAATAAGATTTTCACATAATTTGGATCCTTTATCCTTATTCTTCAATTTACTGTCTGACATTTTTTTTATTTAGCGAAAATAAACAATTTATGTATATTTTAAAATAAAGGTACAGCAGTGATGAAACAGATGAAGATTTAGCAGTATCGACAAATAGAAAAAAGAAAGCTACAGCAGCAGCACGAAGACAAACATTAGCAAATCCAATGCCACCGCCGTTGACAACATCAGTTGTTTCCAGTATATCAAGTACGTCTAAATCGCCAGTAAAGAAAAAAGAGAAATCGTCACGAAATTCCGAGTCCGCCGACTCGGAATTTGATCATGTTCCATCTGTCTCAACAAGTCGAAGTAATAAAAAACCCGAGCAACCTAAATTGGTTAAAACTTACAAATTTACACCAATAAATGATGGATTAGAGACAGGTTCTGATTCAGATATGCCTGACGAGCCTGAAAAAGTTATACATGCACCTAAATTTGGTGAAACTGCACGATCATATGAACCTAAAATTCAAAATCAAAGTATTCCAGATCTTGTTTTACCTTCAAAACCATTATCAACATCAGTACATGAAAGTAAAACAAAACCAGTATATATAACAAAAGATGACAAATTTTCAACTCCTCAATTTAAAAATTCAAGTCCCATCGTGTCAAATAGAGGAGATTTTACAAAAGATTATGGAAATACTAGCGGCAATAAAAATGATGTTCTTGCTAATTTTGAAACACCGTATTTATCGGAATTTACCAGAAGATTGAGTTCGCGAAATTCTATAAATGTTCCTTCAGTTTCTAAATTTTCTCCTAAAAGTAAGTTCTTAAAATCCTTCTATTCATTTTATTTTGTAAATTTGTAATTGATAAAATTATTTAATGGTTTATTACAGGTCCATTATATCGACAAACAAATACTACACCAGAAGTTACAGAATCAGACACAAATGGTCATTATTCTTCTTCTTCAAGGCCTATTTATCCTTCAACTTCAAGGTACATTTTAATTTTCTATTAATCCATGTGTATTAAATATTAATTAAATTATTTATATTTTAATTTTATTAGATACATAACTTCAATCATGGATAGATCTAGAGAAATGGTTAAAAGAAATGTTAAACCAACAGCAAAAACAAAGGACGAAATGAGAAACAACCAAAATATTGTATCAATGATTCTAGTAATAGTATTGGCCCTATTTTTTGGAGTTTTAGCAATTGTTTACCTTGGTCTCGGCGGTAAAAACGACACTGTCCCATCACTTTCTGCTGGTAGGTATTCAGCATAAGCACTTTTATATGATAATAAACTACATTAATTGAATTCAATTTTTTTTTCACATAAAAGTTTAATTTTTGCTAATATTTCATAATAAAAGTTTGAATTAAAAAAACAATTCTTCTATAATGATTTATTGATGTTAAATCTACTAATTTACTACTAATATGCTCTAAATAATTGAGCAATATTAATGAACTTATTTTATATATATATATATTAAAAATTACAAATAATTTTCATACAAATAGTATTTTACTTAAAAATGTGTAGACATTATATTATACAAATGTGCCTGATTAAATGTAATTTTAATTCATTTATTGGATTTTTTATAATATATTTTTAATAACATATTAACCAGAAAAAAGAATTTTAACGGAATATTCTCTTTTTGAAAGTTACATTTTTTATTTTAATAAAAACATTTTAAAGAAAACGAATAGGTACCAATTAATAAAATCAGTGAAAATGTATTGTTAATACATTTATTATGTTATATAAAAATTGTCAACTATAAACCAATCTTAAAATATGTACTTTTCTCATTTGAACAATAAAGATTTTATATTAGAGAATTTTACATTTAAAAATTTATTTCACCCTCCTTGCTTTCGATAATAAACATTTTTGTTTGTTTTAACAAATAATATTTATATAAAACTTATAAAATACATTAATTTATTGTTCGAATAGTAGATGTAATTTTTTTAATACAAAAATCAATAAATGTTAAACATTAATATTATGTAAATTGTAATTTTTAGATAGCAACGTTCCTCTTTGCGTTTCGGATCTTCAAAATCAAAATCACCCCAAAGTGAATTGCGTTCTAGAGGAAAATGTTGGAAATGTATTTGATTTACTTGAAAAACTACAGCAAATTTTAATGCAAAAAGCAGTTTCAGCAATTTGTGATGATTCGAATGTTAAACCTTATCTTACTGACGATGATGTCGTTAAAATATTTAAAAGCCATAAAGTGGTAAGTGAAGATATTTCTTTAAATTAAATAAAAAAAAAAAAAAAAAACTTAAAAATTAATTTTTTTCTAAATATTTTTCTAGACGGAATTTGAAGTCAAAGAAGATTTGCACAATGCTGAAATTTTGATATTATCAAATCCAAAATGGGGAATGTCGCTTATTGAAATTGATCAAGAAAATAATGGATTGACACAAATTGTAGATACAATGGTAATTTTAAAAAATATGAAATATTTAAAAGAAAATTGCTTACTACATGTATTAAACAATTATATTACTAATTTCAGGAGAAATTATTTTCAGTTCGTGTAGAAGGAAAACTTGGTGTACAAATAATGAATCCCGCTTTACCAATGCAATGTCTGATTAAAAGAAAAGTTTTCACTTTATTTTCATCGATGCTTGTTGTAGCTTTTAGTAAGTTCAAAAATTATTTGTCTTTTTGAATTATATTTTTGTTATGCCAGTTGTTTTGATAAACTTCTTTTTTAGGTGCATTACTTTTAATCGGTGGGCATAAATTAACAACATGGTATATGCAACAAAAAAAGAAAACCGAGAAGGAAGTTTTTCAACTTGTCAGTGAAATAATCAGTATGGTGGAGATAAATCATCAAAATTCTGCAACAAGTAGTCCCGGTGGTACACAAGAAAGTTATCTTGCTATAAATCATGTACGAGATAATCTTATTCCACCGAAAAATCGTAAAAAATTGTCTGCTACATGGGAAAAAGCTGTGAAATTTTTAGATGAAAATGAATCAAGGTAGATTTAAAAAAAAAGTTAAGCAATTTTTTTAAAATTCATAATGAATAAATTTTTTTTTTCAGAATTCGTAGAGAAGTTCAGCAAGTTGCAGGAGAGGAATATCATGTTTGGCGATGGTTGCCAAGTAGTAATTTAAATACTTCGAATACACAAAATTCAAGTATGCAGAAAAAAACAAAAGTTTGGCAAGGACAAGCATTTGAAACAATGGAAGGATCTGTGAATAGTCCATTGAGTTCACCAACACCTTGTCTTAAAATAAGAAACATGTTTAAATTAGACGGCGAATTCGAAGATGACTGGGAAACAAAAGTAAAAGATGCTATACTTGAAAAATGCGGAGAAGGAGTAAATATTTTTCACATTAATGTTGATCGTGGTAGTCGTGAAGGTTGTGTTTACATGAAATGCATGTCCAAAGAAGATGCTGGAAAGGCGTACAGAGCATTGCATGGTTGTTGGTACGATGGTGAGTCACTATAAAATTATTTTAAATATTTTTAGTTTTGTAATTTAAAAACAAAAAAAAATTCTCAAACACTTGTAAATTTGATATTCCAGGACGTTTGGTTACTGTCAAATATTTGAGATTAGAAAGATATCATGAACGATTCCCAGATGCTGTATATTTTACCACTCCATTAAAGCCAAGTAACAATCAACGACTCTCATTGCAGTCAAATTATTGGCAAACACCATTGGAGGCAAACTGAGCAAACAAGTACTTTTGGATCATATTATGTTGGGTGCCATAAAACAAATGTTTTTATTTAAAAAAAAGAAAAAACAAATTACCTGACTAAGTGAAAATATTATACGTAAGTCTTTATTTGTACTTGAATCTAAAGAAATGTGTGTGTTATTCACAATTTTATAACAGCAATTAATTGATATGCTGATGACAAGTGCTAATCCTTTTTAGTTTCATAAGGTAAATATTTACAAAACTCTTTTTTTTTGAATCGTTATTTTTTCTTAATTTATATAATACTAAAAGTCGAAAATAATTGTTTTTCATGTAAAGTAAAAATAAGGCGTTGTAAAACAAAGACAAATTTAAATGAATTTAATTTTTTTTCTGTGTTACTTACATTTATATTTCTTATTTAGATATTTGCTTTCAAAAATTTTTGGTTCCTAGCACCATTTGTATAATTGACAGTATTAAGTTGACATGACTATAAGCATTTTAAATGCTATATATTTGGTTTAGTATTTAAAAAAAACTTCTTAATTTGGTTTTCATATTTGAGTCATTATTATCCGTTTCTTTGTAACCAGTTATACACCTGTTAAATAACTCGTTAATTGTACATCAGCAAAAAAAATTTAAATATTGCTGATTGTAAGCTGTAAATACTTTAAATATTTAGATTTTATTATCATCTCTATTACGGATAAAAAAATAAATTAATTTAGTAGTACATAAAACACTATTTTTTCTATTAAATTCTGTTAATTTTATGTTTTATCATATTTTTAAAATCCAAGTAATTAAATAATGGTTTATGTCAATTAGAAAAAAATTTAATTCCTTATTTTCTTTTGTAGAACTTATTTTTTAATAAGTCTAATAATATTTTCCTAATTTATTAGCAACTGTAATATTATTTCCAAAATTGAAGGAATTTTTACTTCATTTTATTAGAAACTAGAGGTACATTTTAAAAAAATGCATCCTATTCAATGAAGCACAATATAAGTTACCATGGAAATTTGCGAGGTCATACATAGCAGTTTAAATGAATCGATCATATTATTTTTCGCGCATTGTCAGTATTAATCGACGTGATCTAACAATACGATGTAGCCAACAATCATACCTTTGGTATAAAGATCGACGCACCGATGTCTTATAAAAACATTGTCACAAAACGTAATTATAATACTATTTTCTTTAAGCAAAAAAATGTGATTTGTTTGTAGAGTAGAAGACTTGTTTCTATTTTAAAAATTGCTGATTTTGTTTATATTAATTGTTTTCATTCCTTAATACAATTTTTTTATCTTTTTTGTATAATAAAAATAAAAGTACAATTTTTAAAATTCTAAATATTTACAAAATATTAATAAAATAATAAACTTTTTTTTGAATATTCATTAAATTATTTTTAAAAATTGGTTTTAATATTAAATTAAACAATTGTATTAGATAGTATTTTTTTATTAGTTTAGTAAGATAGGAGACAAATAGGGATTTGAAGGATAAAACTAAGACAAAGGTCAATTTTAAAAACTTTTCTTTATTCCTTGGGATATAGTCATTCTATGCGTCAGTCGGTGAAAGATAATTTGTTAGTGCACTGAGATTTGGACGAGCTTTAAATCTCTTTTGATACATAATTGGATTCCTCTTACGCAGTGAGGCCATTTAAAAAGATGTCTGTAGGAGTCATGGAAACTGTCATGGGAAAAAGTGGAATCATGGAAGCTGCTGCTCAAGTTGTTACAGGACAGGTAAAATTATTTTTTATCAAATAAGAAATTAAACAATTATTTTTCTTAATTTAAGAGAATATAGTATATAAAAACTGTTTATTTATTTTTATTTAGCTATAATTAATTACTTGCTATCAATTTATTATTTTCTTTTAAAATTACTTTCTTTGACTTCTAACAAAAGATGCTTGTAATTTTTTATCTTAATCAGTGAATGTTTCATAATTTATTATTAGTCATCAATAATAATTTTATCACTTTACTCTAGACAATGAACTTATTTATTTTGAAATGTTTATTGCAAAACTAGTTTGTTTAAAAATGAAAAAAGGTAAAAAAAAAAAAAATGACGAATTTTACAAAAGAAACTCGAAAAAGAGATGAGTTAAAAAATAAAAACAACTTAGGCACATGTGACTTTTTTACTTAATTTATATTTTTCATTTACAAATTTTATAAATACATTTTCATTCAATTTTTTTTTTTAAATAACAAATAGCAAATCTTTTCACTTTGCACGACAGATCATTCTTATGAATGATATATTTAGAATTTTTGTCATGGTTACTCTAGTTAAATTCATTATCATTTGACATAAGTTGTATTAAAAACAAAATGAATCGATCAATAAAAGAATGTCATCAAACATTTTTATTATACAAAGTGTCCTATTTTTTCCACTTCTTATAAAATTATTTAAAAGCTGTTACTTTTATTACTATTTGCTATATATTAAATAAAGCCCTGGCCTCCTTCCACCCTTAAACTAGACTTTATTCTATGGACAATCTGATGGTATAGAATCAAATCTAAATTTTACTTCAGTTAGTTACAATTCTCCATCGCAACAAATCACATTACTCTTTATAGTAATTAAAAAAATATTGTTAAAAAATAAATATTCCAATTGAAAGGATTTCCCGTTTATGCAAATGCTCGGAATGGAATGAAAATAGATTTTCAAAATTAATTTCTTTTGAAAAGTATAATTTTCATACTTTTTTAGTGAATAGAAAATAAATATAACAAAGCATTTATTTATAACAATGACTCGTACCCCTCGCCGTGTTCCATCGTCATCAACAAAACCAGTGACTTTTGGCCAACCAGTAACTCATAGCAATAATGAAGAGGATTTTGAAAATAATTTACGAGTTTCGCGATCTAATAGAGAACCAATAACTTCATACAGTCATTATAGTGCGGTTCAATTTCAAAGAGAATTTAATAATCGCTATAATACACCTTTTGTTGTTGAATATCCTATTGCTTCTGAAACTGTAAATCAGGTTATTAAAAAAGTATGTATAAATATTTAGTTAATGAATAACTTTAAAAAAAAAATTGTTCAATTTACTCCAAAATAATTTTTTTTCGCAATGATCATTTGACAAAAGAAAAATTTTCTCATTTAAAATTTTTTTTACATTTATATTTATTTCTATTATAGCTTTCATTAATTCATTAATTTCTATAGAATTAAATTTAATTAAGTTTTTACTAAATTTATTCACGAATTTAATATAATTATGAAAATCTACTTTTATTTTAGCCTAAATCCTGGGACGTAAATCGATATGCAACAAAAAAAACAATTGCTCAAGGGATGCTAGATATTGCCTTACTTACAACTAATGCATCTCAACTTAAATTTATACTTCAGGTAATTATTATGAAAAATTACTTTGTTTATAAAGTTGAAAAAAAAATATTTTGTAGTGTTATTTATAAATATTTTTGTTTAGGTTGGAAGTCAACACGAATTTTATACATTAATGCTGACACTGATTGGTATTTCAATTAGTTTACAGGTAAATATAAAAATATTCCCTGAATTGTAAATAATAATTATTCTATTATTAACTACAAATAGATTTTATTGTTAATATTACATATTTTTATACTCCTTTGTGGAGAAAAAAGAAGAAAACGTCTATAGACAACCTAGATAAGTTGCCTTTTATATTCATATAGTATTTGTACCCTTTTTTCTATGTTAATGTCAGAATCAATAATTTAAAGTTTATTAATTTTATCATTGACATTTTGGCCTCGTAATACTTTAAAAACATTTTTAAATATAATAATAATTTAGAAGAATTAAAAGTTTTAGATGTATATTTTCTTTAAATTATAAATTCAATAAATATTAAATAAAAATCATGAAAACTTTTAAAACTTGACTTATTTATTATTTAATTAATTAAAAATATATTAAAATTTCGTACTTTGTATGATTAAAAATCTAGTCAGTCATATCTTTGTTATTTTTGTTTATAGCTTCTTCAAGGTGTTCTTTGTGTATTATTAGGATCGAGCTTTGATATAAACAAAGAAAATCATCAACGAAGAGCAAATTTATGGAACGATATTTGCATGTCAATGATGGTTTTGACAGTCGCCGTCAATGTAATATTATCTGCATTTGAAATGCGTGACACAAATCATATTGAATATAGATCAATCAAGAACGCTATTCCAATGGAAGAAGAAAAAGCGTAAAAAAAATTGTAAATAAATAAATTTCTTAAAATTCTTTTATATCTGCAATTAAATAATATTAATAATAATAAGTTAAATATCTGTATATCACTAAATTTTACAGAAAATGAAGTATTTGAATTTTCAATATTGAAAATAACAAAATTTTACATCTATAGGAATAAAATAATTTTTTTTATATTTTACAAATAGAATTAATTAAAATGATTTTTTTCTTAAATTTTATGATATAATTTTATTAAATTAAAAACATTTATATACAACAGAAATTGTACTGGGTCATAATAGACCTAAACAAATTGTAATTAATATATTGAATAAAATATAAGGTGCGACAATCAATAAAAATTATTAAGTGTTTTATTAATTTAATATATAGCATTCATTTTTTTCCACCTGTAAAAACAATAATTACTTTATTATTCTCAAATTTAATTAATTTTTACTTTAGTATTTTATCAAATTGTCGTTAGTATAATTATTACTTTAAATTTATGTTAAATGGCAATTTTTGTCACTGGATTCATTTCTTGAGAAACTTTAAGTAGTTATATTATTATTATTATTATCGTCATCTTTCTTTTGTATATAAATTACATAATTTCTCCTCAAAACGAACTGAAAATATTCGTTATTCTTATTTTTAGTATAAAAAGTCAAAAAATATAAAACTAGTTGAAAAAATTGTTTAAAAAAATGTAATTTTGTATAAATATTTTCTGTCTTACCCTTTTTTGTGCCTTTCTTTCCAGCATCAGCATGTTCATTTGATTTGGATTGTGAAGATTTTCCACCAGAAGAGCCTCCTGAAGATCCCTTTCCTCCTCCACTAGTTCCTTGTTTTTGCTGTAAAAATTTTAAATGTTTTAAAAAAATTACATAAAAGGATATAAATAACTAATGTTTACATTTAAACACTTACATTTCCACCTTTATTGTTTCCACCTATAAATATAAATAGTCTACCTTTCATCAATCGCATATATTATAAATTGTCAAATGCGTAAAAAGTTACATAACAAATTTAAATTCGATTACAATAAAATAGTTCTTTGATATAATGAGAATAATTTTGAATAATTATATTTTGTTATAAAAGTTTTACTTTCCAATAATAATTTTATTGTAATTTAAACTTTTTCAAATGAATTGGATAAATGTTCACAAACAATATTCCTTTTTAAATGTTTTTCTCAATTTCATGATATATTATTAAAAGCTCAACTTGACAATGAAACGTAATAAAATATTCTAAATATACTTACCTTTACCCTTGGCCATGATAATGAAATAATTAACAAAGAATTTAGGAGTAATTCAAAACAAAACAAAAAAAACCGTATAATTAAACTTTAGTGATTAAACGTTCAAGACACACGAAATAACGGAAGTAACTGATGCAATAGAAAAATATTTAACTCTTCATTTGTTTTGCAATATCTTCAAATGTTCTTTTCTGGGCGGTCTCAAAAATATTAACTTCTTTACCGACGAAAATGCATTATTGCAATTTATATACATATAGATATGTATTTCAAGTACATATTAATATTATTAGTGCTGCAAATAAGATAATATAGAACAATAAAGTGGAAGAAACTTCATTGTAAAAGATTAATCAAAATGTTTCAAATATTTACAACTTAACATAAAATTTATTTTAAATAGTACATTATTTATATAATAAATTTATAAAAATATCTAATACAAATATAGAACATAGGTAATGGTAATAAAATACTAATATTATTAATACTTTCTAACCTAAGCTTAATTTTTTATAAGAATAATCCAACGTTGAGTTTATTCATCATCAATTGCATTATGATAATTTAGTTTATGATTTAAAAATTATCTTTTGGTAATACATGATAACAAGAATTTAAGAAAATTGTATACATATCTTTAAGTCTTGTTCTGTATTGGATACTTAATTTAGTAACTGCTGTCTCTGGAAATTTTGCCACTGATGATAACGGAAGAATATTATTTAAAATTGTTCCATGCAAGTTGATGGTTAAATACATCTTAATTACACCAGCTCCAACGTTGCATCTCCTTCGATAAAAGAAAAAAAAAACAAATATTAGTTTTAAATTGTAGAATTTTTCTACATTATTATTTAGTAAAGTTTTAAATTATAATTTCTATAGAATATTTATAGTAATTTTAATATTGCTTAATATAGAAAAGAATTGTTCCGATTTCAATATTGTTTTCGCCTTGCCTAACCTAAAAGTAGAAGGCATTTCAAACACAAGCAAAAATGTTTCAAAACAATTTTTCAGTTGTAATATAACTAATAAATTTTGTATGGTAAAAATACTTTAATTATCTTTATACATCTAGGATAAATAGAAGTAAAAATGCATATTGTTAACACATACCTGAATTTTACTGCCGCTTTATCCTTTTAAACAGAAATTGTAGATACTTTCTTTTAATTCTTTTTATAAAAATTGTGCAAAAATTCTTTTACTTTTTTAAATCATCACGTCCATTATTAAATACAACAACGTATATTTAATTTAATGAAATGCTTATTAACGTGAGAGGCATCTCACAATCACGTAGACGTACAAGCGAGTAATGTCGAATAAGTACATGCATGCAGATGAGAGCGTATAGACATGATCCGATAGATGACGTTGAGAAGCTGAAATAATCAAAATTTCAATTAGACAATAAGAAATAATAATTACGGTATATGAATATTAATAAAAATGTACATGAGTTTTATTTTTATTCTTAAAATTGACTATATATGTACACTTATATGTTTTTATTTGCATATTTTATATACATATCTGTATTTACTTTAATTATATAGAAATAAACTTTGGATGTTATTTGGTGATACATAATATACAAAATAATTTTTGAAAATTAAGAAAACGTTAATTATTTACAAATTCAAAAATTTGAGAATGGGTTTGGAAAATTTTATATACGTGGTTGAAAGAGCATTGTAGCCATTACCGTTATAAAATTGTATTATTAGATTTTGATGTCTGTGTTGCTTTCTTTAGAAAGTTTCACAGTAAAGAAATTATTTCCCGAATTAACAAATATTATTTATAAAGCGAAGCTTATTTTTATTGATTACTAATAAATTAAATATTCTGATATGACTACTCATCAGGTTTTCTTGTATTTTCATTTACTGCCTATAATATGAATATTTTTTACTAAATATTTTATTGTTTATATTAAATATAATATATACCACGATTAACTTTATATATTGTAAATAAAGTGAAATTATTTACTTTTAGTAAAAAATAAGTTAAAAAAGTACAATTTTGTCAAAAACAAAACAAAGACTTAAAGAGAGTATTCTTTAAATTAATCATTACTAAATAATATTCCTGCATAAAACCTACGTGAAAATCTACTTTAGGGAACGTTTACAAATCGACCGAATCAATATAAAACAAATTATAATTCAAGCCTCTGTCCGCTTTTAGGCATTACACACATATAAAATCGAACATGGAACATACCATATATGGTATACACGGCACTGTTATAACGGAAGTTGGAAATGCATAAGATCATTATGGAAAAGAACTTATTTTATAAGACTATTTATCCATTTAAAAATGTATTTTTAAAAAATTAATAATTTAGAAATTAATTATACCTTATTTTTTTATCATTATATATTAAAATATTGTTAAAAATTGACAGGTGTTCTGGACTATTTTTTACAAGAAGTAAAAAATTAATGAGTTCTACGGTCAAATGATAACCAATCACAGCAATGATGACAACATAATCCACCAATCAGCAATCAAAGGGGGGAAGTTTCATGGTACTATAAATACCAAAGTGACGCGCACCCGCGCGCAGTATTCGTCTTCTCTTTTAACGGCATTGTTGTATAGTTTGCAGAAGCCGCATTACCTGCTTCAGCCAACAATCAACTTTCCGTTTTACTTGAAAAGAAAACTACATTAATATTCAAAATGGTAAGTTTTAATATATTAATATCATTTAAAATTATTTTTACTTTAATTTGTTGATTTTGTCGTAAAAAAGAAAATTCTCCATTTTCTTTCCTTGAGGTCTTTATTCGACCATCGATTCGGCCATATTGTTGTAACGGTTAACTACCGGCCGGCTCCACCCTTTTTGTGAGTCATATTTCTAGCCCTACCCTTTATGATTTCTCGATTATTTATAACCTTGGGATAATTTTATTAAAGAAATTTAGAATGATTTTTAACTTTTTTTTTAATACTTTCCCTTTATCTGTGTCGCGATTTTTTATTCTAGAACTTTGTATCTAAATTTGGAGGTTCTCTTTTTAATTTTTTTGGAGTCATTTTTAATTATTGTGTTTTATTTTCAGCGTGAATGTATCTCAATCCACGTTGGCCAAGCTGGAGTCCAGATTGGTAATGCCTGCTGGGAACTTTACTGTTTGGAGCATGGCATCCAGCCGGACGGTCAAATGCCCTCTGACAAAACTATTGGTGGAGGTGATGACAGTTTTAACACCTTTTTCAGTGAAACTGGTGCTGGAAAGCATGTTCCAAGGGCTGTCTTCATCGATCTTGAACCAACCGTAGTCGGTAAGTTTGTAAAATTATAATTGCTAAATTTAAAATTTATTCTCTAAAAATATTAATTAAATTTGTTTTTAAATTACAGATGAAGTACGAACTGGAACATATCGTCAGCTGTTCCATCCAGAACAACTCATCACCGGAAAGGAGGATGCAGCTAACAATTATGCTCGAGGTCACTACACTATCGGAAAAGAAATTGTTGACTTGGTTCTCGACCGTATCCGCAAATTGGCTGATCAATGCACTGGACTCCAGGGATTCTTGATCTTCCACTCGTTTGGTGGAGGTACTGGCTCTGGATTCACGTCACTTTTAATGGAAAGGCTCTCTGTTGATTATGGAAAGAAATCTAAATTGGAATTCGCCATCTATCCTGCCCCTCAAGTTTCAACTGCTGTTGTTGAACCATACAATTCAATTTTGACAACTCACACTACCTTGGAACACTCTGACTGTGCCTTCATGGTAGACAATGAAGCCATCTACGATATCTGCAGAAGAAATTTGGACATTGAACGACCAACTTACACAAATCTTAATAGACTGATTGGACAAATTGTATCATCAATTACGGCATCACTTCGGTTTGATGGCGCTCTTAATGTTGATCTTACCGAATTCCAAACAAATTTGGTACCTTATCCAAGAATTCATTTCCCTCTGGTTACTTATGCTCCAGTTATTTCTGCCGAGAAGGCGTATCATGAACAACTTTCTGTTGGAGAAATTACAAACGCCTGTTTCGAACCAGCTAACCAGATGGTGAAATGCGATCCCAGACATGGAAAATACATGGCCTGTTGCATGTTGTACAGAGGAGACGTTGTTCCCAAGGACGTCAATGCTGCAATTGCAACCATCAAAACTAAGCGTACAATTCAATTCGTTGACTGGTGCCCAACTGGTTTCAAGGTAAGATACATTTTTTATTTCTAATTAAAACAGATTTTTATTTCTTCAAAATTATTTTGAAATAATATTTAAATGGTTTTTCTTTTCTAGGTCGGTATCAACTATCAACCACCAACTGTTGTTCCTGGTGGTGATTTGGCTAAGGTACAACGAGCAGTTTGCATGTTGTCCAACACAACAGCTATTGCCGAAGCATGGGCACGACTTGACCATAAATTCGATTTGATGTACGCCAAACGTGCTTTCGTACATTGGTATGTTGGAGAGGGTATGGAAGAAGGTGAATTCTCTGAAGCCAGAGAGGATCTTGCTGCTTTGGAGAAGGACTACGAGGAAGTTGGTATGGATTCCACCGAAGGTGAAGGAGAGGGTGCAGAAGAATACTAGACTACCACAAAATTTTCATCAATTTTTACGACATTCCTCTCTGCAAAAAAAAAAGAAAATGAAATTTCAAAACCAATATCTTTTACACCAGTCTTTGTTTACAATTTTTTGCCAATTGAATAAAATACAGTAATTTTCAGCAACTTAAACAATTGATTTATTATTTTCCTCCAATCAAACTTATTTTACTATAGCTTAAAAGAAAAAAATTTTCAATTTTTAAAATTAAAAAAAAGAAAACGTATTTAAAATTATTTTACCATATATTTAATATTTCATAATATATTAACTATTACAATAATAAATTGCAATTATATTGTTTAATAATACAATAATTATTGTTATGATAGCATTTCGTCGGAGAGGAGTTTTTAATGTATACTCCGTGCCTGAAAAACGCATTTTCTGTTTTGCAATCTCAATTTTTTTTAGAGATAAATACAATAGAAAATGGAAAGAATCGAATTTGTGACTGATTCTTTTTTTTATCGATATTTCCTGTACAAAAAAGCTATTTAACGTTAAACGTACATCGCGTTATTAATTGTCCGATACTCACGCAAGTGCTATCAAATATTTATTTCACAATCGCAGTCCACAATCATATATTTATTATATGTATTACAATATCAGATAAAAAGTAATCAAAAGGAACATTTTTTAATTAAAAAATAACGAACACAAGTCGTTCGTATCGTTGCTCAATTCGCTTTAACCCGCATTTATTTTTAAGAATGTTTATTTTATAATAAATCAAAATTATTTATTATAAATAATAATTAAAAAATCATTCAAGTACATTTAAAAACCAATTTACTGGTTAACATTTTTTACACCTTTTTTTATAAAAAATAGATTTATAAAAATAAACAATCAATAGATAAACAAATTATAAAAATTTTTAAACCAGAAAAATGATTTAATTCCCTTTTTTTAATGCTTTACGTAATATTTGAATGATTCTTATTTATAATATCGAAAATTATACAAACTATCATTTAAAAAAGTATTAATAATAATAATAAATTCTTTTTATTAACTGTATTCCTGTAATAAAATTATAATGAATCAATAAGACAATTGAAAAGAACAGTAATATAATTTATAGCGCCACGGAATTTTTAATTTTAAAAAAATATATATAAAATAAAACAAACCCACAAAAGACTTTTTTAATAGTAAAAAATATTAATATAAAATGTTATTTGTCAAGGGAAAGAGAAAATTTCTTAAAATCTAAAAGAATCTTCTTGTCTAGAAAAAATAGTATTTACAGAAAGTATTGTCTAAAATAATATTTCGCATTTTTTATTAAAACATTTGAAAGGTTTTTTTTTTTAATACAGGTGGTGTTTTTTTAATTCACAATAAAACAAATAATTAAAATGCATTTTGCCCATCTTGAAAAATTTTCAATAAAATAAAAGGAAACTAATAAAGATAAATAAAAAGCACTTTGGAAATTATTGCAAGCAAGTGCAGCGTGTTTATTTTAATGACTCTAAGGCGCGGTTTTAGCGAGTTCAAGTGAATCGATTGAAAAAAAGATTTATTATTAAGATTTAAATTTATTAGAAATAAAAGCCGAGTCATATTCAGCTTTTTTGGCCGCATACTTTTTTTTGTGAGACTGCACATCAATATATTTTATTCTTCATTATCACGTCCTTATAATTGTAGCTTAATAATTATATCTTCCATACATTAAAACAATGAACGTGGTAATTTATTTTTTCTCTTTATGGAAGATGGACAAATGCATGAGTTTATATATTTCTACAATAAAGCGTATCGAAGTTTTATTGAACTCTTTTTTTAATTTAACTTCGATTACTTTTTCTTTTTTTTACCTCATCGATTCCTAATTAGCGATTAAGCGTACTCGCTAAATCTTCTTCATAGGCCATTTTTTTTTAAAGCGAAAGAGAAAAAACAATGTGCAAAGATAAAAAGCGACATTCGTTATAATATTTCGCGAATCTAAATATAATCCTTTCTTTTTTTCATTTAGAAGGTGGCCCACGATATTCGCCTTACCCTTCCGACTAATTATCAGGTACGGAGGATCTAGAGAAATCAATCGGAGATCACCATAATAGAAATTGTTTTTTTTTGCGCAATTAACTTGCTCTCCTTAAATAAAAAATAAAAAGAAAACGTTCTAGCGAGAGTGTTTTTATCATCGAAACTTCTGAGATGACATCTTATATCATTAATATCTTTTATTAATGTACTAGCTTAAAAATCTTCTCACTATAATGTTGCTTAAAATAAGAAATAAAGTTTATTAGAGCGCCTTCAATTACATATGCACAATTGTTAAAAAAAAATATTCCACTCTCGATTATAAGAGAGTAAGAAGCTTAAAAAGTGTGCTCACACGTGTCGAATTATTATTTATTAGGGAAAAGTCAAGTAGCATCGACCTTTCTTTAAAAAAAAATTTCTAATAAATCATCAAATATTTGTATTGTTAATTGCACCTCAAATTATATATATATATATATATTTATATATATAATATATTTAATATAAAATTGTTCCCATTTCTACTAGAAACATATTGATAAATATAGTCTAAACACCTTTATGTCAATTATTTTTTTCTTTTTAAGTAAATAAAAATCAAATAAATTGTAAATAAAGTCAATTGTGACTGTCAAAAAAATTCATTAAATAGAATGAAAAATATTCTATACAAATATGTTTCTGGTTATATTTTTATAACCAAATTATATATAATAAAATAATTGAAAATATAAATCTCAGGAAGACGGTGCTACCAGAATTTATCCTAATTATTATTATAATAATTTTCTTTTCTTTTTCTTTACAAAATATGCAGTCACGTAATGCACGTAAGAGGGTAGAATCCGGTAGCCTATAACTTTCGAATAGAACGTTTCGTGCAATTTACCCGAAAGAGAGAGTGTTAAAAGCACATTTTACGACATTATTACACATCGTATTATAATTACGAGGGTGAGTTTTCTTTTTTTCTTAAGATTTTTAAATACAATATAATAATAATAAAAAGAGCGCGACTCTTAACAAATTAAAAACGTAAAAACGTTAACAATACAATAAAATTTTTTCTTATTGTAGACGTAATGCGATGGCAGTCTTGAGTCCTGGAAAGATGCTATATGATTGTTTTGCTCGGTTCTTTTTTTTTTTGCTTCGATCGATAGAGATGTACTCGAAAGCAATATTTAACTTGTCCTCTATATAATTGCTTTATCACGTCTATAAAGTTTCTCATTCATGAACTCGCATTTCGATTCCGGATTGGATGTGTCAACGTTTACTTATGGTAAGCTTTTCTTTGTGGCAGTGTCTGAAATCAAATCGCAATAATTAAAAGACGAGAAATTTTAAAAAAAGTATTACCAAAATAATAATCATAGTGAATTATTTAATTCTGAAATATATATTATTATAAAACGGAAATCAAATTAAAAATTTACGATGAGAAAACAATATTAATGACTCATTGTAAACTAAACCGTTTCTTCCTCTAGGTATAATAAAACTAGCGAGCTCAACACTATATCCTATCCTATTAATGCCATTCAGCTTCAGTCATAAAACTATTGGTAAATAACTTTATCTTTACAGAATCCGTTAAAAATTCAGAAAGGTAAGAAAATTTTATTTTTTTTTTTTTAAAGTCGTGAATAAAATTCTCAAATACTTCCCATGCCTTTACAAGCGAGCAGTAAAAATAAATAAATAAAAAGAAGAAATGATATATTTTTGAAAATAAATCTTGATTTTAGTTTTTCCATGATTTATTGAACAAATAAGAAAATTATACATACCGAGTATAGAACTACCTACGCCTCAACAGGCTTCTTCTTTTCCTTTTTCTTTTTAAGAAAAGACGGCGTCCTCAGTCCCTTCTTCTTCTTCTTTTCTTTCTTGGGAGATTCTTCACTGACGCTGACATCCTGCGACATGGAACCCTTAACATGGAAGGTCCCAACCTTAAACTTTTTCTCATGCACATGCAGTGTGTGTTTTTTGTGTAATTCTTTCAAAATAACCCTAAATTTCAGTCTCAATCACATGCAAGCAGTAGCGAATAGCTTGCTTACAGCACTATTAATTATTTATTCTATTTTATGTCTCTCTAGTTAAAAAAAATCTATTTTTTTAAAATGAAATGATGGATATAAATATTAATTACTAAATAATGAAACGAAGTTAGACTTTTTTAAATTTTTGGTTTCAAAAACTCACAAAATTAATCTTTTTCTAGATATGAAAAATTATTAAAATACAATTCAAAATTTTTTAAAATTACTTTCTGAATTATGAAATGTGCAATATGAATTTTTGTGTAATTACACTGAATAAAAAGACTGAAAAAGAGAGTAATTTTCTGAAACTTTTTCTTCTTGTATAAAATGCAAATTTATTTTTAAAAATATGAAATTATCTGTATAATAAGTTTCAGAAAACTATAGATAAAATTTTTTTATAAAATCTTCGTACACATTATATATGTGAATGGTAAATTTCTAGTAAATTTTCTTTGTAAATAATAACAATAAAATGAACATACATATATAATATATTCAAAGATTGATTTATAATTAAAATTAACGAACCTCTTTGCTACTGTGCGAAAATGTGCTGTGATGCGCATCAGAGTGATCTCCATTCACGGTGTTTTCTCCTGTAACATAAAATCAAAAAAATTAAAATTTTATTCAAAAAATCATTATTTGCAAAGAATATTCATTTCTAAATAAATATTTCTTAACAAATTTTTGAAAATTTTCCTTAAACCCAACACCAACAAAGAAAAACTATTTATATACTTTGGAGAAAGAGAAGAAAGGGAATTATCTTACCTCATTAATATATTAAGCTTGATAGATGTGTAAAATAGCAAAATTCTTGTGATTTAAATGCTATATGAGAAAGGCAATCAGAGCATGAATCTTGTTAACAAAAAATAATACTGCCAAGATACTTTATAATTGAAAGGAGCTACAAACTTTTGACAAATTTATATTTTTATTTTTTTTGAAAACAAAAATTACGAAAAGCTCATTCCAATTATTTTCTATTTTAATAAAAAAAATGAGTGTTATTAATGAACTTTATTAATCGATAAGTACAAGAAAGATGGTGATCATAAGGACTATGTAAATTATTACAAAAAAAATATACAATACCAAATACCAAAATATTATCCATAAAACCAAAGTGCACCTTAGAAATTGTAGAGAACAAAATAGAAATCAAGTACTTATGAACAACTTCTTCCTTCCACAACTATCTTTATATATTTAATTTCGTTTTTTTGCAAAAGATTCTTTATTTCTCATGAAAGTGTGATATGAATATAATTATAAATAAATATAAATGATATGAAAAGCCAAAGGATTAATCACACGTGCTATATACATAGCGCTAAAAATATAATGGTAATTGTGCAGAAACAAAAAAAGTATTCCTTAAATAAAACAAAATAAGCGATTTCTTAAACTTCAAATTCACAAATGTACCATTACATTTTTAAAAATGCCTTTGAATCAAAATCTTAACTCTAATTTTTGTAATTTAAGCGGTTATCACGACGAAAAGTTAATCGTACTTTTTTTTAGATTTACGATAATAAATCGATTTTCTTGTCTCAAATATATAACATTTAGAATGTAGTAATTATTAAAAATACTAGTTTAGTATTTACTTAGATAGAAAAATGTATATAAAGATATATTATATGTATATTTAAAGATTTTCTAAATATAATTATATGTATAATATGTAAAAACGAGTTTTTAAAATTAATAAACTTCGAAATAGATTTAAAATCTATAAATATTTAGAAAGTTTTTTTTCGCATATATATATATATATATATAAACCAAGTTTCTTTTTTCTTCGATAAAGTTTAAAAAGCATTTACATGCTTAAAAGTTTTTAAATATTATTTTTATAATCATTCTAATATATCACGAGAATCGTTATTTATACTAAATGATGAAAAGCTATCAGTGTCAGCAAGATTCATTTGTGTAATTACTCTATATAAACTGGTCTCTTCATATTTTGGTTCATCATCAGTTAATAATGAAAATTCACTTTTTTTAAAATTACAACAAATTGTACTGTCATGTTCTTCAAGATGTTTTTCAAGTTTCATGAATTCTTTAGTGTCATATGAATATGTCATGTAATCAGGTGGATTTTTTTGTGCTGGTTCTTGATCTCCATCTGAAAGCACTGTACTCGCTGAAACATCAGCAAAATTTAAAGTTGTATTATTATAGTAGTCCTTTATATTTTCTCCCATTGATTCTTCAATTTTTCGTGCTTCCACATTTGAAGAGACATCGGCATGATATTCAAATTCTGAATTTTTATCATTATCGCTAACATCTGAAATAGAGTATGTTGCATTTTGATTTTCATCAAAGGCATCTTCTAATTTATCCATCATTTCTCTGGTTGTGTCTATTTGTTTGTCGAAACTTTTCCACGATTCACTTGCATCACAAGTAAAATATTCCACACTACGAGGAGAAATTAAATCAAAAGTTTTCTCTTCACAATTAACAAATTCTGTCGATTCATTTAATTCTTCAATTGGAGGAAGTTTTGAATTCATCTCCTCACCAATACTCACTTCCAAGCAACAAGTACAAACAGTTCTTTCTTCTTTATCCTCCAAGTCACCAAAATGAATGAATGAGGGTGATTTTTCCAATAATTGAAATCTTTCATTTTTACAATTCTCTTCTATTTTATTTTCTCTAATATTCCAGAGAAAATTGACCTCTTGATCATTTAATACTTCCTGAGATTCTGTATTTGTTGCACAAGGATCGAGTCTTAAAATTTCCTTCTCTCGACTGTTGTCAGATTTTGTATCGTTATCTGTCGATTCGGAAGTTACTTCCTGTTCGGCGAAATTTTCCGACTCGACTGATTGAATCCCCGAGGGTGAAGAATTTACGGTACTAGTTGGATATTTTGTATTTTTATCATTGTCAGATGCAAACATTATAATTAATTTATTTCTCAAGTTCAAAACATCGTCTTCATCGTCACTTTCCGGAAAATTCTCCTTCAAAGGACTTGACATTTCTTGACAATTTAAATCATTTTCTTGTACTTTTAAATCTTTACTGCCGCTCATAAGATGCAAAAGCTGTTTTATACATTCTTTATCCTTTTGTGTTTCGGATGATTCTTTATTCTCTGTTGGCAAACAATCATGACAATCACAAGGTAAAATATCGTCATCTTTCATATTTTTCAAAAGTCCCTCTAATCCAACTTCATTATTATTATTATTATTATTATTAGGGCATTTTTTCAGTTCAATATTCACTGTTTCTTTAAGTTCCTTTGGAATACACACTGTAGGATTATCATAATCAAATTTATCAATAATGTGATGTACAATCTCTTGAATAACAATAAAATTATTCATATTCTCCTCTTCTTTTTCTCCGATTAAATTCTTTAAAGTTTCAGATTGTAAATCATTTTCAATTTGTGAATTTATTTCTTCTTGTTCGTTACTTGGTAAAGTTGAGATCAATCTTTCGATAATATCTTTAACAATAAGAAATGAGTAAATTCTATTTTGCATCAAAAGTGTTGCTTCTTGTTTCAAATTTTTTATATCGATATACATATTTAAACACGTTATATCGTAAATTATGTCATCGACAAAATTTGTTGCACTTGTGTAAATTTCCGTTTTTTCCAAATCGTTGATTATTTCATTGACTGTTGAATTTAATTCATGACGGAATGATTCATCTTCATTTTTCTTAATTTCATGATAAGTGGAACTTGGAAGTTCTAAAATATCAGAACCTTGAGTGGAATTATTTTCAATGTCAGATAAAGTCTCATCATTTGAATCTAAAATATTGATATTTGGACATGATTGTATTAGAGAAAGTTGTTTTTCTGTATTTAATATTTCATCTCTTTGTTTTTTCACACATGCAAGATCAAGCCAATCAAATAAATCGTATTTTGAATTTCTACTCGCATTCATTTGATCAAAATCTTCAAAACTTCCAAGACTAAGTCCCATCATTTCAATTGAAGTATTTTTACTAGATGGACCTTTTTTTGATGATATTTCTGCCGATGGTGTGAGACTGTAAATCAAACTCATATTAGTTGGATCTAAATTATATTTCAGAGAATTATCAGTTTCGGGAAGATTTTCAAATGTTGTTATTGTTGATGAAATATTAATGTTAATATTGTTAATCATGTCAGTGATGCTGTCTCTTCTCTCATAACACTTTGAAGATGATTCACTTTTTGGAGAAATTTTATTAATGGAATTCTCAATTTTTTCTTCATCTTCATCGACAATTTTCTTGTAAACTTTTGATAATAATTTATCAACTTCTAAATCTGAATGTTTCAATGAAAATATTTCGTCTATAATAGCTTCAATATTTTCCACATTTGTTGGGGTTTCTAATTTTTGTGTGGGAAATCCTTCGATATCTTCTATATTTTCATAGTCAACATTAAAAATTTCATCAAATGGATCTTCTTCTGTTTGAATTTTAATCTCGTGTAGGGAAAATAATTCTTTTAAATAAAAACTCTCCTCTTCTTTGTCATCAAAAGAATTATTCTCTCCTTCTGATGATGATGAAGATATTTCTTTGACAAAATCTTCATATTTTATATCAAGCTGATCCTGTGAAGTGATTTTGGACTTTGAAATTTCATCTCTTTTTAATTTATTATCATCGATTTCTTCTTTTTTCTTAATTTCTTTTAAATCATCTAAATTTAAATTCCTCAGAATATTTAATTTTATATTTTCTTCTTGAGGAGTTGAAATTTCATGATCTAGATTATCCTCTTCAGTTGAAATGATATTTTTATTTTCGAAAGTATTGTTGACATTAAATGAAGATTCACTTTCTTTTGAACTGTTTTTTCTTTTGAGTTCTTCGTCTTCACAAGATGAAATTGCTTCATTTTTAAAAGATTCATATTCGGTAGCTAATATTTCATTGAAATATAAAAACAGTTCTTCTATCACAATATCCTTATTATCATTTGATGAAATTTGCAATTCATCCTGTTTATTTCTATTTATCTCAAAAGAACTTTCTTTTATAGATATTTTTGAATGGAAACTTTCATTTAAATTATTATCTGATGTACTTTCCTTTTCATCAATTACTGATGAATCATGATCAGATTTATATTCTTCATTGTTAAATTCATTTGTCATTGTTTGTTCGTTTGTTTCACATTCTTCTATAGGAGTAATTTCATTATTTTCACAATTAATTGATTCTTTTACATCCTCAGAAATTTCAATAGATTTTTTTTCTTTAATCTCACTTTCTATTTCGTTACTATCGAAATTTTCATCAATAATTTGAACATCTGGAGAAATTTCCACATTAACAAAAAATTCTTTTTCTTTCATGTCTTCAATTTCTCCTTTTATGTTTTTATTTGAAAAATCAGTCTCATTCTCGTTCGATGTGAAATTATCATCGAGGGATTTATTTCTTGCATTTTTGGTTTCGTTAACATTTTGTCCCTGATTCGAATGATCTTCATTAACAAATATTTGTTCGGTTCCATTAAATTTGATGTTTTCTTGCTTTGAATCTATTTCATTTGAAAAATTACTGCTCAGTTTAATTTGAAAATTTGAATCCAAAACTTTTTGAACTAAGCATGGTGCTTGTAATGGTTCACTAAGTGTTTCAGGTGAAAGAGGATCACTATCCAAATCACTTTCAATGTCTTCTTCTAAATCAATATTAAGATGTTGAGTAAAATTGATCTCTTGACAATGATCAATATTACAATTGACTGTGATTATTTCTTCATTCTTGACATCCGATTTTGTAATACTAATAGAATCACTATCTGTAGAGCTAATTACATCACTGCAACGAATCAAAGGATGAAAATGTGTTTTAATAACGCTATTTTTTAAATTATTATCAACTAAAGTATTGACAATTTTCGATGGAATATTCAATTTTCTGACGCATCGTTTTTTAAATTTATTTCCAAGTGTCTTTGAAATATTTCCTATTTCCTTTAATTTTGTACCATCATTTTCCAACTGTTCTTCATTATTCTTTAAAGAATATTCCATTTTAGTCGTAACATCAATAAATATACTATTTTCATCTCGTGAATCCTTATAATCTTTAATAATCTTTGGATTAACTTTTTTGGTTAAATATTTTTTCGTATTATTTCTATTATCAATATTTTCAGTTCCATTTTTATCTACACTGCCGTTATTATTTTTTGATAATTTATTATCATTATCATCAGTCTTAAAAATTGTCGCGCCCGAATTATTAACAAATAAATTATTTTTCTTTAACCGCTTTTCATAATTTTCGAAAAATTCACGTTTTAAAATATTATTTTGTCTCGAATTATGAAAAGGACGCGATTTTTTAACGTTTACAACGTTATTATTTTCTAATTTAAAAGATAAAGCTGACGAGTCAATTTTCATCAGAATGGGTTTCATGATTTCCGCGACTCTTGTAGTTTTCGTAACTTCTAAACGTGGATTGTCGACGGATTCCGAGGATTGCCAGCTTGAGTAAGATAAACCTTCAATTTCACTGCTGCAGGTACTCGACGGTTCGTTATCTGTAACCACATTGTCCAACAAACCTCAAACCATATATACAATATTACTTTTTAGCTAATTTTATACGATACTGAAATAGATACTTTTTTCGGCATAAACGAAAAAAAAGTTTTTCTTTTAGTAGCATTAATAATTTTTTTGTTAATTGCGTGCTATGTCCCTTGTACCTTTTTCCAAACCAGAGAATAATTCTCATCACTACACTGTTAAATTGTCAATTAAAAAAAAATGAAATAATTTAATAGCTACTATGTTCTGATTATTGAAAATTAAATATTTTGAATTAAGAAAAAAGTAAAAGAGAATAACGCTGATGAAAAATGTTAATTATTTTGAAATCACTCTTTTTTAAAAATAAATATATGTATTAATTATTTTTTAATATTCTGATGTATATATGGTAAATTATAGTGCAAGAAGTTGATAAATAAAATATAAAATTGTAATGAGTGCTTTTTAAAGCGTTGCGTGAATAATTGATTAAAATAATATGAATATACGATTTAAAAATAGAAACATTCATAAAATAGCGTTTACCAGTTTTTTTTTGTGCAATTATACCCACATTTTTTTCTTTTTTTTTTGTCAAATTTTATCGTGAATTTAAAAACTAACCTCGTTTGTTGACATTGTTTCGTGATTCAATCGTCGAACGCCGCATCTCATTAAGGAATTCAGTAGTAGCATCCACTGCACATTCAGAACAAGATAACACATGCAATTCTCAAGTTTATAAATAAAAAATGCACTCATAATGAAATCAAACTAAATATTGAAATTACACTTTAAAAGTATAGATAACTAAAAACAATTTCTAATAATAAAAGTTCTAGTAAAAGAAAAAAAAAAATAACGAAATTAATTGAAATTTTTTGTACTAAATTTTATAAATAGTATATTCTTTCAAATGTTTATGAATTGACATAAAATTTGCTTTCAATTTACATTATTCAAATGAAAATAAAATAAAAATCTTGTCAGTGTAGCGAATTGGATTTCAATGTCTATTTGCATGCATCGTGCTTTAATTTTACCTTACCGCATATATGTATATAAGAGGAGTTTCCACAACCTTTGATTTTACAGAATAAATCTACTTTGCAAACAATTCAAGCTCAATTATTGTTACAAACTACATACACTCAAATACGAAATTGTTACAGGATCTACAGTCTATATTTAGAGTTTGAAATATTGAAAGAAGATAATATGTATATATCTACAATTCGACTTTAAATAAAACAATCATTCCTTATCAAAATGCAATTTTTTCCCTTAATTTAAAGATATGAATTTCATTTACTATAAAGTTACAACACAAATTTTTTTTTATTCTCAACTAAGTTTACCTTTCTAAAAACGTTACAAATTACTTTTAGAACATTTAAAAAAAAAATTTATTTATTATTACTATTATTGACGTGAAAATATATAATTAAAAAAATGTCACGACTCAAAATATGTGGATACTTATTCCTCTGGTTAGCATGCATTGGTGAAAGATTAACTTTTTTTTCTAAATAAATTGATAAACTTACCATCACTTAAGACGACTTCCGGTTGACTTGGCACAGGCACTTGTTTTGTCGCTATCCGTAATACTCTGGGTTCTGCAAGTAAAATAATATTTTTAATTTTCCACAAATAATGTTTATTATTTTAATATGTAATTTATTATACGCCAATTTTTTTCTTACCATCTCTGCTTTCTTCTTCTGTTTCGGAAGTAACTGAGACTGGCGATTGGATTGGACTTTTGGCAGTACTGGATTCGTGCGTTGCTCGACTAATGTTAAATGATGATAAGGCTTCCGATTCTGATTGCGATTCATCATCTAAATATCGTCAATTAATTATAATTTATAATTAAATGTCGTAAAATTAAAAAAAATTGACATTCTTATAAAGAAAAATAATAATAATTCTAAAAATAGAAAAATAATTACAATTTTAGAAAAAATGAAAATTTCTAAAAATTGAAATTGCTTTCTTTTAGAATTATTATTACTTACAAGGATCACCTTTTTGTTTTCGTTCAACATCTTTTTTATATTGATCAAGTTCTTGATCCGTAACTGCGTCAAATGGATTTTTGGCATAAGGTGTCTTGTAAACCATTGCATTATGTTGGAATCCTCTTTGGATAATGCCTTTGCTGGCTGCACCTACCAAAACGACTTGTTCTCCAGTTCCACTGATAGTAGCATCCTGAAAGTTTGCGGTTAAAAAATTAAAAATTCTTTCTTTAAAATCTCTATTTATATTCAATTATCACTTGAAAATAACTCTACCTGCATTTTTTTAGCTTCCTCCCATGTAACACCTTCCAAAATGTGAGACTGTGGTCCAGCTGATATTTTATCTGCCCTTCGATAATCTTTTATCTATTATAAATATGAATCAATAGAAAAAAAAGGAGTCACATAAAATATATTTTTTTCATAAAAAAAAAAATAAAACAATAAAGAAAATTTCACTTACCTGTTGTTGAAGCTGCTTGAATTCCTTTGGATTGGTATTCTTGGGCACAAACTGAAGGGCACTCTCAATCTTGACTGGAGTACTGCTATGCGTTGGTGATCCGTCTGTCACCCACTGCACACAAAACCAGAGTATAAGACAAATTTTTTTTCTAACGTGGAATTAATAATTAGTACAGCATAATTAAAGATTGCAGTGAAATGTGACTCTCGCATGCTTTGTGTGCCTGTATATTTCATCATTAAAAAATATAAACTTTTAATTAAATTTCAATAACCTCAAGCATTCTCGAATTTTTTTTCAAAAATTCGAGATGCAATGAGTTAAATTAATCTGGTTTTGTTTAATGCAGTGGATGTATACCAAAAGGCCACCGAAATTTTTTTTAAATAATAAAAAAGGATGACCAACAGGCACACATTCATACAGAGTTTACATCTTGAAATTCGAATCATCTAATTAATAAATTGTTATGATAATTTTGTCCTAGGCTAAATGTTTGATGAAAATCATATTAGATTAGGAAGTAATTTAATTAGTATAATAATAATGTGCTATCATAAAACTAAAGAACCCATAATCCCAATGAATTCTAGATGAAAATGAAAGCTTGGATTAATAATTTTCATTTAGTGTGTTTACAGAAAAGAAAAAAGATTTCTATCTCGAGAAGAGAAAAAGAAAATAATGCATGAAAAGAATAGAATTAATAATAAAAAATAAATATGACTTAGTCCATTGTATCAATCCAAAGTAAACGTGGATTCCAATTACCTCCTCAGCGTTTTGATCCACCCACTACAAAAAAAGTCAAAAAACAAATATTGAATTTTGACTACTTTTCTAAAAACGACCTTTTTGTTCGCATTAAATAAACTTTTTTCTAATCTCATTCACAACTGCACACTCTGGTTCAAAAAACGATTTATTATAGAATAATTGGTTTTTCGTTAAAATTAGTGGATATACCTTTATTCAGATATTAATAAGCTACAAAAAGAAATGTTCATGAAAATTTTATCGTCAAAAGCAGTTAACTTTTACAAACAAATTTCTATTTAAAAAGAAATTTTTTTCTTTATGCTACCAAAATATGAAAGCAGTTTTAAAATTTTCCTTAAATTTTGATTTAAAACAAATTGATTAAGACGTATATTTTCTTGTTTTTGTAAAATCTACTCTATTGAATATATATATATATATATAGAAAAGGAATGCCTTTGGAATGTTTTAAAAGACTAATTAATTAATTACATTACTACGTTAATAAAAATCAGATTGAAATAAATATGTCAGATGTGCAAATTAAATTTGGTATAACATGGGACTTGACTTTGAATATATTATGTTAAAGCAGTAACATTAACTATATGCCTTAATTTTATGCTTATAGAATAAAGGCAGTTTAAAGTTTGAACATCAATTATAGTCATTAGACTTTAATTTTTATCAATAAAGTCTCTAAGCAAAAAGTCAATCTATTTTAATGCAACATCTTTCGGTAACAATTTGTAAATATACATATTTAAATGAGTTACTCTTTTGTGCAACATTTACTTTTTTTTAAATATATATCAACATTTATTACTTCGTATATCAACATACTTGCGTTCACTAAAAGCATATCACTCTTCGCAATAATATCATTAGCAAAAACACGTAGACATTTTAATAGATTATGAGTAACTTTTTAAAACATTTAATTTTATATACCTATGTATGTACTTCAAGAACTTTAGTTATTCTATCAAAATTTGTATAAGATCAAATATTTTCTTAAAAGAATTTCGAGTCTTGAATATTTCTTGGACAGTTAATTTGTTATTAATATAATAAATGTTTTTTTCATTTTGCCTTTAAAAAAACGAATAAAGGCAAAATAATCGAAAAATAGAAAGAAGTTAAAAACAATTTTCTAATAAAAGAAAATTAATAACATTATTAAAAAAAAGAATATTTAAAATCAATATTTAAAAGATAGAAAAGAAGTTTTCTATTTTAATTTGAAATTGTAAATAATCTACTGTAAAGTTGTCTAAAAATTTTCGGGAAGCTATCAAATAGTTTATATAGAAATAGAAAAATTTCTGTCCTATTGTCTAATTGTTTCGAGGTGATTATTGAAAAATTTCACTCGATAATAATTAAAGAAAAGCATTTACAAACGACGTGTATATATGTCAGGAATGCCTAAAAAGTTTATCAATTGCACACACTTTAGTGTTTTACTACTCTCTAATTATGAGAGTGAGAGAGTCATCTATTCTTTATTTTCAAAAGTAATAACCTCTACCTTAGTGATTTTTTTCGGATCTGGAGTTCCTGTTTCCAAAATTTCAACCTTCTGATAAACGTTTGGTGAATTGAGCCAACGAGTTCTGTCAGTTCCTTTGCGTCCACCTTTCCACAGTCTGGAAAAAGACAGAAAAAAATTATTTTTTCCATTTGATATTTTAAAACAGTTTCCAATTAAAATTTTACTCACCCCTGTTTGTAGAGTTCTTCCTCTTCCAAGAGATAGCCAAGAGAAGAGACAGCTGGAGGTACCTCGACGTCATTTCGTGGTCTTGGAGGTTCGCTCTTAACGAGTGGATTTCTGTAAATGTAACCTGTGCGGAATCCCTGTAAAATAAAAATAAAATTTAAATTTTAGTATATTTGAATAAAATATTTTTCTTCTTTTCTATAATCAACTTACGGCATTGTCGAGCATTCTCATAAGTGCCTCAAATTCAGTGCCACCGATTCTCCATCGTTTTTCAAGTTTCTCCGCCAATGGCGATGGTTCTGCAATTGATGCCTGTTGAGGAACAGGTGGTTTTCTGGAAGCTTCAAAAATTGCTTTTTTTGATTCCTCAGAAATTAGGTTCATGTTATCGAGACCAGCTGGCAATAATTTCAATTGTGTTTCACAAGCCAACACAGTATTGTAAACATTAAAAAATGCCTCCTCAACTGTCTCGCCACAACATAAAGCACCTCGATTTGTTAGAAGCATTACTTTATTGATTGGACCTAAATTCCTTGTTATTTTTTCCCTTTCCTCTGGTTCAAAGGTACCGCCAATATACTGATGATTACTAACTTCACCTATTACTATACTCTCTTGGCCAAGAGGAAGAAGACCACATTTCATTGACGATATCTGAAATTGAACACAATTATTGAGATTGCATTATTTATATTATAGGTATATTAAGAATTGTTTTCAAGAAATTCAAGTACGTACAGCTGTAACGGACGGAGTGGAGATGTGAACGATACATTTGATATCTGGTCTCGCAGCGTGTATTGTCGTGTGTAATTGGAATCCTGCGATATGAACACCAAAGTTCGTCGTTCCTTGCTCAACAACCGTTCCCTGCATGTCCACTTTAACTAAACTGGAAGCAGTGACTTCGTGATAGAGTAAACCATATGGATTAACCAAAAAGTGTTCTTGGTCCTGATTTAAGCGAGCGGTTATTCGTCCACCAACTCCTTGAGTCCAACCGTACAAATCTAGTAATCTAAAAACTGATGCGAGTTTACATCGCAACAATTTTTCACCTTTCGCATAACCCATACTCTCAACACCACGAATATCGTTGATAGGCACGACACAATTTGAATCTGAAACATTTTTTTAATCAATATTCTTTTCTAAAATAAATAAAATTAGTATTTCGATACTTACTTTTAAATACATTAGCATTGAACCGAGCACCTTGAGGGCCCATCATTTCTGATATTTGTTGTAAAAGTCCAGAAGGTCCTGAACCATCTTTCATTTGTGTTTCAATAATGCGTTCCAATTCTTCTCGGAAGAGTCTCGAATTCATCATCATTTCAACTCTCTTTCTCCTTTCCATTTCTCTCATATCCTATAAATAAAATAGTAAATTATTTTTATCTATCGATTAAAGATTCCGTGGGAAAAAATTATGTGTAAAATTAACAACAACTCACTGCGTCAATATCGGCGGGTCTCATTTTACTTTTTTCCTCTTCTGTTAAGCCATCGACGACTCCATTTGTATGAGGCTCAGAGAGCTCTTGTTGACTCGTGTCTGTCATTTTCAATTTTTTCTCAACTAATACTGACTGAAAAAGAAAAAAAGACAATAAAAAAATTTAGATACATAGCAGAAGGTGAAAACAAACTTCCTCGCACAATATCACTCACCACTTGAGAATCATTTTCATGCTCAATATCTAAATACACTAAGGAATTTAACAAAGTCTGATTTATGGTATTTAAGCACAATGTAAGATGGAGCATTGTTCTTTAGAAAAAATGACAATTCAAATTTCATACAATATTGTAAAAAAATATATTAAAAATTATGAGAATAAATTTAACTTGATGTGCAATTTTCAAATCATCACTGAAAACTAATTCTCCTTCAAGAGATCAAGTTTATCATCTCTGCAAACAATTAAAATTGTTTAAACTCTATTTAACGTCAGTGATGTAACACAATTTCAGGTGTAAAGATGTATAATTAAAATTTAATTTTAATTTAATTTAATTTAATTTTGAAATATATAGACTATAACACAGTAAATTAAAATGGTAAAAAACAAATTTACTGCCAATTTTATTGATGAAAATACAATAACGTTCAATTTAATGATTGATGACATGTAACTATAGGATCACATCTTTATTGAGCATGACGTAATGCACAAAATTAAAAACAGAAACAAGTGTTTTGTAACTACTACGAGTTAACAAGAAATTAACAGCATAGTTAAAGAACTGTTTTTTTTAAGATGAATTAATAGCTTTGCAGTGTACGGATTTTTTTATATAATAACGTAATTGAATGGAAATGGTGCTTCAAGAGCTTTAAAAAGACTGATGTACATAAAGAGTTTAGAATCTTGTCTGCTTTTGTTACATCACATAGTTTGACCTACTGCAGTCATGGTTCACACCAGTTCAAGTATTTGCCAAATGCTAATTAATACGTTTTTCTCGCGCTTTGCATTCGTTAGGCATTAATAAACAAAAAATTAATTTCTAAAAACAACTTCTCATTTTTCTTCACATTAAAAGAAATTAATTTTGCAAAAATTACCTGGTTTATTTTTTTACGAAGTCTATTTCAAAATCGAGAGCATTTGTTGACTCACCTGAAACAAACAAAAATTTATAACCATTAGAAAATTTAAATTTTATATAAGATTTAAAAAAAATGGAAATCACGAGTTCTAAAAATTCAAGTGCAATGACTTGAAGACGACTTCTTTACCATGACCTTTTGTATAATCTCTTTTTAAAAATAAAGAGGGGTGATGACGTCATTCATGTAATTTGATAGAAATGAGAGACAGGAGAATTGAGATGACTGTCATGAACTATATGCTGATTGCTAAATATTTCTGAGTGAGCCTCTCTTTCTCTCTCACTCTCTGGTACTGAGATTTTTTTTCAAAGGCTTCTCTCTACAATTTTTGTTTATATGCTAAGAGAGCTTAGGCTTAAAGCTTTGTGCATTGAACCCCGTGAAATCGAGAGGAGACTAGAAGGGCTCAACATAAAAGGTCATTGGCAGGATTATTGATGATCTTTCAACAATTTCTAAAGTCAGGAAAAAAATTTCTAAAACTATTTTTCTACTGCAACAAACATTTAAGAAGATTTAACTCATAACTATACAATTAAAATTATTGAAATTAATTTTAATTATGGTTTTATTTAGTGATAAGACCAATTACTAAGTTGAAGTCATGTTAATTATCAAAGTATGTAGTGATAATATTCTAATAATAGTATTGTGTAATACTTTACGGAATTTCACTTTCTTTATATTACAGAAAGAGCATTTTACATATATTTGTATATAAAAAAAATTACGTGAGAACATAAAACTTTGTAACTGTTGTAGAGCATTGTCCGGGAGAATGTAATGAATTTAAAACTACACGCTATTGTTTAAAAAGTTAATGATGAGACTTCTAGTGTTACAAACTCGATTTATAAGAGCGTATATATCAATTTGATACCGGCGATGGTAAACTTCGTTATATATTATTTTTTGTTTTTAATGCATGAAGAATCATACACGTCTGAAAGTCAGGCTAATAATAAACTGATGTACAACAGTGCCACGCCTAAAAATGCAGAGTGGTGTGTATATCATGCGTGTGTACACTTATATGCGGGAAGTGACATTGTGGCACGTGCAAACGATGTTCGTGAGCTTATTAAAACACGCACACCTACAACAATTTTTTTTTTCAATTTTTAATTGCTATCATCAAGTACATAGCGTGTTTTCTTTGATAATGCTTTTGTAAATAAAAAAAATTTATGTTGATTATAGTTTTTAAATTTCATTAGTTATACTAAGTACTTCTAATCACTGCTACATTATTATTTTAAACATTTATAAATTTATTCTTCTTAATAATAATAAAAAAAAATTATCTAAAAAATTTGGTCTTTTTTTAGAAATTGTAACCAATTTAATTTTCTCTGAAAATAAAATTCGGTTTTACGACATCCAAAAGTAGATATATTATCAGGAATGGGAAACAGAAGGGTGTGCTACCCTCATATGATATAATATTCCAAATATTTTTCGGCAAAAAAGTCAAAAGAATATATTTTTTCATTTCTTTTTCAAAACGCTTATTTAATTTTATTTAAAAAATTTGTTAATTTCAAATAAAATTAAAATATTGAATATAAAAAATACGAAGAGTATTGAACAAATAGGTTTTCTTTTTTAAAAAAAGATCTGAGAGTCTACGACCCTTAACGAAATTTCTAATCAAGAGCCTCCGAAAAAGCAGCACCTCCATAAAGCCTGTCTCAAGAGGATATTATTCGTGTTAAGCCGAGAGCCAAAAAAATAAGAAAAAGAATTCCAAAGCGTTATTCTGATAAACTAAAATACTGACTCAATATTTAGCTGTCAGATTAGTGTGATAAATAAAAAAAGAATACAATATACAAAAACCTGAAGGAATATAAATTTTTTACTTAAGAATGTGTAAATTTAATATCACTATCTTTCATGGTTAACATTTTAATTTTTTTTAATGTTTAGATTTTCTATATCTTTTAATTATTTGTTACGAGAAAACAGACGAATAAAGTACAGTCAATCGGCTTTTCTCTACGCTTAATATTATATATTTAGACTATTCTATGAATCACCATTCACGTATATGAAGAATGCAAGTTAATTTCTTAAAAGAAAAATGTCATTCCTCCTTGTAAAGAGTTTCTCGACATGAATACAAACGTCATTTTGATATTTGAATTTTAAAAATGTTGCCATCAGGAAAATTTTAAATTTATAACGATTTATTTTAAAACACTTGACTTTTGCAAATGACCCCTTAGTATATTATAACTGATTACGTCATACTTTTTTATTGTGTCTACATTATTATTTACATAGAGAAAATGTTACAATCAAAAAAGAAAATTAATATAAATATTTAATTTCATAAAAGAGTTTTCATTTTAAAATAATTCAATAAAAAGAAGAAAAGAAAACAAAATGAAAAAAACCAGAATGGAAAAACAAAAAAAAAAAAAAAAAAAAAAAAAAAGAACTATAAATAAATCGTTGAACGAATCCAAGTAAAATTCTACTTTAGCCCCTCTCGCGACGTCATCTTTACCCAACCCTCCCTTTTTTTCATTCCTCATTTTTTCTACTCTTCGTTCTTTGTTTCCATCGTCAGTTATTCGATCCTCCATTCGACCATAGAATCATGCTACGTATGCACTTGTTTGGATTCACAACCCCAAGTTTCATCGCGAGTGACGAGAATTAAAAAAAATGAAGTTTTCAAGTTTTTTACCTTTCTTGACATGTATATGCAATAAAGGATTTTCGTTTCTTCGCGTAATTGAGAATATTCATTATAACTTAATATTAAAATAAAACTTACTTAAAATATCAAATTTAAATGAGTCTTGAAAAATATAATTTTATTTTAATCACTGGAAACGAAAATTTCCTCTTTGCGAAGAAAACTTGTAAATTTCACTTCTTTTTTCCCTCTCGAATACACACGCGTTTAATAATAACACTCAGCTGACCGTTAAATATCTAGCTTTACGTGTCTATTTTACAAGAAGAACCTTTAACAACTAATTACTTCCATTAAGATAAATTGTAATCACAAGTTGAATGAACAAACGCTGGTTGGATATATAAATATAAAAATAGAACTGACACGCAAGGCGTTAAAACATTTTCATATTATAGATTTACCTCAGGGAATAATAGAATCTGCAATTATACTTCACATTGCACGCTAAAACTGTCTCTAATCTAATATTGCAAACATCTATAATTAATCTAAAAATCTTAAACATTCACTTGAATCTTTTTAATTTATCACTTGTTTTAAACAAGGCCTCTTTCAAACGATTTGCAAAAGATTATATGAAGCTAAGAGTGAAAAATATACACTAATTAATAAAAATAATAATAAACAATATTGTTTGTAAATTAAAATATTTCTATCTGCTTTGTTAGATATATAAAATAGTATTGTTATAATGATCAATAGACTCAAAGAAATCATTTTTCAACCAAAATGTGACACAATGCCTTTTCAATTCTTCTGAATCTAACCAGGTCAATCAATCAAAAAGATTTCTAATATTACAGGATTAGAGAAAGCTGATTATTTAAAAAAATAAACGGTTTCGAAACACTTTTTAATGAACGTATAAATGACCATCTGTCCAAAAAGATATATTGTAACCAAAACAACATCAGTTAACTATTTAATGAAACTACTATTTAAACGAAATAAAGAATACGAAAATTTATAGTGACTTATAAAATTTATATAGAATTTTATATTAGCTTCTACATGAAAAAATAAGTTTGAAGATCTCCAAGACTTTAATCACTCGAAGGAGTTAAGTTTGCAAAAGTAGAGTTACCACACATAGATTTCACAATACTTGTATGAACTCTTAAGAGAAAAGCTATAACGCAATATATTACGTGATTTGTAAATCGATATACTTCATCTTTGTTTATGGAATCGATGTCAACCACCCATATGATTCTTTCATTTATATTTTCCAGAAAAAGGTTTTCAAAAAATCGTTGTAAACTTCACTGAGGTTATTTTTTCCTAAAAAAAGCTCAAATTTTTATAAATTCTTACAACTGAACAATTGTTGAAAAAAATTAGTATTTGTAGTTTTACCTACTTCATTACACCTTTCTACAATGTAGGTAGGTGAGTGACACCTTCTCAAGGAAGAGATGGAGCGAGACACCGGGGAAAAAAATTACCACATTGACAACAGAGAGTGTACTACATCTATACACACTTTTATATAGTTTACACGACGAAGAAGGCTCATGAGAATAAAAAAAAAATACACAAAGCACGTCTCGCAGAGTGCACTTGACGATAATTATTATCTATGAACGCCTCAGTCGCTGTGAAGCGAAAGTCGTACGATCCAGCTTAGCCTAGTTTATTAACTGTAAAGAGAGAAGAGAGAATACTCTTACACATTTTATACTATCGAAAAAAATGTGACAGAAATTAGCAAATTTAATTTTCTAATTAAAGATCTAATTACTATTATTATCACATTGATTATAGAATCTATTAGTTATTATTTAATTTTTTTCTTCTAAAGTTTATATCACTGAAAATACTTAAGAATGAATAGAAAAAACGGATTCTTAATTAATTTCAGAAATCAGAGAAGATATAGGATAAATTGTTATAGAGAATAAAATCGAACTTCGACTTTTATCAGAAGAAAGATGAGTCAGCATTATAAAAGAGTAGGACGAGGTATCCACGCCCACTGTTCTCGTGTTCATTGCCGAGAGGGAAGAACTTGGATTTCTTCAAACATACGGGAATCTCATCAAAAAAACGAGTAGTAGCTTCTTTATAATTTTATATATATATTATAAATTATACTTTCTGGATAAAAATTTTTTGAAGACCTTAGTCATATAATAAGATCCATAATCAAAAAAGCGAATTAAAAGTAGAATAAAAAAAGGAAAGAATGCAAAGTAAGTTATTAAATGCTTAAAGTGATCTAATTTTATGAACCTCTTGATCTGACACGTGTTAAGTTTCTTAGGTCATAAAACATAATATCTACTTAAATTAAAATTAGAAGTCCACAAATCATCTATTATTTAGAATAATATTCTTAATGATTAATTAAAACGATTATTATGAAATGAATAATTGAAAAATTTCCACATTGTTTATAATACATTTATAATGAAATATTCTTATCAAAAGTACAATGTCAATATATTCCTTTTAAAGAGATCATTGCACTGAAAACGAGGCTAGGCTAATGTTTGTCGGGAATAAAGAAAAAAAATTTTGTTAATATTGTAAACGACTTTTGTTTCCTAACTATTGAATTAAGAATATGCAGTTTCAATGATGATGCTTCATTAACAAGATAACGAACGATAAATTACTTATAAATGAAAAGTTAAGTTGAATGTTGCTATTCATGATAACGGGAGAACAAGTATGTCTCGATATCGTTTTATCGATATCCAACGAATTTGAATTTTTTTTTTTTTTTTGAAAATTTACAAAAGACAATACAGAGAAAACAGATGAGACATATGTGCACCTGCATTTAAAACTATCTATCTATACTGTGAGAGGAAAAGGTGTACCTCGATCTTGAACTCAACGAACCAAAGTGACAGTTACCTGACGATTATTACGCGGTCATGGCCAGACCGTGAAGCAGAACAGTGGAAGAGTACGATACACCTTATTCACCTGAACGATTTTCCCTGTTAACCTCATCGTTGTCGAGTATAAAGATACATCTAAGCTGCCAATTTACTTCAACTGTAGTGAAATTTATTCTATCAGATTTGTTTGCCAGCTGTAGCATAAATAAAACAATCTCTTTTGCTATTTGCATATAATAATAATAAATAATAATTTTTCCTAAATAATAAATAAAGAGTAATGTATTTTTTTCTAAAGAAAGCGAAAACCTAAGAAAGGAAAACATTATATAGTTTATATTTTTGAAGAGTGAAAATATCACAAAGACTATTTTTTCAATTATATTCGTAATTATAACTTCTTCAGAGGTCGTCACAAATTTTATTCATAATAATAATAATAAATTATATGCATTCAAGTAATAATCTATTCATATATAGGAATAAATTTTGCGCACCACTAGTATATATCAGATCAGAAACAGGACGTCAGCATTATATGAGTTTATATAAACGTGATGGCAGTCTTTAACGGTACATTGCCAGACGACTGACCCGCTGATGATTCCCGACTATACGCGTGTATTACAGTACTCGGAAGTTGTAACCGGCTCCTAGACATCAAACTCTCTTCTTCCATTCGTCATTATATTGCCCTCCAACAATAATTTATGTATATGTACTGAGAAAAGACGCAACCTAACAACGACAGTGCAATATTTTAACTAGTTTCACATGTCTTAGCAAAAAACTTAATTATTGGCACAATAATTGGTAATTTAAGAAGAAAACACTAAACGATTTTTATTTCCAAAATTGTTAGTAACAAATTTTGAAATTATTTTCATTAAAAATAAACTAAAAAGTAATCCTTAAAAAAAGTAAATATTAATTAAATCTATTTTATTTAAAAAAAATGATTGTGTAATGTTTACGAATTGAAATATAGGTGCGTGACACACCTGAATCTTGAACAATTCAATTAGTTAAAACGAGTGCAGATCACTTTCAATTAATTTTATGACAACAACTGTTGCGCACGGAAGTCGACACTTAACCCAAATATGCAGTTTCCGGGTGTGATCAGTAGATCAAGTCCGATCAACATTGAATGAATATAATAAAATACTGATGAAGATCGTTAATTTTCACAAATTTTTTTTTCTTATACAAAAAAAAATCCAAGGATTTATTCGCAAAATCATTAACAATTTTTTTCAAGAGGAATATTTTGCTATTATAAATTTCACCATAATTAAAGTAATTTAATCGTTATAAATATTTTTTATAATCAAAATTATTGGTAAAACCAGTCACTTAGAAGAGTATTTGCTAAACTAGTCACATTGAATTATAAATGAGAAACTAATTTTTTTTTTTTTTTTTGACAACTTTGAAGGGTCAATCAATGAAAGTATATGAGTCCTCGCACGCAACAGAAGGTAATTCATACATATATATACGATATGGCGTCCGCAGGAGCGCGTTGTATTGATCGAATGTCTGGCGTCGCAATGACTGCAGCAAGAGTACTAGCTCTCACAATCGAAACTTCTCTTTAAGAAGAAAAAGAATACAAAAAATTATAATACTCAATTTTCTAATTTGGAAGAATAATCTTCTAAGCTTCATCTCCTATTCAACACTTTAAATTGAACATAATAGATCCAATAAAAAGATACTTTCTATAAATAATAATATTAATACATCCAGAAGAAATCTTTTATTTGAATCAAATATTTGTCTCAGAACCTAATAACCTTTAACGCAAATAAAATTTATTTGATACAAATATCTGAGTGTATACTTATATTAAAATCATAATAATAATAATAGATTTCATTCTGTATAATGAATCCATAATATAGTTCATGTTTCAAAAAGAAGAAATTACGTTAATTAAAACTTCTGCGGTCTACAGAAGACTTGATTGACATAGACAGTAACAAGTTCAGGTTTAAAGAGAAAGAAAAGTTTCTATAAGTACCACAACTTGGTTAATGTGAACAAAAATTTTGCAACAGGTAGTAAACATATGGCGGTAAAGGAACCAGTCTAACTTCTTGTCAGAACTTATATATGAAGATATAGATTTACAACCCCAAGGATATTTTTGTGACCTTTGATATAAAGAAGAAAAAAAAATCCGTGGAATCTGATTATTGTTCACAAACTACGTAACGAGAGAAAATATTTTTAAAATATCCATTCTACTGTTAGGTTTCACTATATAAAAAATTCTCCATTATTATTTACGTAATTTTTTGTTCTAATTTTTATAATTCTTTATTAATAATAACAAAGAAATAGAAAAAATTTTATTAAGTGTTTTGAAGTAAAAAAAATGACCGACTAGCCTACTTTCGCAAAAGTAAACTTCATCTTCCCTCGTCTTTCATTGGGAATGAAAGGAACCACCTTATACTAAAATTCTTATATGCACCAAGAGTGGTTTTAAAATTAGCCGCGAGAAAAAGGGAAAGGACTTTTCAATCAAGCCTCTTTGAAAAAAAAAATGTTTTTTTGAAAAAATCCCTTTGAGAGAAATAATGTCACAATCTTTTTTTTCTATAAATGAATTATTTATACTAGTACTAGTACAAAACATTCTATACCAATAATAAAATGGTTCGAGTTCAATGACCTTAAGAAATGCAACTTCGTGTTTCTTGGTCGGTTTATTTTGAGTCACAGTTTGAAATGCAGGAAAAAAGATAAAAAAAAGCCTACCGTGTTCATAACTGAACTTTTAAAATCTAAATTAATTTTTTCTATAAACTTTGTAAATTAAAAAAAAACTGACTCACCTTTAATCGTTTCGGCTATTAGTGTCCAGCACCCTGCAAAAAAAGATAATCCGAATTTAATAAATTATTAATTAAAAATTTATAAAATATACATCAAATTTATTTATTACTATTTTATTTAACTTATGTAAATAAAGTTTATTTAAAGGCAAGGATGTCATGCCTTTTTAAATTGTCCTTTTTTTCGTAGAAAAACATATGTGGGAGGAAAACATAATTGAACGCAACTCTTGGATAATAATTATGTAAGAGACTTACGCGCGGGCCTACCAAAGCACACGCAATACAGTCTAAAAATTTTATAATACAGACAACGGAAATTCAGGCGTGTCTAATTATACAGATAGCACCCATTTTCTGTTTCCGTTTTGGTCAAACACGTGCGTAAAAAATATATGACACGCCAACCTTAAATATCCTAAAACATCCCTTATATAACTAATAGGTAAAATAATGAAAAAAGAATTTATCAATTTGAGTCAAAATTTTAATATGCGCACTTTATAAAAATTCTATACATTTAAATAACGTTTCCCCAAAAGATGTGAGATATTTATTATATTTATAGAAATTTATATTCTCAGGGTGTATTTTCATTTTTGCAATAAGAATTTTTCGGAGAAAGAAATTATAGCAGGATGCGATGCCCCTGATGCACTTGCCAAGAGAGTGCGTTTAACATCTGTGAAACTTGACCCTTCTCCAAGACAAGAAAAACTTTGGTTGCAAAGAAGCTGAATAACAGCAGTTTGAAGATTTCACGGATAAGGCCAATCACGATTTGCGCCTATATATGTGAGGATTATAATTTATCCTGAAATTATTTTCCTATTTTTCATATATTAATAACTTTATATTCGATTATTTTAAGGCGAATAAAAAATTCCCATTAAATATAAACTTATAATTATATGGACACGAGTTTAAAAATAAGAAATTTGAGATGTATTCCCCTTTTATAAATCAAACTCAATCAGGTTGACCACAATTTAATATCAACGCCAAGGACAAATAGACAACAAAAGGCAAAATGGAAGTTTAACAAGACAAAATGTTGGATCGTTAATTTTATTATTATTATTATTATTATTTGGAAATTGTCTATTAATTTATAAACTTAGTAAAAATATATTAAAACCACTTTTCAGAATTACTTTATTCTTTTTTCCTTCATAGTTTCAAATACCTATACAATGCATTATTCTAGCTCATGCATCACTGATTCAATAGTCATTGGAATTATTGTGTTTTTCAGAGAAAAATATGTTTAGCAAGGTAATGAAGACCTTGCAAAGTATATGCTCAATCAAAAGGAGAATTGTTATATAGTAAGAAATTAATATTATTGAAACATAAATAATACGAAATTGATTTTATTTTTATTATTATTTTATAATCTATTTATATGAAATAGATTTTTTTAAAAATACAATCTAAAAATAATTTTTTTTTTTATTATTTGTAGTAAAATTGGAAAAAATGAAATTACATATAATTGTTAGTTTTGAAAGACAAGGTAAAATCTATACGCGACTACACCTGCTTTGTCTAGAAAGAAAGAGTGCGTGACGAAAAATGCTCATTCCCCTAATACATAAAATTTTTGCGCGCCACGTTGGGCCTTTAGTCTAGCCACTGTTGTTTTATCGATTTTTTCTTCAATATTTCTTTTCGAACAGTGACCTCAACAAATAATACTGTGAAAACTGTAATTCAAACCTTAAATTATGCCTTAAAAAGGTTAATTTATTCGAAAAAGAACTCGAAAAATTAAACTCCTGTACCTTAACGTATCTTTGAAATCATATCATTTACCTAAAATTCTTTCTTTCATAAAATGCCCAAAAAAACATAAATTCCTTTTCTAATTATGTTTTATATAATTATCAAGAACATTAATAGAAAAAAAAATATCTGAGAATAATTTCTCATGAATAAATCTGAGAATAAAACAATAGTTTTTTTTTCTTCCGCGTTATCCTGCTATTGTGATTATAGTGTTCTGCTCAAGTTTATGACTATAAATTATATACCCCCGAGAGAGAGAATTAAAATAAAGAAAGACATTTTTCACTCTATTTTAAAGAGCATATATTTAAAAAATAGAAAAAACATCCCCTTATAATTTAAAATAATATCCCATAAAAATTTTCGTACTGGCTATTGTATCATTTAAAAAAAATAATCATAACGAAAGAAAACTCTTGTTCTTAATGGACAAGTAATTGTGCTAATGAAATAAAAATGGATCTGCTATATATATATATATATATATATAAATTAACAAGAATAAAGAGAATTGAATACTAATTTCTTTTTTTAATGGTGTATCACCCCTTTCTAAAAAAATAAATATATCTTATGAGATCGATGAGCTCATAAAATCCTATACTATCGTATAGAAAAGGTCATCTATTTATTAAAGCCTGGGTCATTTACCCTTGGCATCGACTTTCATTTACATTGAAATAAAATTATTGAAGCAATGAGAGTATAAATAAATATATTCCTTCATTATATGAATATATCAGAATATTATAGTAAAAATAGAACCAATAACAGTAATTAATAACCACATTGCGCAAAATGTACTTATCAAAACACATTTACAATGTGAATTAATAAAATTTCAATAAACCTACTTATTCCCATATGATCAAGAAGACATATTTTTAAATTATTTTAAAATTAAAGAATATTTTAAATCCAGCGAGGTTTATAGATTGAAACATAGAGCAACCATTTATACACGATTATCACAGTTGGCTCTGCTCCAGATACCAAGGCTGTATTAGACGAAAATAATTCAAAATGCTCACCACCACCACTTCATATAGGTTTTGTCCACCAACAAATATTCATTTTTTTAACTACAAAAAGAAAATACAACATCTATAAAAAGAAATGAAAAAAATTCATAAACTAAAAACAAAAAGAATCTCGTACTAATGATCCATTATACGAGATTTTTTGGATAAAAAAATAATTAAACAATTGTTTGAAAAAATAAATTTTAAAATCATTTTCAGTTTCAACAAACACTTATATTTACAAAAGCCTAATAATCTAGAAATTCGATATATTTAAAATACTAAAAGATTTTTCTCGATACAGATTCTTTTTTAAAGGCTCTCATAGATAAACTATATGCAAGGGAAAAATGTGGGTCAGACGCGTTCTATCAATCGTGTACACTGCTATTTATAGTTTATTCACGTGCGTTAAGTCTTTGGTCTAGTACTCATATATATATATATTCATAATTTCTCAACGACCTCAAACAGCAAAAAAAATTTTTTTCTTTGAAAACTTTACTCTCATGAAAATTACTACTTTTGAACAACAGAATTTACTATTTAGTAAATTTCAAAAATTCTTGTTAAAATAACATTGTAACTGATACCATAGTATGCGTTCAAAAAAAATGTATATATTTAATTCATGCAGCTCGAGTAGTCATCACGAGGTGACGTCACATGTGACAATTAAATTCCAACACTCTGTTAACCGGATGCTATACAACTATATATTTTAACATTCTTTTGTACATACCGACCTTAAATCCATCTACATCTTTTGTTAAAATAGTATAATTATCGTATAGCGATAATAACTAAATTATTTCTACTCGTTTTTGAAGTTTTGAAAAGACCTAAAATTTTAATGAATAAACAATATTTTCATTGAAAATTATATATGTCAATAAACAAGGAAAAGAAAATGAAAGTTTTGCGTTTAATCTGATTTGTATATCAGATAGATTCTGACATAGGTATATTATAAAAGGTGAATGCACGAATGTTAAAACAACACATCGTATATACATATATTCATGTATCGTCCCTTCTACGCAAGTAACCGCTAAGTAAGAGAGCTGTGGTTTATGCAATTCTATAAAGGCGTATCCGCAAAAGGTTCTTTAGCCTCGTCTCGTCACGTGGGTAATCTAAATTCTCATCTCTCTCTCAAATCAATTTAGTAAAGGTATAATCATTTTCAATTTGAGAAAATACACATTTTCAAAACTAAGCATAACAATTTACAAATCAGTAAAATTATTCCAAGAGAGTGTGAAATAAAATCAAATCACGACGTTGGAAATAAAAGAAATTTTTAAGTGATAAAAATTCGAAGAATAGGTAAACATACTTATCTACTCTATTATGTAACAATTACAATGTACTCGCAGTGCTATAAAACAGCTATTCAAACATTATCATAATGTACGTATGTCTGTATTTGTAGTCACTGAGAAACAGAAAATTATTTTGACCAATCATTATAACACGCAATGTCTGTTATTATTCAATATTTATATTGATTGCAATTGCAACTTGTGTCTCTGATTTTCAGATCGCCTTTTATGATCTGTCAACAAATGTTCTACAAGTAACACAAATGGGGTCGATGCAGCGTTTAATTAACACTCATGTGTTGGAAGAGGCCATTCAATGCTTATAAGAAATAATTCAATACAATAAAACAATTTTTCAATGAAATGGAATTGATTTGGCAAAGTTAGATAATGAAAAAAACAACTATTTTTTTTAAAGAAGAATAAATCCTGAAAACGATTCAACGTCTGGCATCTCGATGATGTCACAGTTTAAACATAGAGATTATAATTCTCAAAGCGTCTGGTTTGAGATATTTTTCACTGCATTTTATGTTTCATAAGAAAATAAAACAGATTTGACTTACTCAACACGCAAAGGTCAACAGATTTATTGCCGATTAAAGACCGAAAGTGTCTCAATATTATTTGATTTAACAATTTAAATAATTCTTCTACGATTTCAAATAGAAAAAATACTCATCCTATGAATTTACAATCATTTTAACATTAACAGAATCAAATGTGAAAAAAAACTCACCAGTCCGGTCACTTGGGAGAATGAAAGAAGTGTGAAAAAACCATTGAGTAGTGACGCTTCCTGGAATTAATCCCAGTATCCCGGAGAGAAAAGAATTTCTTTATAGAAAAAAACTACACACCATTTAAAATTAAAACCTCAATAAAAGCGAGAAACACTTTTTTTTATTTATTTTTTAATAACACTGTCACATAAACATCACTCTAAGGGAGTTTCGCTTCTAAATGCGATTTTAAAACAACATGTGGACGAGTCGATGTCTCGACGCCGTTTGTGAAACAACTTCGAGCCTCAGTGTCTGTTCGTAAACAAAAAAGAAAAAAAAAGGTAAGGGTTGGTAACTCCCACCGATTCTTTCCTAAACCAATCGCACGTAAACCGTCAGACTTGGCTGATTTTCGCTCTCTATATGACTTCCAGTCACGATCGGTAAATAAAACTCCTCGCGCCTTTTTTTCCCCTTTGCAATTGCATAAAACAAAGCCTAAAGCCATAAAAAAGTAGGAATATTTAGACGTAACAGTGAAATATAAATAGACCAGTTAAAAACATTAATATTAACAACAAATTATCCTTTAAGTTATTAAAAAAGTAATCATTTTTTAAATTGAATTCGAAAGTTCATTTACTACAATTTTATCAACAAATTGAGAAATAGAATTCTGTCATTTTTTAAAAATTAATATGAAATTGCAACAAAATGAATGAAATTAGATTTACTAAAAAGATATTTAATAAAAAAAGTAATACTAATTCTTATCAAAAATGAGAATGAACAAGTTAATTTTTATTGAACATGTAAAAATTTTAAAAACTGTTAATCATATATATTTATATATGTACTCAAGTTGATTAAAAGTAATTTGATGGAAAAATTCTGAAAGACTGTTGCATCAAAAATTTTAGACACATACCTACCCAAAATTTCACAAAATTGATCACAAATAACAGAATTTTGTCAGTAAAAGCCGACAAAAAATACAATGGCGGTTGTTTTTAACAATAACTCAATTTAGCATTTTTCAATTACATACGAAGAAAAGCGTTCAATAAACTTTATTCTTCAACTAAAAATCAACTTGAAAATCACGTTATCTCTCAACAGAGAAAGATTATGAATCTTGTTTTCGCCAAACCACACTGTGACACACCCCTAGCAGTAAATTTTTGTTAACCATCTTTAATTCGAACACAATACTATTAATACAAAAGAACAATATTCGTCAATGAAAACTAAAGTAATTACTACTTTGTTAAATAATAAAAGATTCTTTTTTTACTCACCTGTTGAAAAGTTGAGATATTTGTATGTGAAGTAAATTTCGATGTATCTTGTCTACTAACTGTTTGACTTTCCGAGAATCGCCGAGCGGTTAGTACGTTCGGCGGATGTACTCCCTCGTGGTACTAATCCAAACTAACAACTAAAGGAGCACCACGAGGCCGGTGCTGTTTATGTATAAACTGGATAACCACTTTAGGAATAAATTTTGACAATTTCTACAAAATATTGCATAGCTAAACAGCTTCTTTTTAATCCAAGAACAAACGAATCGATTAGCGCGATCGCAAAAGCGTCACCTTTCACTGTCCGGCGCGCATATCTCTTATGCGCATGCTCCTGAAGTGCGTGTTCTTAAATGCATCAAAAAATACTTCAAAATGGCGCAGCATGAAGAAGACGCTTAATAATTTTAACCAATGAAAATTACTTTTAATACTTTTCTATTGGTTGAATAAAATACCCAATAGGAATTGTGCATGTGATGAATACCTTTTTTTATAAAAAAAAATAGATTTCTTTATTAAAAATCAGGAAAAAAAATTAATTTAATTTAATAATAATAATAATATAGGCTTTTAAATTATTTAAAAGAGTATTAATATAAAATCTACTAAATTACTTTGTTAATTTCAAAAAAGTGCGCGCAAATATAACGCTCTTTGCTCGGACGAAAAAAATTCTGGACACAATCTGTTTTCTAACCTAACCTTTAATTTAGTTTGCGAATCTTAACCTCGTCATGCAAGTTTTTAATTTTAATATTTATTAAGAAGTGTAGATTAAATAATCTATTTCTAAAGTTGCAATCATTTATTGGATTAATTTCATTTCCATTGTTTGAGATATGTTGTAATCAAAATAAATTACAGGTAAGAATATTTCTTTATTTTTATTGAAATTTTAGGCACAAATTTATACTTAAAAATATAAATTTTGCACGTGTTACTAGTTTCAAAAATAACTGTTATTAATTACTTAATCTTTATAATTGTTGCAGGTAATACATAAAAACTAGTATAACAATAATAAAATAAGTTACTTTAATTCTTAATCTATAAAAGTTATGGATTTATTAGCGAATAATGTCGCTTCAAAACTTAAAAAGAAAAAACTTAAAACTGAGACGAAAAAAATGAAAAATACATCTAAATCTGTGAAAGGTGTTACATCGCCAGGAAAAGTTACAAAAAATAAAAAAGTATCAAAAACAGATAAAAAGAAAATTCTTAAGGAAAATTTAAAGAATTTAGAAAATGTAAATTCTAATAAACTAATTAAAAAGACTGATTCGCTGAAAGAAGTATTAAAAAATAAAGAAATTAAAGGTGTTAAACAAAATAAAAATAAGAAGAATGAACAAGTTGAAAAGAAAATCGATAACACCGTTAAAGCAAAGATAAAAAGAAAAATTAATGAAACAGAAATTGTTTCTAAGAAATTAAAAAAAGAAAAAAAAGTTTCTGAAGACAATAAAAACACTTCAGATGTAAGTAATGATGTACAATTATCACTGAATCAAGTTAAAAAAGGTGTTACAGCTATTTTAAAGTTAGCAAATGCAGAAGCTACTTCAGAAAAATCTCTTATGGCGGATGAAAAATTACCTATTTTCTTACAAGTGTGTTGTATCAAAATTCCAAAAACACCATCTCGACAATTGCGAATGTAAGTATTGTTTTTTTTAATCCTAATATTCATATTAATTTCTTTAAAAATATTGTTCAAATACTCATTTTTTTAATGGTTTAAATTATTTTTTGTTACACTTGGTTTTCCATGATTATATTATTAAAATAACTCCAATTGATCCTGATGAATATCAATGATTCCAAAAAATTATGTATGAAGAAAACCATAAATACTTTTAAAAAAATGAAATTTATATATTTGAAATAAATTAATAATAGAAAGTTTATTTATTTTAATTTAAGGTTACTTCCACATTCTTTGGTGTCACCTGACGATGATGTTGCATTAATTGTAAAAGACTTGAAGAAAGGTCGCAGAACTGATTATGAACCAACAATTGATCATTTTCGTCAATTACTCGATGAACATAAATGTAAACTAATTAAAACAATTATACCCGTAAATCAAATTAAAACTGAATATGATCAATTTGAATTGAAACGAAATCTCGTGAATAGTCATGATTTTTTTCTCATTGATGGAAGAGTATCAGGACATGTTGCACGATTACTTGGAAAAACTTTTACCAAACGACGAAAATTACCAACGTCAATTAGAATGAATAGTAATGATTTAAAAAAAGAAATAAAATATGCTCTTAATAAAACATCAATGCAATTAAATTCCAATGGAAATACACAAGTGGTACAAGTTGGAACAACTTCTATGCCAAAATGTCAAATTGTTGAAAATATTGAAGCAATTTGTAAGAGTTTAACTAAAAATTATCCTGGTGGATGGTTAAATATCAGAGCATTGAGAATAAAAACACAAAAAAGTCTTGCAATTCCGATTTATATGACAATGAGTAAGTTAAATTGTTTACTTTTTCAAATTTTAAATATTTCAATTTATTTAATTTGTTTGTTTTATAGAAAATAAAAATGAAGTTGAAGCTCCTGATGTTAAACCAAAGAGACCGAAAGCTTATAAAACTTATGAAGGTGAACTTACAACACTTCCTGGAAAGGCTACAGTCACTGTTACTCCCGATGGAAGAGTCACAGTCAAAAGAGAAAAAGATGACGATGATAATGTGACTGTTGGAGGGAAATCAATAGAAACTAAAATCGATGAGGATGATGACGATAATAGTGAGGATAATGATGAAGAAGACACAGATGATTAAATAAATATACAAATATTTTTTGTATATATAAACGATTAACATTTTCTTTATTGATGTTTTAAAGGTAATTTTTCCTTTCATATTACCTTTAAAGAAGTTGTAAATAAATATTTTTTTTCTGTTATACAAAACTGATTTAAATGTACTTGCTTTTATTATTTAGCATTTATTCTTCATCATTGAGAAAGAGGAAAACTTCAAATCTTAGTATAAAATCGTCTGATCTTTTTTTGATATACTCTGATAATTATTCGATGGAGTTAATGGCATTGCAGCTCCATTTGAATCTTGTGAATGAACGACATTGAGCGTAAGGTCGGTTACAACTTCTATTTCTTGAAAATTTTCTAATCTCTCAACATCTTTATCTCTTCTTATTTTTGTATTTGGGAGTTTTCTCAATTTCACCACCCTACTTTCATCGATGTTTAGCTCTTGGCAGCAGACATGAAGTAAGGCTTGGAATGTTAAACACGTCTTTGGTAAATCAATTTCAATGAAATCAACGTCGTCCTGTATATTTGCAAGTCGTACTTTCAATACTAATTCTGAAAAATTATACAAAAAAAAGTAGTAAAATGGACTTATGGACTTATCGGAAGAATAACATTGAAATATATAGGTAAGAAAATATTAAAAATTAATTTAAAGAAAAATATACATACCGTTAGAAGGAATACTGTCATCTGGAAGATTTTCTTCTTTCGAAGAAATCGAATTTTTTGCATAATCATCACTTTGAGATGTTCCTAAGGCAGTTGTTAGTTTTGCAATTTTTAAAATTTCTCCATCAGATAAAATTTGTAAAATTTGCGGATTTGTGCATACTGATTTTGGTGATTCACCAGAATCCGATGTTATATTTTGATCTGCTCCATTTTCTAAAAGTTTCATGATAACGTCTTGTCGATTCATTTGACAAGCAAAAATCAAAGCAGTTCTGAAATATTGTATAAATATTATATACACATAAATATAGTATTTTTCCAAAGTAATTTATAAAACTTACCGTCCATTTTTTGGATGACGAGAATTAACATTAACTCCAAAATTTAAAAGTTCTTCTACTCTATTAACATCTCCTAAACAAGCAGATATTCTCAGTTCCTCTTCTAATTTCTCCTTTTTATTCATTTTAATGAAAATTTTCTTTAATGACAAAAAAAGAGAATAAATTTAATTGAATTGACTTTTCAAAAAATCAATTCAACTGTTTTTGGAAGACGAAAAAATATTTCTAATTTTGATTATTTTTTAAAATAACATTATTAAAAATATTTTTAATTTAAATAAGTATTCAGTAGGTATAGATTTTGTTACTTAGTTTTCGTTTTCTTTTTTAAGAAATTAATTATTTCTCAAAATCAAATAAAAATTGCGAAAGTTTAAATTCAAATATAAGTGAATTGTTTAAGTACCTAAATTGCAATGTGCACTGGAGTAAATTGTTTCTTTTCCCATAATAAGTGGAAGAAGTCATTTAAATTCTAAACTATTTCTTAAGGCAATAAACAAGCAAAAAAGTAGTTCAAAAAAGAAACTTTTATTGACTTGGTTGTTGGAAATAAATAATGAAAACACATTGGACATAATAAATGTACAAGAAACAATATATATAAACTTAGTTTAATTATCTGCAGACTAGGTTAGACTCTCATTATATTCAATGCGCATGATCATTTTAATGTCAGTGACCCTCTTGTTGCATGTAAAAGCCGCTTAGTTTTAAAAATAATTATTATTAGAAAATATTAAATAATCAAACTTTTCTTTTAAATGATATTTATAAACCATAAAATTGTTTAGTCACCTCATAAATTGTCACTCTTTATTTTTCTTTATTTTTATTACTATAAATCTTTTTTTAAAAGAAACAATTATATATCTTGGAATTTGATATTATTTATTGAAATTATTTAATAATTATATAATATCCTTTTTTAAAATTTATATTAAAGAAAAAGAAAAACAAGTATAAAAAACCTTGTAATTTATTTCGCGTAAAAAATTAAAGATATATTATATACATAATAATACAATAAAAGAATTATCTACATTATAATTGTATAACGTGAATATTTAATAACAATCGTAACTTTTTCACTTTTTTTGTCGATTTCATTGTCAATTTCTGTATATTGGCACAAAAAAAAAACATTTTTCAAAAATAAAATTTCATTTTTTTCTAATATATCGAAAAAGAGTCATCAGTTGAATCAGGGCTATCAGAATTGCTTTCGGCAGCGTCTACAAAAGCTGTTGATAAATCCCCGGCTAATTTACTGACCGTTTGGCTACTCACATCGTACATGAAAATTTCCTTTTGTCCACTATAGATGTCTTTTGATCTAAAAGAATATATGTTAAAAATGTTTCATTAATATTGAATTAGTAAGAAAAATAAAAATTTGTTAACAAAAAAAATGGAGCACTTCAAAATATGTATAATATAGGTTTAATAATTTAGTTTCTTTTTTTTATAACTAACAAAATAATTAAAATTGACTTACGTTGTGACAAGTAAAACGACTGATTGTCTTTGAGGTGGTGTTTTTTGTTCTTGTTCCAACCATTTTTTATAATTTTCAGAAGTCGGTTTTTTCACCAGTTGTTTTAAGGATTCGCCAGCCAAGAATTTGATAGCTTGAACGTCGTTTAATTTTTTACCTTTACGTAAATCGGATAAATCAGAAGAATCTTTAAAATTATAATCAACTGGTGCTAATACAACAACGCTGGAAATTTTTTTTCCTTTTAATTCAGGTACATCTGGAATGGGAAAAGAAGCACCGCTCACTTTAAGGGGTAAATAACGATTATATTGAGGATCGTCCTTGGTTCCCACAATTACAGGATTGAGGTGAGTTGCATCTTGACGAATATGCTGACCGGCTATTGTTTGACCTTGCGCTGTATTTGGATCAAAGCGCACTACTTTCATTTCAACGCCACCTGGTTTTAAAGTAGCTTGTTCGATTTCTGTTTTTATTAATTTTGATTGTTGATATTCTTCTACTGTTTTAGGCCTTTTCGCAATTGAGGGAATTGGTTCACTTGCTGATGTTGCAGCAGCACCACCTGCACTGTAAAAATTTTCCAATGCTTCAGGTGGTAGATTTTCTATTGGAATACCACCGATTTTATCATAATCGAGAATTTGTATATCGGCATTGCCTAAAATACCAGAACTTAATAATTGTTCTCTAATATCATCGGGCACTTCATCGGGAAGATTTGCGATATTTTCTTTTATTTTTGCCTCGTTTTTTGGCGATAAAGTGGTAGTCGTTGTGGTAGTGGTTGTAGTACGTTCAGTTGTCGTAACTACCGGGGGTAATGATTTTGGTGCTTCTGTTTGACTGGCAGGAGTTGCATAAATCTTTTGATTTGAATTTTGAACAGTGGGCCTTCCCCAAATTGATTGATTCGAAGAAGGGGAAATTCGTTTTTGTGAATTTTGAACAAAATGCTGGTTTTGCTGTTGAGGAGGCTTGTGATTTAAATTCTGGGATGACTGATATAATTGATGATGTTGTTGAAAATGATGATTTTGCTGAGATCCACTATTTTGATTTAAATGTTGATTTTGTCTATTATTATCTTGATAATCTTGTATTTGTGGATTTGGAGGGAAAGGACCAGGATGAAGAGGATTTTCCCTGATTGCAAAATGTTGCTCTAATTTTGGTACGGCTTTCAAAATTTCACCCGAAGTTTGTGATGGAGTTTGAAATTGTTGATTATATTTAATTTGTTGTCGATAGTCTTGTAATAATTTTTGATCTTGTTCCTGTTTTCTGCGTTGTTCCTGTAATCGTTGATGTTCCAAATATTTTTGTTGCTCCTGTTGTCGTTGTTGATCGATTTTTTGCTGCTCTTGTTGTCTCTGTTGTTCTAAGATTCTCTGTTGATCTAAAATTCGTTGCTGTTCGGCTAATCGCTGTTGTTCACGTTGTTTCAATAGTTCCTGATGTCTTCGTTGTTCGTAGTATTTTTGCTTTTGTTCCTCTTGTTGTTTGTAATTTTGTTGATGATCTGGATTAAAATTATGAGGCGCTAATGGGCCTGAAAATGAAGATTGTTGAGAATGATGATGTTGATGATGATTATTATTATTGATACGATGTGGAACGTTGAATGGTGTTTTTTGTTGAAATTCAGGTAATCCTTGAATTGTTATTGGTAATCGTTGGGAATTTCTATTTTGAAATTGTTGAGGGGGGAAATTTTGTGAAAGTCGTTGATTCGTTTGTTGATTGGAAATTAATTGTTGATTTTGTAGTAACTGTTGTGGGGGAATAGAATTAACGATTCTTTGTTGAGGAAAAGCTGGTTGAACTCGATGAGGAATCGGTTGTAGTGGTTGATAGGGTCCGTGGGATTTTTTTGAAGAGGTTGGAAGTGGAGTTGGAGGAACATTCAATGGTTGAACAGGTGGTTCTTGATCACTTCTCTTGTGATGATTATTCGGTGGTACTTGATCAGTACCAAAGGTAACACGTAGTCCACTGCTACCTGGAGCATGATATGATTCACTGTCTGGTCGAATGATTGCCCTCAAAGTTGTTGAAGGTTCTGATGGTGCTGGCGTTATTGGTTCCAAAACTGTCTCCTGATGAGGAATTGGTTCTTCAATTTTTTCATGTTCTTCAACTGGTGTGAGAGCTGGAATTGGCGCATCGTAAACAACTTGGGATTTACCATCACCATGATTCTTCTTTTTTTCATATTTAACGTAAAATACTTGAATTGGCTCTTTTGTGGGCCTTGGAGCCGGTGGTTGTGGAGGAGGAACTGGAGTTGGTAAAGTTTCATTAGATTCTTTAATGATTATTTCAATAATTGGTTCAGGTTCGGAAGGATAATAACTTTGTGGAATGTCGTAAAAACCCTCGTCACTTTTTGCAATCGCTAGAGAATTATAAAGAGGATCACGTTGTGAATATTGAACAATTGGTTCCATTTGTACAGCATAAGGTGGTGGGCGAGCTCCTCTTCTGGGATGGAATTGTCTCTTACCTCGATTCTTCGTCTCATCCTTTGCTTCAACAAGCAGGAGGACTGAAGTAAAAAGTATCGTCTGCAATGAAAAGAAAGTTTTTTTTTTTAATCAAAATTCTGAAAAATAGGGAAATTAGATCGCTAACCGAGTGACCCCTTTCAATAAAGAGAGAAAACATCCTTAAATGTAATATATCGATCAATTGGTATTCCTAACCAGTATTGAATTACGAAGTTAACAAGTTTCCTGATAAATGATTCAGATTCTCGATAATCCAGATATGGCTATAAGCAACTCGTTATTGATTTTAAAGATTCACAAATTGTTAAAAGATATTTTTGCTTTCTTCGCATAATTTACGAGCAAGAAAGGAAGAGAAAATTTTTATCTTAAAATTAACGCCCGAGCGCTTCGCACCTATTCTATTTACCCAAGTTTATTGCTCTTGTATATCGTATACTCGATCTTCATAAAAACCATTATTATTTTTAGTTATAAACAAAATATTGTAATTTTTTGCGGTTTTTCATCGTAACGTAAAATCAGAGACGGAAGTTTATAAAACTGAGGGAAAAATAATTAAAAATAGACAAAAAAAAAAAAATGAAATCTAGAAAGTAGTAATAAAAAAAATTATTTTTAATTATAAAATTTATATCGAAAAATCCTTTCTATAAATAAAATATACCGGCTTAAATTAAATATAAATTATTAATAATTGTAGAAAAATATTACCAGTTTGAGGAAGCGCATGGTGATAAGAATTCCTTTATTTTCAGGACACACTTCACTGACTCCGCGTGTTCACCCCACAGTTTTGTTATTTTGCCCGAAGATACATTATAAAGGAAGAGAGAGAGAGTTCAATGTGTGTAGACAATATTGAGTGGAACTTCACATAGGAACTAAATATTGAAGACTTTGGGACTTGGACTTGGTTTCTCCCTTCCAAGTGCGACCACTTCTTTTTCGCGTGGTGGAAAAAGAAGCTCCTCTCTAATGTTTCAAGATGATGGAGGGGCACCTTTCTCTGCATTAATACACATACCAAAACCAATGCAATATTATATTGGTCTCTCCACACGAGTATATTAAAAGCGTAATGCCGTATAATGTGACTTGAAAAAAAAATTAAACGTGCGAAGACACCAGGAAGGTGAGCGTACACGACGACTTTCTTTAATCGTCTCTCGAACTCTTCTTTTAGCGCGCTTGGCATTTTCAGCGACCTCCACGGGCCAATGAAATTGAAATGATTCCTTCCGGTTCTTTCTAAACTATAATTATCTTTTTGTCTGTTAGACCGAAAATGTTGCAATAGAGAAATGCATAAATGTTTTTTTTTATTTCTTTTAATTGATTGATTCATTTCAAAAATAGTTTAAAAATTTCACCAAAAATTTTTTGAAAAAAAGAACATTTAAATTTTAAATATTGAACTAAATAGCGATTAAAACTTTAGTGCTGAATTTTTATTTCAACAAAAATAATTATTAGTGCAATGCAAAATTTAAAAATCCATTTTAATCATTTGTGGAGAAAATATATTTCTTTAAATTATTTTTCCACAATTTCTAATATTACTATATCTATTACTAAAACTTATATATATTTCTATTCTTGAAGATATTTTATATTTTTACGACAATTATATGAAGAAAATAGCAGTTGTAATTATTATAATATATGATAATTCTCTTATAAAAGCATATTTTCTGGTGTGCCATAATTCTTTGCAGAATTTACCGTAAAATTTTCTCCCTTTCTCCTTTTATGACTTATTTAATGTTTATGCGTGAAATTTTTATTCTTAAAGAATAATCGAAATAGATTCTCGTTGATAAGGAAACATAGTTTGAGATAAAAATTTTGCGTCAAACATTTCTTTTTTGGAAGAATAATTTGATAATTTTAATACAATATAATATGACTTTTTTTCTTTCAGGAAATTTGAGTAATTTCAATTTACATTTGAATGTTCTCAATAATATGAAATTATTCTTAAGGTGTTATGGTTATACTAAGTAGCTCATCAATAATTATATATGTAGGCACGTAATACCGTATATTCACCTAAATTCTAGTGCGTGACCAGTTTCCTTTATAAAGAGTGAAATTAAGTTGGTTCTTTATTTTTTTTGCGTTAAAATTAACCGGAAATGTCGGTTAGAATAAATAAATTCTAAAATTATATAAAATTTTATCAAATATCAAAATCAAATAATTGTTTCAAGGGTGTAAATTTTAGATAGTAAATTTTACTTTCGATTTATGAATTTGTTTGAATTATTGTTAATTTGATATAAATATTAATAATTGTATAAAAGCTAAATTATAAATGTTTCTCTGATCACAGAATTTGGGACAATATGAATTCCTTGAGGTCTTTAATTGGAAAGTAATGGAATTCGGTCGCTCTGAGATAAACGCCTCAATATTCATTAAGTTCCTGTCTTGAAGAAGATCTGGAGATGGGCATTTGGCGAACGTCCAGTTGAAGATTCAAGTCTTGTGTCCTACTTGAAGAACTTTCACTTATACGTTCTGGCGTAAGAGACCCCAGGTTCAGATTTTATAAATTTTCTGCAAATAGTTAAGACTTTCATTATAATAACTTGACATTTCATTTACAAGTATTATCTGATAACAAAGTTAAACTTTTTTTTTGCATTTATGGTTGTTTGTATAATTTTGTGCGAAAATTACAAAGTAAAAAAACAAGTTTACGAGGATGTTGCGCAGAAACTGAATGCGAAACGAGCAAAAACTACATTATGCACATTTTTTTCTAAAATCGTGTGAGCCACTTTTAAAAGTAAAAACAAATTCCATTCGAAATTAGAATTGCTTCATAAAAACCAAGTTTACGATAACCTAAAGTATTCTCTTACTTGTATATTTAATAAATTATTTTGTGTTTATCGAATCGAATTTTTAAGCTTTTTTTCTGATGATTCTATTTTTAAAGCTTCTTTTTACATAATGTGAAACTTTCACTTTTGTTATTTGTATTATCGCAAAACTTGTCAATTGTAAATTAAAATCAAGATTAGCTTCTCAAAAGTTGTGCATGAAATTGTCGTTTCCAAAGAATCAAGAGTTATTTAGAATTTTCATGTGTTTGTTGCAGAAACGAAAGGGAAAAACTCTCATAGTGAGTTGCGAATTAAATTGTTCCCTTGAGATGCGTATAATTGGAGCAGGCGATAACTTTGTTGGAATATTACATAGTATGTTTCTCTGCGGTTAGATATAAAAAAAAATAAATACTAGAAGTGCACCAATATATGGAAGATATTGCATTATATACATATATCTGAATAGCCTGATTCTCATGAAAGTCCAAAGCGTAACAGCAGATGCTTTGATACCAAAGATTGACGATACTTTTTCCATAAGGTGTAAATGTGTGTGGTTCGTTAAACCTGTATGAGCTAACGTAACTGTTCTGTTGAAGAGTGAAAGTGGTGTGTAAAGTGGAACGTAAGAATCGAACTAAGTATTTTTATTAATAACAATCTGAATCGACAGAATCGTTTATTTATCATAGATATATGTATATTTTTTTAATTGCCTCTTGCAAAAGGTTCAATTACACAGTATAAAAGCTGTAGCAATTAATTTTAAACTGAATAGCAATTTTTTTGCGAAACAAACAAATTTTTTTTACTGGCATTTTTTTCATATTTTAAAACTTTAGAAATAAATGTAAATTTAGTCTAAAATATACTGAAAGATATAAATTAAAAAAAACAATAAAATTGTTAAAGAAAGTTCACATTTTTAAATTATTAAATATTTAAATACATTTAAAAAGAATTAATATTAAAGAAGAATCTTACTAATTTTAATTAGCAAGTTTTTTTTCTTCGAATATGTAAGAAAAACAGGTTTTAATAATTTATCCAACTGTAAATTATGCATTTCTACAAATTTTAACATTATAATTTATAAATTAATTCAAATTTTAAAAGCTTGTGACTACTTTTGAATTCTTTTAATTAAAAATTTGTAATTAATTTAATTTTTAAAGCATTTCTCTATTATGTAATAATCATTAATAGATAGTTTTTGATTTATTACATTTAATATTATGTATTTTTTCAGATGTACTGAAAGTATAAGTACACACATACACATTTACAAAAATGTCTTCTGAACAGTGCAAATGTGATACTTGTATAAAAGTCCGACATAATATTGAAGAAATATTTCGTATACTTGATATTTACGGCTGGTTACTGGATTCCTATATAGTGGTTTGTTTATATTTTTTAAAAAAACATGATAAAATTGACATTTTCCCAATTTAACTTTCTATATTCTTTTAATACGAGGTTATGTTGATATTTTTATAGTTCAAAAATTTTATTATCTTTTCAAAATTATTATATATTATAAGAACTGAAATAAATTATTTTTAATAAACTTACATAATTATTTTCCAGGATTTTTTCTTAGACGATTTATGGAGCAAATTACCAGGAGAGTGGCAAAATATGTTGGATTCTGTGACACCGGAAGAATTAGGAAAATGGATTTCAGGTGATGATGATAAATCATGGTAAGATTAAAATATTTTAATATTATAATATACAGTGAAAGTAAAAATCAATGTTATATTTATAGTTATATATATTTGAATATTATTTTTCAGTAAACGAGTTTGGCCTTTGTCGTTGATTGCTCTGAGACAAGTTATTAAGAAGTTGGAAATTAATAGGAACCATAATGAAAGGGAAGTCATTAAATGTCATAGAAGAGAAAATAATCCAGCAATAAAGGAAATAGATTCTTTAAATTCAAGTTCAAATATAAACAATCATAAATTTAATAAGCTTTTTACGAAACACGTGAAAACGAAAAAACGTTACGAAATTGAAAGAATAACAAAGGTATTAATATATTAAAGTTAATGTTTTTTTAAATTATTTATTTTATTCTTATTTATTGTTGTTATTATATTTTTTTAGATATTAAATTACTGTACTTTAAAAACAAATTGTACTTGTGTTGTTGATATCGGTTCCGGAGTGGGACATCTTTCTCGAGCACTTGCATTTAAATATGGATTAAATGTTATTTCCATAGAGCAGGATTCAACTTTAACGGATCAAGCAATGTAAGTTGATATTATAATTATATTTTCAAATAACAATACTTGATTTTTTTTACAGAAAGTATGATAGAGAATTGTCAGTGTCTTTGGAAAAAAATAATTTTGCCATTAATGGAAAAATTGATCATGTTTCAATGGCTATTAATGCAAACAATTCTGGTGAACAGGTGATAAATGATTTAATAAAGAATTTTGCTAATGGATCAATTAAGAGATTAAAAACAGAAGAATTTGGGATAATTGGTTTACATCCTTGTGGAGATTTGGCAACTACACTTTTAAGATTATATTCATTATCTGAAAAGGCAAAATTTATTTGCGTTGTTGGGTGTTGTTACATGAAACTCACTCTTAGGTAAGAAAAATAAATGATAATGTTATGTTCATATATTATATTTCTAAATCTACATCTTTCTTCCATATTAGGAACGATGAAAATAATTTGAAAGGATATCCGATGAGTATACATGTTTCATCAATAGATTCTAACAAATTATCTTTCAATTCTCTCGAAGTGGCTTGTCATTCTGTTGAAAAACATTGTGAAAAACTAAAGAATGGAAATTATATGGATTTAATTGTAAGTTTATCATTTTTTATTCAAGTAAAGGTTTTAATTATAATAGTATTGTAAAATGTAATATTCAATTTTCACAGGTACATACATATAGAGCAGCCTTGGAATATGTTTTGGTTAAAAAAAGTCATAAACTTCGTCGTATACAAATAAAAAGCGTAAAAGTTAAGGAAGGCATGTCATTTGAACAGTTAAGTAACAATTATATTTTAAATATATTTTCTATTGCGGAAAAACTTATATGAATAGTATAAATTTTATTTAAAAAATTGCTTTTTTATACTGTAATATATGTATTTCTAAGTAATTTTTTTTTAGATATTGCAAACATGCAATAGAAAATTTGGAACCAGAAAGTCAACCAGAATTATCGAATTTTATACAACCAAAAATACGTGAATTTTTGGAAAAATCAAAAAGAGTATTAATTTTTAACTCACTTCGATTAATGCTGGCACCATTAGTTGAAACAAGTATTTTATTAGATAGATTTTTATTTCTTTCTGAAAAAGGTTTGGTTCCTTCATTAAAGGCTGAATTTGATTGTAAATTGTCACCAAGAAATTTTGTACTTATATCAACAAAGTAATTTAAATATCAACTAGAAATTCAACATAATTCACGTTATATTTTTTATAGAATATAATATTTATAAATATTATGTGAATTAAAGTGAGATATATATAAGAATTAACAATTATTTTTATTATTAATATCTTAAAATAAATCCTCTAAATTCGATAAACAATATAATAGTTATGTAATATTTTTCCGAAATGTCAAAATTAATTTTATTATTTTGTTTTTAAAAAAACAAAACCTATAGCATATTTAAATTTAAAAACAAAAAAAATTTAAAGGTGGCGCACTCTGTTGAACGTTATTTGTATTAAATAAAGATTAGTATAAAAAAACATTGCTTCCATGTTTTGCCGGTTTTGTGGCAATAATATAACATTTTTTAAATAAAAATTTATAACACTAGTAAGTATAATATATTTATTAAAATATATTTATTTGATAATTTATAATATTATATATTTTGTAGATAATGTTGCCATTAATAATAAGTGTTATGAAACGATATGCACCAATAATTACTCTTCCTTTTGCTGCAATTGTTGGATTTATTGGTTATAATTTAGAGGAAACATTTTCCAGTAAATATACACCTTCAACACCATCAATATCACAACAACGTTTAGAAAGAAGTTTAGAAACAATCACCACATCTTCAGAAAAAGAACGCAACGAAAAATCAAAAAAACATAATCCACTGGAAGTTAATTTATCACCTTCTTTGCAAAGTTAAATACTACGTTAGTTTCACAAGAATGACAAGAATTAAATCAAATACAATAAGGTATATTCACAAATATTGTAAATTACTTACAAATTTTCTTTGTTTATAATTTTACGGAGACATTTTTTGCAGAAAAAAAATGTAAGAATTTATGTATTATGTATAAATTCTTTCTATGTTTATGTACATAAAAATAATTCAATGATTTGACAAAATAATAAAAATTTACAATTATTTTATTTTAAATTGAAGTTTATTATTATTTGATTAGGTTATGCGGTATATACATATATGCGCGTCACTACCACGTCACCGATCAGCTGTTTATGCTTTTCACATTTTTTTCATTAAAAACTAGTTTTCTGCTATATATATTATATTATTAATATTTTAATTAGTAAAATATTTAATTTATAATATAATTAAAATGTATGATATAATGAAAATATCTTTAACAGTTAGCAGTAACTTTTTCTTATGAATATTTTTTTCTTTATTTTGAATTCAATGTATACTTTACCGCGCAAACTTTTAAAAATGGACGTCGTTTGTATCGAGCGTTCATTGGATGAGTTTTTTTTTACCTGCGCGTGGCGGGAACTTTAGTGGAGTTAACAGCTGATTGCCAAAACAAAGATGCATTTTAATTGGAGTTAACAGTTTTAAAAATAAGTCCCATAAATTCGTTAATTTTCTTTACACAAACAGTAAATTGGTTCAAAGACAATTATTTTCTTATTATTTTTCATAAAAAAAAAAAAAAAATAACATAGAAACTCCCATTTTGTTTTTAGGGGAGTTTGTGAACTCTCCCTTAAGAAAAAGAGATGGCGGTAAAGTTAAAGGGTTGAAAAGTCTATCTTGACTGATCTTGTCGCTTGGTTGTAAATTGTACGCACGCATCTTATTCAATGTATATTTATGTATTATATATACATATATACATACCTCGACAATGATAAGTGTTAGTTGTGTTAATTGTGCTACATAAGCAATACAGCTCATGAATTTGCGAATTTATTTGTTTTTAAAATAGAACGAAAAAAAAATGTGAATAATTCCAAGTTTGTATCGCCAAGAACACTCATAAAAAAAAACGAAAAATATTTCTTCCACATTTAGATTCAGTGATTATTGTAAATATTTTTTCTAAAAAATATGTTTTTCTCTTATGATATGTTTAATCGAAGACAACAAGAATTATTATCTCAAGCACCTGGAGGTACGTTACTCTAATTTTTTGTGGAAAAATGACTTGTCCAAAAGTATTCTATTTTTTTGAAAAAATGTATTTTTTGGAAATAACATCAGATGACTAAAAAATGCAAGGTCATATGTTTTTCCGTATACTTTTTTTATCATTTTGAAATTCATTTTTATTGTATAAGAACATTTTTTACATTAGATGAAGATTTACCAAGTATGAGGTTAACTATGTCATAACACGCATTCATTGACCAAAATCATATGTAGGTTAGTCAAAACTTTTTTTTTTATAAGAAAATATAATAGTCATTTATTTTACTTAACAATTGATTATTCAATAATTTAGGTACATTTTTAAACTGACAGTTATAACAATGAAATTTCGAGAAATTGTTACAAACAAAATAGATATGATTTTTCAAAATGATGTAAAATGTACTGTACACTTATAAAATTAATTTTATTTAGTTATAATTTTTAATTTAAGATATCGAAAAATTAAATTTGTATATTTATCATTGTTCACAGATAAATCCAAATACAACAGTCTGGTAAAAGCTAATGAATTTAAAAAAATCAAATTTGATTTATCATCCATATACGACATAGTGGATAAGAATCCATATTAAATAATTTCTAGTTAAATTCAAATGCAGTAAAAATACTTAAAAGTGGTGCAATTTTTGAAGGGTGATTACTTCTAATTCTTACAAAAATGTAATAGTTATATTATATATAAATAATTATATGTATATTTGTATAATACATATATTTAAATGAAATGTTAAGAATTGAATCTTCCTGAATGTACAGGCATGATTGAGAAGAAAATCATCCGAGCGGTATGTACTCACATGGAAAATTTTCCCAATGCATTACATTTAATGTAAACAAATAATTATTAGACGATTCAATCGTTTGATATAATCATATTTATTTTTTTTCATTTTAACAAAATTATCTCATTGTCAGCACATTTGTTTTATTTACATTAAGTTGTCATCAAATTAAAGTCCGCAGCCAAAACTAGCTGACCTTCACTTTCTTTGTTAATAATTTTGTCAAAACAATATTTTCAACAATATGTAAGTGATGATTGTCTACTTTTGCCATGCGTAATTTAAATTTTTATATTTTGTAAATTAAAAAATTCACTATTGAATTTATTTTGGAGAAAAAAGGTTTAGACTCCTTTGCAATTTTTTTTTTAGTTTATAAATTGGTTAAAATTAGGGTGAGCACATACTTATCTGTCAACGCACGTCAAGATGGCAATTGGAAGCATTATATGTGGAGCAAATACTCCAAAAGTGAAGCGAAAAAAAATTAAGGTATATTTTTTTAATCTATGTTTTTCGGCTATGTCTGAAAAACAAGACTAACAATAAATTAATAATATCTTCTTGAATTTGAAACAAGTTTTTCAAATTAAGTATGTGCTGAGTGACCCTTACTCGCAACTTTTTTTAAAATATAAATAAACATTTCTTTGATAGATAATTTGCTTAATTGAACTCAAACTATTTATTATTATTATTATTATCGTACTGGACTCATTTGTCATTGCTTATTATTTTGGATGCTTTTAATAATATGTAATAAACACTTTTTCTTTATTTAATTATTATTATGTACTTAACTAACAGAAGAATATAAATATTAAATAGGATCTCTATTTTTATTTATAAATTCATCTCATACATGCGAACATTTTTTCATTTTTTGTTGTTCTTATCACATGTAATTTAAAAGAATTACAAAATAAATATATTTTTTTCTTTTTACTATTTTTAAAAATACTAATACTTGTAATATTTCAGACAACAGAGCGCAGTTGGATCGAAGCAACTTTTCAAAAAAGGGAATGCACAAAATTTATACCAAGTGCAAAAGATGAGCACAGGTAAGTAAATCGTAAATTTATTTACGTCACTATTAATTTCTAGACATAAAATTACAAAAGAAATATATTTTTTTTTATCAACATCCTCTTTCTTAACTCTGCAATATAGAGCTTATATAACATTTTTTGCTTAAAATCACTTCACAACTATTTCGTAATAATCATTTCTCTACTTCATGACTTTCATTAAAAATTCCGTAATCAAATTTTGAAAATAAAAAAAATTTTAATTTACAAGTTTTTTTTTTATAATTTTATCCAATTGGCAAAGAGATGTCGATTCATTTATTCATTCATTTCTGTTTTGATTTACTTTTCTTTTCTTCATTACGTTTATAGGTTTGAAGAAGTACAGGGAGATAAGAATGCAGAATACGACGTGATCACCACTTCCAGGTGAAGTGAACAAATTTCATTTCAATCATAATTCGTGCTTTAATCATGACTTGCTTCTTTATGCAAAAAAAAACAGTAAACGCTCAATTTGTTATTATACTATAAATATATATTGGGTCATTTTATTTTTCCCAAAAAAATATTTTGAAGAAAAGTAAAATGTTGAAATAGTTATTAATAAAAATTGTTAAAAATAACTATGAGACGATTTTCGTTCTTTTATTTTTTTTTATCTCGTGAATCATCCATTATCTCATTCATTTTAAAAATTCAGCTTTTGAATAAATTTTATTAAAACTGTTATTATTTTTATTCTTATTATTATTGCTTTCAATCTTTTTAAATTTGAATCATCTACTGCACGCAATTACACTTGCATTCTTTTCATTATGGAAAGAATATAAAAAGTAATTTTAAAATACAATTTTTAAGATGACTTATTTACTAAACTTTCTTAATTACTCGACAAATTTTATTTTCAGTGCAGATTTAAAAGATGATAACTAAAATAAATAATTTTTTTAATAGTAAAACAATAAACAACTGTTTTTATTTTTGAATCATTTATAATTATATATAAATGATTTTCAGATGTTGTTGTGGACATTCTTATACTCATCATTGTGGAAATGGAGCGGATGTTCAAAGTTATTCAAACATCAATGAAAGCGAACAAGAAAGAGAGCAATGGTCACCGGGAAAGAATACACGTTCTTCAGCAACAGATGCATATGGAACTATTGAATTTCAAGGACTTCCTCATCCAACAAAAGCACAAGTATATTTTAAATGAATTAGTCTTTTGTTTTCTTATTAATTTAAATTAGATACCTAGAAATAAAATCTTTTTTTTAGTATGTTAGATTGGCACACGATACACGACCAGAGCCAATAGTTCAATTATTATGCCGTGAATGGAATTTAGGTTTACCTAAACTTTTAATCACTGTTCATGGTGGTCGATCGAATTTTGATCTTCAACCAACATTGAAAAAAGTTTTACGTAAAGGTCTTTTAAAGGCTGCTAAAACAACGGGTGCATGGATATTTACCGGAGGAACTAATACAGGTTTTTATTGTCATTTCTTTCTTTTTTTAATTATTAATTTTTTTAATGTATTTTTTAAATAATTGTCATATTTTAGGAGTTACCAGACAAGTCGGTGATGCTTTATTATTAGAACGAGCACAAAGACAAGGTCGTGTAGTGAGTATTGGAATTGCTCCTTGGGGTGTTTTGGAAAAGAGTCATGAGCTTGTTGGTCGTGGAAGGGAAATTCCTTATGATTCACTTTCTTCTCCTTGGTAAGTTATCGCATTTTTTATTAAAAATTGATACAAATAATTTTATGCGATTTTTAATTATTTTCCTCAATTAAAATAATATTCAGGTCTAAGTATGCAGTTTTGAATAATCGTCATTCTTATTTTCTACTTGTCGATAATGGAACTGGTGGAAGGTACGGAGCTGAAATTATATTAAGAAGAAAACTTGAAAAATATATATCTAATTTAAAACTTCAGCCTTGTAAGTAATTGCCTAATTTATTTTGTTTAATACTTTTTAATACTATAAAATTTGTAATATTCTCTTTTGGTTTAAAGATACACACAGCAGTATTCCTGTTGTTGCACTAGTAATAGAGGGAGGAACTAATACAATAAGATCAGTTTTGGAATATGTAACCGATGATCCACCTGTCCCTGTTGTTGTTTGCGATGGATCAGGTCGAGCAGCCGATCTCATTGCCTTCATGCATAAGTAAGATCTTCTTTATTTCAATCGTTGACAAAAAATTAATTTAATAATCTGTAAAAATTAATTGTTGTCTGAATAAATTGCTTAAATCAGAACTACACAAAAATTTTAAAATGGAACTTTAAGATTTTTTTTAGATATTTGTGCAATTTAATTAAAATGTTTTAAACAATAATAAAATTGTGATCTTATAGATATGCATCAGAAGAAGAAACCGAAGATGGTGAAGGTCCGCTGGAAAGTATGAGAGAACATTTACTGGAAACAATAAAACGAACATTTAAAGTTTCCGTAGAACAAGCAAATCAGCTTTATCTTGAATTACTACAGTGTGTTCGCAAAAAGCACTTGGTACGAAAATTTGCTGTATTTTTTGTACATACAATTTAAATTTTCTATTTAATTTTCTTTTTTTTTTTTTAATTTGATTAGATCACAGTGTTCAGGATATCACAGGATCGTTCTCAAGAATTGGATCAGACAATACTGACAGCTTTATTTAAATCAAAACAATTATCACCTGCCGAACAATTATCACTTTCGTTAATATGGAATAGGGTCGATATCGCTCGCAGTGAAATTTTCGTCTACGGACAAAAATGGCCACCCGGTGCACTAGAACAAGCAATGATGCAAGCTCTTCAACACGATAGAATCGATTTTGTGAAATTACTTTTAGAAAATGGTGTTTCAATGCGCAAATTTCTATCCATTCCACGTCTTGAGGAATTGTACAATACGGTATGTTTTTTAAAAATTATTATTACTAATTTTCTTTACAGAATTGATGAATATTTATTTATTCATTTTCCTAACAGAAAGAAGGTCCTTCGAATACTTTGGGTTATATTCTTCGTGACGTGAGACCTCACATACCACGAGGTTATATGTATACACTTCATGATATTGGTCTTGTAATAAATAAACTAATGGGTGGTGCTTATCGTGCTCAATATACAAGAAAGGAATTTCGAATACTTTATACAAGAGTAATGAAACGATCTGGAGGATATCAACAACATGCTCATCGTAATAGTTGTGCATTAACAAGTCGATCTTTTTCTAGCTCTGGAGGAAAATCAGGTGGCTTAACAATGAGTCTGTTGGCTGAAACATTACCAGCAACTCAAGATACTGCACTATTTGATTATCCTTTTAATGAATTACTTATTTGGGCTGTACTTACAAAACGACAGCAAATGGCATTACTTATGTGGCAACATGGTGAAGAAGCATTAGCAAAGGCTTTAGTCGCATTAAAATTGTACAAAGCAATGGCACATGAAGCTGCTGAAGATGATTTGGAAACTGAAGTCTATGATGAACTTCGTGGATATGGAAAAGAATTTGAAAACATAGGTATGAAAATAAAAAAAAATATTTATTAATTTAGTTTATTTTCTATTTTCTATTTTATTACAGCTGTGGAATTATTAGATTTTTCCTATCGACAAGATGATGATCAAACACAGCAGCTTTTAACATCAGAATTGAAAAATTGGTCAGGTCAAACGTGTCTTTCTTTAGCGGTGACGGCAAATCATAGAGCTTTATTAGCGCATCCTTGTAGTCAAATTATATTAGCTGATCTATGGATGGGTGGACTTCGTACTCGTAAAAATACAAATTTGAAGGTTTATATTTTTTTTCATTAATTAATGTTTTTTCATATTCAGTTATTTACTTTCTTTTTACTTTTATGTCGACAGGTTGTTTTGGGTTTAATGTGTCCTGTTTACATAACTCGATTAGAATTTAAAAGTCGGGAAGAATTGCAATTGATGCCACAAACGGAAGAGGAACATCTCATTGCCCTTGAAGATGAAAACGAAGACAGTGAATCTGAACATGGAGCGCCAGTTGGACCAGATGTTGAGGTACTTTTTTAAAATAAAATTATTTTACCCATAAAAGAGGAGCTTATTAAAATTATAGATTTTAATACTAATATTTCAAACTTGAGACTAATAATCTAATAAAATAAAAATTACTCGCACTTTTTTTTTAACTAATATAAAGCCTAAAGGAAGAAAAACAATTCTCGAATGTTCTCAAAAAAGCAGTTTACTGTTTTCAAAATTGTCATTAATGAAGGTACATTTTCAGAGGGTACAACATTGATTTTATTTTTGAATTTGATTAAATTTATTTTATGTGGATAATATGATGTAAAAGAAAAACGAGAACATGTGAATTGATTATTTTTTTAGAAACGCCCACGCAGAAGCCTGAGTATTCGCTACAAAACCACTGCCCCCAATGGTCTGCAGGGCGTAAAGGTATACTAAATAATCCCTCGTCTGAAAAAAAACAAATGTTCGTCACGTCCTTCTTTTATTGCACATTTTTTTTTTAATGTCTCATTGTCTTCCCTGTACTAATTTCTTTCTTGTACAATGTAGGTATCAATGTTATTTGAACATCAACATAGTTTACAAAAGGTCATGTTGTTTCAATTATCATCCAAAATTTTATTAATGTGTATAAATCTCTTTCAGATATTTTTTTAATACTTTTTCTGAACTTTGAATTTTTTAAATTTTTGATTTTTTTAAATGTAAAAAAAGATATATATTTTGATTTACGTTTTTTCTTTAGAAAATTATTTAACTTACATATACTGTAAAAAGAATTTTGATTTATGTTTTATTTACCAGAATATTTTTATTTTTTGTCTCTGTGTTTCTATGTTAAACATTTTTCTTCACAAACTCTCATAATTATAAATATTGATTGTAATTATTTTCTTTTTTTAAAGGCTTTAATTAGTCACGAGCACAACACAAATGTCATAAAAGAGACAATTGTTCAGGAAAATGGCAAAGTATTAACAGATACTGACGATGGAAATCATCGATCTTATGGAATTCTATCAGAATATTATGACAATAAAAACAGTAGACCTCTTCGGTTAAGGAAAAAACTTTATGAATTTTATACTGCACCAATAACAAAATTTTGGGGAAATGCTGTAAGTTTCTTTGTTATTAATTATTTTTTTTTACAAGGGAAAAGTTTACAAATTCTTTCCTTTTTATATTTTATAACAGATTGCTTATGTGATATTTCTCGTTCTATTTTCTTATACAATTCTCGTAAGAATGAGTGATCAACCTTCTTGGCCTGAATATTTTTCCATCTTTTATATTATTACAATGGGCTGTGAAAAAATACGTGAAATTGCCACTTCAGAGCCAGTGGCACTTTCACATAAATTTAGCGTTTGGGCCTGGAATATGTGGAATCCATGTGATGCAGCTGCAATTATGTTTTTCATGATTGGTCTTGTTCTTCGCATGAGAAAATCAACCTTCGATAATGGACGAGTTATATATTGTGTTGATTGCATGTATTGGTACTTAAGGATGTTGAATATTTTGGGCGTTAACAAATATCTTGGTAAATAACTAAAAGAAAGTAAAATAATTATAAGGAGAACAAAAATTATTATAAAAATAATTATTAATAAAAATTGTATATTATAGGTCCATTGGTGACAATGATGGGTAAAATGATTAAGAATATGATATATTTCGTTGTTCTTTTACTTGTCGTATTGATGAGTTTTGGAGTAACAAGACAAGCAATACTTAAACCAAATACAGAACCAACGTGGCGAATTGTTCGCGATGTATGTTACAATTTTTTATATCATAAAATTGGTTTTCAATATTATAAAATTTTTTTTATAAAAAAAATTAATATTTTTCTTCTAGGTTTTTATGCAACCATATTTTATGCTTTACGGTGAAGTTTATGCTGATCAAATCGATCCCGAGTGTGGAGCAGATCCAGGAATGCCTGATTGTCTTCCAGGTCGATGGATAACTCCATTTGTAATGGCAATTTATCTTTTAGTGGCAAATATATTACTTATTAATTTGCTGATTGCTGTGTTTAATAATATATTTATTGAAGTAAATGGCATCTCTCATCAAGTTTGGATGTTTCAACGATTTACTGTTGTTATGGAATATGAGCAAAAACCTGTTTTACCACCACCTTTAATTGCCGTTTCTCATGTTTATTTATTGGTAAAATATATAATACGCTATATCACGCATGGTGAAAAAGTTTCCGGCGAATCGTGTGACAATGGATTAAAACTCTTTCTTGAGGCTGATGACAAGGAACGTTTATATGATTTCGAAGAGGATTGTGTTGAAGGATATTTTCGTGAACAAGAACTCAAATTGCAAATGTCAACAGAGGAACGTGTAAAAATAACGAATGAACGCGTGGAAAATATGCAGCAAAAAATGGAAGATATTGAAAAGAAAGAAAATAGTCAGAACACTTCACTTCAGGTTTGTTTTCTTTTTCTTTTTTTTTAAATTATTTTAAAATATTAAAACTTTAACGATTTGAAAAATTTTAGGCTGTGGAATTTCGTATTAGAAAACTTGAGGAACTAAATGAACAGACTTTGGCACACCTTGGGGTTATTCATCGATTCATGGCAACTCATATGTCAGATGATGGTCTTCAAGCTCTTGATGTTGAATTCCGTTCACGTAGAGTCTCGGAGCGTTCGGAAGCATATTCGGAAGTTGATTCTCATTCACATTTTCCCAGTATTGCATTAAGAAGAAAGAAACTTTTAAGATCATTAACTGACGCAGCATTTATACAAATACCACCGATTGATGATGAAGTTTCGAAACAATCAGAAGTTGATATCTCACGTGAAAATCTTAGTAGAAATGATTCGTCAGTTAGTGGTGAACATCAAGTTGTTCAAGATGATTCAAAAGGGGTAACAAGTCAAGAGGAAAGCGATGAAAATAAAGTGTCCGGTGACGATAAATTAAAGAGTATTCACGAGGAAAAAGCTAGTAGTGAAGTACCTGTTATTTGTGAATCGAGACAAAATTCAGGTGAGAAAACAAGTCGACAAAATAGTAGAACACGTTCAGAATCAGAGGATATGGTGTATTTGGCACCGCCAGGAACACAAAGAGTAACATGGGCTGAACCAAGACATTCTGTAATTCAATCACCAAATCCGCGATCACTTTTACTTGCAATGCGCACAGAATACACAAGTATTACCGATGAACTTGAAAGTTATTGTGGATTATTAAGTCCCCCAAGATCGCCACCAATTTCACCTCCACCTGGACGTGGAAGATCTATATCAGGAATGTCCAATCCGGAAATTGCTTGGCAAATTGAAAATGAACATTTAAGAGACGCTGAAGATTGTGATTATCAACAAATGAAGGATTTGATTCAAAGGTAAATTTCGAATTTTCAATTTATATTTATAAATTACATTTGAAAATTATTTCTAGGCGATACATGGAAGGTGACGACGATGAATGTGGTCAGGATGATATTGTTTCCACGCCATTTTTCATTGCAAGTGAACATCGTCAATTGCGAAGGGCATCGGCAATAGATGAAGATTCAAGAAGACCACCACCACCAACAATAAGTGTTACAAGAGAAATTGAGCAAACATTATCGAGACCGCCGGCGATTCGAGACAGTAGTGAGGAACCTGATCCAAATGAAACTGAAGAACCAGCTCCAGCTTCTGAAACAATGTGCTGACTTTATTCCTCTTTTGTTCTCATCGCATTCAACATTAAGGGAAGTATTTTTTAATAAATCTTAAGATGCAAAAGTTAACACAGCGAAAATGATTAGTCTCAAGACGAAAAGAAATAATATGATTATCGATTTTAGTTATGCATGATTTTTTAGTTCCTAAAAAAATTCTCTCAACGAATAAAATTAATTTCAATATAGGCCAAGGAAATACATCGAATTTTTAAAATTAAATTTGTATGTGTACCTTTACTTATAAATATTATAATTACACAATTCATTTTCTGAATTGTTTAATTTCCAATATAGTACTATTTCCGAAATAATAAAATAATACAAATTATTAATATGAAGATCTGTCATAAAATTTGACAGTGAAAATACAATAAGGAGTGCAAATTATGTATGTATGATCGTTTCTTTAAAAAGAATGTTACTGCTTTTAGGTTTTTTTTTATTCATTTTTTTCTCAAAAGCTCAAAAACCGTAACACGTAATTTAAATTGAGGGATTAGAAATCGACTTCTACAAAACAAAAAAAGTTTTGCAGTTTTCACTTCATATTATTCCATCATAATAATGTAAGTTCTACTTTTCTAAATAGTTCTAAACAAGTCTTTCACTAATGGCTTACAAATTACGCGATAATAGAGAAAAAGAATAATTAAAAACTCTAATATCTATATCGGTGTTCATCAAATCTATTTGAGAAAGAAATTGAAGCATTTATTGATGCAATCGGAACTAGTTTTTATCTACCAAAAAAAAACATGTTTCGAAGAATGAACATTTTAATAGGACCACATCGAGTATAAACCATATCATCGAGGTTTGACTTATATAAAAAAATCTGCCGAATCTGTGTCAGTACAATTTCTTAATGGAAACATTTTAAATCCAAAAACTATATGTTATAAAATTCTTAAATTGGCTTATAAAAATAAGATCAATAGAATCTATTTACTAATATTATTCAATTTGGAAATCTAAAATCAAATTATCTAAATGTGATTCCTATATCAAGATCTCAAGATTTCTAAATGAATCCTTCTCCACTAAAAAAAAAAACAAACCAATGTTTGAAAATTATCTAAAAATTCATAACTCTATCAGAAAAAATATTTTTCTGAAATTGAAAATAAGTTAAAACTCTTTTTTAATTTTTTTGTTCAACTGGGACAAATTTTTGACAAATATCTTTACATCACTTTTTAAAATGCATATTTTCTAAAAAACTTGTTTAATTGAATACAATTTTTCACTGTACTCTAAATGGAAACTACAGTCAATTTCTGTAGATTCTTTGAACTGCATTATAATTCTAAATTTTACCATATAACTGACAAATAAGTCGTTTATATACATATTCGAAACGGAACTGAATAAATGCCATTTTTAGTCATCTATAATAATCTTCGTATAAAAACTAATAGTTAAAAATATTTCTAATGATCTCTATATATTCGTTCTTTTTCTAAACGAAATATATATAATATGTTAATACAAATTTTAAACTGTGGAAAATTATATAAAAGATTTTATTTCTTTTTTTTTAATTACCACTATTGAGGCTCTTTTTATTTTAATTAAATCACTATAGTGATTGGATAGAATTGTTTCTTATTAATTATATATACATATATTAGGATAAATAATAATTGCTTACGAATGTATTTATATTTAAAGATCTATTATTAAACTGAAAAAAATTGAGCCACCTACGCACAATCAAGAAGAAACCGAAAAACAATTTTTCCCATTTCTGCGAATATATAAAATAATATAAATTTAGTAGAACTTGTGTGACTATCATAGTAAACCAAAAACTTGATGTTACTATACCTTGGGTTTAACTAGATTTATATGAAATTTAAATTGCATTTATAAAATTCGCATTGCACAATTTTTGACTTTATAGAAAACTAATAAATGCTTTTTGCGCATTTGACTGACAATATATACACTATTAAAAATTGCAAACAAAAATAAAAAGCAATAGATATTAAAGCAACTTATCTTTAAAAATTGACTTTGTATACGTTAATTAATTGTTTTTTCAAATGTGTAGTTCATATACCTATAAATATTTTATTGAAAATTTGATTTTAGAATTAAACATTTCTTTTCAGTACTTTTGAAATTTTAATTACAAGTATCAAACTGTTGATAGTTTGGTTTTGATTAATTTTTAACGCAAATTAAATTGAACAAACTAAAAATATAAAAACTTGAAATTTCTTTCACAGATTAATTCAAAATAAATTAATGTTGCATTCGAATTTTTCTATTTTTGTCAAAATTAAAAATGCGCTTCAAAAGTTGGCTCAAATTTCTTGTAAAAAAAAATAGTGCATGAAATTAGAAAAAATTATGTAAATGGAACTCAAATAAATAATTTTAGCGTTAAGAGATATATAAATGTAACTAAAAAAAAGTCAAAAGAAAGAAATCAAATTTTACTCATAGATATATTTAGAAACAATATTTATTTTTGTGAAAAAAATATGTATATTGAATTAAGAAAGTAAACAAATAATTGTAAATAATCTTCGTTCATTTTTTTAACTTTTAAGCCATGATGCTAATAATTGAAATTTATTTGTGTAAACCTGATTTTATTTCTTTTAAAATTTTTTTATGAGTCCAGCGTCATCCATTTAAATAATTGCGAAATTAAAAATATAGAAAAAATATTTTTTTAATTATGGATTTTATTCATTTCATTGATATGTATTTCATGAAGAAATTTAATGAATAAAATTGCTTTTTAAATATATATATATATATATAATATGTATAGATGAAAATTGGATATAGATCAAGATGAGAAAACTGATAGAGATAGATCTCGAAATTATAAGAGCAATCCGGAAGGTCAAACACCAAGTCCTTTTAAATTTCGAAAATCTTTTAAGTGAGAAAGCGATTTATAATTTCGCGATTCCCAAATATATTAAGGGCATATTATTCTTATCTATTTTTACAATAACTTACTTGATAAACGTTAATGAGATTTCCTTCATTTATTCCTCTAATTATTCTCTTTTCAATATGAAAGAAAGAAGATCTATCTCTATTTAAATATTCTTTTTGCCGATAGTTTTTATCCATATTGGATAGAAAAAAATTGTAATTAACTAAATGCAAACAAATACAATATGTAATCGCTAATTATTTTTGAAAAGAAAACGCATGTAAAATTTTCTTTCATATGCTTCCTATTGAATTAATTCATTCAGTATCTGTAAAGAATATTCAAAAAAATAATAAAATTAAATTACGATCCAAAGTAGATAAACGAAAAAAATTACTTTCTTTCTAATCCGCGTAAAGATTTATATTTTTAATTATTTTGTTATGATAAATGAGGTAATTAAATTATTTACACAAAAAAAACAATTTATTCAAATAATTTAATTACACTCGTAAGTTCTTAAAAAAAATTAAAATCTAATAGTTGAAAACCAAATATTATTGATTAATGCATAACCAAATTGTACCAAATGCTGTACCAAAAACACAAAAGTTTGTTCAAATTAAAAAGTAATAAAACTATTAACTACTTTGTTTTTTTTTTAATCATGTATAATAATTATTATTATATTTAAATACTATATAGAACAATATCTGTATTTTTTATACTAAATACTATAAAATAATAATTACTGTAAAGAATGAAAGCTTATAAAATAGACGTTACTACATTTTGCAGACCCTGAAGTAATCTTCTTCCAAGATCTTCATCAACTTGACTAAAATTTGAAATTGCTCGTTCAATAATAAATGGTGATGCTCTTTTTAAACTGTCAACTAAATTGTTAACAGTTCGTGTTCTTTCATTAGGTTTTAATACATCTCTCCAAAATGTAGTGACTTGACTAAAATTATCTTCATCTACAGGTGTAAATCGATCAACTACTCCATAAATAGGAAACGATGGATCTTTTACACTAGGATTTTCAACAGGTCCTTTGAAGCTATTTGGAAAATAATTTGGTGCTCCTCCTTGATGAGAAATTGTCATAAATCCATCTCTTTGATAATTTATTGTTGATAATACCTTTTTTTCGAAATCATATAGGTACACCAAAATTAAAGGAAATTTTCATAATTTTTAATTAACATTTATAATAATTATAATATTTACCTTGTATGGACAATTGACAGGAAGTTGAAGATGATTAGGACCAAGACGATGTCTTTGAGTATCACCGTAGGCGAACAATCGACCCTGAAGCATTTTATCTGCACTTGGTGCTATTCCAGGTACTATGTGCGCCACATTAAATGCTATTTGTTCTACATCAGCAAAATAATTTTCCGGATTTTTATCCAACACTATTTTTCCAACTGGCATCAAGGGGAATTCTTTTTGAGGCCAAATCTACATAAATTGGTAATTTAATAAATTAATGTATATATAAATTAATATAGATGTGCAAAGAAATAAAAAAAATAAATAAAAAGGGTTACAAATTACCTTTGTGACATCAAAGATATTCCATCTGAAAACTTTAGCCTCTTCTTGAGTCATTACTTGTATATATAGCGTCCAACTTGGAATATCTTTTCTTGCAATTGCATTATACAAATCTCGAATTGAATAATCAGGATCAGTGCCACTTAATTGAGTTGCTCTGTCCACTGGAAGATTTCTAATTCCCTGGTCAGTCTATTTTGCAAAATAAATTCTTTTAAATTATATCATTCTATTCTAATAGAAGAAAATTTTAAACATCACTTGATCTTTATAAAATGTTACTTTTACCCTATAGTGAAATTTGCAGTAAACAAATTCATTTTTTTCATTAATAAGCTTAAACGTATGTGATCCATAACCATGCATATGACGATAACCATCAGGAATTCCTCGATCACTAAAAAGGAACATTACTTGATGTGTTGATTCGGGACGAAGTGATAAAAAATCCCAAAACATATCACCATCCTAAATACAAATCAAATCAATTTTCTAATTTAAAACAAAAAATTAGAGAAAAAAAGTGTAAATACCCTTAAATGAGTGACGGGATTTCTTTTTTGTGTATGAATGAAACTGGGAAAAAGTAATGGATCCTTAATAAAAAATATAGGCGTATTATTGCCAACAAGATCCCAAATACCCTCCTCAGTGTAAAATTTTATAGCAAATCCTCGAGGATCTCTGTAAATTAATACTTATAATTATCATAGAATATCAAGTTTACATAATTATAATAAAATAAAAAAAACAAATATTTGCATTAAATGCAATACTAATTTACAAGGAAGTAGAAAGGAATGTTTTATACCTAACAGTGTCTGCTGAACCACTTTCTCCACCGACTTGAGAAAATCTTACGGCAATTGGCGTTCTTTTTAGAATGTGGGAAAAAAGTTTTGCTTTTGTATATCTTGTTATATCATGAGTAACTTCAAAATAACCAAATGCTCCTAAAATTGAAAAGGAAATACTTTTAAAATATACAATACTTATTTTGACAATATATAATTGAAAGAGGCTTAAAGATAAAAAAAAATATGTCAAGTAATAGGAAATGATATGTAAATTTAAAGCAGTATGAATAAAAAATAGATAACTTTATTTAAATTTGTCATTATTAATTCTAACATAAAATTTTCAAAAAAATTGTGAATAAAATATTATTTAAATACTTACTGGATTTTTTTTAATTTACTTATAATAAATTTTATTTATTTTTTTTTTTTTTTGAGAGATAATTTTATTTATTATTGCTAATAATTACCTGCTCCTTTGGCGTGAACAACACGTTCAGGTATTCTTTCTCTATCAAAATGTGACATTTCATCCAATAAAACTGCATCTTGTAAAAGTGTTGGTCCATATTTGCCTGCAGTTAAGGAATCATTTTTATTTGCAATTGGTTGTCCATTTCCAGTTAATAGAAGAGGTGTTACCTTTAAAGGAAAATTAATTATTTATCTATTATTTTATATATTTTTTTTACTCAAATTTTTAACATACCTTAACAGTATTTTTATAAATATTAAGCTGCTCAGCGGCAGGTTCCCTTTCTCTTTTTAGTTCCATTTTTGTTTATTATTACTAAAAGCTGATAAGATCCACAACGCTTTTAAAGTTGTTTGCTTGCTTTCTTGTCAATGCAGAATAACACTTTAGTCGCAGAAAGCAAAGACTTTTATAGGTTTTGTAACGTAATAATTTTCAGGAGAAGGGAAATACTTTCCTTCGTATTGTATACATATTTTTTTCAATTATGATTTTAATTTTTTTTTTAATATTCAATATTTCTCTTAAATGCATTTATATTGATATGTAATTTATTTTTCAAAATGAAATATAAACAATTCCTTGTTTTTTCAGTCAAAAAATGTGTAAAAATAAATATAAAAATAAAAATATTTACCTGGAAAGATAACAAAAAACTTTTCGGGTAAAATTATTTTTTTGTTGATAATATAAAAATCTAATAAAAATTAATTATTATTGTTTGCAATATTAATTACTTATTTTTAAACTGTAAACTCGTTTCAAATAGATTTATTAGTTTTGTATGTCTCATTAGTATGTAGATAAGATAATTATAAACTTTAACTTTTCAGTTTTTTTCGTTTAATTTAAAATATATATGAACAAAAAAATTATTTTATTTCTTTTAATGCACTGAATATTTTTAAATTCAAAAACGAAAATGATTTATTATTAGTTACTGACTAAGGTCTTACATTATTAAAATATGTAGATTATGATTATATTTGAATACATTTTATTTATAACAAGAAAACAAGATTGATAATTCATTAGGAGATTTAAATTTATTTTTTTTTAGTATTTTATTATTTTTTAACAGTTTAAAGATTCACTTTTAATTGTATAAAACAAGAAAACTTACTTGACAGTATAACAAACTTAACATTTCTCCAAAAAATCATCTAGTAATAAAGAATGAGGTAAACTTATAAATAGAAACCATTTATTGTAAATTGTAATTTTCGAATTAATTATTTTCTAAGGAATCATCATCATCATCACTATAATCTAAATCAGAAATACAGTCACTCACGCCTTCCTTTACAGTCAAGGATTTTAATTTTTCTAATAAATCTTCTCGCATTGTCTTACTTCCTCCTTCTTCGTCTTTCTCTTCCTTTTCTGTCTTATCAGAAACCTTGTTGCATTCACTTAATTCAGTTTGGTTTTCAGCAGATGTTTTCTTGACTGTAATAGAAAATAAAAAATATATAAAACTTATTTTACCATTGCTATTGTACTATTTTTAATGCAGTTAATTAACCTTTTTGATTCATGTAACGAATAAATGTTCTTCTCTTTCTTTCAGGTAATTCCTTAAGCATCAATTGTAATTCAGCATCCAATTTCAATTGTTCTTCGGGAGTTGGTTGTGCTTCAATTAATTCAGCTTTAAGTCCACATTTTGGACAGACATCTCTTTCTTTAGCACAATTTCCACACATTATATGGTAAGCATGTTTTACAACTTTTTGTTCGCATTTTGCACATTTTGCTGGTGTTTTGAGACACTTAAATTTTTTGTATTTTATTTTCCATTCAATTATTTTTTTACATCTCTCACAAACATTATTAACTTGTATGCTATTTATTGTTTTTGTTTTTTGCGATTTATCATGAAGATCATTTTTGAAAACATGACGATTTTGATATTTTTGAGGCCTTGTTCGTTTTGCATTTCCTCTTTGGGAACTCATTTTGTATTCTGTTTTTTAAAATAAATACTAATTTAATAATTTTCTAAGTTGTTAATAAATTATAATATATATTTAATTGCAAATTTACCTTTTATATGTTTGTTTTTAGTTTTTTGTTGTCCATGTGCTAATTCTAGGTTATTATGGATCATATAAACAAGTCTAGAACTATAATGATGGAAGAAGGGTAAGTCACGTTTGAAAAAAACACTTTCCAATGATGCTCACTAGAGGCGTAACGATCGTTACGCTGTAACGGCTTTAAGTGGACAATTTTCGAAACAGAGTTTCCCTTCATAAGTGAAACTGAATGTTTAATGTCCTCTATAGATTCTGGATCTGTTTGTAATTCAAAGTTTTCCGTTACATTACATTACAATTGTTTTATCAAGAAGTCATAATAGAAGAAGAAAAAGATTACATTACAATATTAAACAAATGTAACACATGAAATATGTTTCATATACTGGGCTATATAATATTTGGAATTTATATTTTTACTTAGCTTAACAGTGTAATAAAATTTTTGGTCAAACAACAAAATAGGTGAGTCATTAGTTAGTGTCCTTTTATATACAAATAATCTAAAGAGGATGCCAATGAATAAGGATTTTATGATTGTAACAATTAATTGAATCAACTTTGAACATAAATTGAACCTCCATTAAACTTTGGACGCAAATTATGAACATATATCGGACTTACATAATCTATTTTGATCCATCTTGAACCTGCATTGAAACTATTTTAAATCTACATTGGACCTACATTTGACAAATTGAACCAAGTTTGACCCAGGAGCGGTGGAAGGTGGACATATGGACGGACGTCAAAGTAAGTTTTTGAAGAAGAATAGTTTTAATTATCGATTTAAGAAAGAAATATTTGGGATTAAAAAAAACATGTACATTTATGATATTAATTTTAACCTGATTAAAAATCGACTATTTCATACTCAGATCTAATGAAAGTTAAAGGAATTATTAATAATTTTTGAAATTTATTTAAGTAATGGAATACAAATAGCATATTTTCTAAAATGTATAATTTATTTAAATTCAAAATTTGCTTCTATTTTCTTCCTATTTCCAATAATCTCAAATTAGAAAGAAAGAAATTTTCAATTACAAAATGCAAAATTAGCTAAAAAGAAAAGCTAAAAAATTTGAAATGAATAAAGTTGAAAATTTTCTATTGTCTATTTTAAATTTTATTTAATTTCTTTTCAATTCGATTACTAAAAATTAATTTTGTGAATTTACTTAGGTCATAACAGATTTATCTGAAAACTTGGATTCGATTTTTTTGTGGAATTAAAGAGAATCTATTTCTATTCTATACGTAAAAAGATGGAATTAATTTTTTAAATTTCATTTGTAACCGCGGGTATAAAAAATTAAATTAAAAATAAAATTTTTGCAAATAGTACGCCGAAGAAGCTGCATTGATGACAAGAGAGAAATATTGATTTCCCGGAACGATATCTGATAAATATAGTCAGTCTGCGCTTCTGAAATTAGATTCATTTGTGAAAATGATTATTCATTTGAATTTTTTTTCTAAATGACTGCATCTGTTGTTATACACACATATATATTATATAGACTGTATATAGTGGGGTCACTTCAGGTCGAAAGTTCGCCAGGGCAATCTATAGATAGAGTCTCGCCTGTCCTGACAGGTGAAACGAGATAAAATATTCAGTTGGATTCGCGCGACTGAATGTCAATCTGTCAACTATCCTGCAGACTCAGAAGCACATTGAGTGCAGTAGCAAACATTAGGCGACGTCGACGCTGACTCCAATTCTAACGCGGCGGTGATGCCCTTACACGCGCAGCATCCGCTTGCCAAATAGGCAACGAATTAACCGAACTTTGAAATGCTTTTAAAATTTCAATAATACATGTCTGACCCATATCCACCCCATCCCTTTAATTTTCATCCAGACGATGAGTTTGACAACAATATTTATACATGTATGGTATGTGCTATATGTCCCTTAAAATAACGTTTTTATAATATAATATTATTGACATTCCGATGAGTTGAAATTATAAGAGTTTGTTAAAGATCAAAGTTATGTAGGAAATATTCAGGAAACTTATATAGTATTATGTAAATATACTTGACTTCCAGTATTGATAATTCTATATATAAAATGGATTTTCGAAAAATTAAGTAAAATTCCTTTTCCAGTGAATATGGAGATTTAATCGTAATTTTATTTTATTTTTCTATCTGAAATTAGTACAAATAAATAAATAATTTATCATTTTGTTAGTGTATTGTTTTGCAAGATTTGTATAAATAAGCAATTTTTATAATTGCGGTTCATTATTTTTTTTTATCTTTTAAAGATTATCTATTTTGTCGATTTTTGGAAATTCTGATAGTATGAATATCCTAATTTCCGCAAATCGACGGATCACTTCAGACTTAAAGATATTTTATAAATATCCGGATGCTGCTAGGGGACGTATAGAAATGTAAATTTATTATCCTATTGGAAAAGGTCATCGTCCTCTTCTTCTGAATGTTTACATATACAGGAAGCCATATCAGAGTTTAAAAAAAATTGTTTTTCAAACTTTTGTATTAATTCTGACAAAATATTTATTATATATTTCACTATCATTTTCGATTTAATTAAAAATTGTGACATATTTGACAATGGCTGCTTAGAAAAATCTTTATTTTTATTTTTAATGTAAATTTAGATTAAATTTAATAATAATTAATTATAATATAGTAAAATAACAATAATAATACAAAATTATAATTTAATAATAATTTAATTTAGTGTAATCAAAACATAAATTTAATTTTCAATACTTATTCATATTTGCTTTATATACGAAATATTAAATTTTGTATATTTGTAAATTTAATGAAAATGCATATTAAATTTCAATACTTGGCTTCAAATACAAAATATTAAATTTAATACTTAAATTTTTCTACTAAGTGAAGATTTGTTTTATATATTGTTTGTAAAATTACATGTTAAACCTGTAACTTCTTTCTTTAAATACATTTAAAAATTTTATAATTTCAATTTTTTTTTTAAATAAACATGCTAATCAATCATATTACAATTTTTAATGTTTTCAAAATATATACATATATTCATACAACAATACCGTACGATTGTTGTTAACTTTGTATAACTATACTGTAAGCTTATACATGAATATTAATAATTTAATAATTATATAATAATAATAAAAATAATAATATAATAATTATATCTTCGTTCGAAAAATGAATTAATACAAACCAAACGTTTATTTAGAATCAAATAAATTTCGTTTGAAATAACCAAAAAATTATATTAATACAAAAAAATGGTATATTTATTTGGTTTAAACAAAATATTTCTTTGAATGTAAGAAATACGTATTTACATGTCAGTTATACGTATGTATAAATTTATATATTTGAATGAAACAAACATTTTGTTATATAACGAAATTCATTAAAAAATATAAATTTTATTATTTCTTAATTATATTGATATAATATTATTATTATATTACAATTATACACTGAAAAAAAATTTGATTCAAATAATCGATTACTTGACTATTATTAAATAAATGTTTATTTGTATTAAATAATTATTATTTGATTCAAGTAAATATTTATTGGATAATAGTATAAGTAACCGATTATTTGAATCAAATAGATTTTTTTTCAGTTTATATATAGGTACAATATTTTCTTAATCTTTCTTCATTATTGTACAATCTAAACGTTCAATTTCCCATATAAACAGGAAAATAAATTTCCTATGAACAATTCCTAAAGTGGATCTGTAATTTTCGAAATTATATTCAAAAACGAATAATTTCCTGATAATTATTATTATTATTATGATTAATATAATTATAAATTAATACATATAGAAAGTAATTTGAATTGTTTTAAATCTATGACGAATTATGATGAAATATGATGAATCTTTACTCTTACGTGATCATGATTATTGCCCGAAAGCCACTATCATATCAAGGCTTTCTGAGCAACAATCAAAAGCATCAAGAGTACGTATGTTTTGAGCCGACTATAATTGATGATCCTGCAGAATTGGTTTCATTAAATTAGTTATTATTATATAATACCAAATATTAATAAATGATTATTGAAGATTGAAGTATTTCCTTTCAAATAATAATAAAATTATAACATACATATTATATTTTAATGAAAACGAATTGGTAATTCTTAATTTTTAAAATGAAAATGAAATATTTCCTGAATATGGATATAGACAGAGTGTGTGTGTATACTTACTCAGATTTTCCAGACCTGGTATAAGACAATTTTTTTTTATCTGAAACATCAGGAGATCTTTTGATGTTTTCACCTAAAAACCTATTAATTGTTTTATATTATTAGATAGTTTTAGTGACAATGCTTTAATCATTCAAAAGAATATAATATCTAAGCTCGAAAAATTTTCTTACTGATATTTATGTGTTTTTTTGCTTATTATATGAACCAAAAACCATATTATATTTCGTCTAGAGATATGAGATAATGAAAAAGAGGATACAAGGATCTCGTGAGAAAGGAAAAGTATATATACATAGAATTGTGATTATGTCAGAGAATAACTCATATTACTATAAAAATTATTCTATATAGACTGAGACAGATAAAGTATTAAAAAGAAAAAAGTATGCAGATTATAAAAAAGATAGATAAAGTACTATAAATATTTTTTTGAAATTTGAAAAATTAAAATTAAATATATTCTGTATAATGAGAATTAAAAATAATATCATCACAGAGAAAGTATAATACAATTGCTAATAAATAAATTATTTTGTCAATTGTTAATAAAACAGATAATACTGATAATCAGTGAAAAATTTACTAAATGAAATTTAGTAGCTTTTCTTTATTTCATCAGTATAGAATTACACTTATTTCAAATTTATAAAGTTACATTCAAACTCTAACTAAAAAAACTACATTTAAACTACAACTAAAAATAATTTTAAAAGAAAACTCAAAAACTAATTTTAACTACTTATGAAAAAAATGCAACAAATAAATTTACGACACTGTTATTCCACCTGAACAGAAAATTGATATGTTTAATAATACCACCAATAGTAATAAATTTGTAAATTTACAGATATAAGCCGATCTAAAAAGCAGAAGTATGAAAACTGGGAGATGACTTCCGCACTGGTCCAAAGTCGACCAAGTCTCTGAGACAAATGATAACTATGGCTCTCGGATTTGTGCAAACTGCAGTGATCGAGTCTTCTAGTCGAGAGGGTTGAGAGGGTTAAATTCTCAATGGAGGGGGATGATGTTTCGTTCATTGCGCATGAGTCTACACAGGTGAGATAACCACCGCATCCCTTTTCAAAATCATACAACAATAATTTCACCTGTCTATTAAAGTGTCTCAATTCTCGCTATATAATGCTTTTGATATACTAATTCGATTATTCGCGAAATCTAGAAGAAGGTGAGCTTCTGCGATGCAGTTTGTGTAATTGCGTCAATCATTCGCTAATTTGAGTTCCAGACGTTTATATGACTTTAGATTCAAACGTAATTACTGCAAATAATTGATTTTACCTGCGGAGAAATATATTACTTGATTATAAGGATAATCGAACTATATATACATAAGAGATTGACTGACGGTTATCTAAAACTTATTAACGACAATTATATATATACCTTTGAAATAAGAAAAAATTAATTTACATCAGAAGAAGATGATGGAAAGATTATAAAAGTTTTTATAATATCCCAAACTGAAAATAATTATTTCGTTCAAATAATCGGTTATATTTGTAGCAAATATTTACTCGAAGCAAATAATTGTTTAGTGAATTTAATAAACTATATTTGTACTAATTAATTCTTTATTTGAATCAAATAATTTTTCTTTTTCAGTGCAGTGCGTGCAAAAAAATGTTCTAATTTTTATAAAAAAAATTATTAAAATTAGGATAACATTCCAGTTGGCAAAAAACCACCGAAAAAAAATCTCTGAAACTTTTTGGCAAATATGAAATGTTCTAAAATGTTTTAGGAGTGTTTCTAGAACAAGGGTGCGTTTTTTTGCCAACTGGAATGTTACCCTAGGTTTGATAATTTTTTTTTATTATAAATATTCCGTTAGATTAAAAGCACTTTTAGGTTTTAGATTTTTAAAAAAGATTTACTTAATCTTTTAAAATTAGAAATCAATAATCACTTATATTTTTATATACACGCTTCAGCACAACTTGTTGCACGAGTATTTTCTATTAGTTGCCTCAAATTTTCTGATGATAAATATATATTGTCAATCTTTCAAGAATATTTTTTTAATATTACACCGTAATATTTTGCTTTCAAAATACTTAAGCAATTATGTTTATTGATAACTTCATTTAAATTTATAATAAACCGCTCTAAATTAATAAATGTAATCTGAACAACTTGAGAATCCTTCTTTTTAGATATATATATATATAGGATTTTCTAGTTTTTTGCCCTCGAAAATCCTATATAGCTGACCTGAGAACTAACACGTGTCAACGAGATTATACAATTACGATTTAAGTGTAGGTCCGATAAAAGATTCGATTCTCTTTTACTATTATCCTCTCTACAAAAAAAAGTGTAATTTAACATATTTGAAATAATCTATTGACCATTGCCTGAAACATTAATGTAATATTGAGGAAACCTTCCACGAAATAGTGGAAGCTTATCCCTAAATATTTATAATTAAAAATTTCATAAATTTTGAACGCAAAAAATTTTAATATAATTCAAAAATAATTAAAGTATTATTAAAATTAATAATAAATAATGTATATTTAATTATTGAATTATTTACCGCAATGATATATACATACCTTATTTTACTGAGATATATTTATAATTTCAAAATCAATGCGACGAACACAAGATTTATTTTATATCCGATTGCATACATAAATAAGATATCGGATAAAAGCATTTTTTAAGCTAATTTCCATCTGTTCCAACACTATTAAATAACAAAATAGAAGTTTGAAGAAAAATGATACACATTTTAATTTTTTGATTTTCAAAATTATCTTCTATTATCGATGCGTGATTCTAGTTTATGTATATATATATATATATTGCACATTAAAAATATATTAGTAATTAAACGGCAATATCTTTATATAGTTAATATTTCTCACATATTTCACTAAAATTATAATGTTTCCGAAAAAACGATTAGAAGATTAAACGATAAATCAAACATACTCAGAGACATACTCAGAGACAACTAAATTCCAAACACAGTACCAATCTCGTGTTTCTCATACTTGTCTACAGCTTCTTTATCCCTTCTCTTTTTCTTTTCCACCACTTTTATTCTCTTTCACTCTTTTCTTCCCCACTTATATGGTGTCTTTCTCCTTTAGCTGAGATTTTTTTCAAGATGAGAATTCTCTCCCTTTTTTTTTAAAACGCATAAAACAATACGAGAAATTGTTTCTTTTATTTTTCTTTCACACTGAAAAAATTTGTTATTTCATTCAAATAATCGGTTACTTGACTATTATCAAATAAATATTTACTGGAATTAAATAATTTTTATAACAATTATATAAATTGTGTTTGAACTAATAATTTCTTTATTTGAAACAAATACGATTTAATTGATGATAATAATAATTATTTTTATTTTTCCTTTTGATAGAATCAAATATAAATTGATTTTGATATCCTGAAATTACATCAAAGAAGGAAAAGTACGTCAAAATGCTATTTTCAAATAAGAAATCAATTTAATCTTGTAATTCGTACAATATATACAACAAAAAAATCTAATACACATGATCCGATTGATCTGGAAGTTTCACATTTGTTATCTTACAAGTTTCTTGATTATAAATTGATGGGAATTTGATGGAAGTGAACATCAGAAGAGAGAATCATTTTTGAAAGAAAGCTAAAATTGGAAATAATAGAAAAAAGAATTAATATCAATTTCTAGATAGAATTATTCTAACAATTAATGAAATCATGTAATGATTATATACAGGATTTGTTGATTCTTTTTGACAATAAGGGAATAATTAACAATCTGATTCAAGATTATATGATTCCTTTTCAAATAAATATATACAGAATATAATATATAATAATAATTCAAATAAAAATTATTTGGTTTAAATAAATATTTATTTGAATCAAATAAATTTTTTTTTTTCAGTGTACTTATATGTAAATTTCTTATATATTTTCTTTCAGTGTAATATTGTATTGTTATGAAACAAATTAAATTGAATCAACGAGTTTATAGGTGTCGTTTTATTCAAGATGGTTTCTTTCAAGAAAAGGCTTTGCTTATCCCTGTTCTTATTATTCTGTAGTTACCATGGAAACGAATTTAGGAGATGGTGTGTGCGACCAATCCCCCACGCATTTCAAACGGGGTTGCTTTACACTATATAACACTCTGCGATGCTAAAAAAGTGTCGATTTTAAATAAATACTCAAATATAAAAATCTTTTCATTCAAAAATTTATCGTTTATTTTAATAATAATAGAGAATCAAAGGGACCCATATTTAATAATGAAATTAGAATATTATATAGTACTGAAATTGCTTTTTTTTGCAGAATTATAAAGAGCAATTTTTCTTTGTTTTTAAAAAATTTGTGAAAATTGGAGAGCAAGTATAAAGCAAAATATAAGGAAGAAAGCAATTTGCAGAAGCCACGGGGACCCGTTAATTGTGCGATCAGCTGAGACGAATGTCGTCGTCTTTCAATGTTCAAGGAACTTCGTTAACCATAAGTATCCCAAAGCGGTAAATTTCACAAAGTGTAAAAAAGAAGTTCTACTTCTTTCTCAAAACCTCTAAAGAAACAATACTTTCAAATATAAAAAAAAGGCAGAGGTCCGTTATACATTCGCAGTACATATTACAACTGAAGCGAAACAAAGTGTGAAGCTATGTTTGGCTGCGTTGAAACCAAATCGAAACAGTAACAATAACCTTACGGTACGACGATACTTTTTTTAAATACTTTCAAAATATAAAAAATTCTTGGGCTAAAAATCAAATCTTCAAACTATTAGTTTTTACCTTCTAGTTCTTTTGAAACGGAAAATGAAAAGTGGGAACGGGGTGAGTTTTGCGTAAATGTATGCTTCTTTAATTACACTTTCACTGATTATTGAAAATGACAGGAAACTCTTTCTCCTCGAGAAAAATAAAGACGAAAGTTTCTGATTAATGTTCGATCTATTTTGATACTTATTATTCCGAGGCATTTTAAATTTTGTTTCCGGACAGTTTCTATCCGTTTTTAAAATTCTATATTACAAAAAATTCTTTTCGAATCATTCCAAAGTTATTTAATTCTTTTGAATCCTGAAAATTTAAATATACAGCTTCGGAATGAAACGAATCGATTTGGAATGATTCGGAAAACATTTTTGATTGAGTTACATTATGTAGATTCGGACAAAAACTGACAAAAAAATTTTTAATTGCCTCCTGCCTCGGAATAATATATTATACTTACCAAAATTTATTGAACATTAATCCGCAACTTTCATCAAAATGATATCGTAAAATCAGCTAAATTTTTAATAATAAATCAATTTTTCGCTACCAAAATAACGTAATTTTAAATTGAAGAATATTTTCTTCTTCTATTTAAGAAAATATTTAGATTTAATATATCTATACAGTTTATTCAATTCAAATAAAAATTATTTGTTTCAAGTAAATATTTCATTTGATATAATAATCATCAAATGATTTGAATCAAGTAAATTTTTTTTCAGTGCGTTAAACGAATTCAAAATGTCGACCAAAACTTTTAAAATGCTGACTTATTTGCGGCTTCTATTATTATAATATTTAAAAAAAATCACTATTTTCTCTCAGTGAAGGAATAATAAATATAAAAAATTATTATTTAGTAAACATTTGGTTAATTGGCATATACCTATTGAATGGTAATTATATAGCTAATAATTACATGGTTCCTTATGTAGAATAGGAAATAGTAGATAGTTTAGCGCCATTTTGAAAAAAACCACCCTCAATTTCGGACGTTGGCTTTTACTCAAGGGAACAAAAGAGGAATGTGCCCAGGGGCTGGTATGGGACAATACAATTTTAGTAAAGGGAGTTGAGAGGGTGTAAAAGGAACGTCCTTCTCTTATAAAAATGATACCCATTGGTCAGATCATTCAGTTCAAATATCGATTTATTATACGTGTATACATTTTGCGACAATTGAATTTCTTATCGAATTATTTTTAACATTATATCGAAAAAAAGGTGTGGTCTATATAAAATTATATTAAAAGAAATTATTGGAAAATTGACCAAATCCAGTATTAATTAAAATAATCTTAATTGGTTATCCAAATTTAAAATTTCATTTTTTTTGCAGATATTCAAGAAAAATTTTTACAGAACGTTGTAGAGGAAAAGAAGAAAAGGAAAAAAACATTAACATTATACTATTTTATTCATTTTCCAAGAAGTAAATGGACGTCATTTTATAGTGCTTGCGGCATTTTAACGCAGAGATAGAATAAGACCTGCGAGTAGAAAAATATATGAGAAGAATGATTTTCAAGAAATACTTATAGACGCTTGGCGGTTCGCTCATAAAAACTTTATGGCACCGTGGAAATAAGAACGAAGCAACAGGTATGGTGTCTGTTTTAGCGTTATTTTGTAATTACTTATGCCGTCCAACAAACTGACTTTGCCACACTGATAAACTGGTGTATACTATACTTTTGTGTAAACTCCCTAAGTCATTTTAGATATCATTCATCATTTTTAGTAAATTTATTTAATGGTACTATACAAGTAGAGAAGTATATAGTGAATATGAAAAAGTTTACGAAACGCAGGGTTTAGTTATTATTTTTTTTTATAGAAACTCTAAAATTTTTTGTAAAAAATGTCATAAATTCTTTTTTACTTGCCTAAAATATTATTGAAACCGGAATATTGAGTATTCGAATGTAAGAAGTTATGCTATGTGCACTTTCTGAGATAATTTTTTCAAACTTAATTTAATAGTCATTGCATACCTGCGCTCACAAACTGTAAAAAAAAGAGAGGTGTTTTATTTTGAAGTTCTTTTTAGAACATCAGACATTAGAATCTTGTTAAGACACTACAAATATATTCTCAAAATAAGACATATACCTTACAAAAGAGTTTATTTCTTTATATTAAAAAAAAACCTTAGATACCCCAAGAGAACTCTTATATTTATAAAATAAAATATATTTGAATCAAAAATATATTTGTCGCAAAGCCTAGTAACTTTTTATTTTTTACAAATAAAATATTTTATTCAGAACAAATAATATTTTATTTAGCGCAAATAAAATTTTTTGTTTAAATCAAATAAATGAAGGCATTTTTATTTTTGTAAGCCAGATTACTTGTTAAATAAATAAATAAAATTTTTTTTAAAACAAAATTAATTTGAAACTAATAAAATGTATTTGGCTCTGTAACAAATTTATCTTTTTTCTGAGTGTAGTTCAGAATAAAACATATTGGATTCATTATAAGAACTTTACAATCAAACTTTTATATATATATTTACTAATAGTGTATCTTTTTCATTTTTTCTTTCATCCTTTTTTTCAGATAATTTTACATTTTGTTAACTCACGCTCACATAATTTCAAGGGTAAAGCCGGCCTGACTAGAAAACCTTAAACGTCTAACAGGGATACGCTTATGGGGTGATCTACCCCTACAAAACCCCATGTCTAACCCTCTTTCTCCAATTCTGAGCGGATTGTGAAACCCGCTGCTTTTTTTCAACTCTTAGATCTGCAGGATGCCGAAAAAACCGTTCGTAGCAATCAGTGAGCATATATATATTATATAATAGCCTAAAGTTTTTTTTTAATTCTATCGTACCTTTTTAGAAAAAGGCATTATCTACGCATTTTTTTTATGAAAAATGAAATTTTAATGCCGTTCGATTCATATAATGAAAAAACGATATCTATTTCCGGAAAATTTAATATTTTATAATATAGTCAAATAACATACAATGATGGAAAAAAAATGTATTTGATTTCAATTTTGAAATTTTGAAATTTTAATTAAATATTCATTTAATTTTTTGAAAAGAAATAATTTTTAAAATCGGTTACTTGGCTATTAACTAATAAATATTTACTCGAACCAGGAATTTTTATTTGAACCAATAAATTTTGTATTTGAAACAAATACCATGTAATTGACTCAAATAATAAATATTTATTTGGGTTCAAGTAAATATTTATTTGATAATAGTCAAGTAACCGATTATTTGAATCAAATAAATTTTTTTTGTTTCTTGAATAATTTATAGTACATATAATGAATTTATTTCTTAGAAAACCAATAAATTTCAATTTCTTCAAATCAAGATAAAAAAGCCCTAATTTTTTTTAAATGTTTAGACAGTTCTGCTATCCTCATCGAAACGTAAAAACGAGAAACTTATAGCTGCAAGTCGTCGAACTGTCAATTATTTGAATCAAGTAAAATTTTTTTTTCAGTGTATATAATTAAAAGGGATTAAAACTAAATTTTAAATTAAGCCAAAGTATAAAAAATAATTTAAGAATACATTTTAAATAAGTTTTTACGCACGATAACAAGAAATAAAATTTTTATTAATTAAGAAAGACGTCAAAAAGTTTTTACACAAGGGTAAAATTATTTGAATATAATTTGAACTTACTTTTTTATGGAATATCTTTTTTTTAAAGATGTTTCCCAATATCGATAATAGTATAGTGTATAGGTTTTTTTTTTTTTTTTTTAAAAAAAGTCGATCAGCGAGAAATGATGTGTTATGGTAAGATGAGGAATTCACGGCAGCGTACAAAATTGATTTTGACTGCTTCAGTAGAATGATCAATCTGCTCGAACCGATTGAACTTATCGATTGAAGAGAACCAATCATAAGTTACACTGACAATGAGAAGGAAGAGGTTCTACGGGAACAAATTAGTGTGACGATACTCTTCCTAACGTCATATTGAAACCACCTCTTTTCGTTCCTCTTCTTCTTCTTCTTCTTCTTTCTCCTCCTCTTCATCTAAGATCAACTCTCTTCATTAAAAGTCTCTTTCTGCTTTCATCGCTTTTTTAAAAATTCTTTTCAAGTTTTTTATATATCCTTTTTTTTGTTTTGCTTTCTCTCTTTTTTTATATCACCTAAATTCTAAAACTAATTCATCTATTCCTCGAAATACTTTTAAAAAGTTTTTTTCTATCACTTTAAATAATTTAGATGTTTTTTCCACCCATACACACACATCACTTTAATTTATATGCTATAGAAAATTAAAAAAAAAATTAAATATTATCAAGTTTCTGAGCAAAATTTTTCTGTTATATAAAACGCGACGCGGATGAGTTGAAAATAAAAAGAAAACTAAAGGCACGCGCTTCTCCGTAAAACATACTGGTGAGCGACTGGCTCGGCTTCATTCTCAAAATCGGGGTTAGCGTTATTATTATTTAAAACAACCCTTCGAGCGATCAAGTAGGGGGTAAGTTTCGAATCAGGGGCTGTCTTCATACAAGAAATAGGAAGGGGGTGAGTCAAAAGTTGGGGTAAACTTTAGAAGGGTGAACGACACGCGATTTTTAGGTCCAGGTGTCAGCATCCAGCAGGGTTTAAAAAAAAAGAATAAAAAAGAGAATTTCAAACGAGACTTTTATTTTTTATCAGTTTTTTATTTTACTGCTAAAGAATATAAAAATTCCAATTTAACAAATACGTATAAAAATAATTTGTTATATAATTTTATTGATTATGTGACTATTTATTTATTATCGGTTTTGTATAACTTTACACAAGTGTTGTTCTTAATACTGATAAATAAGATACTGATGTTTTCAAAATCTGTAAATAAGATTAAATATTCTTTTAATATTTTCAATTTTACACTGCATTTTTTTTTTTTTTTTTATTGTGAATTTTCCCTGAAAATTCTAAAATTGCAAAGGAGAAATAGAGTGCCGTGATTTAAAAAAATAATTTCGGATGCTGTGGTATTATTTTTTTTCAAAAAATAAAATTACTTACATTTGCAAAACTTCCAATGGATAATGCAGCAAATTTTCCAACAGTCAATTGTAATGGTTGATGTGTTCTTTTCATTACCAATAATAACAATTTAATATCTTTTGGTTTCAATTTATACCAAGAACAACTATAAATTCTTTGAGAAATATCTGCACTCTAGAAATATGTGAAAAGTTAATTTAAAAAAAATTTATTATCGGTATTATATTTATTAATCGGTTACTTGACTTATCAAATAAATATTTATTTCTATTTAAAAATTAATTATTTAATTAAATAGTAATTAAATTTTGTTTCAAATACAGAAATTATTGGTTCAAAAACAATTTATTTAATTCAGTTAAAAATTATTTAGTTCAAGTAAATATTTATTTGATAACCGATTTATTAAATAAAAACTTATTTAATATTAATAATTTACGAACCTTTGTTATTAAAAATTCTCCGGCAAAACAAAAAGCAAATGCTTGCCATAACATTAAAATTATAAACATAATAAATTTTAACATCATAATTATGTCATTTGTTCCATTCGACTATAAGTGAAATATTTTAGTATTATAGATTATTATATGTTTATTTGTAACATTAAGTTCCATGTAGAAAAAAAACTGTATAAATTCTCATCCAGAATATAATAATCCATATAATATGATCCCCCATATATGGGTTCCTTTTGGTTCCTTTTGTTAAAATGTTCACCAGAGAATTGGCACCGATATGGGATATCATGTGTTATTATACTCTGAGTGACTATATACATATATGGTTGGAAATCCATATGGGAACTTACTGGAAAAATATAGAAACTAATGATTATTAAATTTCAAATTTTCAAAACTTTATGAAGTTAAATTTACGGTAAAAAAGAAAAATTGCTAATAATTTATGACAAAATATTTGCTACATACTTCTCAAAGTATTATAAATATTTAATATATTAATTTCATATAAGTATTAATATTTATTTTTAAATTTCTAATAACTCACATTCATAATAATAAATCCTGTAAAACATATAACCATTGTACTGGAAAAAAATTGTATTAACGAAACATAAGTATAAATCGTCTCAAGCTTATTTAGCATATTTATTAACTTTTTATGTTCATTTACAATATTTTTTATTAGACATAAAAAATGTTGATTATTTTTCAATGAATAGCATGCAATTGATGATATTCCGTTAATATTTTTCATTAAAATTTCAATTAATCCACAAATATGAAAAACCTGCAAAAATTTAACCATAATTACTAAATTAATTTAAAAAAAGAAAGATTATAACTATTATACTTACTATTGTTCCAAGAAAAATCTCCGATAAAGCATCAGCAGAAACCATTAAAAAAATCAAAACAGTTTGAATTATTGTTATAATTTCAAAAAATGGTGTGAGACGATAATTGAAAGGATATGTTACATCTAAAACTAATTTTCTTGCCTCGACTGATTTATTAAAATATGAAAATAAAGTTTCTGGATAATAAAATAATGCAGCTAATAGATAAAGAATAGAATCGAGAATACAAAAAAGATTTGCATATTTAACATATTTTTCCATTATTTCTTCATTTTTAGAAAGTTTCAATTTTTTCCAATCTTCAGATATTTCTTCAATCAATAAATTTACATAGCTGCGTGTATAGAAATATATAAATAAATAATTCGATTCGAATTGGATATAGAATTATTGGAAATATTGAAGAAAATTTCCAGATTGAATATAGAATATTCATAAAATAAGAAAGAAGAATATATAATTATTCAATTCAAGCTTTTTCTTATATACTGATTTATTAATATAATTCCATACCGTCTATTATACCACATAATTAAAAATTTTAAAATTAATAACAAAAATGTCGAAAAATCACGAAACACATCCATCAATAATGGTACATTTTCAAAATTTTTATAAATATCTTGCAATTGAAATGGACAAATAATCACAAGCGTTGAACATAAAAGCAATTGTGGTACAGGATTTGGATTATTAGGCCAAAAACCAAGTATATTTAGTGCACCCACTAACGTCCAGTGAAATATTGGAATGTCCATTTTTTTAAAAAATAATTTCTAAATTGTAATTTTTTCTTAAATCTGCTTTTTTAAAAAAAAATAAATGCAGCTATTTTAAATTATACGCTATGATTGAATACATATTTCTTGAAATATATTTCAAATAAAATAATATCTCTCTAAAAGAAATAAAGTTTTGGGAGGAGCTGAGCCTATATACTTGTACATTATTTCTTACGCAATATCAAGAATATTCTCATAAAATAGTAAAATGGATCAAATCTAATAATTTATGTATATAGTGAGGTTTCTATACTTTTTTTCTGCAGAATATAAAGATTTGAATATTATTGATAAAAAGGCGCGTCGTGCTATTTATAAATAAAAAAAGAACAAATTTTATTCAGGATTCTTTTTTTCTAAATTAAATAAATATAAATTCAACAGTGAACATAACTTTTATTATAACAATCAACAGGATTATAAAAGTGACCAAATATTCTTTTTTTTATTATTACAGGGAAAATCAATGAGTATTGACAAACATCAGGATCCCCTTGTGTCAACTAATTAAAAAAAAAAAAATTGTTTTTCCATTACCAACTTTTACGGTTTTTTTAAAAAATATACTCAGGAAATAAATTTGTAGGCAATCACACCAACTGTTGCGACAATTGTTCCACCAATTAAACCCCATGCTATAGAACTTGATTTTATTTTACTTTCATTCTTAAAATTTTTATCAATATCAATTTCCTGTTTTGTTCCAAGCATTTTACGATACATATTTTTTTCCTTTTGAACATCCTTCACACTCTTTTCTTTTATAATCGATAGTTCACGTTGAATAGCTTTATTTTCGGGATCTAATTTTTGTGCTTGAAACAAAATCGAATATGCCTGAGAATGTTCACCTTTTAAGTGTAAAATTTTACCTGTAAGGAAATTAAAAATTATTGTAAAATTAATTTTTAGATTTTTTATAATAGTCATACCTTTTCGAAATAGAGCCTTTATATTTTTTGGTTGACATGATAAAACATTTTCCACACTTTTCAGTGCAGCTTCATAAGCTTGTGTTTTTAATTGAGCTTGTGCCAAATTATTGTAAACTGTCAATCTATCTTCCAATAAGGCTTGTAGATCGGCATCTGATTCTGTTTTCTCGACACCGTCTTCACTGAAAGATGTTTCAGATTTTGTTGGCGATAGAAAATCTAAAGCACGACGATAGCACTGCATTGCAAGAGCTGGTTCGTTTCTTGAAAACCACCAATTGCCACGTTCTCGTTTTCTATTCCTTAAATTAAAGAAAGCATTTGAATTACGATTATTTAAAATTAAACAAAAAATATTGGATATTATACCCTATTCTTTTTCTTTCATTGACTGTTAATGATTCGAGTTCCGTTTCCATTTCAACAGAAACAAGTTTAACATTATATCGAAGTGTAACATTTGAAGGAATGTTAGGTTTCTCGCCAATAGTTCCATAAGCAAATCTCGAAGCAATTTCAATTTCTGCTTCCTCACCAACATCCATTAAAGCCACCGCCAAATCCAATCCCTAAAAAAATATACATAAATTAGGTTATGTATAAAAAAATTTTGTAACGTTTTTCAATTTATTTGTAATCACAATCGTATGATTATAAAAAATAAATAATATACCTGAATAACTTCAACGTCTCCTTGTTGAAAATTAAATTCCTCATGTTGTTCAACAATTGTTCCATCATCAAGTCTTCCAATAGCATTTATTATACAAGTATCTCCTCTAGTGGGACGTGAATTTTTAACACCTTCTTTTATAACCCTTTTTCTTAACTGACCATTTCCAAGTATATCTATCCATTCATCCTCTGAATTTAATTTTTTTAATTCACCTTCAGAATTCATATCAACATTTACCTCATCGTTTTCAATAGGATGAGCTTGAGATTTTCCTGCATCTAATTTTTCTTCAACCATTGTTTATAAAATATAAACTTTGATATAATAAATTATTCCGGAAGAATTAGTTTTCAAAGGTGTAAATGTAAAATCTATAAAATCAAAATCTAAAACATAAATGTAATAATAGCTATATTATAGGTAAAACATATTATATATAAATCATTTTAATATATTCCAAAAGAATTAGAAGTTAAAAAAATTATCTACCAGTCAAAAGTCCAGTTTCCTTATAATTAATTTGAAGGTTAGCAATCAATAAATATAGATATGGAATAAAAATTTTTAAAAAACACCGCAAGTACTTACCCTACATTATTACTTAAAATTTTAAATCTTAATCAAAATTAAACGTGGAACACATTACAATTCATATGATCCAATTTTTAAAATAATAGTCATGTTAAAACCATCAAACAAAAAGGTGCAATGTGTAAAAGTACTTCTACAACAAATGTTAATTAGACCAGGGTTGTGTTGTAATGCGTAACTCTCGTGTATTGTACCTTCCCAACCCTGTATTTTTGAAAAATCCCGCGGCATTTAGCCTTGTAGATGTATTTCCGCTTTCGAACATTCTGACTAGTGGCAGTAGTGGCGTGGCAACCAAGCCTGGCTCCAGTTTGGTTTTTATTATTCCATTCCGGTGTAAAATAATTTATAGCTTTTAAACTTTGCATTTGTTTTTAGAATCACTTATTACACAAAAATAGTTAATCTTTAACTATTTAAAAATGTGGAAATTTATTTTATTAGTTGGTTTCCTTTATATTGCTTCTTGTTCCGGAAGCAATGCAGATAAAGCTAAAGGACCAAAAGTAACAAAGAAGGTAGAAATTCATATTTTTTCTTAAAATATTTAATGGATTTTATTAGTAATGAGAAAATTTCAATTATCTCCTTAATATATATAAAATCACCGTTTTCTAAATGTGTTGAAAGGATAAATTATCGCTTATTTCAATAGGTTACAATTACTCCGATTAGACTGTAATTAATCTATCAGAGTAAGTGTTTGGGACCGTAAGTGTCGAATAACACAATTGATATTAATTCTTTCATAACAGTTTTTGCTAAATTTAACTTTACATGACAAATAATAATAATTATTATTTATATTGTTTTTTGTAAAGAAATAATTTTTTATCCCCATAGTTTTAATAATAAAACTAATAAGTTTATAATTGCAGGTTATTTTTAAAATAAGTATCGGAGATGTTGAGGAAGGTTCAATAGAAATTGGCGTTTTCGGTAAAACTGTTAATAAAACTGCTGAAAATTTTGCTGCACTCTGCGAAAAACCTGTAGGTGAAGGATATAAAGGAAGTAAATTCCATAGAGTTATTAAAAACTTCATGATTCAAGGTGGTGATTTTACAAGAGGAGATGGAACCGGAGGTAAAAACATTATAATTACAATTTCTTATCGTAACAGAAAAATAGTATATATAATAATAAATGTTATTTTTAACAGGTCGAAGTATCTACGGAGAGAAATTTGCTGATGAAAATTTCAAATTGAGTCATTATGGTGCTGGTTGGTTGTCAATGGCAAATGCCGGAAAAGATACAAATGGTTCTCAATTTTTCATTACAGTTAATAAAACACCTTGGCTTGATGGAAAACATGTTGTTTTTGGCAAAGTTATCAAAGGAATGGTAAAGTTATTTAATAAAAGTTATAAATAAAATTCTTATTTTAATTTTCCATTTAAATTATTAATATTTTGTTTCAGAATGTTGTAAGAAAAATTGAAGAAACTGCTACAGATAGAAACGACAAACCAAATAAGGATGTTGTTATTACCGATTGTATTGTGGAAGTAGTAGAGCCATTTAGCGTATCAAAAGAAAATGCCACAGAATAAATGTGTATATGGTTAAGAAGGCTCAAAAATTTATAAACATATTGTGCACTGTACAAATACTTTCCTTTTTTTTATACAAATACATATTGAATTTTTTAAAATGAATAAAAAGAAAGTTTTTCAAAATATTTTGGTAAATTTTACTTATTTTTTAAATTTTGATGAAATCTAGTGAAAATATAGTTACTTTCTAGTAAATTTCGACAATTTGGTATTTCTGTCCTTGTCTTTAGCACACGTTACTAAATTACCATGGAAACGTGTGCATTAGACAAGGACAAAAAGTGGAGGCATATGTTCATTGTAAAATTACACTGACTTTTTTAACTACCATTCTACATGTGACTTGATTGTATTACAAAATAGTGAATTGTAATATTTGTTTATGTTCATAGAAATTTTATTTATTTGAAAAAAGATGGGAATCTTGGAAAAAATATCGGAAATTGAAAAAGAAATAGCGCGAACACAAAAAAATAAAGGTATGTATTTTAGGTTATGTTAGCAAAAAAAATTTTATTTTTTTATCAAATTATTAAAATTAATTAATTATTATTCTATTTAAATTTTCAGCTACGGAATATCATCTTGGTTTGTTGAAAGCGAAATTAGCTAAATACAGATCTCAACTTTTGGAACCATCAAAAAAAAGTGAAAAGGGTGAAGGTTTTGATGTTTTAAAATCTGGCGATGCAAGAGTAGCGCTTATAGGTTTTCCTTCAGTGGGAAAATCAACATTATTAAGTACATTAACCCACACGGAATCTGAAGCAGCTTCATATGAATTTACAACACTCACGTGCATTCCTGGCGTCATTGAATATAAAGGTGCCAATATTCAACTTCTTGATTTGCCGGGAATCATTGAAGGAGCAGCACAAGTAAATATGTGAAAAAAATAATATTAAATCTAAAATATAGACTTTTGAGTTATTTTAGAGTAATTGGAAAATTGTTTTTCAATTATAGGGAAAAGGTAGAGGTAGACAAGTAATTGCTGTTGCAAGAACAGCTGATCTTGTACTTATGATGTTGGATGCAACAAAACAAGATGTTCAACGACAACTTTTAGAAAAAGAATTGGAATCAGTAGGTATTAGATTGAATAAACAAAAGCCAAACATATATTTTAAAATTAAGAAAGGCGGTGGACTCTCTTTTAATTCAACTTGTCCTTTGACTAAATGTGATGAGAAATTAGTTCAAATGATACTTCACGAGTATAAAATATTTAATGCCGAAGTTCTTTTTCGAGAAGATTGTACAGCAGATGAATTGATTGATGTTATTAATGCCAATCGTGTTTATCTTCCTTGTCTTTATGTATATAACAAAATTGATCAGATTTCAATAGAAGAAGTCGATAGAATCGCCAGACAACATAATAGTGTTGTAGTTAGGTAAATAGAATATTTTATTGTATTTTATTGAACTTGGAACAATTTGTCATTTTCTTTTTTTTTTAAGTTGTAACATGAAACTTAATTTGGACTTTCTCTTGGACACATTGTGGGAATATTTATCTCTTATAAGAGTATATACAAAAAAGCCAGGTCAACCTCCGGATTTTGACGATGGACTCATTTTACGAAAAGGAGTAACAGTCGAGCATGTTTGTCATGCAATTCATCGTACTTTGGCGCAACAATTTAAATACTCTCTTGTTTGGGTAAGTTCTTTTAAATTATAATATCGTATTACAAATTATTTCCTATTTATTTTTTTTAGGGAACAAGTACAAAATATTCACCTCAAAGGGTTGGTCTGCAACATATTATGCATGACGAAGATGTTATACAAATATTAAAAAAATAAAACTTTGAAATAGATAACTTATTTGATTTTATCAATTGTTTTGCAAAATTTACTTCTATAATAAACTTATACATTTGATAAATGGTAAATTATTTCTAATTACCTAATTGGAAGAGATATATATCACAAATAGAATTTTCTCAAATTTTTTAACAGGATATAATTTTTGAAATGCAGCAACGGAAGTAAAGGTGTTTTAATTTACAATCCTTATATAAAAAAGTCTTTTTTTTACACACTTCAAAGATTAAAAATCACTGAACGAATTAGATTCCATCCAATTAATGATTTATCAGTTTTTGTACATAAGTTCATTACTATTTGTGCGCGATTTCTTTTTTCTGATACGCCTAAACATGTGCCAGTAGCCAAATTGTAAATGGGGGTATTATCCTGCAAATAAAAGTCAAAAAGTTAATATTGAGAAATGAGAGAAAATAATTTTTACTTTAGTAAATTTGTATTTCTTTCAAGTATGGGAAAAATGACAAAAATATATTTACAGTTCCTTTATGTTGCCATTCTTGATCTCCTCCCATTTCATGACATTTTCCAAGTATGGGCTTTCTATCAGTAGCTTCTAAGCAAAACATTTGGCCGAGTACTAGTTCTTTTTTCTCAGTTTCAAACCACATCTAATTAAAATAAATAAGTAAAATAATTAAAATACAATCAGTAAACAATAAACTAACGCAAGATTTCTTTGGGAAAAGTCATATTTACCAAATTGGAATATTATCCATTCATAAATAATAATTCGGTCCATGTTATTTTTAAAATAAATCCAATTTATTTTTGACATCTTGATTTTATTAGAATTTTCATTTAAAGTGTATTACTAATATTTAATGTAGCACCTACTCCCAGTGAAATCCTGTGATAATTTATGAGATAAACTTTTTATTTACTTATAAATTATTTTACCTGTGATTTAGTTCGTAAACATGATGCAAGAATTAATCCCGATCCTCTTGTTTTCATATCTTGCTCGCTTTGAATGCATAATGTTGTATTAACAAGTCTTATTTGATACTGATCCGTATAATTTCTCTTTCTTGAATGCCATGGTTGAATTGGTTTTTGATTCATTTTATTAAATTTTTCATTAAAAGTTTTTTTCCCCTCGTCTGGTAATATTAATTCAGGATAAATTGTATTTAAGTACCATGAAAAATTTTTACAATTTAAATTATTTCTTAATGTTATTCTCGCAGTGATATCGCCATAATCAATCTGTTTTACATTTTTGAGGAAATAATTTTTATAATTATCCATCCATACATGTGCTACACGTAAAGAATTTTTTAACATTGTATCTTGCTTTTCATTATTTCCATAAGGTCTTCGTTTTCGAAAAACATGACCAATACGAGAGCAAGGAATAATTTCAATACTTCCACCACACATCCACATCTGTAAATTAGAAATTTGAAGCAATATTAATTTCAATAAATATAATTTATTCTTCATTTCGTCAATTAAAAATAAATTACTGACCCTAAACGATATTTCCAAATTCTCACCACCCCAAACATCCATTCCAGAATCATATTCTCCTAATTGAAAAAAATACAGTCGATTCATTGCAAAAAGACCCCCGGCCATTGTTGGTGACCTGGATATAAAAATTATTTTATTATTAAATCCACTAATTAATGAAAATGAATTAAAAATTTTATTTACTTAATAGGTTTTACGAAATCTTCATTTTGTGACAAAGATCCAATTGGCAAATTATCCCACTTGAAATGTAGTCCCCAATTGAAACCTCCTCTAACCAAGGGACTTGAACTATATTGAAAAGTATCTGGATTTATTATATCTATAACAGGCACAGTCACAATTGTTTTAGAATAAGCAATTCTGCTTAAAAGTGGTTCCAACCAAATTTTATTCACTTCAATATGACTATCGAGAAATACTAATATTTCTCCACTTGCATGTTTTGCACCAAATATTCTTGCTCTTATTAAACCCTCACGTTTATTTAATTTAAAATATTTAATCTTCTCCTTGAAATTAATTTCAATAAATTGACTAATACGTTCATTTAAATAAATATCATCACTACAGTCATTAATTAAAATAATCTCATGTAATAATTCCTTTGGAGTTTTGTCAATTAACGATTGCAATGATCTCAATAATGTTGTATAATGTTCATTATAAAAGCACATGACAATACTGGCATTTGGTAAATTTTTCACATCATATTTTTGTTCTTCACAAAGTTTATTCCTCGTATCAGGTAAATGACGCTGTAGTCCAAGATTATCAGAAACTAATACATTGAATGCATATTTTTTATAACCCTGTTCTCGTTTCCATTTATCCTCTGAATTTTTTACTAATCCCAGTTCTAAAAAATCTTTTAAAAAAAGGTATGATTATTTTGACTTATGTAAACAAATTTTATATCATTAAATACCTTTGTTTAAATTTAAATTGTTTCCACTATTAATCGTTCGATCTCTACTCGAGTTTTTCAATTCCCAATCAACATCTTTGGAAAGAATTGAATAAAAATATAAACTAAACGACCATGTAATGCTAGCTATTATTATGCCTAATAAAAATGATGTACATCTTACGGAAATCATCTGTAAATAACCTAAAAATGAGAAATATGTTTTTTAACATAAGCAAAATATTGACAAATGAATAATAAAAAAAAACGTAAATTTTACAATCTGATAAACAAAAATTACATACTGATAGGTATGTATATTCTTTTTTACACTTGTCCTTTCCTGGTTTTAATAATCTCACAAAGTACTAGTAAAAATAAATAAACAGAAAAAAACCAAGTGTTTATTTATTTAGTACAATATTTTGTTATTTATATGTCAAACATATGTCTTCTTCTACCATTGTTTCCATGGAAACACGAAAAACTATTGTGTCAAGACCTTTAGGAAAGTGTCACAATTCAGACACTCGTATCAAAGTATCACATTTCAGATGTTCATGTTATAGTCTATGATCATGTTATAGTCTATGATTTTACATGTATTTGGGCATTTCACAAGTCATCAAACAATAGTAATTTTTAAACCACCAAAAACAAGTGTATTTTTAAAATGGCAAGAGCTAGTAGTGCTGGTTTTGATAGGCATATTACTATTTTTTCTCCTGAAGGACGTCTCTATCAAGTTGGTAAGAATTAAAGAATGTATTTAATCTTTATAACCATTAATTTTCATCATGTTGAATTTGAATTGTCATGAACATAACCTAAGAATGAAAGCGGATGATTAGCATTTTTTAAAAATTTTCTATATTATTTGTTACAGAATATGCTTTTAAAGCAATAAATCAAGGAGGTCTTACCTCTGTTGCTGTAAAAGGAGTCGATACTGCTGTTGTGGCCACACAAAAGAAAATTCCGGTAAAAAAAAAATTATGTTATACTCGTACTTTTTCTCATTGAGGAAGCTTTATTTTGTTTCAAATGGGCGAAATTTGTTTTATTCTTTCAAAAAAACTTTTTTTTTTATAAAAAAAATGATTTTTTGTGGATCGATATTTAAAATTAATGAAATTTCAATAAAAGATTAATCGATTTAAGTTTCAATTTTTCCAATTTTGTCTTTAAATTTTGATTTTAGGACAAATTGCTCGATGCTCAAAGTGTAACTCACTTGTTTCATATTACTGAATATATCGGCTGCTTGATGACTGGAATGATTGGTAAATATACACATAAATAGTTAATATATGATTCAGGAGTTTCAATAAACATTTAAAAATATTAAAAATCTATATAATTTTTCAGCTGACAGTAAATCTCAAGTTCAACGTGCTCGCTATGAAGCTGCTAATTTTAAATATAAGAACGATTATGAAATGCCAGTCGATTGCTTATGTCGACGTGTAGCTGATATTAGTCAAGTTTATACGCAAAATGCAGAAATGCGTCCTCTTGGGTGTTCTATGATTCTGATAGCTTATGATGAGGAACAGGGGCCATGCATTTATAAAGCAGATCCTGCTGGATACTTTTGTGGATACAGAGCTGTTGCAGCTGGCTCTAAGCAAACTGAAGCTAATTCTTATCTCGAAAAGAAATTAAAGAAAAAGCAAAGCTATGATCATGATGAAACTGTTCAATTAGCTATTACATGTCTCTCTACAGTTTTGTCTGTAGATTTTAAACCATCTGAAATTGAAGTCGGCGTTGTAACAAAGAATAATCCTAAATTCCAGTATGTGTCATTTTTTATTCTTTTCGTTTAAATTGCTATTCATTTTTAAATATTATATTTTTCTGTTTTTTTCAGTGTTCTTTCTGAGGCCGAAGTTGACAAACATTTAACTGCCATTGCTGAAAAGGATTAAGTTTGGATATTTATACTTTTCTTTTTTTTAAATATACGTTATTCCTAAATAAATCCAAATTTTAAATACATTGTTTTACTTTCCAATGCACTTTAATTTGAATGTTAAAACTAGAGATCGTTTTCAAAATAAGCTTTAAACAAAAAAAATCCCCATGGAAATTCATAAAAATAACTTAAGTAAAGAAAATTAGACGAAATAAAGACAGCAATTTCTTTTTTTTAAAGTAGACAATATATTTTAAGACTTAACTTAGATACAAAAAATGATAAGTAATTATTTTCCGCTTGCTGTCGCTAAAGGATTTCTTAAAACCAGAATAACTGAGTCTCCTCTAAGAAACATTTTTGAGATAAATCGATCCTTATTTACTGGTTTTGCCTAAAACAAAGATATTTTGATAAATTTTTGTATAAAACTTAAAGGTAATAATAGAAAATTTTTTAAGCCTTGCATTCTGACATGTAAAATAATGTTAGATGAAAAATCATTGAATGTACCTTCTTCTTTCCTTTTCCAGTGCGTGGAAGTTCGGTCCACATTTCTTTGACATTTTCCAAGACCATGTTACAATGCCTATCAAAGGCTTTCACTCGGCCAAGTAATTTTTTGTTATTCCTACAATTGATCAACACCTGAGTATTGTTTTTAACTGATTGAGTTAAAACAGATAGCGGTCCAGTATTAAATTCTTCTTCCTCTCTTTTTGACAGCTCTTCCGGTGTCATCTCAGATTTTGGTTTAGTTAAGGATGACCTACAATTTTCAATAAATATAAATCGCAATTTAAAGAAAAAATTATTTTTCTCAAAACCCTTCGTTTACGAATAATATATTGTATCTACAAATAAGACCTAAAAGTTGCAGGTCAGTTATTACAAAGGTTTTGGAAAAATCCTAGGTACCGGAAGTTTCCACCGGTAGTGTGAACAGTTCGGCCGGAAAAATTTATTTGAGGTTATGTATCCGTCTAGACGGACGTTTAGCTACTTTAACGAATTATATAGAAATAAAGTTACTTATTGTCATATTTTTCAAGGTAACACATGTACCTATTAAAACACAAACTTTGTTATGTAAAAATTTTTTAATATTTTTAAAACTACTTTGAATATTGACCGGTGTTCTTCACTATACTACATTCCATTTTACAATTAATTAAAATCATTTCAATCCTATTTCTCAAATGTTTGTAAAATATTTTTATGAAACACTTCAATTACAGTCTTAATTACTGAAAGTTCAATCTAAACGCACTAAAATTTAAAATAAAAGAATAATCTATCATGCTTAATTGATACGAATTTTGTTTTGCAAATATAAACGTTGTTTACTTTAGACTATATTACTTACATTTTTTGTCTGTTGAATTATTTTCTTATTGAAAAGTAATCACCAAATTTCGAAACTTTAATAAATAATTTTTAAGCTGAATAATGGTAATTAAATGCAGATTTTGTTTGAATTATGAAACTCAACAATTGACAACAACTATTTCCTACAAGCACGATACAATTAAAGAAGCAAAACCACTGTATAAAGCTGCTTCTACAACAACTTTTTTCATATGTTTACATTAAGGCTGTGTTTACATTAGTATAAAAGAAATAAGATATCTGTTTGTCCTTCTCGCACTCATTGCCTGGTTACCAAGGTGTGAATGCTTCTTTAAGTGTACTATACAGGAAGAATGTATCCATCCCTGAGCATTAGGGTGGGGGCGTAGTTACTTTTGTTCCCTTCCCCTCCCTTATTATATTTCTCCTTGGTTTGCATACCCTGATTGTTCTCCCAACAATACAAATGTGTTGGTTGATATTAAACTTGTCACTAACAGTTTTTTTTCATTTAATTTAAAACATTGTAAGGTTTAAAAAAAATATATCATCAAATGAACAAAAATGAATCAATAAGCAGATATGGACCACTTATTGGTGCAATTGATGAAGGAACGAACAGTGTTAAATTTCTGGTACGGTAGTTTTAAAATAATCATTAAAGAAATTTCATTTTAAAAAAATAAATTGTATTACATTATCAAGTAGTTTATTTACATTTTTATTCAAAAATTTTGCTTAATAAAAATATATATTATGTCAAATGTTATTGTGACTCAAGTGACATGTAATGTTTTTAATTAAAAAATGAAAGATTATAATATCGGTGGATGGACAATTAAAATATATAATTAAATAAAAAAAGTTTTGGTTTTTAATTAAATATGTTCAACTGGACAGCAAATTTAAAATTTATGAAAAAAAAACACAATTTTACTAAATTTAAAATGGAGATGGAGAATTTATCTAATCAATGAAGGCAAGACCTGAAATTTTCTCAATGCGCAATAATAAAAATCTATAGTTTTGGTTATAAAACGTACTTTAATTTAAATGAATTGTTTTACGGTTACATTATATTTAACTAAAAAAAAATTCTCATGTTAATAAATTTATTTTAGGTTTTTGCTGCAAATACTGCTGAAGTATTAACGTATCATCAAGTTTCAATATCCAAATCATATCCAAAAGAAGGATGGGTTGAACAAAATCCAATGGAAATATTAGACGCAGTGGTGGAATGTTTAAATAAAACAGTAGATAATTTACATCAACTTAGTATAGATTCGGCTGATATCATTGCCATTGGGATAGCAAATCAAAGGGAAACATCAATAGTATGGGATTCTATTAGCGGTCAACCACTACATAATGCAATTGGTAATTAAATATTTATGTATTAATTTCCATCATAAATCTTTACAAAAGTCTAATTGAAAAATTGGAAAAGTAACGATTTTGCATAATTAATAAACTTTCAGTGTGGATGGATATGCGCACCACTAACATTGTGGATGAAATACTGAAAGGAGTTAGAAATGACATAAACTATCTTAAACCTTTATGTGGCCTTCCAATTAGTCCTTACTTTAGTGCATTAAAACTAAAATGGTTATTAGATAATGATGACTGTGTTCAAACTGCGGTGAAAGAAAAGCGTTGCATGTTTGGTACAGTTGATTCCTGGCTTATTTGGGTGTGTATTATTTTAATCATAGTCTCCATTATTTAATATATTCTTTACAGTAGAATAGAGATATAGAATTTTATCAAGTTAAAATTTCAATTTTTGGAAACTTAAATGCGTATCTTTTTAATATTTAATAAATTTAAATTACAATAGGAATCTTAATCTATTTTCAATTAAAGATTTAATAAGAATAAATTATTTTTAATTTGGGTTTAGAATTTAACAGGAGGCATCAATGGCGGTGCTCATAGTACAGACGTCACGAATGCTTCAAGAACAATGTTAATGAATATTTCGACATTAAAATGGGATTCTAAATTACTGGATTTTTTTCAAATACCACTTGAAATTTTACCACAAATTCGAAGCTCTTCTGAAATTTATGGTCATATTCATGATGGAGTATTACGAGGTGTACCAATATCAGGGGTTTGTAATATTTTTTAAAATTTATATAAGTGATACGAAGAGGAACGATTTTCTAATTAGTACCAGTTTCTATTCAATCTAAATATATTAATATAATTTGTTTAATTTTAGTGTTTGGGTGATCAGCAATCAGCTTTAGTTGGACAAATGTGCTTCAGACGTGGTCAAGCAAAAAGTACTTATGGCACTGGTAGCTTTGTACTTTATAATACAGGCACTGCGGTAAGAATTTTTATATCTGACAATTTATAAATCTTTTCAATAATAAACTATTAAATTCTTTATTTAAGAGTTTCAAAAAGAAAAAATGAAGATAATTTTCAGATTGTAGATTCAACCCATGGTTTATTGACAACAGTTGCCTATCAATTGGGACCTGAGTCACCTCCTGTTTATGCTTTGGAAGGATCAGTTGCAATGGCAGGAGAAGTTATACAATGGTTAAAAGAAAAGTTAGAAATTCTTTCTGACGTTAAAGAGTCAGAAGCTGTTGCCAATCAATTACCATTTGATAATCGAATAGTATTTGTTCCTGCTTTTTCTGGATTGCATGCGCCATATTGGAGAAAAGATGCACGTAGGTTAGTAATTTTTTTATTAATAATTGTAAAATTTATAACTATATTTTATTTATATATAATTATTATAGTGTCATATGTGGCATTACTGAAGAAACAACTAGTGCGCAAATAGTGAGAGCAGCTTTACAGGCTATATGTTTACAAACAAGAGATATTTTAGAATCTATAAAAAAAGACACTGGTTTATTATTAACTAAGTTACTAGTCGATGGAGCAATGACAGCTAATAATTTATTAATGCAAATGCAAGCTGATGTATGTGGTATTCCAGTAGGTAAGAATTCATTATTTATATTTATACATCAAACCCTATTTTTTAGTTTTTATTGTTTTCATACAATTCTTACTTATATACATATTTAATTAATTAATTAATGAGTTTTTTTAATTCAGAAAAATATATTCGGAAATTTAAATTCGGAGAATAGTCAATTCGGAATATCACTCATTCGAAAAAATGACGGGGAATCTAATATAAATCTAATTAAAATTAATTGTACAATCTAGTGAGGCCTTTGATGTGTGACACCAAAGCTCTGGGTGCTGCGATCGCTGCTGGAAGAGCAGAAGGTATTCGCAAATGGGATGTAAAATCCAACATTGCAGTACCTAGCGATACATTTTTCCCATCTATAACTGACAACGGTAAATTAAATATTCCACATAGCACATATCTTTAAGTAAACTTTGCCAGCAAATTTCATCGCCATCTAAGAAGCAAAAGCACCGCTTTTAAGGTCGAAGTTTTTAATAATTTAAAACGCGCAATTCATAATAATTGTGTTATTATCAATAGATCATTTTTTAATTTTAAAAAAATCGGAAACAAAATGTTTTTAGATATATTATGATTATTAATTACTTCTGCTATTTATGAATAAATATTATTTATTTTAAGAAACAGACATTTTTTAATAGTCTTAAGAAGCAACAATTAATAAAAAAAATTGTGTTTCAGAAGTATTTTATAATTGTCGTTTTTATTTGAAATAATTATAAAACTCATTATAAAAGTTTCATAATAATTTTTTAAAAACATAAAGCTTTTCAATTTATACTGTATTTTAATAATAAAAACAAAACTAAGTTGGAGAGTGTCATCTGTTGTGTAAGTGTAAGGAATTGAAACGTGATTTTAACTCATTAAAATTGTTGATAAACGATTTCATTAAAATAATAGATATTCAATAATTAATTATATTAAACAATAGTCATAATACATCTAAAAACATTTTACATCAGTTTCAGATTTTTTTAAATGGTCGCATTATCATTTCTGGATTGACTCACTTACATGATGTAAACAAGTACAAAAAAAATTTTTCTTCTGCAGAACGTGATATGCTTTATTCACAATGGAAAATGGCTGTGAAACGAAGTCTAGAATGGGAATCTTTAGAAGAATTACATGGTATGTCAAATATTATAAGATTACAAGTAGAAAATAAATATACGATGTTTAGATGTTTATTTAATGTAACTTTATTTTAATTCTAAGCAATAATAATAAAATAAGATAAATTACTTTTTTAGAGGATGATGAAGATCTTCATAAGTTAACTGCCACAGGACTTTTTGTAATTGGAACGTTGATTTTTCTTATGATTGCAAAGTATCGATCAATTACTTGATTTTAGTTTTCAAATAGAAATATAATAAAAATTGTTTTAGATAATTTTTTGCATTTAAAAAGATAGTTAGAAATTTCTTTTGATATGGAAAACTCATAAAATTTTAATAATTTTATCTAACTACATATTACGTTAATAGTTAATACATGTAAAAATGAGATTGTTATGATATATAATTAGAGAATAACAATACTTTTTAAATACGACCGTCTTGTATTATTTTTATTTAAAAATAATTAAAAATATTTTTTTTAATACCTTTGAATGTTCAGTTTCAGTTATGATGAATAATAATATTAACAAATAAACATATCTATGAGAGAATATTTATTATGTTTATGCAAAGTCGCCGCATTTTATACATATACAATAATTTTTCCTTGCATTTTCGTTGAGCAGAAAGCATCTAATATTTAGTTTTTACGTTGTTAATAAAATATTTTACATTTTATTAGAAAAACACCTCGGATTATTTATTACAAAACAAATATAAGACATACAGATTTTTTTGTGTATTGTCTGAAACAGTAGAAAAACTGAAATTTGAATTAATCTAAGTTGTTATTTTTAAAAAAATAATTATATAATTTTTAAAGCTATCCTTTTGACAAGTAATACCACCAGCAAATACTACTTGTAAAATAGAAAAATTTTGAACAACTTTTACATTACATCTTACTGCAATTCCTTTAGTCAATTGATTAATTCCAAATTAAACACCATAAGTCTGGATTAAACATAATTGTAAAATTTGCCTACTATTACGCTGAATTGGTCCTCTTGAGTCTACTTTGAATCTCAAAAACATAATTTTAAACGTTGTTGCTTGTAAAAATTATTTTGTTTCAAGAAATTTATTTTCATTTTCTTATTTTACTGAACACAATAGTAAAATCCATTAAAATTAATCTAAGTAAAATGGCAAAAGATATATTTTGTTCTTGTGCAGTGAATCACATGTGGTTGAAACATTTTTCCAAATAAAACAAACTAAAATTCATCATTCCGTTTTTACAAGAGCCCTATTTAATAATGTATAATATGTATACTATGTACAAGTAAATAAAATATTCAAATAAAATTAGCCTTCATTGGATAACACAAAAGTGGGTCTCCCAAGCCTACATTGGACTCTAATGGTCTAATAATGAATTTTCAGAACTATTCATAACGTTTCAAGTTCAATCTAGACTCATGAAGTTCAATTGATTAAATCGAGTATAAATAAACTCTTCTAAATAATTTCAACAATAAAGAATATGTAAGTTTAATGTAGGCTTATAAAATTTTATAATATCTATGAAAAGTTGTTAAAAACCATTTTTCTTCCTAAGTATTTATTGTAGTGGCGTTACTTAACTAGGACATGTCTTTAAAAAAATAAATATAAATAATTGATTAAAACATATATATTATATCGAATGTTTTGGTAAAATAGTTAAGCTAAAAAAATAAGTCAAAAATTTTCGCTGTAATTATTTTGTTAAATTTTTGTAACACCATCTAGAAAATATAAAGAGATGAATAAAAAATAATGGTTAGTACATATTTTTTTTGAGGAATTATAACATTTTTAAAATATTCAGAAATTTTTTTTCAAAAACAAACTTTTTTTGGTACATTTGTTTTATCAGCCTTTTAAAAATAGACTTTTTAACTTTTATACATTTAATTGTTTAAAGTAATGCCTACAGAAGAGAGTCATCAAGGAAGGTGCAGCATCTACATGTCTCAACAGCTTTTCATCATTTTCTGATAACCTTTCTAAAGAGAGACTATATTCGCGATCAAATGCTCCTGCAAAAAAAGTATAATTATTTCACATTTTAAATAGGGTACGGACTGAATGCTCTATTATACTTATTTAAAGAAAAATAATAATTTCTCACCCTGATCAATATTGCCTCTACCAAGGACAGTAAAGGCTAAGAAAAGAATATCCCTATATATAGAAAACGATTCTTGATCTTCAGACAATATTTTACTTCTCTCTAATGCAAGCCTCCTTATAGGTTCCACTAGATCGTTATGCCGAACACTGGTAATAATTGTCTGCATTGACCTATTTTTAAAAAATATAAAATAGACATAAATAAAGATCAAGATAGAAAACAGGTTTTTGAAAGACGAAAATATATACTTACGTTCTGTCTGCATTCATCTTCCATTGCAAATACATTGGTAATCGGTAATGATGAAGACATTCATTATCCCACATTGTTCTGACACCAATTAATGCAGAAGATGTCTGTAATTCATTTTCTTCTTCGTTATTTAGCCATAATTCAGACAAATGACTAAAAAGATTAATCCTTTCAAAATACCATATAAGGTTCCAATAAACAATGGGATGTTCAAGAATAAATTTATTCCTCGTTAGACACGAATCTCCCTCTTGATCTAAAACATTCTCTAATTCTTTTCTTAAAACAAGAGGATTTAGGTACGGTACTGTTATTGGATTTGTCAATTCACGTGGCTTCTGCATTAATTCGACTAAAGCATCTGATAGTGGATCACTATTTTTTTCTCCTTCTTCACATCTAAATTAGAAAAAAAGGATTTTCACGCGAATTATTAAAATATATAATATTAATAATTTTAAAACAATATGATAAACATTACCTGTAATCAAGTACCGTTACAGTTAGCAATGGTACAGTTGCTTTATCACAAAATTGACAAATTGTATTTAAATTCGAATCTTCAGGTTGCCAACCGGCCATTATTTCTTCATCGTAAAGAATAGATGAACAATTATGACATCTACTTGCACTTGAAAGAATAAGTTCAACTGCAAGACGATCTTCTGTATCTCTTGGTAATTTTGGATATAAACATTCTGCTAATTCGTAAAGAGCACTTAATTCAACATTAGCGTCGCCTGTGAAATAAAAAGAATATTATTAAAATTAAATTTTTTCAACACAAGTTGAATTAATATAATTGTAACATACTAGACATCCTTGTAAATAGTTCATTGCGGTCTTGTTGTGATCCATCTGTAAGTGAATCTAACGATTCATGTGATACTTCAAAACCCATTCTTTGATCACGCTCTTTTAGTTTTACTGGAGTGCTATTAGCCGATATAGCTTCTTTGATTTCATCGAATTTTTTCACCACTGTCGTAGCGGCTGATTTCAAACTATTTAAACCGCCTTGAATTATTTCATTTGACTTCTTTCCAGTTAAACTTGAGGTACTGTAATAAATAGTTTAATGTTTTTTTTTACCGAATCACTATTTACATATGAAAAATTTGATTTTTTTTATTAAACAGTCAATTTAAACTAAACACATCTTACCCAAAACTGAGTTTCAAACTTGAACCAATACTGGATAAACTAGATGTAACACTGTCTTTGTTTTGAATCCAAAGATTTCCGAGTTCTGCCCTCTCTTTTTCCCTCTCTTGATCTCCTTGCAAAGTTACAGAATGAGGCATTGTTTCACTTCTTTGTAAATGACCACCAATTGTTAAATCTTCAACAGCCTGATGAAAAGTTGCACTTCGTGGAAGGATATGGCTGATAAAAAAATATTATATTGCAAGGATTTTAATTAATGAAATTAACCAGAACCTGTATAAATTAGTTCGGTTAATAAATAAAAATATATATTACCTTCTAAATAAAACAGGACCACCAGGTCGGTCTTCGATTGCACTGTTTAAAATAGTTAATGTGCTTGAAGAACAGTTGGAGTCGTTTTCGTCACAAGGTGATACAATCGGTGTATCGTCATTTATTAATGCACCCAATGGATCATTTTCCGTTACAGGCGTTCGAATAGGACTTCTTAAAGGTGATTCTACATTGCGTTTGATTCTACAAAAGAATAGTTTACTATTACATTAAATTGATTCACGCATCATGAAAATAAGAATGTAACTAAATTAAGGAATCAAGTGCATTTATCGAACTTAATAATTATATTGCTTCTTTTAAAAAAATTCACCTGAAATTATTAGAAGAGTGATCGAACATCTCAGTTTGTGTCGCACTAAGTATTGTTGAATCTTTTACAATACTACTTTGACGAGGAAGCTTCGTTTTCATCTCGTTTAGACTGAATCCGGACAGATCTGGTACTGAACTACCCTTCAGTGCTGTCATCAAAACGAAAAATAATTGATATTATGAATAAAAAATTATTTCTAGTTGAGAACATAATTAGAGTACGATAGACCTTAATAAAATTTTATATGGTTAGAAAAGCAAATTTTTATATTCTCTATAATATTAAAAAATTATACTTACAAATACCATGTATACCTTCAGTGTCTTGCGAGTGTGAACTGTCAAGACTTGACCTTGAAATAGCATGTGCCATACTTAAAGATTTATCATCGGACGATATTATGTCGCTACTTGAACATAATCTTTTTCTAGCACTTCTTACTCCGGCTCTTTTGAATAATGCAGCGCCAACTATCACATTACGCAATTTATTCCACATTAACTGACTCGAATTCGTCATATCAGAAGGCCATGTTGCTTCTAATACAGCCTGAAAATGCATTTTATTTGAAAATACTTTTATTTTGATATTTATTTTCTTTCTATAATAATATTTCTAGATGTATGATTATGAATTTTTGAAATTACATATTATATACATACCTTATTATAAAAACCATATGTAAGTGCATTTGGTTGAACTCCACTTCGCTTCATATGAAATAATAATTTTACTGCTAACACTGGTTGACCATATAAACCACATAATTGCATCATTACTCTATAACAAACCTGTAATTTACAACATTAATAAATTTCCTGGTAACTAAATTTTCTCAAAAGAACATAAGAACAATCTTACCTCTTCCATTGGATCTAAATGCAATTTTTGCATTTTAACAAGTAATTCATAGCCTTGATGTAAAACAGCTGCAGGTTGACTTGAAGTTTGTAGCATGGCTGGTAGATGCAAAAACCACAAACTGTAACAGGTCCCAAGTAAACATTTGCTCCATCGATCTGGCATAGCCGCCTAAAGCAACAAACATTTCCAATAGTTTTCAATTAGTGAATATTTAATACATAAAACAATTGTTATAAAAAAATTAATAAATATTTAAGAAAACTTTTTGCAGAAATTATTACTTGTTTTCTAGCCATCTTTTGAGCAATTTTAATTTCATGTTTTGTTCTACGAGCCATTGGACTTCCAGGTACAATTGTAAAGTCACTGAATACTGGATTCTTTAAATTGACATGTTTTTGGGGTTTCATTAAATCAGGATTCAGTTTAAATGTATCGTAAGTTATTTGTTGTACATTTGGTCCAGCTTCTGGAGGTGGAATAAATACTGTCCGTTCACTATGCTGAGATTCATCAAGTTCCAAAAGCATTACTGAAATTTAAAAAAAACATTATTGAAAATTTTTTATCTAATAAGAAACTTTTAGTACCTACATATTTTCATTTATAAAAAAACAATATGAGCTGCATTTCTCATTATATCCTACCGTTTTCCTCATCAACGCGTTCAGTGCATTCATCAAAAAACGCTAAACCAGCCATATCCATGTCAGAAACAAAGCTTCTTTCTTCAATGAATCTAAATTAAGTTAATAATAATGATGAAATATGAAATAATATTTTATAGGATTCGCTTTTTAATTAAGATGTATTCTAACAAATTGATCCCGACTTGAAGTAAATCCAAACGTAAGTTGATTGTGTACATTGAAATAATAATTAAAAGAAAAAGTATTAGTTAGCCAATTAAAATATAATTATTAATAAGTATATTCATTACCTGATGAACATTTGGGTTCTTACGAGCATACTATAAAATTTAGCATGAGCTTTGTCACGACTTCTTAAAAAAGCTTGCATGTTAAATAAACTCGTAGGATCTGTGGATCCAACAGTGGGTGCTTTTGTAATTGGCAATAAAAACGAACGATATCCTTTTAATATCATTGCCATGAATCTTAAAAAAGCATCTTGTATCTCAAGTTCTAAAACTTGTTCTTTTCGTTTTTGTTGGAATTCTTTATCCACACTAAAATCTTCATCGCCTTTTTCTAATATCATTTATATTTAAATACATTTTAATGTCATTGAAAAATCTCTTAAAAATATTAAAACTGTGTAACTTACCTTTTTGTGAATAGTTTTTACCAAGAGAAATCAACTTTGAATACAAAAGTTCCAATAAGCTTCTGAGCATTCTCGCAGGCTTTTTGGGTAAAAGTTTAATATTTAAATATTTTTTGTCATCACAAACAGCTATATTATTGGTGTCCAAATTAACACAATTAACATCATTGGGCGGATCGTATAAGTCAAAAAATCGAGAATCTACACCAATGAGGAATGGTAATGGAGCATGTAAAACCTGTTTTAAAAAATTATTAATTAATATGATTAAAATAAATAAAAAGTGTTTAAACAAAGTGATGATACTTACTTCTGCTAAGCCTAAAGGGCACAATGGTATATATGGACATTGCCATTTAAATGGAAATAATATCATGGCAATTGCTTCACTTACAGATGTAAGTACATCTGGTCTCAATGAATGAACTAAAATTTTTTGTTCCGTCAATATTAAAAGTAAAATCAACATACAATTGTCAGGACCTAAATTTATTAACAACTGTCTAAAACTTGCACCAGATCTTGGCAAAGCCAAATCCTCTGGTTGAGTTAAAATTAAACGATCATGACTACTTAATTGTACAAGTATTCTCGGTCTTTGAGGACTTGGAAATGGTATGTCACACAAAAAGTATGATATGTACTTTTCAATATGAATATTCTGTGGTTTACCATCAACCATACTGTGTAAAAAAACCAAAAACTTTTCAAAAGTATCAAAAAATGGCCAATGAGATAAAATACAAATTGATTTACTCAGATTTAATGACTGAGTATCAGGATCAACGAATTGCAATTTTTCCATTTGATTTGTATTTAATTTTTTCAAAATACTAAACTTTTTAAAAAGTTTCAATTGACTTTGTGATTTATTTGATACATCTAATGTTTCATCTGAAAAAATGTCATAATTTTGAATAATATTCAATGAAAATAATTATTTGAAAAAGTAAATATATTACCAGAATTGTGATTAGTTGTTTCTGAACTTTCCGTATGAACTTTGCACTTTGGAATGTACAAATCGGGCACAATTTCTTCATAAAATGTAATCGCGGAGCCATATATTTTTTGGGCAGCATCAGCAACTGTCAATACAAATGTAGAAAAAACTGGTTTTGGTTTACAGGCAATTTTCGGCCAACATTCAATAGTAGCACCCATTGGTAAACAAAACATAGCAACTGAGTTTGGAAATACAAAATTATTATAATCCAATATTGGATATTTGTAGAGTATTTTTGGTTTCAATGATATTAAATTTTCACGATTCATTGATTTTTTGTAACACAAAAAAACATCGCTACCCAACATGCCTTTATTTAAATTTTTATTAATTATGCAAAAGGCATGAGGGGGTGTCTCTCCTTTATTCGCCAAAATCATACATATGTCAGTAACAACCAATGAATTACAAGGCATTCTGCGGCTGGCACGTCTATAAGTTACAAAAATTCTTGACGTTGAATTATTAACATTTGCCACATGTCCTGTCGGTGTTTCCTCAACAATTTCCGCATCTTTCATTATTCGTTCTTTTCCATCATATATTACACCTGAAAAGAAAATTCCATTCAAAATTAATTATGCTAGGATTTTAATTTTTTGATTATTCATCGATAATCAAGAATTTCGTTTTTTTATTATCTTAAAACTTGTTTTTTTTTAATAAAAATGACAATATTTGAAATTATAAAAAGAGATAAAATAATTCTTACCTATATCCACCAATGGTGGTTTATCTCTGCCCCTTCTATAACATAAGTAACATTCATTTGCTCGTAAACTTCCATGATTTAAATCAGCAGGAAATCCAGTAACTGTAGTATTAAGTATACAGTAGCCTTCAGGACACTTTTCACCAAGTGTTGGAAATATAACAGCCAAATCAGTTATAGGTGGTGGAACATGAATATCCTTTAGATGTGTTCCTTCTTGGCACCAATCTTCTAGTTCATTTGAAACATTATTTTCTTCATAACTATCATTATCTTCATCAGGTAAGCCAGCAACTACAAAGTAGTCGGCCACTCTTCTCTCCTCCATAGTAAATTTAAGTATGTCATAAGTATGAAACACAATTCATTTGAATGCTTTCGACAAGAGTATTCTGTAAGAAGATTAATTCAATATTAATTAGACTTAATGAAGAACAATAACTGTAATTAACTTCACTTAGAAATTAAGGTATTTAAAATTTGTTTTTAATTATTTAATTATTAAAAATTGAAAAGAACAAATTATTTTAAAGCTTAGGGGAAATTTAATTGCTGCATATTTTTCGTTTTAACTAATTTTTTCTGATAACTTACAATTTTTTAAATAATGATAAAAAGGAATTTGTTTTTTTACTGTTTATATGTTTAAACCTTTTTAATTTATTAAAAATAGTTTTTTATTATCTACTCACCTACAATTAACTAGTTTTTTCAATTTTTTTATTAAATCACTTAGGTAGTATTTGCCATAAAGTATTTATTTATACAATAATTAAGTATCACTATTTGCATAGCATTAATCTTTATTTAAATTTACAAAGATTTTAAAAAGAAAATCAGTTTTAGAAAAATCAACATTATTATTAAAATAAATAGACAGTAAAGTAAAAAAAAACATTTTTTTCTAATTATTATTTAAAAATCGTTAATTATTGGAGAAAAATTAATTTAAACCGAAAATAAGTTGTTGAAATTGTTAAATATATGTATATTGTAGAAGATGAATAAATACGTAATTATGTAAATGATTCAAGGTGATTGTAATAAAAAAAAATTGTTTAAAAAAAGGCGGTAAAGTTATTGAAAAAAATTTGTCAATCTCTTTTTTTTAATTATAAATTCTACAACTAGTACATTATTTTTTCAAATTAAAAATATAAAATTGCATTGAAATTTGTTCAAAATATAATTGAGAGAATGTTCCAATTTCAATTAATTCAAAACAATTGATTGAAAAATAATAATCTTAATTAAATTATAGATATTAAAAATATAGAAGTAAAAATTTTATGATTATATAATTTACTTAATAATTTAAATAAATTAACAGATTACTGTGCTAGTTTACTAGATGTAAAAATGGTTTTTAGTTTTTTTTATTCTTAATTGTTCTACTCATAAAAAGTTGCACGATTGAGAAAAAAACTAGAATTCTCTAGCTTTATATTCAATAAATTGTGAAACTAAAAATAATAAATTCATATATTTACAAGACTATATTTATTGTTTACAAAATCCTGTAAATTTTTACTACATATAAAAATAACTTTAAATGTTATAATTTATTTTAATTTTCCAGTTGACAAATAATATACAATTTTCAATGTGCGAGGAAAAAAAGGTAATTATAAAGTAGCAAATTAAAAATAAACATAGGATACTTTTTACATTATTTGAAGTTACTCTATTCAGTAGTATAAATTTATAAGATTTTGTATTTCAAAATAATTATTATTATCATATTAAAGAAGTAAAAATTAAAGATAATTATGCACAAAGATTTTATATATAATCTTTTGACATTTATATTATTAAAACTAATAAAATTTGTTACCTTCTTCTGAAGTGCGAATTAAAAATTTTAGGTTAGTTGCCGTTTTAGTACAAACTTGATCTTCGATATATTCATATCACAAAAACATAGTATCTTAACTTCTAACTACGAAATACATAAATATATCCAATGTTCACTCGTTATACATAAATGTTAGATCACTTTGTATTAATCAAATACATAAATGTTAAAATGTCAAGAATCCTTGTTAAGAGAATTAGACATGTCACAAGCACAAAAAAAAAATTAATATTCGAAAACAGTCATGGTAAGAATATCTAAAATGAAAAAAAATACTTCTATGTTGATGACTTTTGGAACAATGCACACAATAGTTATTAATTTCAACACTAACAAAAATAAATTTTGTAAGTGTTAATTTCATCCATGAAGTAATCTCTAGTCAGGCTTGAATCATGCTGTAAATTATGGGTAGTTCACATGTCTAATGCAATCTCAAAAAAGGGTTGGGTTAGTTTCTCAAACTGTCACATTTCAGAGATTCTCCTCTTTAGAAGCACTTTCCGATATTTGCGCTCTCGGTGGCTAATTTTAGAAACAGCATTTTCAACAACATTCGAGTCATTAACCCAATGTCCCCACTACAACAGATGCTAGACCTGTTTATACAATGGTACATTTGCCACAAATTGGTATAGCTACTGTGCTTATATTTTACATTATTGTGAATTCTGTTGTTCTTTCTTTTAAAAAGTTTTATTTATAAATTGTGATCTTTTTCGAATGCTTTTAAAGTAACTAATGTAATATACAATAAGATCGCGAGAGAGAAAAAATGAAAATGTGTCTTTTTGTGACGTTTGACTGTTGTAGTTATATTTCAATCTTGCTGTCGGTTAACTCTGTATTTGGCACTTGAGGATTCATTATAAGTGCACAAATTGAAAAATTATAATGAGAAATTAATAAACTACATCTGAAAATGATGATTAAAATAACCATAGTTTGCTATGTTTTGTCTCGATAAAAAATTAAATACACATTCTTCAAAGTGTCAAATAAACTGTGATAGCTGTAATAGATTAAAGAGATGACCAACAAGTAGACGATAAGCGTATATACATATATATATTCGTGTGATAACAACACTGAATGCAAAAAGGACTCATTTAGTTGTGTGTAGTTTGAAACTTCCTGTAAACCATTTTAAAAAAAAATCATGATGTCATCATCGGGACAGAGTAGCCGAAGTAGTCGTGCTGTACAAATTAGTTCAATTTTCCAGAAGTTACAAGGTCGATTTACAGATGCAATGACACCACCAAAATTGTCAACAGATAAACGAATGTTAGACAAAACATGGAAATTAATGGATAAAGTTGTTAAATTGTGTCAACATCAGCGAATGAATTTAAAAAATTCTCCGCCCTTTATTCTCGATATTCTACCCGATACTTATCAACGATTGAGGTTGATTTACAGCAAGTACGAGGATCGAATGCATATGTTGCATAATAATGAACATTTTTGTGTTTTCATAAACAATCTAATGCGAAAGTGTAAGCAGGCAATCAAACTTTTTAAAGAGGGTAAAGAAAAAATGTTTGATGAAACTTCACATTATCGTCGGAATTTAACGAAGCTCAGTCTTGTCTTCAGTCATATGCTTTCAGAACTTAAAGCAATATTTCCGAATGGTATTTTTGCTGGCGATCAATTTCGCATAACAAAATCTGATGCTGCTGAATTTTGGAAAGAACGATTTGGTAACAGGTATATATTTAACTTTATGCTTTTCATTTTTTTCAAAAATCCGTTTTACCCAAATTGAAAATATAGTTTTTGTTACTTTTTCTTACAGTACTTTGGTTCCGTGGAAAATATTTAGACATGAACTAAATCAGGTTCATCCAATTAGTTCTGGTTTACAAGCCATGGCTTTAAAATCCACAATAGATCTTACATGTAACGGATACATTTCTAATTTTGAATTCGATGTTTTTACAAGGTGAGTGAATTATTATCTATTGTCAATATTTATTTATATCTAACCAATTATAATTATTATTTCTCTTAATTTTAAATCAAATTCCTTCTCTTTTGAAGAATTAATGAAGAATATTATATATTTAAAATCTGTAGATTATTTCAACCTTGGTCAACATTATTACGAAATTGGAAAATCTTGGCAGTAACACATCCTGGTTATGTTGCATTTCTTACTTATGACGAAGTAAAAGCAAGATTGCAAAAGTATTGTATTACAAAACCAGGAAGTTATGTTTTTCGATTGAGTTGTACGAGGTTAGGGCAATGGGCAATTGGCTACGTTACATCCGATGGCGATATTCTTCAAACAATACCACATAACAAAAGTCTGTGTCAAGCCCTGCTTGATGGCTATCGAGAAGGGTTGTAAGTTATTGTTATTTATTATTATAAATTAGAAATCAAAGGTCATCAAATTAAATTTAAAATAATTGAAACTCTTTATTCTTATAATTAAAATTAAACTTTTGTGTGTTAGTTATTTGTATCCAGATGGTCGAAATATTAATCCCGATTTAACATGGGCTGTTCAACCCACACCCGAGGAGCACATTAAGGTGACAGCCGAACAATATGAGCTTTACTGCGAAATGGGCAGTACGTTTCAGTTATGTAAAATTTGTGCTGAGCATGACAAGGACGTTAGAATAGAGCCATGCGGTCATTTACTCTGCACACCGTGTCTTACAGCTTGGCAGGTAGCAGTATTTACTCTTTTTTATATTTTTACTAATTTCTTTAACACTCTGTAAAGAGCAAATTTTTTATCCTATAATCATTAAAGTTTTTAAAAAATATTAATGAATTTGAATTTTTTTTAGGACTCGGAAGGTCAAGGGTGTCCATTTTGCCGAGCAGAGATAAAGGGCACTGAGCAAATAGTTGTAGATCCTTTCGATCCTCGAAGAACTCACAGATCTGGGACTCATTCGGCAACAACAAGCAATGCATCAACTCCTACGAAGGATCTTGATCCTGACACCGAGGTATCCGAGTAGGACTCCCGTTTATCAAATGTGCCCTTAGTATATAAACGAAGTACCAGTTTATGCCTCAGTTTCAATAGCACCGCTCTTTTTTTGTCAGTCCACTATTACGCAACTAAACGTCATATTATTAATATTATTATTCATTTTGCTCCATTTTTTTACCACAGCCATAGAACATCATTTTTATCATACTTTTTTTTTGTTCATCGAAATGTTTACATATCAATTATTAGTGATTCCAAAATCAAATGCGGCTCCAACTAAGTTTTTGGATATTAAAAATAGTGGCTTTATTTTTGTTGGTGTAATAATGATTGGTTATTATACTCTTTATTTTAATACCTACTTCCAAAATATATATATAAATATCGTTAATATTTCAACTTCACAGAAGTACGATTATTGCCGACAAATTATTTCATCTTCTATAACATTGACTAATTGAAGAGATAACTAATAATGAGAAATACAATTTAAAATAATGGTGATTTTTTTTTTAGAAAAATTATTTTACCTTTTTTTCTTTATCCATTAAACCTTTGCGGTAGCGCGGTTACGTAGAAAACATTTAGTCATGAGAAACCATTTAGAAATTGCTTCGGTACCGCGAAGGGTTAAATAAATTTAAAAACATGTCCAAGTTATGTATATTCAATCAGGAAATTAAAATCTACTCTATCAGATTCCTATTTTTATTATTTTTTTAGTTTCCAAGTTCCCTTTAACCAATATCCAGTATAACAAAAAAACTCATTCAACGATTTTTCGCTATAAGCCGTAAAGATATAAAAAATATTTGAAAGACCTTTAATTTCCAAGTTAAAAGTATTACACTATCCTTATTACAACTTTAAGATTAATTAAGAGACGAAAAACATTTTTTTAAGCGTAGCAGAAAAGATAAAAATTGATACATAATAAAAATAAAATCATACTTACAGTCAATAATTAAGATGAATATATGTTAGTTATTTATTTGTCTATATATAGAAGAAACCGAAAGGTATTGTAGAAGTACAATTAGTTAATAAAACAAATTAACTTGGACCTAATATTTTTCACTCTTTCTTTAATATAATGGATATAAGTAAGGTAAGGTTGATTGTTAAAATATTAAGTCCCATACTTGTTTAATTTTTTATTTAAAAAATTATTAAAAGTTTTCCTTTGTCTTGTCGCGTAATTTTTGATATTTTATTAACTCTGACGAACTAACAGAAGGTGTCATGTCACGAGCTGCAGTCACAAAATCTTCCAATTCAACTACTATTTCACCATGAATTTGAGAAAAATCTTTTTCTATCGCTTGTCCAGTTGTATTTGTTAGCTTTTTGAGAGTTTTTCGCACCGCCAAAAGCCAAGCATTCGAGCATATAGAATATAAATCAGCACCAGTTACATTAAATGGAAGCTCATCAACTAATGTTTCTAATTCTGTCCCATTGTTTTTCATTTTAAATTTCCTTGTGAGAGCTTGTAAAACGCTAATTTGCGAATTCTTGTCAGAATAAATTCCCACATATAACATTTTATCAAATCTTCCAGGTCTCAATAAAGCTGGATCGATAAGATCGGGTCTATTTGTTGCACCAATAATGAAGATATTATTTGAACTTTCTAAACCATCCATTTCTGCTAAAAGTTGAGAAACAACTCTGTCCATAACTCCTCCACTGTCACCACTTTGACCTCTATTTGGTGCTAATGAATCCAATTCATCGAAGAAGATTATACAAGGCGCAGCAGCCTTGGCTCGTTCAAATACTGCAATTAAACAATTAATATTATTAATTCCATTGTTAATTATTATTGATTAATTTTCTAGCTTTCTTACCTTGACGCACATTTTTTTCACTTTGACCAACATACATATTCAACAATTCAGGCCCTTTTATGGAAAAGAAATGAAGTTGACATTCAGTTGCAACAGCTTTAGCAAGAAGAGTCTTGCCAGTTCCAGGTGGTCCATATAAAAGTAAACCAGACTGTCCTATTTCAATGTTATACAATAAAGGCAACTCAATTCTTTTTATAATTTCTTGTTTTAAATCTCCAATACCTCCAATATCTTTCCAATAAACTTTTGGTACATGTGGTGTACCAATGTGATCAGAAAGCATGGGTTTCATATATTCTAAAAATAAATATGCAATTTTTAAACTATCTTGCTTTTTTTAATAATTTAAATCATATTCAATTCTTACCATAAGCATTATTAAAATCTTCATCTGTAAAATCACATTGTTCATTTTTTCGTGGTAATGTTTTTATATTGTACTTTGTTTTTACACCATGTAATATTAAAGCTTCAAAATCAGCTAAAACAAAGTCCGAACAGAGTCCTATAATTTTTTGTAAATCTGGTTTATTAAGAATTCCTTTACTTTCCAATAAATAAGATAATGTGTTTGATCTTTGAGTTAGATTTAGATGATTTAAACAAATTGTCTCCAAAAATAATCGTTTTAATTTCGCAGAAAGATCTAAACTTTCAGATGTTGCTATTACAATAAGAGGATAATTCCCTTTTTCATTGAAAACTCTCTTAATTTCTGTTTCGAAAGCAGAAATAATTCTGTCATCTTTTTTTCCTTCTGCATTTATTCCAAACACCTACATTTCAAAAATAATTCATAAAGCTTTCATCTAATTAATTGTTTGTCTTCAATATTAATTATAATTTTTTTTAGATATTTCTAATAAAAATTATACCTGAATATTCCGGAAACAAAGAATACATGGAAGACTGTCTTTGGCGTTATATATTGCTATTCGAAATTTTGCTTCGGTTTGTACAGAAGTTAATGTTTGTATCTCTCTAAAGTCTACATCATACAAATGTAAACCCAGTTGCCGTGAGACAATTTGTACCAATTTGAATTTTCCACTACCTTCTGAGCCTTCTATTAAAAACATTGGATTGAGGTTTATCCGCACATCTACAAATAATTTTTTGTAAATTTCCAATATGAATAAGAAGAGTGACAATTGAATGTATAATCAAAATCGACATTTTTAATTTGGCTAAAATTTTTGTTTTTTCACCTTTTTGTAAAAATGGAAAAATCGAAGCTTTCAAATGTCGTAGAGAATCCTCAAAACATGGAGGGCATTCTGAGGATTTAATCTCTGTTTTCGGGTTCATCACATTAAAATTGTTAAAACTAAAATTTGTCTTAGCTTTTGGCAAATAATTTTGAATAGCTCTTTCTAAAATGAGCGTTGTTTTATCTTGCACAACATAAAAACCATGAAAACTTTCATTAACATTTTTACTTTTTATATTTTTCACTTTAAAGTAAATCGTTGTATTATTAGGCTGAATTGATAAATAATAATAATCAGGACAATATTCTTTTATCTGTACACTAAATACGTCTTGAGAACGTAAATAACGAGGTTTACAAAAATAATTTTTTAATAAAGAGTCAACATAATCATTAGGACAATCGTAAGCGTTTGTAATTTGAGATATTACAACTTCTGTTGCATACATCACATTGTTTTCAACAGGAGAATCTGAAACAAATTATTAATTATTTAATAATATAACTACAAAGTAATTAAATTGTAATTTAACCGAATTTTTGTTCGATTAAAACCATTTTTTAAAAATGAAATTAGTTATTAAAAATTATATTGTCCTTAAGGATAAGACATGACAGTATAAAATACTTACATACATAGTATGATGATATTTTTGAATCTATCATCAAAGCATTTTCAATATTAAATTTCATTACATTTGATACGTAAATATTATCCTTTGGGATACATTCTAAATTAATAATAAGTATTTTGTACCTCTTGGGAGATATGAAAGTACATAAATAGCACCAAGTTGCAAATTCTTTATCATGAGCAACATTACCAAAGGCACAAGAATTACTATCTACATATAAATTTTTATCATTACAATATTCATGAATTTTATGTTTAAATTCTCTTTCTTCTAGAAAATTTAACCTTATTTTAAAACGAGAAAATCTTAGTAGTCTTAATTTCAGAAAATTAACAAAACACAAAATTAATAGTAATGATGGTTTTTTATTGATTAAAATTCGTATTAAAAAACGTATATAGTTTAAATCATCATTTTTAAAATACTGCATTCTAATATTTTTCTTTGTAAACAAATCATTTATTAAATTCTTCCTCTTTAAAGAAAAACAAAGATAAACATAAACATGGTGTCATTAAGCCGTGTTTACATTTCAAAGATAACCAGGGTTGGGTAGTTATAATTCAAGATGTACCATTTTTTTCTGTTGGTACTGCGGTAGTCCTAGACGATGATTGGTCTGATCCAGCAGCATAATCGCAGTCATTGGTCCGTGATTACCCTGGAGTTAACCTGTGGCGAACTCCAAAAACACCTATAAGGAGTTTCGAGTTTCCAAAATTTGTTATTATTTTTCAATTGTCTTTTAATAATAAAATGGGTACAAACTGGACGAAAACGTATTTTACTCATCAGGATACAATGCCCGTAGCATTGAGCGAACCAACTTTTGATCCTCAAATGGGATTTCCAAATGGTAGAAAAGAAAGAGGTGAGGATATATTTTTTAACCTCAAATTCATAATTCATATGTTTGATTTTTCAAAATGTTTACAGTTGTTTTTAATTTTCTAAACAGAAAGAATAGAGAAAAAAATGTTTCTTTTATTCTAATTTATATTTGCAAAAAAGCGATGTATTTTTTATTTAATCCTTTGGACTTTCTCCAAAAAATATAATGACATAACTACTACTTTTTTTTCTTTTTGGAAACTACCTTAACATTGTTTATTATCATGTAATATCTGCTTATTGTTGTATTTTTTAAAGATCGAGATGTATTATCACGTCAATCAAAATATATTCTAATATATAGGAATTGGCCAAAAATCTTTATTATTAATATATTCCAAGAATATTTTTATTTTTTTATTTATAAATTAATTTAAATTTTAATATTTCAGTTATGGTTGCCACAATTCAAGAAATGAGGGCAAATAATGTGCCATCAGAATTTCGTGATTATTGTGCTCATCATTATTTAAAATTAGAAGCATGTCGAGCTCGTGAAATGCCATGGATTGTTAAATGTACTGAAGTAAAAGATGAATATCAACAATGCCTAGTGGATGAGTAAGTCTTATTCATTAAATTTTTTTAAATTTTATTTAGTGTTATTGAAAATCTACCCAATCAATTGATTTCCTAATTCATTCTTAATCGTGGCACATAAAATATTTTATTTTTCAAAATAAAAATTATTTTGCCTCCCTTTCAATTCATATAGTTTTTTAAAACTGTTTTTTACTATCAGTCCTTCAGACCAAAACTATTCTATCAAATAAAAAAAAGGAAACTTAATTTTAAACTATTAGATTGGAAAGAAAGAAGTTTTTAAATAATACTTTCGATGAATGTGGAATATCAGCTAATAGATTTATTAAAATTATAGTTGGGTTTTACGAATGAAGGAATATGAAAGAGAGCGCCGACTTTTAGAAAGGAAAAAAAGGCGAGCTACACAGGAAGCTATAGCTGCTTGAAGTTATTTCGTTGTATAGATACTTGCTACGATTGTTGTTCGCATTTTAGAAATTGTAAGAATACTTTACGTCTATTGTAAATATATTATGAATAAATTATTGATTGCCCATGAATAACATTCAAATTCAAAATTTGTCTGTACTTCATGTTTTCATTTAATATAATAAAATAAAATAATAGTAGATGATGGAGAAATATATTTTTTTTATCATCCCTCGAATTAATTCATTTATGATTTTTAATGCCTACATTTTTTTTAATTTATATAGAAAATTTTTAGTTGCAAGTTTCCAAAAATTCAATTAATAGAAAATAAAAATGTTTAGATGTTACAATAACAATAAAAAAATCTAAGACGCATTGCGCTTCAATGTATATTTTATTTTGTACAATTATAAATACAACAAGAAAGAAATAAATTTATTATGTTATATTTAAATTATAGATAACATTGGATAAAAGATAATAATACTAATTATTGTATAACTTTAGTTCCTAAATAACATTTCACAAAATATATATTATTTGATTTTATATTATATTAAGTTATACATACCAGTAAATACTATATAAATATGCGTTTTGAGTGCAAGGTAGAAATAAGTAACATGTATTTTTACATTAGTATTCCGTAAACCTTTGAGTAAATAGTTTCAAGCAAATAGGATCAATTTTTAAATAATCTTCCATCCTATTGAATCCGCTATTTAAAATTTTCAGATTTTGAGTTATCAGTGTATTCTTTTTATCAGAATCGATAAAAAGGGAAAATACATTTTTCTGGATCTTAGGTTCTTTTCAGTAGATCAAGTAATGTGAATAGTAAAGACGAATAGAATTTTACGAAGTCACATTACTTTATAATGTATTTCTTACATTTAATTAATAAGTAAGATTATAGGTCGAATATGAAATGCGGTGGATGAATCGCACGCTAAAAAATATATATTTATATTATTTATATTTATTTAAATATATATTTTTCTGTGTGTCAAAATTAACGACACATACCCGCTAATATAAACTGCATTTCAAATCAATTTTATCACAAATATATAAATAACTAAACATAAAGTTCTGTTGTAACTGTGTATTTTTATTTAAAATTATATAAATAAATCAATTTAAAATCAACTGTATGTAAAGTATTGTATAGGCATGGATGAGGCGAAGCAACGAAATTATTTCTTTAGAAATAATTATAACACGCAATTATATGCTATTAAGAGGTAACAACTCTAGAATTTTCAACAAATAGATTGTTAAATATATTTACAAAATTTCTTTGAAATATAAGTATCTTATCGAAGAATCGTTACCAACAAATAATTATGTCGTGCAGAATTGTTTTAAATATTGTCAATCGAAATAGCATAAAATCTTTTTAATAAATTGGAATGTTTTTAAGTTGTAAATAATTTTAGAAAATTTTTTCATAACAAAATCAAAGTTTTTACATTCTCATAATAAATGAGAAAGTATTTATATTCAAATGTGAGTCATTCTTACGAAAGAATTTTTTAATCATCGTACATAACTTTGATAGATAATTGCGTCAAAAAAAAATAAAACATTTTTTTTGCTTATTAAAATTTTAATCAAATTTTCATTTTCATTTATTTATTGTTTTCGAGAAAAAAAAAATTACAAAAATATAGCATTTTAGACATGATGTTACCCCTTAAGTAACAATTATGTGTTACCATTATCAGAAAATTTACATAGGTTTATTTATTTATTTCTCTCGTACGAATGAGATCAATCATCTCATGAAAAATGAATCTAACATATAATAATTTGTGAAGCCGTAAGATTTTCTTTCATATCAATCACATAGTTTTACAGTTTCTTTACTTAAAATTAAAACAAATTTTTTTTATGCTGTTTACATGATTCTATATCAATCGTTTTGACTATTTCTTTGAAAAATTTCACATTAGAGGCACATTTTTTTTAGAGATCAAAAAATCGTTTATCGGATTACTTAAATATTAAACAACTGGGAAGCATATGATTCAAAATTTTTCAAGTGATACTATCTAAATTTTTTTCTAGATCTTCTTTAAGATATAATCTTGTTAATGCGCATGCAATTTTTAGACTCGAATTAACTGACTATAAAAATAATGATGGTATCACTTGAAAAATTTTGATCCACATATTTACGGCTAGTTAGTAGAAAGTCGTATAAGATTGATTTATACTTATTTTTAAAGATACGAATTTTTAATGAATTAAATTAATTAACTAACGACTAATTAAATTTCAGTAATTTAGTAATCAGTACTTAATTGCCTAATTAATCATATAAGGCAATCATTAACATGATTAGAACTCTATTACTATATAAAACTTTTGTACAATTTCCTTTTTCAGGGTTTCCAAACATATATGTTATCTAATACAAAAAGCCAAACAGCTGAGTTTACTAGTAACAAATTATAAAATTAATAAGCACAATGGAATTTTTTTTTTGATTCAAATACTTTGTAGTATTTTTAAAAATCACTAAAAATTTACACACAATCATTAAATGATTTTTTTCGGTAAAAATTTTTAAATCTCTTACGATTTCTAATTAAAACCATTTAAAACATAATATTTATAAATATTTCAAAATAACGAAATTAAAAATGAACTTTAAAATTCTATCAGATTAAAAATCGGATTTTTTTTTGTAGAGTCGCTGATTACGAATCTTAAGTCAGTTTTCAAAAATATCAGGAAAAAATAGCGGATTCAATATAATATACCTAATTTTTAAAATTAATCAGATTCGAAACTTGTTCGTTAATTGAAAATTGTTGGAGTCGCTGATTACGAATCTGAAGTAAAATTTAATTCTGAGTAAATGTTTAAAAAAAAAAAAAATAAATCCCTAAAATATTGACCACCTTGACTCAGTCATTTGCCTTTTCGCATGAAAATATACTTTGCATAAAAATATTATTCAATATAATGTAAAACACTTTCAAAAGAATATCAATTAAAATAAACCCTGAGAAAGCAATTACATTTAATTTTGACAATTATAAATGAAAAAAAATAATTTCGAATCTGATTTTATGAAATATACATTTCTAATTCTACACTTGTGATCCATTTACAAACACTGTTCGAATACCTTCAGTGTCTGAAATGTTAATTTTAAGCTCATTTGTAAGTGCTTCGAGCTTATTAACGATCTTTGTTTCCGATAATCCTCCAGGTTTTGGCGGTGGTCTATAATCATCCAATGGAGGTTCTATATATTTCAATGTAGGTTTTGTATTTATATCGTTACCTGAACCAAAAGTATCTCCAACCAAATCAGATAATATGCTTTTTTGCGATGGTTTATTATTATCATAATGTTCCTTTCTGTACATTGGCACTTGAATGTTGCTGTAATCATGGTCCATTAAACCCTCAAATTCTTGGAGCAATTCCTCTCCATATTGTTGAAGTTCTTTCTCCATAATTTGCTTTGTGTACAGTAAATTTCTTGAACGACCTGAAACATATTTCAATAAACATTTAATTTTATTTCAAGTTACACCCAAAAAGATGTAGGTATATCTTTTTGTATTTCCATCTTTCTCTTTCAAGTGACGTGAAACAAATGTTTATAGTTACCTGCCAATGGTGTTATTTTCTCTTGTTGCTTTTGCTCTTGGGCAAGTTCATTGCTGTTTTCATTAGAATGTGGACGCAAATTTGGTACAGCAACAAGTGCTAATGAGAGTAAAAATACCATAAGACAAGTAGCAGGCTGTGCACTTTTGTTTCCTTTCTGAATAAGTGTTTGAAGCCTTTTCAATTGTCCTGCTAAACTTTGATTTTGTGATTGAAGAACTTTAATGCGCTTTATGAGTGTTAAATTTTCTTCGGTACACTGTTTAACGCGATCCTCTAATCCATCAACATATTCCTTTTTTCTTTTACGTGAGTCCTGAGCTGAAATCTTATTACGAATCTTACGTCTGATTCTTTTTAATTCACGTTCCTCAGTTTTTGTTAAAGGATGATGAGTCGGTAATGTGATTCCTTCCTTTTGTAGCAAACGTTTCTCCTCAGCATTTAATTTCAATGGCTGATATTGTGAAACACTTTCAGTTATTTCATTGTTTTCTGCGACTGGTCTGTTGCTTAAATCTTCTTTTTTGAAGTTTATCTTTAAAAAGGGATAAAAAAAATTATTAAAAGGAATACATTTTTTTTTTTTGTTTGATAAAAAAGCACTATGTTCTAGTATTCCAGTAAATTTAATTTATTTAATAAAAAAGATACTAACTTGCAAATTCTTTGTGAGAATATTTCCTTGATTAATTTTAAATCCTTTGAGATTTCTTGCTTGAACTGCATTGATAATTTTTATTGTTCGAACTTCTTTAATATCGTTCGAATTTAATGGCAAAAGTAAAGATCTTGAATTACGAGATCCAATCGGTGTGACGCGTATTAATTGTTTAATGTTACGTTTTCCATTGCAAGAAATATTGCGTAAGTTGACAGTATTGTCGTTTGTTGAAATTTGAGTCCGTTGTTTTAAATTGGAATCTAAACAATTTTATTGAATATAAATAATAATTATAAATGATTAAAGATAAATCCACATATTAAAGATAAAAAATTAAAATTCTCTGAAGTACGTTTTAAAGAAAAATTAAATAACTTACCAAAATTGACAACTGGATTTTGTTCAACCATCGTCTCAGTATTTGCATCCTCAACAACTTGTGGATTGACGATAGTAACAAATGTCTGTTGATAATCCATTTCTTCAGTACCTTCAGCTATTGGAGAACCAAAATTAGAATTGACAACAGATCTGTCGGGACTATCGACACTATCGACAGATTCATTTGGACTGTCTAAATAATCAAATTCTGCATTATTTTGTGGACTGTTGAGACATGAGTTTATAGTTCCTGTTTGATCTTCTTCCATAGGCAAATGTGGACTTAATTGTTGTTCACATGAGAGGCTAAATGCACTGGATAAACCACTGTCTGATGATGACGACGGTACTGTCTCCAAATCACCGCTAATTGTGTCATGATCCATAAAATTGAATTGATTATCATTTAAAATTGAATTCAAAAAATCATCTTGATAGCCGGTTGTCGAAATCCATTCTTCATTCTAAACAAAAATATCTATGTGAGACTTTATATTGGAAAATGAGAGTTTAATTTGCTGCTAATTAGTCGTATTTTCTGCCTTTTAGTTGTCTTTAAATTATAATGAGACATTTTTTCACAATGTTTTGATGAAAATTAGAGATCTTTGGAACATGAGAATTTAATTATTATTCAACCTAGGATTTACTAAGTGATCTTAATTACTGATAAAGAAAGGTGTCAAATTTTAATCTGATAACTAATCGATACTGAAAACTCTGATTATTTTATTCGAATATTATATTTTAATTTATACACAACAATTTACATTAAATGAATATTTCAGATATGATGACATAAGTAAACAAACCACATTTAAAGATGTGAAAAATGTTCACGTTTGATAACGACCAATTAGATTTCAACAACAATATGACAGATATTTTGTTAATACTATTTTTTAGGATAGAAAAAACGGGATTTAGCGTTTACTAGTAAAATAATAATTGTTATTTTTAAAAACAAATGACGAAAAAAGTTTGTTAATGTAAAATAAACAAAAGACAAACAATATTTGTCTCAAAAGACAAACAAGTTTAGAAACTGAAAAATTACGATTATTATTATTATTATTATACATTATATTAAAAATAATGAGTAGAAAAACTTTTAAAATTTCTTAAAAACTTAAGAAATGCATGAAAATATACATAAACTAAAAAATATGTACTAATTTAATATATTTTCTTCCGCGAGTAGATAAACAATGCTTGAGTCATTTTTTTTACCCGGATGCTATTTTATAATTGAACAGTATGGCCATTAATGATAGACGGATAAAATGTTTTTATTTGATAAAATCCATCAAACTGTATTTTTTTAAGTAAAAAAAATATTCAATCAAACAAATAAAAGAGAAATATTATATATTTAGATCCTTGAAAGATACGAATTCGTAAAAAAATAATGGAGCCAAACAAATTTTGTTTGGAATGTCTAGTCCATATGGGTCATTCACGTGTCCATATAATTTACTTCAACATACAAAAAAATCAGTCTAACGTTGTGCGATTAAAAAAACTCGATTGATACATAACGTATAAAAATATAGATATAGAAAAATAACGGACTCGAGAATGCCACCCTAACGGCATGGTTCGTCGCGCAGGTTATAGACGATCGAATCAAATCTGACATATGTCATTATAAAAATTATGAAAAAAGCTTACCACAATATTATCATCATTGTACGTTTCATCCTTAACTTCACCCTTTAACAGAGAGTTATCTCTCTCAATAAGGAGATCCATTAGGCTCATATCCGAAGATGAAGAAGTCATCATAGCTTTATTTACACTACATTCATGTATATTTATATATTATATCACGACACACACTAATTCCCAAAACTTAAGCGTCATACAACATTTGAAAATCAAATGAACAAATTTCAACTAGGAATTCCAGAACTTAGTTGAGTGTAAGTACGCAGACAGTTAAAGGTGATGAATAACTCCTACAATAAAAAAAAACGGAAAATGAGCGACCGTTGTCCCATCTATATAGAAATAAAACACGTTCTAATTGAAAATTTCTATAAAATATTAATTACCAGAGTTAAAGTCATTCTTTTTTTTCTAACTATATTTTTTTACATAAATCCATATTAATTATTGTGAACCTTATGCTCAATGCCTGTCATATATGAGGTATTAGAAAAAATGACAATAGGCAATTTTTGACAATGCAATATTCTTGTGACAAGCTTTTCAGAAGCAAGTAACAATTAGGCAGATTGCGAACGTGGCACTAAGAATTACGTCATGGTTAAGCTAAAAGTGCAGTACCTCAGCAGGGTTGGGTAGTTACGTGTACCTTAAAGGTGCTTTTACACCTTCAGTATTTTGGTCAAGCAGGCTGGATTTTGTTAGAGCCAATCAAATTCAGTGATTCTCCGTGAAAATTCAATACAGCCGATTGCTTGACCAAAATACTAGTGGTGTAAAAGCACCTTTATTGAAAGACCGGAAATACCATATTGTTCATTCACAAGTGGCGGGAGAATTCAAATTCAGGTACTTTAAACTATTTGAAACTTAAATAACAAAATAAATATAACAGGAATAAAAATAAATCAGCACATTAAATTGGCTTCTTTCATTTATTTTAAAATTGATAATTCACAGATTACAAAATACATACCTGATTTTATAATAATAAAATAATCTTTAAGTAATTCTTGACTGCTTGCAGTTTCCCCTAAAAGACATTAATTTTGTAACTTTTAAGTGTCTTTTGAAATTTAAATTGCATATTTTAATTCTAAGAAATTGAATATCGCTTCGACAACCCTTTGACTCAGAATATGAGTGTATTTATAATTTTGGTAGGTTTTCACAGAAAACAAAAAAAAATTCTTTTTACTCAGTAACTGCAAGTGTGTAGTATACAGTTTTCGTTTATTAGCTTGACAAATGACAAACGTTAGAAAAATTAACGCTCTTAATACTTACAGTCAGCCGATCAATAATGTAACTTTTAAATCTATTAAATGTTGCTGAATATTATGGAAATTTATAATTTTGCAAACTCTTTTAGCAAACATTAAAATCCTCTTCCATTTTAATCATAAAAATAATCTGATTCTTAATTCATGGAAAGTTTAAATTTTTAATCCTCATCTTCTTCTTCCATTGCTTCGCCACCTTGATCACCTAGAAAATCATAATTCTATCCATTAAAGTACAATTAACTTTTTTTTTATCTGTTAAAAAAAATAATCGATATTAACATACCGTTTCTCTGTTTTTCTCCAGGAATTTGTCCAGCTTGAAGTAATTTACTAAGGCGTTGAACTTCCTCTAATGATGTGGCGTTTGTGATTGCTTCTCTAATTTTATTACGCTCATCTGAGGTCATCACAGGTTTATCTAAACCATTCATATTTTGGGACTGTGCTTTTGCCTTCTTTGCAATTTCTCTTGCCATTTCTTTCCCCTTTTTGCTTTTAAAGAAAGTGGTTGCTTCTTCACGCTCCTGTTTCTTGATTTTTCTAAAATCCAATAATCTCAACGATGAAAATTTATAAACTATATATTGACGATAATGTGGCTTGGCTGAGACTGGATTTTGTAAAAGACAGAGGCTTTGAAGTTGTTTTAGAGGAACAAGTGGTTCCAAATCACTTAATTCCTGAATCATGTTGCCAGTCAACATAAGTGTTTCTAAATTTGGTATACAATTTTCTAAACCCTCTGCGATCCTAACAATTCTATTATTATTAAAGAATAGTGTTTTTAATCGTTTTAAAAGTGGGAAGCCATCGAATTTACGAATATCATTGTCGGAGAAGTCGATTGTATCAAATTGATCCTATAAAAGAAAAATTGCAAAATTATAATTCGTAATTTTTATAAGTTTAACATTAAGCAGATAAATCGATTTTCAGAACTAAATTTAAAGTTTTCTTTTTATTTTAAACTTTTATTGAAGAATTTGGTAGTTATCTTAGACACACACTTACCCTGGGATATTAAGAGAAAATTTTAAAAAGTTTTTCGCTTCTAAAACAACTGCGTTTTTCATAATCACTTAAAAATTCAAGAAATTGTCTTCATATTAAGGCAAAATTTCTTTTATTGGAGTGAGTTTAAACTAATTTATTAGTTATTACATATTAACTATATTTTTCTCGCGTCTTTCACTTCTTAAAAAAATGTATAGGCTTTTTCAGCTAAATTACTCACCAATGTTGCTCCCAAATTCTCAATAGTGGGTATTTTGTAACCTGAAAAATAAATCAATCATAAAGATATGGTAAATTTAACATATTTATATTTTTTTTAAGTAAAATTTGAAGCATTCTTAATTATACTAACCTCTAAGATCGAGTTCGCGGTCTCTGACCGGATTTATATACTGCATTGACTGTTGAATTAAATCTGGTGATAATTTTACCATTTTAATATGTAACTACGTTAATTTCAAAATGTTAAATAAATACAAAAGTAATTAATTACAAAATTATAACTTTTCTAATACTAGAAAAATATATTTTTTTAAAAGGTTAAGATTTTTAACATAAACGTTTCGATGGGCCTCGACACATTAACATTATTAAGCCCTGAGCACAATAGCTTCGTTGTCGAACAGTCTTCTCGAACGGTTGTGCGTTAGCCCTAAAACTAAAGCTACTTCTACAACAACTTTATTTTCATTGGTTGCGGTCTGTTCGGTTTCCATTGTCTCCACACTCGCCATTTGTCATGATTCTCGTCAACTACCGCACCCTGCTCTAGTGAAAATTTAGTTACTTTATTGTTAAAATTAATTTAAGGTTAGAAACACTTTTTTTAAAGATAATTTAAATAAAGTTTTTAAATAATTAAAGTTTTCTTACTGAAAATACTCATTATTATAAATTTTATCAATTCTATTTACTTTGTAAAATGACAATAAGTAGAAGTTGATAAATATAAAAAAATTCCAAGTTTTGAAATACCTCCTCAGATCGAATGACGTCACCATTGTATGACCCAACCCTGCTGACTTCCTACACAAACAATTTTACCACAGACTCTGTTCGGCTACACCATCTCAGGTTCACACACAGATTGTAGCTGATTTTAGTCGATTACAGACATAATTTTTAGCGTCAGAGAAAAAAATTAAAAGTAATGATTTGATTGTCGGTATTTCGTGAAAGTTTCGTGTTATAATTGAACTTGTGAAACTTTTGTGTGTGACAGACAATGAATATTAGTGTTTTAAGTGAAGTGTTTATTGTGAATGTGAATTTTTACTTGAAAAAAAGAATGTAACAATTCAGTGAAATTCGCCGCTCGCGTTTTTCTCGGAGACATCGTTTAATACCATAATTCACAATTTGCCAATGTTAAATGTTTTAAAATATCCCTGATTTTGGTAAGTCTAATTTAATTCTTTTTGTAATTAAAAGTGCGAATTGTGATTTAGACTTCTTGTAGATACGATTATGGGGTGTACGACTTGACCTGTCACTTTAGAAAAACATCCATTTTGTTTATGCTCTCTCTCTCTATATGCAAGTTGATGTTGCCACAATTGTGTTTCAATACACATATAATTGGAGCAGCTTATAATTTTATGATGCAAACTCGTCTGTTATTTAATTTTTTAAAAATTATTAACAATCTTTTTTAAAATTAGGTTTTCATTTACAGTTTTCTCGTGAAATATTATTCTTCATATGTGTCGGGGTAGACACGAGGCTTGCATTGTATTTGTGAGATACTTAATTCTTTGTGTATGTGAGCGTTTCTTAAAAGCAATCTAATACACACAACTTTATCCCATAAAACTATTATTTTATTCTACTTTCTTCTATCATTGTCACATTAATACTTTTTCGTAAAACTTGAATTTTAATATAATTCAGAAAGTTATTATTGTTATTAAAAAATAGTTTTGTTACTAAATATTGAAGTTTCAAATCAGAAAGTTCGTCCCTGTTGAAAATCGATTAAACGGTGTCAGATGCCACTGTCTTCTAAAAAACATTTTCTTTCATTAATCGTTAATATTAATTAAAGATAATTAAAAATTATAAAAATATTTTTGATTAAATATATAAAACTTATATTCTAAATAAAATATTAAATCGAAAGAAAATAATTATTCTAGAATAATAGAAATATGTTTATAATAATAATAATTTTTAAAAATTTGAGAATTTTTGATAATTGTTTCTTTGTTTCTCATAAATGAACTGTTGGTGCCACTCCTTTTTTGAAAATTCAATACCTATTGAAAGACAGTTTTTTTGTGTATTATGTCGAAAAAAATAAATAGTAACCATTTTCCCCAGAATCCCTTGTCTGCAGTATTGTTGTTGTATAGAAGACACCAATAGCACGTGCTGCGGCTGCATGACCTCCATAATAGAAATCCGATATGTCACGTATTCCTGAAATTCATCTACTTTTCGGCATTAAATTCACTTTTAGTGTTAATTTTCTTTATTTTCACATATTATTAACTGAAAAAAAACTGTCCTCTTTTTGAAAGAGTTGTCAACATTTTAAAAGCAGTTTTTTCAAGATAAAAATATAAAGTAAGCTATAAATATACATTTGTATATAACTTAGGGAAATTTCTCTACTGTGTTTCATCATTTTTGTGACAGTAACATAATTATATAATTATTTATTAAATTGTAACCTTTTTTTAATTATTTACGTAACATTATTCATTTATCGGAAAAATTTGTTATTTATTTTGGTAAATGAAAAAGAATTTCTAAAACAAACGGTATAGAGGGCACAATAGTCATTCTCGATTTAAATCACTACAGTATTGTTAGAAATTTAAAAAATTTTATTTGAATTTCTAAATGTTAATAAAAGTTGAATAAAAAAATTGTTTTTTTTATATTCTTTATAAAAAGGAATTTTTTTGGAGTCAATTAGGTATAGTAACTGATACCCTCAATAAACTCAGATTGAAGTGTTCCGTTTATGGTTCTCTGACAGGTGTCTGTCAAAATATAACAAAAGAATATTTTGGTGTTGTCAAAAAGGCAGTAACCGAGAGGTCCATCCAAAAAAAATAGGGTCCCAATGTGATTTGCGATCCTATTGTAAATCAGTGCAGGACCCTGTCGTATATTCTTGAAAGTAATCTCTTATTAATAATTACTTTTTGTGAAAAATAAATTTGCATTTATGAGTAGTTTTTCGAAAATTCCCTAAAGTAATTGAAAATGAAAAAATTAAATAAGAAACATGAAGTTAGCGATCACTCAAAGCTAAAATTAATGGTAAAATAAGAGATTATTTCTTTTGTTTCAGATATTTTATAGAAGAAGAAAAAATGGTGAACAACACTTCAGGCGGGACTCCCCGCATTCAGGTCTTTAGACCTACATATGATGAGTTTAAAGATTTTGCAAAATATGTTGAGTACATGGAGAGTAAAGGCGCTCACAAGGCAGGTTTAGCGAAAGTTATTCCTCCTCCCGAATGGGTACCTAGAAAAGGAGGATACGACATTGATTCCCTAGATTTAAATATACCTGCACCTATTTGTCAGGTAGTCACTGGGAAGCAAGGTCTCTATCAACAAATAAATATTCAAAAGAAATCAATGACCGTTAAAGAGTATCAAAAATTAGCCAATTCAGAAAGATATAATACACCTAGACATTTTGATTATGAAGATTTAGAGCGTAAATATTGGAAGAACATAACATATGTTGCTCCAATTTATGGAGCCGATGTATCTGGTTCCCTCACTGATCCGGATGTTAAAGAATGGAACATTAATCATTTAGGAACTATTCTCGACTATGTGAATAAAGATTATGGAATTTCTATCGATGGAGTTAACACTGCATATCTTTATTTTGGAATGTGGAAAACTACATTTGCATGGCATACTGAAGATATGGATCTTTATTCAATTAATTATTTACATTTTGGAGCTCCCAAGACGTGGTATGCAATACCACCTGAACACGGCAGACGTTTAGAACGTTTGGCTAATGGATTTTTTCCATCTTATTATCAGAATTGTCAAGCTTTCTTGCGTCATAAGATGTCTTTGATTTCTCCGCAAATTTTAAGGCAGTACTCAATTCCCTGCAACAAAGTAAGTAAAAGTTTTTTTTATACCTAAAAAAAAATAAATTTTTAAATTCGCGCCGAAATCTTTCTCTCGGGTTTTTTTTGTCGAACATTTGCAATTTCGGACAAATGGAAATTTGCTGTTTCAAGACTTCAATCAAATATCAATTCGTACAAAAAAAATTCGAACAAATGAAGATTCGGTGTTAAAGATTTCCGTTAATATATGTATAATTAATTATAAATTAGTATAGTAATTGACCTTACCGGCAAGAAGACATCTGTTAGCTGAAATTTCAACTCTTTCATTGAAGATCTTTCCTGATTTATAATTCAAAAGAATTATATTGATAAATTTATCTGCAAAATAATTATTGAAGTAAAAATTAATATTTGTTCTTAAAAAAATAAGCCCTCAAAAAGTTCATCTGAGATTAGTGTAGTTCTAAGTTAAAATCTCCTGAGAATTTATGCGAATTTTACTTTTTCAAATTTAATATAAATTAATTTTTAATAATTTATAAAAAATTTTATATATATATTACTTAACTAATATTAATTTTATAATCCAATAAAGTTAAATACGTAAATATAAAATAAATATTGAGAAAAAATAAAGGAACTAATAAAAATGTAACCTAACGTTACTTTTGTTATACTACGTACAACTACGCAGTACACGTTGATTGCTGTTGTCGTGTTGTGTGTAGTGTTACCTAAATTTATTATTGTTAATTAATATTGGTAATCGTTTATTACTTTTGAAGTATAAAAACCTAAAAGTCTATAGTGTAGAAATATTTTAAAAAACATTCAGAAAAAATAAAACAAACAATTAATAATATTTGTGTATATTTTGTGATCAAAAATATGCGGAAAATGCGCAGTAAGACAAAAATTTTCTTTTCCTCAAAAAAATTGTTTTTTTTAAACCAAAAAAATACAGAACAGCTCATTTAAAGATATAATTCTAGTAATATAGATAAAGAAATTGCGCTAGCAGTGCGCAAAGTAAATACATACGTAGTTAGAAATGGCAGTACTTTACACATAGTTTACCGTGTGTAAAATTCAAATTTTAGATTAATATTGCAAAAAAATAATGTTTAAGTTATAAAAAAAAGTAAATTTATTTTTTGAAATATTTTTCAATTAAAAATTACGTTTTTTTAGATAACACAAGAAGCCGGTGAAATAATGATAACATTTCCATACGGCTACCATGCTGGTTTTAATCATGGTTTTAATTGCGCTGAATCAACAAATTTTGCTGCTCCTAGATGGGTTGAATATGGAAAAAGAGCTACTCAATGTACATGTAGTAAAGATATGGTAAAAATCTCCATGGACACTTTCGTCAAACGATTTCAACCAGAAAGGCAAGTTATTTCATATAGTGATTAAATAATTGATTTTATTTAAAGCGGAGGGACACATTTAGTTAAATTAAATTTCTATTTAATAATTTTTAGATATCAATTGTGGTTACGTGGAGAAGATATTGGACCTCATCCTGAAGATCCACGTCAAACGGCTGCACCCATGCCATCTCAGTTGGATTTACTATGCAATAGTAAAAGTAATGGTGAATTACCAGAAAGTTATTTATCTGCTATTCCTAAAAATAAACGTCATACAATTCATTGCAAAAAGAACGGTCCTAGTACAAATATGGATTTAACGCAATTAGTTAAAAATCAACCAAATATTCCTCCATATGTGAAACAATTTCTCCAAATGATGGATGATGATGAACCCGAAGCTGAACCCGATGAACAGCAACTTGAAGTTTTGGAAGATATTTGGCTAAAAGCAGGAGAAATGGGTTTGTTTTTCTTTTGAACTGTATAACATATTTTCTTTTTAAATATTAATGTTTAATTAATAATTAAATTTTCTTTTCATACAGATGTGGATGAGGCATCAGTTTTTGATGATGGCTATAACCGTAAGAAAGGTAAAAAAAGAAAGAAGAAATTACTTTTAGAAAAGGAAAAACCTAAAACAAGAAAATCAGCTGTTAAATTAAGAGCTAATTCTGAAAGTAGTTTAACAGAGGAAAAATTGAATTCAACCGACGATATGCTATCGCCGGGTTCAATGAAATTCTCCCAAACAAGTACACCTGAAAATGAAGATAAAGAAAAATTATTGAAATATTTGCCAGCAAAAGAGAAACGTGGTCGTAAAAAGAAGAATCCTGATGATAATGGAGAAAAGAAATCGAAAATTGCAGAAAATAAAAAGCCAAAACAACCAAGAACAGTAAAAAATAAACGAAAATTTTCTGATAGTGAATTATTTAATAGTAGTGAACCATTGGATGTGTCGGACGCTGATGTTCAACGAAAATTAATGGCAATGCCTAGTCTTTCATCATATAAAAGTACTTCAAATTCTCAAACTGAAGTTTCATCAGAACTATCATCAGAAACTGATGTTGAAAATAAATCTACATTAAGTGACATTTTAAATGATTCTCAACCACCAAATATTACATCGAATGATGATAGTAGCATTGAAATTGATGATAAATCAACAATTTCTGACATTATTTCCGGAGTGAGAACAGCGACACCCGAGTTTGCTAAAATAACAAAAGTTAATGATGATTTGAAAACAAATTCAGAAATTAAAATTTGTAAACATACACTTTTAAAGCGACCCAGTTGTACAATGCAAAGAAAGAGAACAACAAAAAAGGACAATACATCTCTAGTCAATTTGGAGACTGCAAAACAATTTAACTATACAAATTTAAAAAAATCTACTACCATTACCAACGAAGCTTTTGGTAGAAATAATATACTAAAAGCACCCAAACTTAATTTTGTGAATAAACAAGATAATCAACAAATGCCAAAACTTGAATCCGAAAAGCCAATTCAGGAAAACAAAGATTTCACACGATTAATCGATACCGCTTATATTCTTCCTCCAAATGTTTGGAATTCAACTCACAATTCTCATTTGATAACATCAACTAATGTAAATTATTTACCGAGTACTACGACCATCACCAAGTGTAATCATCCAAGTCAATCATCAACTTTTTTGAATCAAGGACTGAATCAAGGATTAAATCCAGGATTGAATCAAGGACTGAATCAAGGATTAAATCAAGGACTGAATCAAGGATTAAATCAAGCATTGAATCAAGGGTTAAATCAAGGATTAAATCAACCTTCAGTTTCAAATCAACCATCAGTTTCGAGTCAGCCATCAATATCGAATCAGGCGTCATTTATGATTCAATCTTCTTGTTCAAGTCAATTTAATTCGATACCCAATCAATCGAATCAATTTGTACCTATTAATTGCAGTCAATCAAAGCCACTGACGAACAATCAAAGGGCGGAATTATTAAAGACAAATATTCCAATTCAACGAACTGCATTTACAACTCAAGATAATAGAATTTTTCCGAAGAACAAAAAAATCCTAATAGTTGAACCAGTACCTATAAATTACTCAAAAACAGAAAATGATGGAAAAATACGAAAATATGAATCTCACAAAATTTTGAATTCAATGCTAGACGCAGATAATAATAAATGTCAATTGTCATTATTGTCCAATAATCAATTTTCATCACCTTCAATGATATCACCGCCAATTAAAATACCAAAGCCTTTATTGACTACAAAAACAATAACACCAACAAACGTTCCAAAATTTCCAATTGGTAACGATTATGTGAAACATCAACTAAAAAAACCCCCACCATCATTATTACGAATATCAAAACCAATTCAAAAGAATTTAAATAAAACTATCCTTCCAACAAAAGACTATAAATCGCCAATAGCAATAATTAAAAATACAACATTGGAAAATAATGACGACGATGATGATGTTATTATTGAAAAAATAACACCAAAGGCAATAACAATTGGAAATTTAAAAATGATATCAAAAAAATGTTCCATTGCAACGCAAGTTAATAATTTACCGGAAAATAACATTTTTTTAAATACAAGTAATATAAAACCTGATGTTAATCGAATTTTTGTTAACAATATTAAATCATTTGAAAATGAAAAAAATGAACCAAAGTTTATAGAAAAAGAACAAACTTTATTAATGGCAGATAGAAATAATTTACTTGAATTACCATCACAATCACAGAATATGCAATATAAAATACAAAATAAAGCACCTAGTATTATACCAACAATGGAATCAAAAAGTCGAAGAAAATCAAAAGAGAAGCCAAAAAAAATTGTCGCCAATCGAATTATAGATGTGTCGATATCAAAATTCAATAATAATAATAATTGTCAATCACCATCATCGTTAAGTGGTTATTCAAAAAATATTTTACCAGTTAATAATTCAATTATTCCAGGGCATGTTTCTGAAATGCTTTATCCAAATGTACCGGATAATAAAAGTTTACAAACATTCAATGATTATTGGAGTGGACAAATTTCACATTGTGCTGTTTGTGCACCTTTTGCATTGGCTAAGAGTTTATGTAATAGTCAAATGTCTTCTGACTGGATGTATTCGATGCCAATAGTATTACCAGAAAATTCTCCAATTTGGGTAAGTAATAATTATTCACCATTTTTTCACCTATATCGCATTTTTCCGGCATACTAAATTCCTCATAAACTACATTGAATTATGCATTGTAATAATTTTTTATTTAAAGGTATCATCCAGACTATTTGCTGCAAATTCAAAAGAACAAAATATAGAACCAGAGAATAATAAACTTCTTCGATGTAGAGAGTGTCATGTAACAGTACACGCGTCTTGTTATGGTGTTACTGTGATTTCAAATGATTCTCAAAGTTGGGCTTGTGATAAGTGTAAGGCTGGAAAGATGCAACTGGTAAGATTCAACATTTTAATTAAAATTCGATTCGAGGCCTGTTCAGCTTAAAGTTAATTTTTATTAATTTATTAATGTTGTTTTAGATGTGCTGTTTGTGTCCCATGAATGGCGGAGCAGTAAAACGAACAAGCGATGGTCTTTGGGCACATATTGTGTGTGCGCTTCTATTGCCAGGAATAACATTTAAGGATGCTGTAAACAAAGATCCAATAAATGTTTTAACAATGAAATCAGGATTAACTAAACAACAATGTTGTTGTTGTGGGCAGAGAAGCGGAGCTTGCCTTACTTGTGATAAATGTGGTGCACTCTTTCATCCGTCCTGTGGATTAGTAAAGGGAGCCACTTTCGTTATTCCACCGTATAATGCAGAAGAACTACAAGTAATTCATAAATTAACATAATTTTTTTTATTTCATTTTACTAACGCTTTATTTACAGTGAAATGAAAAATTATTACAATACCTGATTTTAATATATTTCATTTTATATTTTCTTTAGATAACTTGTCATCGTCATGATGATGGAAAGGAGAAAATACCATTGGTTGGTTTAGGAGAATATGTATGGGCTAAACATCGTAATACACGTTATTATAAGGCAAAAATTTCATCAATTCAAGACACCCTTTTCTATATGGTTACGTTTGAGGATCAGAGCTTCAGCGAAGATCTTTATCCAGACGACATTACTGTAAGTTTTTTTTAAACGTTTTCCATATCAATTTTCAATAATAAATAAAAGATAATAAACCGTAATTGTTTAATATTTTTAAGATTTATTTGAATGTTGTAATTTTTTTGCTCATAGAACTGTGACCCTCGAAATGTACCAGCAATTGGAGCACATGTGAGAGTTAAATGGACAGATAACAATATTTACGATGGAATTTTCGAAGGCACAAATCATCGTATTATGTATAATGTAAGTGCATAACATTTGTATTATTAATTTTAATTTAATTATTTGTATTTTTAATAATTGACGAAATTTCTTTCTATTTCTTTAATTAATAGGTCGTCTTTGAAGATAGTTCTCAACTTTCATTAAAACGAAATGAAATCTACAGTTTACAAGAGGATTTACCAAAAAGAGTTCGTTTGCGTTTGGTGAGTGTGGTTTAAGATTATGTTGATTTTTTCTTTTAAGTCATTAATTTTCTTTTCTTTTTTAAAATTTTTATTATTTTCTTTTTTAACTAATTTCTTTATGTTTGTTCATTTTCTTTGTTTTCGCTGCTCGATTTTATTTGCAAAAAAAAAAAGTCGGTTGCCACTGAAATGAAGCACCGAGGGCATCTTTATGGCATTGATGAAGAATCGGAATCGCAAAGGAAGGTGAAAACATCGAAAAAAATATGATAGAGTATAATTGTCCTTTAAAACGTTATTAAAAACGTAATTTGTACAAATTCCCTGAAAAAGTATTTCATCGCGTGTATTGCATAATTTTAATTAATTTGACATTTATATTTTTATTTTAAATTATTAAGTAAGAATGAAATTAAGTTGAATATTTAAATTGATTTAATGCTAGTCTAAATTTTATTAATTTTTTTCGCTGAAATATTGTCAGTTATTTTTTTACACGTTTAAAGAGACGTGTAAACTGTATAATACATAGCCTACTTTATAATATATGTAAACAATATGAAATATGCCGATTGTATATTTTAGAGTACACTTGAGTCGTACACTATAAATTGTAAGAATTTCGCTTCCCTGCATTATATTTTTGAATGTAATTTAATTATTATTTTATTGTTTTTGCGAAGTTTCATTAATTCTTTTATTATGTCTATTAATTGATTTTTATATGAAAAAAGTAGTACTTTTTGATTTAAGTACTGGACATAATAAAATAATCTGCTTTAATATTGTCGCTTTTCTATATTTGCTTTTAAATGTTGAACAACATAAAATTTTTCATACATTTTAGTCGCGTTTGCGTATTAAGCAGATAATGAGTTGTGAATGTGATTGCTATTATCCGCCTTTAATATATATTGATTATTATATATTTAATTGATTAATAATTTTGTCGGACAATATAACTTCAAAATATTTAAAAGTTTGAGCTCATTTATTGTTTTCAATCAATTAACAACGTAGTTTTAATAAATGTTTTTCTACGGATTAATTTTTTCTGTACCAAGAAATATATAAAATTGTATTTTATGTAAAAAAAAAAGTTGACAATATTAAAATATTTTAATTGTACAATTCTTCATTTGGATTGTAGATCAAAGAAAGAAAAATTTTTTGTTTTTTCAGCAAGCAACATATTGAGTTCAAACTTTTCTTAATTATAGTATATTGTATAAGATTTCGTATGTAAATATTAAAAAAAGATAAATTATGGAAAATTTGAAGAATTCTATTGTACATCACATTTATATATATTCTCTCTCCTTTTTTATAGATCGGTTATTGATAATCTAGTCATCTGATACGAAAACATGTTTGTTCGCCTATTTTAAAAGTACAGTTTATAGAAATGAAGGATTTATGCTTGAAATGTATTTTACGATCAAGCAAATAATAAAAAAAATATCAGATGATTGGACTGTAACTTATACATTTGAGGCATGTTTGTAAGAATGTAAAACATATGATTGATATTATATAACACTACGTAAATTGTGAAATAACTACATATATTGTTTTTTTTGTCAAATTAATAGGACTTGTCTAAGGCAAAAAAAATCCTGGCTAAGCAAATCGAATTGTCTTTGATCTCATTTACAAAACTTATTTAATTAAGAGTATTATTATAGATTGTTCAGTGGCAATTCTTCACAAAAATGTAACTCTGATCACAGATTGTAAAAGTTAGACGTAAATATGTATTGAAATATAATTAATAAACAGTGCGAAAGTAGCGCGTTTAAATTAACGCTAATTAAGTTTACAAAAATTTTTCATTTAAAATCTTTTGATCAATAATTATTAAAAAAAATTATTACATATTTATCAAAAATCTTTAGTTTTAGATTTTTTTTATTTTTTAGATGTTGCTAATTTATATTATAATTAATTATTTTTAAAGATATGTGATGTTAGCCCACATGAATTACCCTCATATTAAATATTATTACTTATATTTTTCCAGAAACATCTCTATTTTGTTAGTATAAATTTTCTTTCTTACAATAAAGTGATATGATTTTCTGCATTCTAAATCTTCAGTATACTGTCTAAGATATTTTTATCAAAGAATACTTTTAATAAATGGATAAAATTCTTGATGATTTCATAATTACTACTGATATTTCACTGGAAGATGAAGTTTTATATTCACAATTAAATGATGATAAAATGATAATGTCAGTTGAAGGAATGCAATTTACTTTAGACAAAAATTTGTGCGTTTTGTTTGAAAGTGGAAATGAATTAAAAAATTACAAATTACTGCTACGATCTGATATTGCTACAGGTGATAACACAATAACTTGTACTGTACACCCACAAAGTAATCTGCACAAGCTAAAACTATCCAGTATTGAAATTGATGCAATTACCTTGACAGTGCCATTTTTGATATTTAATGTTGTAATAATAATTTACTATCAACAAGAACATAAAGCATACTTTACCTTACATGGAAATTTAGAATTTTTTTAAATTATAAAAAATCATAAATAAGGTTTTGTCAGCAATCATATGATAAATTTATAAATTTTAAACATTTTTTTACTTTATTTACAGTTTATAAAATTTGTTATCATAATTTCTAAATTTTATATTAATAAATTACTATAATTTTCTTAACTAAATTTTATTTTCTGCTTGTGAAGAATTTGACGTCGATTTTGGATTTGAATCATTACTTTCTCTTAAAATTTTTCCTATACTTCGTATACTTTTTCTAAAACTACGTCTTAAAAATTTAGCCATCCTTTCTCCAGTTGCTGTAGAATAACTTGGGGGTGGAGTATATTTTGGTGGCGAATCTTCTACTATTAAATTTGTTACACTTTGAAACCCTTCATTTTCTCTAATATTTGACGTTACTTCATTGCTTTCACAATCTTCTACATTATTATCAAAGTCAAATTCCAATGGCGGTCTGCACAGCAATTGGAGTCTCTGCAATTTAAAAAAAAACCATTTGAATGCTTTTTCTATATTTAAAAATTTTTTAAATTAATTATTTAGAAAAATTATCCACAGTCACCTTCGTTATTGACAACTAACAAGTTGGAAGAATTTTAATATATTTCAGGTCGAATAAAAACATGTTGAAATAATATATTTACTCACTTTACAAATACTTGGTGGACCACTATAAAGATAACGACCTATTTGTATAATTGCCACTCCTGCAACGATTAATAATGGTAATAATTGAATTGTTATTCCTATTTCTTTTGCCCAAACAGTCCAATAAGATTTGTATATTTTCTGATTTAAATAATGTTCCCCTAAACCATTGCTCTTGAAAATAACAATACTTAATACCTGAAAGAATTGAGTCATTGAGATTTACAGAAATATTATCTTTGTTACCAGTAAAATAATAAATTTAATATAAGATATCTTTTTTTCAATTACCATAAGAACAGTAGGTAAAATGATATTCCATGAAAAGGTCAATACAGAGCCTATAAAATTCTGAAAACATTTGTTTGTTGATGAAAATATTACGGTGGATAATAACACGTTACAAAGATCTCTTCTGACTAGAAAAACTACTCCGCACTGCATTAAATACAAGATTATGACCCACCAACTTTTGTCAATCACATTTTCCAAATAATAAACAGAGTTGTTACCCAACTAAAAGTAATAAATAATGATTAGTTTCAAAAATAATTCACAATCGTACAAAAGTTTATGTGGCTTTTACATATTCACTTGAATTAAAGAAAAAAGTTTTAAAAGAATACTTACTTCAGTTGTCATCATAATTCCCAAACAAAATCCACAGAGACAACTTAAGAATACCAATTGTATATTGAAACTTTTATTTTTCTTTTTAATCACAGATGAAATATTCATTATTACACAATTCCAAATTGCCAGCTATAAATAAAAGTGCACTTTGGTTAAATAAATAAATATATTTTAAGAAATACCCGAATTTTCCTATCAATTAATTTCAAAATTTCAATTTTAAAAATTCTTACCTGTTGACTCAATCCAATAAGTATTAGCGCGAAATAGAATGAAATTGTCCAAAAAGGTGTAAAATATTGATTTCCTAAGAAAGCTATTGTTAATGGAACTAGTTCCGTTGAATATTTTAAAACATGGTTGCTGGATTTCTTTATTGAATTTTTATTAGATTGAAATATTTTTTCGAGAAGAAATGAAGTACGTGATGTATTACTTGATGCATAATTTGTATTCTTTACAATTATGTCATTTATTTTTTCTGTAATAAGTAAAAAATCATAAATATACTTTCCAAAAAAGCACAATATTTTTTCGAGCAATACAGCAATATACAAAAGAAATTATTATTTTAAAGTGACTTACCGCCATCAGCTTTTATAAAATTATATCCATAGAGATTAAGGACCTTGACGCAATTATTTGCTATAAATGCATTGAGAAACAACATTAGCATTGTAAAAAGTACAACAAACAAAATGTCTCTTTTCACAAAACTTTTGTCTCTATTATGAACAGCAATCTACAGAAAGAGATGAATATTATTAACATTTTGAATCTTATATTGGACGTCGTTCACCAACTTCTTTCCTAATTCTATTTTTCTAATAACAATTTTTTTCTATAATTGTAATTTTTAAAGTACCTGCATGGTAGCTGCACCCAACAAACCCCAAGTAAGAAATGCCTCTGTCGTGGCAGCAATCCAAGACTGATAATTAAAAAAAAATCCACTCCAAATATCAGTAGAATATGATTTATCGGAAGAATCTTGTGGTATTAAATTAAGAACTTTGATGCAAACAAGAAAGTTACAAAGTAATGAAATTGATATGTAGTAGATTATAACTTTACCATAAGAATGTAAACCTGTAGAAGAAAATACTAAATATTTGTAGACTTAGAGAATAGAAAATATTTATATCAAAGAGTATAAGAAAATATGCACAAAAATAATACCTTTAGATAGTGAGAAAAAAATCACAATCCACAATACTGCTAAGTTAAACGCAATTTGAAATCTTAATATTGTTGCCGAGAAATCCTCCTGATTTAAGTCTTTATTGTACAGAACAGGATGATTAAAAAAAGTAAATGGTAGTTGAGTCACTTCATTTTGCGTAGAATTTTTTCCTATATTAAAATCATTTCTGTTCAACATAAATTCTTTAGCCCAAGGATATGTTTCATGATTTGATATAAATGAATCTCTGCAAGGGTTTTAAATTGTTATAATTAATATTACAAAACTAGATAAAATACGCTTTTATCGACATTATTTTCTATTAAATTTATACTATGAAATAATTTCTTTTTCGTTTACCTAAAGTAGACGAGCAACCAAGATACTCCAATTATATTATAGATTCCTATGTAAATGTGAACTAAAAGTAAAGCAACACCTAATCCTTGAAAAATTGGTGATATTTTCCATATTTGTAATATTCCTGCTTTAAATCCTCGACCAAGGCATACTTGAAGTGTGAATAAAGGAATGCCAAAAATCAGTGACATTATTAGGAACTGTATAATAAAATTGGCTGGAAAAAAAGGATCAATTTTTCAATATGTTCAGTATCGAATTGAAATTTCTACCTGGGTATGGTTAACATAATATTTCTTACCTCCATATTGAACGCTATATATGGAAAATCTGTCAATGTTGAGAATACCAATGGTACATCCCAGATATGCAAACGCGGAATTAAATCTGTAGGGCCATTTTCCCAAAAATTTATCATTTTCATTGTTTGTTTCTTCAGTTGTGTTACTTTGCATAATTTTTTCAAATCTAAAAATAAATTTAAGCTATTAAATTTTCTCTTATTCATACATTGAAGAAAAATTTATTTGATTTAAATAATCGGTTATTTGACTATATTAACAAATAAATATATTAAATAATTATTATTTGAGTCAAATGATATTTCTTTCTAAGAAATTATTGGTTCAAATACAATTTATTTTTATTTTGTTTTGTTTATTATTAAACAATATTTATAAATAAATAAATCTATTGTAAACAAAAACATGTTTTTTTTATTGTTTTAACATCACACAGATTGTAATTGTATATATGACATTTTCAAATAATTTATATAGGTTAATAAACAAAAGGCTAATGATTTTAGGTTATAATATTTTTTATAAATTGCGGTTGAACAAGTAAACATTTTTTTTTACCTTAACTATTAGTATGTTTACTTACTAAAATAAAACTGAAGAAAACGTCACGTATTGTACTTTATACACATAATATTGCTACAACGTTCGTTGTTTGGTTATAGCTATACGAAATAAAAGTTTACTATAGTAAATGCTGATGCTTTACAGTTCTACCGGTTCATCTAGAACATTTGATTTCAGGTATATGTACAAACTTCTCCTTTAACTGTTATAACTGACGTGAACTCACGGAAGCGTACTAAAAAAAGTACAGTATATAATTAATAATTAAAATATTTGAATTACTATGAAAAATTGAAATAAAATTTATTGTTACAACAAATGATTTTTTATAATTAAAATTTTTATTTTACTTTTCGATTCCATATTTATATTTCTGAAATAAATATAAATTACTTACGGGTTAATATTAAGAAATTCAATTACTATTTAAAAATATTATCTTTATTCAAAAGTACAGAAATATTTTAGGATCTTCAAGAATACAGTCATTGGTCCCAACTGTTACTTTTATCATATAGAATATTTATAATTATATTTATAATTTATAAGTATTATGTCATCTACAATATAAACAATTATAATTTCAATTACCATGTAATATAAAGTATTTTACCGTCAAGGTCAGGTACACATTAAACCGACATATTGATAAATCTTTTTTTTTGGGAAGTGATAAGTTTAATATTATATATATATATATATGTAGTTCATTGCTAATATAAATGCTTAGGTCGTGCATGAATTACTCTTCTTTTGTATTTTAAATTATTCTTCCCACTTTCGTATTTATAAAAATATATGACTTATAATTGATATGATAAAGTATTAAATATCTGAAACAAACATTTATAAAAATCCGCCATCTGTTATAAAATTTAGTAGAATTTATTTAACAAGTCTTTTATCCTCAAAAAATATTATTTTGTACCGTATTTTCTTTTTTTTTATAAAAAATTATATTTAATTTTCTTTATATTAAATTGGACTTAATTTTGAATATATTGATCAGAAAAAATAATTTCTGTTTGGTTCATTTGTAATGAAGATCAAATTTTTTAAGTCGATACGATTTCATTACGATTTAAAAAAATAAATTTAAGACTGAGATGGCTTTTTTCTTCTTCCGAAAAGATTACTTAAAACGGAACTTCTTTTAAAATCTCGATCTTTACGATATCCTGTTGCATTGTGTTCGCTTTCCGATCCACTTTCAGATGGTCTTCTTCCATCCACCACTGAAATATTTTGTCCTTCTTGACTTATGGCAGGTGGAGGTGATATGTAGGGAGGTAGAGATGCTGGTCTACCAGTAAACGTATTAATTGTTACAGGTCCACCCTATAAAAATAATTATTACAATATATTATTTCAATTCATTTCGAGATAAAAGTTGATAAAAATAAAATGTTAATAAAAAAAATTTAATTGAACTACTCCTCACCTGTCTAGGGCTAGGCACCATATTGCCGTAAACTGAAATACAAAATAATAATTTATTTAAATATTTTTCACAAGTCAAACATTAAATCTCGAATCACGAATAAAAGCTTGCAAAAAAGACTAATTTCAACTGTTAAGGAGAAATAAAAAATTACTTTTAAATTAGGAAAATAAAAATTTAAGAAAATTTTAATAAAATTATAGAGAATTAATACAAATTAGCTTGAAAATTACAAATACATGATTCTTGTAAAACAACTAACCTGGATCAATGGAAGTATTCCATTGGACTGCTCTGTTTGTTGGAGGAGCACTTGATGGTAGAGGTGGCACTAAGTCTACAACAATAAGAATTTAATTATATTAAGTACAGATTAATTATTTTTTGTTCCATTTAATGGTAATATAAAATAATAATCATGGAATGAATTATAAATATCATTAGAAATGTACCATAAAAATATTTGTGAAAAACTAATTCATTTTCTTTACCTGCATGTTGAAGATTAGGATCTATATTGTGCTGACGATTAAATTCTTCGTTAGAAGGGTATTGACCAGACCCATTATGACCGTAATTAATACCACGTTGTTGATATTGATACGACTGAGGTCTTGCTTGTTGTACATGCTGGTTTACATCTGTAAAAATGAATAAAATTGTAAATATAAATATTTTAAAAATATAAAAAATTAAATTATGCATATAAAATTACCATTATATCTGTGGACAACATTTTCAGAGCTCGATGATTTAGCAGGAATAAATGATGGTGCATTTCTAGGTGGAATCGGTGGTTTATCAATCAAATCACTTGGATGCTTATTAAAGTCTCTTGCAGGAATTTGTTCTTGTCGCATTAATTGTTGTTTATGAATTTGTAAATATTCTGGATGCATCTGTTGTGGTGATTCAGATGAAATTTGAGATGTGATAGAATCATTATTTTTCAATTCCTTGCGTGGTTGATTTTGTCGATGATGTATTTGCAAAAATTCAGTTTGAACTTTATTTATTGAATTATCGCCAACATCACGTCTTATTACTGAATTTCTTCTCTCCATTTCAGGTGTTGATGCACGACTACTGCCAGTTGAAATTGTATCGTCTTGATGTGTGGGATTTTTCAATCTTTCCAATCCTTCTTTTTGTGATTCATCATAACTCAACAGTTGCATACAGGGTGGAAGTTTGGCGTGAAAAGAAATTTTATTAACCCAATCTTCCATTTCTTGACGGCTTGGCGCAAGGAATAAGAATTCAGAATTATCGGTACATTTTAGACGGAAGACATTTTTTCGTTTAGTATAATCCTCGGCTTTTTCGCATGTTGCATTGAATATTGTAATTGGAGCAGTGGCCGCTTTACTTAAGACAAAATCTTCAATGTCTTTAAAGAAACACAATAGTTGACCACAAAGAACTGTGTAATACTGCTTCCATGAACGAACCGCAGCTTTTTTACCACCATTTTGTAGTTCGTGTTTTCTTTCCAACATACCTTGAATTTCCACTGGTGGAAGATCGTTCATATTTTCCATTCTTTGATGCTTACGGAAACTTTGTGTTCGTCTTCGGGTTGTAAAACTAGGAGTTCTTTTTGGTTTCTTTGTGTCTACTTTCATACTCTCGGCGCGTTTAATATCGGCTGTTGTTCTTTTTAATCTTTCGCCGAATATGTGAGTAATGCCATATGATTTTTGATCGGGACTCTCCTTTTCAATTCCTTTAGGTGACAAATCATTTGATTTTCCATTGAATTCTTCATGTCGATCGGAAATTTTTCTTCGTTCCTCTTCACGTTTTCGTTCTTCGGTGATTCTTTGCACTTCCTTTCGTTTTCTTTCTTCTAGCCTTGTTTTTTCGATTCTCTCCTTCTCAGCTTGACGTGCAGCCATTTCGGCTTCAAGTTGTCTTTGGAATGCTTTCTCCAACATTGTCACTCGTTTAAGGGCTTCGAATTTATCCTCTTGGGCTTGTATCGTTTTTTCGAAATCCTCATGCTTTCGAATGAGTTCCTCAACTTGGGAAATTGATTCCCCTAGTATTCCATCATGAAGCATTGGTTCTCTATTGACAATCCAATTTTCTAACATCTCTGCGTCGCGTTTAAATACTTGGGTGTCTAAATTTTCCTCGTAAACAAGTTTTCTTGAATCCCAAATATCTTTTAGAATTTGTTTTCTTTGCTCTAGAACTGAGATTTTGTCAGTTATTTCTTTCGCTAGAAAATGGCCTTGATCAATAAGATCTTGACCTGTTTGGAAGAAATTTTTAAACGCATCACTTCGGGTATCAATTTCAGTTTTGTATTCATTGTGACGGGAAATTAGTGCCTCAGCTCCGGAAACATCGCGAGATAATTCAGGCGCAGTTACTTTGGCAACCATTTCATTTATCCAGGAAATAAGATCTCGATATTCGTCAAAGTAAGCCTGTAATTGTTCAGCTTGAGAAAGTTTATTTCGACGTTGAGCTGCTTTCTTAAGGAGTTCAATCCATGCTTCATCGGCTTCTTCGTGTTTAACTGCAATATGTTCTCTTGCATCGGGGAAAAGTTCAGCAAGTCTTGATGCTTCTTCAATAACAGATTCGACTTGTTCTTTAACAGCCGCTAAATCAGTTTCAAATCCCTGATGTTTTCGTACCAATGCTTGAATTGTTTCCAAATCATCTCCATAACCATCTGAACTGAGAATTGCCTCCTTCTCATGTATCCAGGCAATTGTCTCGTCAGCTGTTCTGTCAAACATGTGTACTTGTTTAGCTCCTGCCAATGCTTCCTGACGGGCGTGAGCCAGTTCTTTTAAATCCTCCCACTGTTGTTTTGTTTCGTCAATTTTCTTATGAATCCTTATCAATTCGGGATTATTTTCCTCAATTAAATTCTGACCAGCTTCTATGATGTTTATAACACGTCCTTCGCTTGTCGTCAGGCCCCCGAGAAAATTATCGAAAATTTGTATCAAAAGTTCAACATGCTCAACATCTCGGCCATAATCTTCGGAAGCGGCAACTGTCGTTTGATCACCAATCCATTCAATAACTTCATCGGCTTGTCTAATGAATTTATGATATTTTTCACTTTCCATTAATCTTTGTGATCTCCTTTCCTTGAGTGCTTGTAGATCCTCAAATTTATTTTCTATTTCCTGCTGTTTATTTGAAATAGTTTTACTATCAAAATGGTGTCTCTCGATTAGACCACGAGAAAGGAGTTTGAGATTTTCGATTGTTGTTCGAAAACCAGAAAGATCGCGTTCATTACCTTCGAGTTTTTTCAATAACGATTGAACGGAATCTTCATCTTTACCACAATCAGACGATGCAAGTTGAGGATATTTTTCCTTAATCCATTGTTCAGCTTCTGCTGCTTCAGCATAAAACATTTGCGATTCAACAGCGTCGAGTAATCTCAATTTTCTTATACATGCCAAATCTCTGAGGTGGGTTAATTTTTCTTGAAGTTCTTTTGATAGGGATTCAATTTTTCCTGATGCAAAATGTCCACTTCGAATCATTGCCGCAGCTCTGCTTGCAAGCGAAGCTACAACGGGTTCACGCGATATTAATTCAGCTTCGAGTGATTGATGCTTCTTTTGTAATCTCTGAACGGACATTAATGAATTCCCAAGATCGGCACTCGCTGCAATTAATTCCTTCTCTGATAACCAATGAAGTTCATCTTCCACATCTCTTGCATATTGATGCAATAATTTTGCATCTTCCAAATTGTCCCTTCTTATTTGTATCGGCTCTTGTAGACTATGAAATCTCATAATTGTTGCATTCGCTCTTTCTTGAATTTCTTCACACATAAAATGTTTTGTTCTTATAAAAACGGCAGCTGTTTCTTTAATCGTTTCACATGCATCATTATGTCCAATAACGTCATTTTCTAAATTTGTATGTCGTTTTAGTAAATTAGCAACACTAGAAAGATCTTTGCCATGATCTTCAGATTGAAGTTGCGTTTCAGCTTCGTCCATCCATGCCTCAAATTCTTCTAAAGTTCGTCCAAATAAAAGTGCCTGATAGGCGTCATTGAGTCTATTTTTCTTCAATTCACTTGTCTCCTGCAAAAGACGTGATTCAGCTTCAAAAACTTCGAGTCTCTCTTGTATCTCTTTGGAAGCGTAATGATTTTCAATGAGACGTTCACCTTCAGCGATAACCGATGCAATTCTCCCTTTATTCGCAGCCAATTCACTTTCAAATGCCAAATGTTTTTGTATTTTAGTCTGTAAATTAGTGGGATCACGATAATTTTCATCACTCGCAACTTGTTGTTTTTGATTTAACCAACTCTCGACTTCGTGAATATTTCTTAAAAATTGATGCAATTGATGACTCTCTAATAATTTTTTCCTTCTCAGTAAAGCACTATTTTTTAATTTATCTTTTCTTGCACAAACGGATGTTAAACGTTGTTGAATTGTATTCGCTTCATAATGTTCAACGGATAAAATAACAGATGCAAATTTCTCTAGTTCATCAATTCTTCCCATTTGGGAGATAAGCATTTTTTCAAATTCCTCATGTTTACGTAATAATGCCTCAACACCTGATAAAGATTCTCCCAGATCTTCATTATTAAGAAATGCTTCTTTTGTTCCAAGGAAATTATCAGCTTGCGTTGCTTGTTCTTTGAATATTTGTAATTGATGGGCTTGTGTTAATTTTTGTCGTCTATTAATCCAAGCGTTTAACAAATCTTGACGTAATCTTTCAATATAATTAAGATTCTCCTCAACATTTTCGCCAGTAAGCTTTTCACCTTGTTGCAGTAATATATCAAATGTATCTTTTCTACCATCAATTTCTGCTTTTCTTTCTTGATGTAATTCAAGCGCTGCTTCAGCCTCTGCAATTGTTGTTGACGATTCAGCGTTATCCATTCGTTTTATTGTATCGGCGACCCATTGTTCAAGTTCGTCAAGATCTGCCTGAAATTTGTGAATTGTATAAGCTTGATTTAATGTTTCGCGACGAGTTTGCGATAAACGTTGTAATTGATCCCAATTTTCTTGTAGTTCCGATAAAATTGAATCAATTTCCAATGAATTTTCCGGATATTTTTTTGATAAATTTCCCGCTTCTTTACGATGTTCTTTTATTTTACCCTCTATTGCCGTCATATCTCTCTCGAGTGTTTCTTGTTTTCTTTGTAAATGTTCAACGTCCGTTAAATCTTTGCCTATTTCGGAAGAATTCATGAGCATTGATTTTTCAATGACTCTTTGACTCGTGTCATCGATGTCACGATTAAATAGATGTATTTCCAAAGCACCGGCTAAAATTTCACGATAATTTGATAGGGCACCTTGTAGACCTCTCCATTTTTTGTTAAAATTATCTCGTTGCAGTTGAATGGCTTTCGAATCATTATCTTGACCTTGTTTTATTAATTTATCAGCTAGGGCATTTATAACTTTAATTCTTGCATCATCCACCCTCATGTCACTGTCAACGTCGTCGAGTTTTCTTTGTAGACCTAAACAATGTTCATAATCTTTTCCAGTCTCTCCGGCTTGAACCATCATCTCTTTGTCTCGGATCCAAGCCTCTATTTTCTCTACTTGATTATTAAATTCCAAAATATCTTGCGCCTCTTCCAAACCACGACCTCTGTTACCGGATTCAATGAGAAGATTCTTCCAAGAGGAATTTAAATTATCGACCTGTTGTTTAATTTCTAAACTTGCGGGATGCTTTTGCAAAAGTAATGTCTCGCCTTTAGCTTTAATCTCCTCGATTTTCGTCTGATTTGCCGCGAGTTCGGCCTGAAAAGCCTGATGTTTTTGCAATTTCTTTATTTTATCCTCAAGACTGGAAACATTTCCCTTACATGTTTCGGCTTCGAGTTTCTTTTGTTTCTCCTCAATCCATGATTCGGCTTCTCCAACGTCACGTATAAATTGAGCATGTAAAAGACTCGCTTCTAATTTTCTCTTCTTTATTTTACACAATTCCAAAACTTTTCCTCGTCTCTGTACAACTTGTTTCAAACGATTACCAATTGTATGTGAATCAAAATGATTTTGTGCCAAAAGTTTATCGCCGTGTTCTTGTAAGGCAATTAATTTTTCCTCCTGTGTTAACAATACTTTCTCGAATTCATTGTGTTTTTTCACTTGTGCATTCACTTCTTCGACGGAAATTCCAAAATTATCGCCATTCAAAGCGGCTTCTTGAGTTATTGATAAATTATCCAATTGTTTTGTGTCACGAAGGAAGAAATGTAAATCGATAAGTTGATCCAAATAGATCTTCTTTTGCTGCCAGGCGGTGTGAAGTTTTTGCCTCTCCTCCAACATGAGATTACATTTTTCCTCCACTTCAGTAGCAGCGTAGTGACCAGTTTGTACCATTGCTTCACCAAGATCGAGAACGGAACTGAAACTATCTTCTCTGGCTTCGATTTCTCCCTTTAGAGCTTCGTGCTCGCCTTTTAGACACTGAGCACTCGCTGCGTCGCGTACTTTCTCCTCGGTAGACATTGAAGCCCTCAGTCCAGACACCCAATTTATTAAATCTCTCACTTGCGTCAAAAATCGTTGAAGATCACAACTAGCCTGCAATTGATCTCTTCTGTGTGCGGAACGTTCCTTCAATTCCTCCCAACTGTGAACGACAATTTTTTGCTGTTGATCAATATGAGTTGCATTATTTCCAGGATATAGGACCTGTAGTCTAGCGGCGTCCTCCACTAAAACTTGTAATTGAGCCTCCAATGCCACTAAATCATTTTCAAATCCCTCATGACGTCTTATTAACGATAGAACTGAATTCAAATCACGTCCCAAATCATCTGGAAGTGCGGCTTCTTTTTCCTGTATTCGTGACAATGCCTCGGCAACATCCCTATGAAATCGATGAATTTCTCCCGCCGCTTGTATTCGTTGTTCACGATTTCTAATCAATCCAAGAAGATACTGCCAAGAATCTCCCAATTGTTTTTGACGTTTCTCAATATCCTGAATGTATGGACTCTCATTTGCTATTAATTTCTTAGCCAATAGTTCACATTGATTAAATCTCTCCGAACCAGCTTCTATTCTATGTTTAAAATCATTGAATTTCGCTTGAAGAATCAAAAGATGTTCAAAATCTTGACCATAATCTTCAGAAGCAGCCGATTGTTCTTGCTCCTTGATCCATTGTTCCAATTCGGTACTTTCGAGAAAATATTCATGTCGATACATACTTTCCATGAGACGTTGTTGTCTCACTGTTGCCAATCTTTGTAAAGCGCGTATCTGTTGGATAATACTCTGTTGTTTAGCGGCAATTGCTTTACTGTCGGGATGTTTTGAATTTATCATTGTTGATGCAGTATGTCCCATTTCAGAAACAATACCATTGTATGTATCAAGTTCAAGCTCAAGGGCTTTATGTTTCGTTAGTAATTTTGTCGCAGCATCACGATCTCTTCCATAATCAGTTGAATTAAGTACATCATTTTTTTCACCCAACCAACTTTCTATTTCACCAACTTCAAAGAAAAATTGCTGTGCCCTCAGGGATAAATCTAATGAATGACTACGTTCATTTGCACTGTCTTGAAGATTTTTCCATGAACTAGTTAAATCATCGCATAATTCTCGAATCTAAAAAGAAAATTAATTAGAAAAATGTCTATTTGAAATTAATTTATTTTTTCGAATGCCCTTTGAGGGTTAAAGAAATTTTCATTTGAAAATAAATAAAAATTAGATTGATTAGAAATATAAATTGTACAGACCTTATTTTTCTCTGGATGAAATTGATCGATGAGTGTTTGTCCAGAAGCAAGAGTCTTATCAATCATATGTTGATGACCAATAATTTCAGCTTCAAGTTTTTTATGTTTCTTATGTAAAGATTGTGTTTGATGTAAATTTTGTCCAACGGATGTGGAAGAAGCTTGTGGTAAATGATCATTAATCCAATGTAATTCAGCGTCAAGTTCAAAGCCAAAATTATGAAAACGAAGACTTTCTTCTAAGGCATCACGTCTTTTTTTTAATGGTTCCTTTAAACTATGCAATTTTTTCTGTGTATCTTGACTAATTTTCAAAATATTATCCGCATCAAAATGACCTTCATGAGCCATTTCATAACCAACTGCAACTAAATCATCTATTTTTTGTTCCCATTGTGTAAGCTCACTTTCAAGTAGGTGATATTTTTTCAATAATTCTTTACAACTTCTTAAATCTGTACCAACTTGTTTACTTTGTAGACCATTTTCAATTTCTTCTAATTTTGTTCTTGCATCTTCAATTGTTCGATTATAACCATGTTGACATGCTGCTTGTCTTAAACGACGACCTTTTTCTAATGAAAGTGATACCAATTGATCCCATTGAGCATTTAAGTCTTTTAGAGTTCTTCCAACATTGTCCGATCTGTAGTTCTCTTCGGATATTAATGCCTTTCCGGCTTTATTAACAGCTCTCAATTGACCTTCATTTGCTCTTAATTCTCTTTCAAAGGCTTCGTGTTTTTGTAGTTTTCGTTCTAAATTATTTAAATCACGATAACTTTCATCGGATGCTGTTTTCATTTTATCTCCCAACCAATCTTTTAAATCGTCCAATTCAGCGGAAAATTGTTGATAATATTCAGAGGCTTTTAACGCTGTACGTCGTTGTTGTGCTGCTTCTTTAACAAATAATCTTCGTGCAATTACTTGTTTTCTTTTATCATTAATGTAATGTTGATCGTAATGATTTTGTTGTATCAATTTATCAGCAGTGTCACTAAATGCCTTTAGCCTATCATCCTGTGCGTGAAGAGTATTTTCAAATTTCTCATGTTGCTTCAATAATGCCTCAACATCATCCAATGATTCGCCTAGATTTGAAAATTCCAAAAATGCTTGATGAGAACTTGTCGTGGCGTCAATTTGATCTGATTCACGATTAAATTGTTGTAATTCCAAACATTGTCGTAACCAACGATCTTTTGTTGTCCAATCAGAAGATACGGTTTGATACAAACCGGATAATTTTCCCAGTCTATCTTTAATTTCCAATAGAGAGGAATTACGATACAAAAGTTGAGTTCCAAGTTCTTCTACCTCGCGGAATTCATCCTCGTGTGCTTTTACTTCCTCTCCCAATTCGGTATGTAATTTGCGTAATTTTTCAGCAGTTTCCACATCCCTAACGGGCTCCTCGTGTTTAATTGTATCTTGAATATCAGTAGCCCAATTAATAAGATTTTTGGAACTGTTCATAAATATTTGTTGACCAACAGCATCTTCTAAACGTGATCGTCTCTCTTTAGCTTTTGTTTGCACTTTATGCCATAAATCTCTAATTTCATTTTGTCTCATATTCACATTACTAAGTTCATTAGGATACGAACTTTTTACACTGTTTGCCAATAAATTTACTTTACGAATTTTTTCCTCAACTGGCGCTAATTCTCTTTCCAAATGTTGATGTCTTCTTTGTAAAGCTTGAACTGTTTTTAAATCCGGTCCCAATTCGGCAGTGTCTAATTGTGTGATTTTTTCCAACATCCAATCGTGTGCTTCATCACAAGTTCTATTAAATAATTCAACACTCGAAGCACCTTCGAGACTTTTTTCCTTTTGAGCCTTTAACCAATTTAAATGATTCCACAATTGATTGATATGTTTTTGTCTTGCTTTTACTTTATCCAATTGACTATGGCCTTGTTTCACAAAATCCTCAACGGCACTATCAATTGCCTCGACACGTTTTCCGGATGCTGATAAATCGGTTAAAAATTTTTCATATTTCCTCTTTGCCGATTCAACATTGTCACGTGAATCATCTGTACGTAACATTTTCTCTTTATCTTTAATCCATTTTTCAAAATCATCACACTCACGATAGAATCCATAAAGTCGAATAGCATCCTCCAGTAATAAATGACGATTAACGGCTAATTTTTGTAATTGACTGTAGGTGTCGTCAATTTTTCTTATACGTTTCTCAACACTGTCACTATTATTAACAGTTTGCGAACGTTTAATTGGTTTTACAGTTGATTTTATGGATTTTACTCTTCTTACAGGAACAACTTGTTTAACCATTCGGGTTTTTTTTACTCTCTGTGTTACTCTCACTTTTTCGGGTTTCTTCACTTGGACCTGTATCACTTTTGGTTCAATTTCACGAACGTAATTTGCAGGTACAAAACCATCGTTACCATCACTTTTTCTAACACTCCACCAATCGGGATTTGTTTTATTCAGTAAATACATGACTTCACTTTTGTACATATGCATTCCTTGACCACTGAACGGATAGAGACTTTTCACTTGAGGCACAAGTCTGTCTTCAAGTATTGTTCTGCATTCTAGACGCTCGACAATTTCATCGATCCATTCATCTTGTGGAAGTAGACGAATTTCTTTACTCCATTCCTCTTGTTCCAGCTCGGCGACCGGTTTTGGATCGGCTGATAATTCAAGTGTGGAAATTCCAGCTTTAATCAGTTTCTCAGCTTGGAGATTCAGTGATTGTACATCTCCTTTATAGGCATTCAATTCTCCCTGAAGATCCTTGTGCCTTTGTAAAAGTGCCTGAGAACTGGGTTCATCGACTCCAAAATCTTCCGATGCAACGAGAGTTAATTTTTCATTCATCCAAGAATCGGCCTCATTTGCATCGGCATAAAATTGAAAAGCCTCTGCAGCCTCGTCGAGTTGTTTCTTTCTCAATGCGGTCAATTCCTCCAAAACTTTCCAATGCTCCTGAAGTGAGTCAATTCTATTTTGAATTTCAATCGCCGAAGAATGACTGTCGTCTATCAATTTCTTACCAACATTCACAAGCTGTTCAGACTTTGGCCTACGAACTTTCATCTCGTCTTGTAAAACTTTATGTTTCTGTTGCAACGAAATAACAGCTCTCAAATCTTTCGCCGATATTCCAGCTTTGCAAATTCTTTGCTTTTCAATTAACCATGATTCCTCGTCCTCGTGATCTTGAAGAAAATGAAAAAAATTCCTCGCATCCTCCAGCCGAGTTTTACGTTCCTTGGAATTTTCTGTAAGTCCTTGATAAGCGTGATTGAGATGATTTAATTTTTCCTGCAGCATCAGTGCCTCTTTACTTAAAGGCTCGTTGAGATATTGAATCGCTTGTCTGCCAAGTCTTCTTTGATTTTCCCCCAGGGCTGTCACTTGTAATTCCTGTAGACTATGTTTCTGTAGTAAATCCTCAACTCCCAATAAATGTGGTCCCACGTCCATACTCTGGAAATTGAATTGCAATTCCAAAATAGTTGCCAATGTGGTGTCAATTTCTCTCATTAGATTCATGAGAGAACTTAAAGCCGCAAGATTTGTTTTATGATGACCGAGTAATTTCAAAAGTTCCTTCCACCTTTGCAAAACTTCCTGCTCTCTACTACGTACATTTTCCAATCCGTGATATTTTTCTCTGACTAGCTCATCGGACATGTTCGTTAAATCGTGAAAACGTTCTTCTCGCGCCAATATATCGGCACTAATTGCTTCATGCTTCTTAACTGTCGCATCAACTTGCGTAAGATTACTCCCATATCTTGGATCCGATAAAACTTGAATCATTTCCTTCAAATAACCTTCTCGCAAAACACTCTTTCTTTCAAATTTATAATTCAATTGTTCCAATCTCTCCTGTCGCAGTAACTCAGTTCTTAACGCAACTTCCCTACGATGCTCCGATCTTTCCAATTCCACCCAATTTCTCTCAATATCATTAACCAATTGTCCTTCCTGTGGTACAAACGCCGGTTGATTTAACGATTTTAATTGTGTATTTATATGAAAAAATAATGCTTCAATTTCTGATCGTTCCTTATATTTTGGTGGTTTTTCAATTGTACGATATTGTTTAAATGATAAAAGTTCACGTTGTATGCCTTCAAGTGAATTTGGAAAATCACGATTTTCTAAAATTTTTGTTTTCATTTTAATCCATTCCAAAAGATCGGTTGTCAATTTTTCATAATGTACTTTCATTTTATCAGCGTCCATCATTTGTCCAACGATATTTGCAATTCTTTTACCACTTTTTATTTCATTTTTCATACGGGCAAATGTATGATAATAAGATGCAACATAGGTGATAATTGATTTTTCATCAGGTCTTGCTGTGTCAACATCCTCAGCGTCAAGTAAACGAGGAATGCCCAATTCTGAATTTGCCATGTCAAATGCATGATTAAGATTGTCAATGTGTTTACCTTGCTGAAGTTCCGTCCAATTAAAAAGATCTGGTCTATGCGCATGAATGAGAGCATTAAAGCCAAGACCACTTCTCCAAGAAACTGTACACGATAACAAAAAAAAATCATTATTAAAAAGATTAATGGTTTTAAGGGTCTAAACTAAAAAAAAATTTACCGGTAAAGTCTTGAATATTAACTCCATTATATCCATTTGCCTTTCTCTGACACCAAAGAAGAAGAGCATCTTTTGCAGATTTTTTCTCACTACTCTCATTTTCTTCATCAACATCAATTTCAATTTCTTGAATTTGGAACCTTAAAATTATAGTCCAAATTAAACCCAAAATTAAACGTGGGTTTCGATCTACAATATCTTCTGCTCCAATACTTTCCAGTCGAACCTAGAAAATATAATTCATAAATATTTTTCATTTTTAAGTTTAAACTTTAACAGAATTTATTTTTAAATGAATTTTTACTTAAAACAAAATTTTTAGGTAACAAAAATTAGGCAGAATTTTTATCTCATAGAATTTCTTTATCAAAATTTTAAATGAATCGAAATTAAAATTTTTTTAAATCTTGAATTGAATGAAATCTTCATTTATCCGAAATTGCAAATGTCCGAATATACAATCAGAATTTTCATTTCGAATAAATTAAAATTCAGCGTTGTAAAAATTCTTTCAAATAACAATTCGTGCAAATAAAAATTTGGATTAATTAAAATTCGGTAAATTGGTAATTCTAGTATTTAAAAATTTGAAGCACTTAAAATTCTATTAATTAAAAAGTTGTGTAAAGAAAAAAATTTGTTATAAAAAATTCTTGAAAATAAAAAAAAATCCAGACGCGGAGTAGCAAATCTGACTTGAGATGATTTTAGCGCGTTAAAATAGGACGAGAGTTTGCCGCGCAGAATACTTTTTTTGTGTTATTCAAGATCTACATTTTTTTTATTCCGTAAACTTAACTCAATGTATTACTTTAATTTCTTACAAATATATTGAAAAAGTATAAGATTTAATGAATTTTCTCTCTGCTGAAACACTTATTTCAAGTATATAAAGTATTTGCGACTTTTGTTCTGAGAAATATGAAAGTACTTAAATAGCTGTACTGACAATGGCTTAAATTGCGGTAAACTCGCAACTTGTAACATGCTAAGGTAACAGTCTCGCGTTATACTTAATCGGGCGGCGTGTCGTACACCATTTGCAATGGTTGGAATGTCGTCCGATCACTTGCGGGTCTATCAAGGACGATTGGAAATGGAAATTATGGCTTTTGCTGTGCTTCGCACAACTTAAGCAGCCAATTTTAAAAGAAAAAAGACAATAAACCATATAAAATTACATTAGAAATTAGAAAATTATTATTAATTATGACTTTCATAAAAGACAATCCAGAAAATTCAATTGTGAAACAATAGCTTCTGTGTAATTGTTATTCAACTTTCTTTAAATATCTTTTATTATTTTTATTTTTTTACATATGTGAAATATGTAAATTTTAGTAAAAAAAATAAAAGATTTTTTAAATAAATCTATAATGTAAAAGGCTACAATTTGAAAAAGGTAGAAAAATTTAGTTATTTTATATACCGTTAGAAATGCTCATAGTAAATGATTTCACTTATTAAGTTTAATTACAGGTTTAGGTCTAGGAACTGAATCTTCGAAAAGTAAAATTGCTGCCGAGTTAAAGAATAATAATTATTATTTGTATATTTTATGAAAATTTTTGCTTCCTTGTAGAAATTTCTTAATTTTGTATATATTGTTTTATGATATATCTATAACGAGTTAAGAAAAATAAATTCTTTAACTTTCCCACCACCTAATCAGAAAAATTATTTGAAAAATGCTATTTATCTCTAATGGGCCATAAAAGGCACATAATGATAACCATTAACGTGTCTTTTAGAACGTTAAAATAATGAGTAAAATGTGAAAAAAAATTAACACCTAAAAATTATGTGTTATGACCTACAACTAAAGAGTAGAATTAATAAAAAGTAATTTTATAAATCGATCCATTATATGTATATTTAACTAAGTGATATTTAGATACTTAAATTCTTGAATTTAAGTTTTTAATTTTTTTAATTCCAATTTTTTTTTAAACTATGATAATTGTGAGAGTACTAATACTAATAGTATATTTTTGCTAAAAACATTTTTTATAACACTTCGAAGAATATTTCTGACAAGCTTGCACTTGTAAGGATTTTTCTAACTTAGTTAAAGTCTCTTAAATTGTGCTTTACTTGAACTAGATTCACTAATCTTACAATTGCATTAATTATCACAACCCTGCAAATATGGACTCTTTTTTTTAATAATGAATATAATTGGCGTTAAATTGATTTTTTAAATTCAAAATTTTTTTTTAAAGCAGAATTTAGAGAACTTTTTGTTGTGATTAATAAAATGAGAATTTTGCTTCGAATTCGACTAAAATTACAGAAACAATGTAACCTTTTGAAATATAGATAATTTTTAATAACTCATGTTAATTTACCTTCGTGTGTAAAAATGCCAAAGACTTATTGACATTTTCAATCTTGTGTACTCGCATCCGTCCATTATTAGGTTTGGCCAAACGCTCACCGGAAATGATTTCGAGTAGTTTTAAAAGTTTTTTTCCATCTGCTAGATCTGTAAAAAGATCTTCTACCTCCATGCGAGCCTTTAAAAAAGAATATTTACAAAATTTATTATTTTCACATTGAAAGAAATTTGTCCATAAAATGTAAATAATAAATAAACAATGTTCAAAGTTAATATTTTGTTAATTAAAAAACTTTTAAGTAGTTTTAATAATAAATAATTTTAACCCAATAATTATATGGATTTGTGACGAATGTAACAATCAAATTTGGGCTAATTAACTATTAGGCTGTTTGATATTTAGAGAATATATATTATATCTTTCTGTACTCAAAAAATCAATATGGTAAAATAAATCATATTGTTGAATGTAATAAAAAAAAGTAAAAATTACTAGACTTTTTTTTAACTATTCCCATTATCTTCAAATCTAAACTTCACTATTTTGCAGTAGTTAGTAAAATATTACAGAAGAATCATAAATAATTTAAAGTCAAAGAATGTACACCAGAAAAGTTGTATTGGAAGATATAACTACTCTCTAAATCTAAATAAGTATAATTTTACTTATTTAGATTTAGAGAGTATACTGTTCCAGAAACCTATTGTAGTTAGTCAATTAGTTAAAGTAGTAAAAATAACTATCGAATTAGTAAATAAAGAAAGAACGTCCTTTTTTCATAATTTTGTATAACTATTTTTATACTTCCTGTTCTTGTTTACATTTTTTTTTAAATCTATAGAAAATTAAATGACGATTACCTTTAATAAAAATGAATTTATCCATTTTGTGAATGTCTTTTTTTGAATATGAAGACGCTCTTCTTGCAAGGCCTTAATTCGACCTTGCTCAAATTTAAGAACGTCCTCCCTTTGAGTCATTCTCCTCTGAATCTGTAGTTGATGTTTTGGCAGTGGATAAATGAAAAGGTGTTTGTATGAATATCAATTTGTTTGAGGTCCGACGTTTCGTCAAACTCTGGGTTCATACTGTGCCCTGAAAAAAAGAAAACATTTAATTAAAAGTAAGCTAAATGGATTTAATAATTAATTAAAAATTGTCGATGAGTATAATAGCCCCTGGTATGGTATAATTACCCCGGTTGACAGTACATTTGATTTTTTTAAGAAATTTTTTTTTTAAGGTCCGACAGGATCCGACATTTTACTTTTTGAAAATTTAACTTATCATTCATATCGCAGTAACTAAAAAACAATTCTATGTGATATGCGACCATATGAAAATCCCTTTAGAAATGGCTTCGCTGTCGCATGGGATTAAGTACAAGAAATATTATAAATCGCCGCGAGTACAGTGTGTGTCAGACACGTATCGATACGATATAACGTTTCCTGACATGACGCAACGCAAACTTGATTTTTTTTGTGTCAATCCCTGTAATTATATTAAATAATATAAATTACTTTAAAAAATTGAATAACTATGTAAATAATTATCATTAATTGGATATAATTTTGTTGATTTTTAAATTACTGTATTATCTCGAAATATTAAAATTTTCATTTTATCTAATCTTTTCTTTTACTAATTATCATTGCACAATTTCTCGAAATGTCATTTCTATAAATGTAGTGTAATAATTTTATTTTTTTCAACCTTTATCAGATTGAAATTTGTTATCCAACGTAATTATAATATTAATAAAAAATTTCTACGTTTTTTTTACTTTAACGAATGTATAAATTATTTAAAATGTTTATTTACTCATATAATTAACCCTTACTTTACCAAAAATGCATCTGAAAAATAAATGATTATTGCATCTATAAATAAGAAACTTAAAATGACTTTGAAATGACAGTAATTTTTTTAGGTCAAGTGATGATTTAACCAATATTGTAGTTAGTGATAATTTTAATAAATAAACATTGTATTGAAATTAAATTCACTAAAATTAGTAAAATACCATTTTAATTTATTAAATGAAAAAAAGTATAATTTCTTAATTTAAATTTTTCCAAAAAATAATCGTTACAAGTAAGCGCAACCTTTAAGAATTACAAAAATAATTTTAGCACTAAAATTTTTATTCCATGAAAAAATAACTACATATTTCTTTGATCATATGAGAAGGAGAAGTCAAATAAATGAGACGTAATTTTAAAGAGAAAAAGAGGGGCCGGGAGATTAAAAAAGCAAACAAATGTTGACGTGATTTAAACACGACTTGAAGCAAAGTTTGCAGTAATTCTATATAAATGAAGTATAAATATCGTCTGACTACAGTACAAAAGAAAAAAAAAGAACAAATTTATTTCACACTTTTTAATAATCATTAAAATCAATTTTTAACTTTATAATACCTACTAAATTTTTAATTTTAAACATAAATTTTTAGTTCGAATTTTTTGCTTTTACAACAATTTGTTGAGTAACCAGGGTGAAAAAAATTACTACTGGAAAAAAAACATTCTAAATGTCTTAAAAAAATTTCCATAAAATTGAAAACTAATTATGAGTGATTCCTCTGAAAAGTGACCATTCTGATGGTTCACGTTAAAATTATAAAACCTGTTTAATTTTAATAGTTGGTCATTTCCATAATACTAATTTAGCATGCATAGAATACTGTAAAAAAAAATTTAATTAATTTCTATAAGTCAAATGCTTGTAGGAGTTAAATCTCTTTCATCTTCGAGTCGCCAGCACGACTTCTATCAGTTAACAGGGTTTCTACAATTTTTTTTTATTGCAACATTCCATGCATTTTCCATGATTTCCATGCTCTAAGTAACACAATTTTAACACAAAACATAATAATATCACAATTTGGTAAAATAAAAATAATTCATTTGCATTATAGAACAATCTTTTTTATCTGAGATGAAATTTTTTTAACGAGAATTTGAAATGATCACATATAGAAGAATCACCTTCATATAAATTTGAGGTCAATTAATATTTCAGCACTCATTTAAAAAGCAAATGTTGCTTTTTGCAACGTTGCAAACTTCAGTTACGTAAAACTAAGTGAATTCCTTTTTTTCAATATTCAACAATATCTTTATATCTAGCATTGTAATAGGGTGAAAATATATTTCCATTTATATATAGTATTAAATGTGAAAACATATATATGAATACACACACACACATATATATATAAATACGAAAGAATGTTCTTCATTAGTCTACAATATTAATACAACCACTTGTTGAGTAACAAAATGCCGCTTACCAAATTTTAAAGATTTTAAATTAACTACATATTTTCTATTTCTATTACAATTATACGCATGACATGAAAATAACAAATAACACAAACAAATTGAAAAGCAAAGCGAATGAATATCGGCAAATTGGGATATATATCTATATATATTCCTTCAACAGGTGGTAAACAAACTTACTTTGTAAACAAGAGAGAATATAAGTTAGAGATGTTAGAGATAATGCCCAATGGCAAGTACACACCTTCTTTTGATGGGCGAATCTTGTAAGAATGAGAGTAAATTAGCAAAAGTATCCTAAATTAAAACCGGTATGCACTTTTTGGAGCATACACACACTCACACACCCAGTAGCAGTAAATACGTTTTTTTAGTCGTTTCAAACTTCACTTACACGCACATTGTATATGAAAAATAATGAAAATCACTTTAATAAAACAGGAAGAATGTTAGTCACTAGTTACTTCGATTGCACATTACGCGGAACAAATATCTGTAACTCAACTGTGTTGCGAATTCACACACTAGCGACAATACGCGGTAAGAAGCGGGGATGGCATGACTACCAGCATAACCAGCTGTTGAGAACTCATCTTCTATTTTCGATTCTACCGCATTCTACCCAACCTACTGTTTACTGTGTCCCCCTTAGACCCAAAGAGCCTTTCACCAATCTCTATATAGTATGTCCTGCCAATCTCAACTTTTGTCCTCTTTTCCTTGTTAACAACTATGCAGATATATATTTAGAAAAATTAATCTTTAAATTATGTATTCTATATTTCCTATTATATTCTCTCCTTTTCCTTTTTAAATACATTTATTTTTCGTTATCTGGAGTGTATATAATTGGTATTAAAAATAAATCAAACATAAAACATACATATTTCTTCGGTACTGGGCCACTACTGGGCTTTATACCGACTGCACAATCTGCACTGACCGACTAAAGGCCTAAGCAGAATAGATTCTTGAACGGGAACGCAATCGTAAACGGAAACGTAAGAATGAGTAAGAGAAGGATAACAAATATCTTTATTCTTTTCTCACTCATTCTTACGTTTCCGTTCACGGTTGCGTTCCCGTTCAAGAATCTATTCTGCTTTGGCCTTAACGCTCACTTCACGTAGCACGCACGAAATGCAACTATAAAGCAGCATTCACATGAAAGAAATAAAGGTGCTTTCACGCTTGTGAACTCTAAAATATGACGCATTTTTTTCACCAGGGCAGGGTGCGGTAGTTGACGAGAATTATGAATAGGGATTTTTTGCGAGTGGGGACAATGGAAACCAACCCATTAACCACTTCTCGAAGATATTGTGCGTTGGCCTTTATTTTATGCTACAGACATATATATACTAGAAAAAATGGCTGATTTAGTTCTCGGTTTCATTTAGTGATGTGTTAATGAAACTTATAACAAAATTTGTTTGTTGACAAGTAGGTAAAATTCTTGAACTTATAAAATGATTCTCTTTGATAATATTTATTAATTATTTTGTATAAAAACAGTAATAATTTTAATTGTTTGCTAAAATTGGTATGATTTTGTTCACTAGTTCACTACCAATCGTTCCACAAGAGGAATAAAATATCCAAGTCAGTGCTGGCAACTTTTTACCTTTTATCCTAATTGTTTACCATTTATTTAGAAGTAAACTTATAAATATTTGTTATTTCATAAATATTTATACTAATGAATTTGTATTTTCTTGAATGTACTTAAAAATCAATAGAATTTCGTAAGTTATTTTTTCTCAATTTTTTTTCTGCATTATATTATAACTGGTTGCACATTTTTAAGTTTAAAAGCCCAATATTGAAAACTAATATATCTATCATTTATTGGGATTTACGTCAAATTTATGTTTATTTTTAGGGGTTGGTAACTAAACCATCAGATATTCTGTATTTGTATAAACTTTAATTTTAAAAAATATATTTTTATTAATAAATAAGGTTCTCAAAATACAATAGTTATTAATTTGTTAAAAGTGACTAGGTCACCATCATATTAAAAGGTTAAATTTAATTATGTAAATGAAAATATTTTAATTTATTTTGATTTATCTCTTGAAGTCAGCGACAAAATTGTGTAGAAGATTAGACGAATTTGAAAATGACAGTGTCACCTAAAAAGTCAAAACTTCAACACCCTTTCTATTCTATTTATATATTAATGTTAATTAATTGTCTATGTATATCGATATATTCATGTAAATTATAATTATTTCAGGTAATTATACTTTCTTCTTTTAAGAATGACGACTGATACTGAAAAGTATTATTCTAATTGTTTTGTATGTAACAGTAAACTTTCAACAAGAAATACTGTTCAAATTTTTAATGAAAAATCAGGATCGCGTTCTGAAAGACCTTTGGCAGAGACAGTATTTTCTGTATTGGAAATTGAGTTTGACTGCAATGATCCACACTCCAGTGTTATTTGTAGAAAATGCAAAAAATTGTTTGAGGAGGTAATATTTTATGTTCACAACTACTTTATTATTATTTTTTAAAAATAATTACACATACAGTCATTTCGTAATTATAACAATAAAAATCTATTAAATGTATTTAATGTTTGAAATAATTGTTCAATTTTTCACTGAGTATTTTTTAACATTGTTTTCTAATTACACTTTTTTTTATAGGTTGATGCATTAGAAAGTCGTATATCTGAGATAAAATGTGACATATCTAATAGTTACAAGCAAACTCAAAAAGTTATATCTGAATCATTTCTAAATGAAGATGAACTTAATGATCACGATTATTTGAACGCATTGGAGGCACCCAGCAAAGAAAAGATAGAAATGAAAAAGAATACAAATGTGAAAAAAAAAATTGTGGAATCTAAAAAGTTAACAGAATTTGAAGAAATAAATGAAGATAAAGAGGTATACAATTTAATTTTTTTAATTGTATAACTAAATTGCACCTCCATCAAATTACGTAATACTAATTAATTTATTTAAATATTCAGGTTGATATAATGGAAGATGAAAAAGATTCATCGCCTGTTCAAAATGTTTCTGAACTTGTAAATTCAATTAAAGAAGGCGAAGAAGTGATTATTAAAGTTGAATCATTAGATTACTTAAATAATGACTTAAAAAAAACTCTTTTAAAACGAGGAAAAATTAACTCAAAAGAAGAACAATCACCAGAACAGGTAAACTGTATTTTATAATTTTAATTATCTGTAAATGGCGTAAAATTGCATAATTCAGTAAAATTTTATTAATAATATTAAAAAATGAGAAATATTTTTATACTTGCTGGAAAGAGAAATGAATGTATTTTTAATTTTTGGTAGATTGTTTTACGAGAGGATTCAGTGTATACGTGTTTATTATGTTCTCGCAATGCAGTAAAAGGCGATGCAAAAAGCATTGTTGCTCACTTGAAAGCAGTACATGATACTCGATTGTATATATGTGATTTGTGTGGCTTAGAATTTAAAAAACGAACAGATCTCTCAGTTCACCTTGATGATCATGTAGCAAAAGAAGAAGGAGATTTTCAGTGTGAAAATTGCAACAGAATATTTAATAATTTACGACTTTTTAGAATACATAAGCGAATTCATTACCCACAAACTAAGTCTTGGCCTTGTGAAATTTGTGGCAAACGATACAGGTAATATTTTTTTTTAGTTTAATATTTAATAATAATGAAGAAACATAAAATAATTACTAATAGAATAATTGAAATTTATATTTAAATGGGTTCAAAATATTAAATTATTATATTTTGTTTTTTTGTTGCACAATTTAAGTTCAAGAAATTTGCTTGAAGAACACACTAATACACATAAAGGAGTTCGGCCATATATGTGTAAATGTGGAAAAGACTTTTCTTCAAAATATACCTACAAAGCACACGTTAAAACACACGAATATCGTCCACGTCCTTTTGAATGCTCACATTGTAGCAAAACTTTTTTGAGTCAACAGAATCTTAGTCAACATGAAAGAACTCACAATGGAATTAAGGAATATGTGTGTGACCAATGTGGTAAGTTCATCAACTGTTATATATATATATATATTTTTTTTTTTTTTTTAATGTTACGATATTAAAACCAATATTTGCATTTTATAAATGATTTTAATTAAAGGTAAAGCGTTTGGATCACAGCATAATTTAGAAGTACACAGTATAGTTCACACTGGATACAAACCATATAATTGTAGAACTTGTGGTAAAGCATTTGCTAGAAAAGCAGAAATAAGAGATCACGAAAGAACACATACTGGTGAAAAGCCATATCAGTGTGAATATTGTGGAGCAACTTTCAGGTAAAATAAAATAATATGTTAAATTGTGCGCACTTATTGCTGATATTAAAAAGGTGTATCTACAAATCGAGGTAATGTAATGTTTACAGTCAAAGATCCAATCTTCAGTCCCACAAACGAGCAACTCATTATAATGATAAGAGATACAAGTGTGATGATTGTGGAAAAGGATTCAAACGTCGTAGACTTCTAGACTATCATATAAAAGCAGCTCATACAGGAGAACGTCCATATAAATGTGAAACTTGTACAGCAACATTTGTTTATCCTGAACACTTCAAAAAACATATGCGCATTCATACAGGAGAAAAGCCATTCTTGTGTGAAGTAAGAAAAATGTTTAACAATTATTATTTTAGATATATTTTAATATGGTATCGATTTATACTTTTATATTATTGAATATCTAAATAACATCGGTTTATTTGCAGGTATGCGGTAAAGCTTTTAATAGCCGTGACAATCGAAATGCTCATCGTTTTATCCACAGTGATAAAAAACCTTATGAATGTTTAGTTTGTGGTACTGGCTTCATGAGGAAACCTTTGTTATATGCTCATATGCAAACACAAGTAAGCATAACCATAAGTAAACTAGATTTTTTCAATCCATGTTTTGTATAGTTTTAGTTGAAATAATAACTAATCCTTTACGTATAGGGACATCTTAATGATACAATTGTTGTAAATCAACCAAGATTGACAACAGAAGATGATCAACTTATTACTGTCTCAGATGGCAATGTAGAATTGTTAATGGAAAACGCCGATGCAGAACAGGTAATTATTTATCCATAACATAAAAAGTTGTTAGTTAATTGACATTACTTTCTAAATTCATTGTATTTTACAATATAGCTTAGTGAAGCAGGATTATATGTAACTGATCTAAAGAACCACGTCATCATACATCAAGATGGTAATCAAATATACCATGAAGAAGGTGTACTAAATATCCCTACTGATGGTGATATTAATAATGATCAAGTTCAGCATCTTGTTGTGGATGGACAGGTAAACATATTGAATATAATATTATTTCCTCTCTAATACTTTTTTTTTATCTATTCTCTTTATAAAAAGATTATAATTTATATTCAGCTTATGAAACAAAAAATAGTTTTTTATTTTCTTTTGATTTTCTTGTATCGGTTAAAAAATATGTAATTTTTCCTACAGTTGCTTGAGAATGAAGCACATACATCTAGAGAAGAGGATGATGATGAAGGTTTAGAAGATGAAGAAGAAGAAGATGATGAAGATGATGACGACGATGAGTTATATAGTTATCAAGAAGGAAATCATAAAGAAACTATACTTTTACCGGGAACTTCAAATTATAAACAAATTATAGGAGACAATAAAAATTCTGTTAGATTGGTACAAATAAGGATTCCTACTTCTTCTGCTGGTGATGGAAGAAGTTGGTTAAATTTAGTACAAAGCACTTAGACTTTAATTAAGTTTTCATACAATAATTTGTGGTGTTCTTTTCATTATAAATTTAAATTCGTTTTACTCAATAAAAGTAAGGTTTCACTGTATTTAAATTTTATTGATTGAACCTATAGCAAATACATAATTTAAATCTTTATATAGAGGGATTCGACGTCAGGAACAAACATTTGTGTGACGAACTTCTAATTTGGCTCATGTTTTACAAGTGGTTTCACCTGATTTTGAACAAATAAATATTAAGGAAATACAATTAAAATTGCATGTTTTATAGAAAACCTTAATGTTAATTAATTAATAATTAATTGCTAAATAATAATAATACTATAGTGTAATCTTTTAAAATTAAAAATAAATGTTAATCAACAATCAAATTATAATAATAACCAATTCATAAATGTTAATTTTAAATTCAAAGACTAAATTGTTGATATCAACAATAATAAAAATTGTCAACCATTAATAATGTAATCTTTTAAAAATAAATATTTATAATAATAATTGATTGACTCAATTGAGACCGATTTAATTTTCAATCGGGTAGACCTTTTTCAGATTACCCAAGTGTGGGTGGCCGCACAACCTTTAGATTAATAATACATCTTAAGCTAATATATGGTATGTTCCTTCTTTTTATCGAGTGGAGACACGTGGAGACATTGAACAAAAGAAGGTATTGTACTGATAATAATTTATTAACTCGAAAATAAAACATTAACTTTAACAGCCATTTACTCGAAAACTTGTTTTCGCAACTTAGGTCCCTTTTAATTGTCTAGGTTACATAAATTTTACACCAATATTTAAGTATTTACATCTAAATACAGAAGGAAATTTCTATAGAATGTATACAGCATACGTGAATTGAAAAACTTAAATTAATGCAAATTAAGATCTAAACTGTAGCCATGAGTTAACAAATAAATATTAATTACATGTACGTAAAAAATCTAGAAAGATAAAAATTTGTTTAATTTAACAAAGTAGTGTTAAATTGTTGTTTCTTCCTTTATTTAACCCTGCAATAACATAATAATAATAATAATAATAACATGAAATAAAATTAAAGTTGAAATTTACAAACATTTCTAATGCTCCACTTAAAAATAATCATGTAACAAAGGACATTTACTTTTACGTCAAACAATAAACCGCTAAAGAATAGTAGCTTCTTTAAATTTTTTCACATAGACGTAAAAGAAAATATGATTTATTACGCCACTATTTTTAAAGGGGAATGTAAGAATTAATTTGATATAAATTTTTGTTTACCAATCACTGAAATAAATTTTACATACATACAAGATAATTTAGAAAGACTAACTTGAATAACTTTAAATGCATTTTTAATAGGGAATTTGATTTTGATAATACTGAATCATATCATATGCTTTAGTTCGGAAATTGATGTAACTGTTCCGTATAACGTTGAGCATAAAGATAGCAGCTTCACGGTCTGTAGATGTAGGTGCGAAACGGCTTCTTAATAATTTTATAGTCTGGCCTCTAAAGCAAGGCAATCCTGTGTCAAGCATTAACGAAACTAGCGATATTATTGCTTCTTGATAAGGCCTGCAAACACAAAATTCAAATAGAAGGTAACATAAATTACATTGCTTCTAATTATTATATATTCAAAAAAAAAACTAACCTGACAGCTAAAAATGCTTGTACGCAAAGTTCCATGAACCGTCGAAAAGGTGCAGCTTCCATTTTACCGCCCATTACCAATACCATTTCATCTGTTAATTTAATATCAGGTTCAAAACCTAAATTACCACCAGGAGAACTTTCAAACATAAATCCAAAATCGATGTGAATAATATGACCCTCATTGTCGATCATAATATTTCCATTGTGTCGATCTTTGATTTGAAGTAAATATGTGATGACGCTGTAGGCAGCCATTGATTTTATGAAATTTCGTCGCACGTTCTGAAATTCATTAGTTGTTTCATCACCATACTTTGTTATAAAGTATTCATATAATCCTCCATCCTGCCGACGACCAAGTTGATCTCTTGACTCTGCATTTGGAACACATTCTATCACACCACACTAGAAATAAAATTTAAATTATAACAATTATAACCCTGTCGGATTAGCTCAACCAATCTCTAACTGAATTTTATCAGGTTTCGTTCAAGTTTGATTCTAAACAAAATATTGCAACTAATTAGTGGCGGACTTAATTACGAGATAATGCAAATCAAAATTTTACATTAAAGTAACTTACACCAGGTGCTGTTGCAACAACTCTATATGGATATAAAAATAGATTAAGTCCCACTTTTTGAAATATATTTTTGAATATGCTGATAACTTGAAGAGCTAACATATCTTGTCTAACATCATCTCCAACTTTAAATATAGCAGCTTGCCAAGTTGAAATTCCTAAATTTTTGGTTTCCATCTTTGTGTTTGATGACACTGTCATTGCAATGTTTTCTAATTCATTGATTCCATAGCGTTGTACTTTGAAACGAGCAAGAAAAGGTGCTTTAGCAGCGCTGAAATAAAAAATTTTAATGATTTAATGAATGATGAGGAATTAGAAGTTGGTATTTTTTTTCCCAATTCCATTTTTTAATTTAATGATTTTTAATTTTGAAAACTTACCTTTGCATAGGCGTACCGCTGTTATAATCAATGTCAACAACCATTGCTTCAGGATTTGAAGGTAAATAACAGCCAGGTTGAACTTTAATTTCTCTTAAACATTGAAGACATGCTTGCTTTCTTTCTATTCCTTTCGGATATGGCCTAATTTCTCCAGAAATACTTGTTATTTTCTCGAAAAAGACAAATTCTCTTTCATAAAATTGTTTCGCAGGTCCCGAAAGAGCACCTAACAGACTTGTTACCAGAGAATCTAATGTGTCGTAAAGTATAGGATCCTTAATCTGCTTATCTTCATCTACGTACATATTTGTGTACATATTCCAAATTAACTGATGTGCTACGACCTAAAACATACAATTATTTTAAAAATGGTAAATTTTTTTATAGCAAGTGTAGACAAATTTCGCAAACCTGAGATCGTTTCGAAATTGTTTTGATGAACTCCGTAATATAACCCATTGAATCATGTCTTAACGCTTGAACAAGTTGAGGAATATAAAATAAAACTGCATCCGCAGGATAACTTCCTAACACTCTAACTGCGTACTGTGCTGAAATTGGATGATGAGGAAACTGTCTCGAAAAATAGGCTAAGGCTTGAATTGGTGATACTCTCGCCCATGATAACATGTAAACCAACTGTAAATAATATTTTTAAATTAAAATAATATTTATTATTCACAATTTACATAAATTGTAAACACACCTCAGGAGCGTCATTCAATAAAAGATCTGTTGTGACTAAGTATTGTAAAGCTTCGGGTACGTGCATCACAGCAACAGGACGAAGACGAACTAGTCGACAAACTTCCTTAACAATAGTTTCTGAATTTTTCAACCGAACAGGTAAAAAAACTGCCAGCACAGGACTAATATCCCAAGCCAGTCGAGTGTAATCTCGCCAACGTTCATTCATTGTTTTTAATCGCCATTCTGCTATACTTTGTTCCCCTTGCACTGCAAGATCTGGTCTATCTCCTGGATTTCGCCAAACCTATAAATTAAAGTCATAATTACAGTGTATGTATTGTTTACTATGATAATGTAATTCTGACTTTTCATTTACAAACCAGTAATAATTCTATTTCCACAGCCAAAAGTTCTAGAATAAGATTTCTCTTTTTGATATAATCTTTGACGAAAAAGTTTCCAGTAACAATACGTTTACTGCGATTACTGCGTTTACTGAGCGTGTTATTACTAGCTGAAAGAGGTATTGTATTTATCCATCCAGAAGTTGAAGATTTTCCTAAATCAGAATTACTCAACGTTGGAGAATTGATTAAGTCATTAGGTCCTCCAGTACTGGATGTATTGCCCATATGAGATCTAATGATTTCAAACTCTCCGTCGCCATTTGTCATCAGCAAATACTTTTTATCATTTTTTATTATCTATAGGAAAATAAAGCAATATAATTAAGTTATATCAATGTAGTTCCAACACAAAAAACAATGCTGTATAAAACAATCAAACAACATGATTGACAGTTTCCAAATCAAATGACCCATGCAAATTGCATTACCTGCCAAAAACGTCTAAGTGTTAAAATATCTTCTAGAAGTTGAACTGGTTCTTGAGTAGGACTTTGACGTTCACGACAAAAATAGTCTAAACAGTTACAGTAAATCCTTTCACGCAAGACATTTGTACTCAATGATCTAAATGAATTTATTAAAAATGTTTAATATTTTATATTTAATAACGTTTAAAATTAAAATGATAAGTTCTTCTCACCGTGATAATGTGTCGCCTTGTAGTAAAATTAATCCACAAGAAAGAAGTTTAAACCGAATTCCCACAGCTGCCACATGTCGATTTAAATGAGGTTCGTGTTTCTGAGACCCAACTGTCATTGGTAACGAACGATGTAGTAACATCGAAATCATTTCAACAGTTTCTTGACAGCAATACTTTGCTGTCTCTATAAGTTCCATTATAAAAGTTACCCAAATTTCATGAGGTTTAACGTCGGGTGGATTTGGACCAATTTTACATCCCTCATATACTGCCAGGGGACTTACTTCTTCTTCATCCTCAGAAAATATACCCATTCTTTTTTCTACTGTATATTGCCAAGCTGCAAGCATTTCCTGTAGGAAGCAAAGTTTTAGATCCGGACGAGCAGTGAAAATCCATTGCCAACAATCCACTGCAGTAGACATAGCGGTTTCTGTAAATAGTTTAACTTGGGACCAAGCAACTGTATGCAGCAATGGTCTATGTATTCCTAAAAAAATAAGAGAAATCCTTTAGCGGATGCTGAGCTACACTCAAATCAATTTCGGAAAAAATTTTGAAAAATTAAATTTTCGAGATAATCGCTCCGGAATACCATAACTGTCTTTAGCAAAAAGTAGCGAACAAAAAATGTATGGCGCACTTTTTGATTGGTCCAGCGGATGCTGAGCTACACTTAAATAAAATTCCGAAAAATTTTCGAAAAATTAAATTTTCGAGATAAGCGCTCCGGAATACCACCACAAAAATAGGGAAAAAGTTTCGAACAAAAAATGTATGGCGCACTTTTTGATTGGTCCAGCGGATGCTGAGCTACACTCAAATCATTTTCGGAAAAAATTTTGAAAAATTAAATTTTCGAGTTAATCGCTCCGGAATACCATAACTGTCTTTAGCAAAAAGTAGCGAACAAAAAATGTATGGGGCACTTTTTGATTGGTCCAGCGGATGCTGAGCTACAGTAAAAAACAAATTTGGAAAAATTTTCAAAAAATTAAATTCGCTAGATAACCGTTCGGGAATACCGCCATAGTGATTAGAAGAATGTTCTGAACAAAAAATGTATGGGGCACTTTTTGATTGGTCCAGCGGATGCTGAGCTACAGTAAAAAACAAATTTGGAAAAATTTTCAAAAAATTAAATTCGCTAGATAACCGTTCGGGAATACCGCCATAGTGATTAGAAGAATGTTCTGAACAAAAATGTATGGGGCACTTTTTGATTGGTCCAGCGGATGCTGAGCTACAGTAAAAAACAAATTTGGAAAAAATTACAAAAAATTAAATTTGCGAGATTATCGGTCGGGAATACCAACAATAAAATAGTCAAAAAGTTCCGAACAAAAAATGTATAGCGCACTTTTTGATTGGTCCAGCGGATGCTGAGCTACAGTAAAAAACAAATTTGGAAAAAATTACAAAAAATTAAATTTGCGAGATTATCGGTCGGGAATACCGCCATAGTGATTAGAAGAAAGTTCTGAACAAAAAATGTATGGCGCACTTTTTGATTGGTCCAGCGGATGCTGAGCTACAGTAAAAAACAAATTTGGAAAAAATTTAGAAAAATTAAATTCGCGAGATTATCGGTCGGGAATACCACCAATAAAATAGTCAAAAAGTTCCGAACAAAAAATGTATGGCGCACTTTTTGATTATTCCAGCGGATGCTGAGCTACACTTAAATAAAATTCCGAAAAATTTTCGAAAAATTAAATTTTCGAGATAAGCGCTCCGGAATACCACCACAAAAATAGGGAAAAAGTTTCGAACAAAAAATGTATGGGGCACTTTTTAATTGGTCCAGCGGATGCTGAGCTACAGTAAAAAACAAATTTGGAAAAATTTTCAAAAAATTAAATTCGCTAGATAATCGTTCGGGAATACCGCCATAGTGATTAGAAGAATGTTCTGAACAAAAAATGTATGGGGCACTTTTTAATTGGTCCAGCGGATGCTGAGCTACACTCAAAAATAATTTGGAAAAATTTTCAAAAAATTAAATTTGCAAGATAATCGTTCGGGAATACCGCCATAGTGATTAGAAGAAAGTTCTGAACAAAAAATGTATTGGGCACTTTTTGATTGGTCCAGCGGATGCTGAGCTACACTTAAATAAAATTCCGAAAAATTTTCGAAAAATTAAATTTTCGAGATAAGCGCTCCGGAATACCACCACAAAAATAGGGAAAAAGTTTCGAACAAAAAATGTATGGGGCACTTTTTGATTGGTCCAGCGGATGCTGAGCTACAGTAAAAAACAAATTTGGAAAAAATTTAGAAAAATTAAATTCGCGAGATTATCGGTCGGGAATACCACCAATAAAATAGTCAAAAAGTTCCGAACAAAAAATGTATGGCGCACTTTTTGATTATTCCAGCGGATGCTGAGCTACACTTAAATAAAATTCCGAAAAATTTTCGAAAAATTAAATTTTCGAGATAAGCGCTCCGGAATACCACCACAAAAAAAGGGAAAAAGTTTCGAACAAAAAATGTATGGCGCACTTTTTGATTGGTCCAGCGGATGCTGAGCTACACTCAAATCAATTTCGGAAAAAATTTTGAAAAATTAAATTTTCGAGTTAATCGCTCCGGATTACCATAACTGTCTTTAGCAAAAAGTAGCGAACAAAAAATGTATGGGGCACTTTTTGATTAGTCCAGCGGATGCTGAGCTACAGTAAAAAACAAATTTGGAAAAATTTTCAAAAAATTAAATTCGCTAGATAATCGTTCGGGAATACCGCCATAGTGATTAGAAGAATGTTCTGAACAAAAAATGTATGGGGCACTTTTTGATTGGTACAGCGGATGCTGAGCTACACTTAAATAAAATTCCGAAAAATTTTCGAAAAATTAAATTTTCGAGATAAGCGCTCCGGAATACCACCACAAAAATAGGGAAAAAGTTTCGAACAAAAAATGTATGGCGCACTTTTTAATTGGTCCAGCGGATGCTGAGCTACACTCAAATCAATTTCGGGAAAAATTTTGAAAAATTAAATTTTCGAGTTAATCGCTCCGGAATACCATAACTGTCTTTAGCAAAAAGTAGCGAACAAAAAATGTATGGGGCACTTTTTGATTGGTCCAGCGGATACTGAGCTACAGTAAAAAACAAATTTGGAAAAATTTTCAAAAAATTAAATTCGCGAGATTATCGGTCGGGAATACCACCAATAAAATAGTCAAAAAGTTCCGAACAAAAAATGTATGGCGCACTTTTTGATTATTCCAGCGGATGCTGAGCTACACTTAAATAAAATTCCGAAAAATTATCGAAAAATTAAATTTTCGAGATAAGCGCTCCGGAATACCACCACAAAAATAGGGAAAAAGTTTCGAACAAAAAATGTATGGCGCACTTTTTAATTGGTCCAGCGGATGCTGAGCTACACTCAAATCAATTTCGGAAAAAATTTTGAAAAATTAAATTTTCGAGTTAATCGCTCCGGAATACCATAACTGTCTTTAGCAAAAAGTAGCGAACAAAAAATGTATAGGGCACTTTTTGATTGGTCCAGCGGATGCTGAGCTACAGTAAAAAACAAATTTGGAAAAATTTTCAAAAATTTAAATTCGCTAGATAATCGTTCGGGAATACCGCCATAGTGATTAGAAGAATGTTCTGAACAAAAAATGTATTGCGCACTTTTTGATTGGTCCAGCGGATGCTGAGCTACACTCAAATCAATTTCGGAAAAAATTTTGAAAAATTAAATTTTCGAGTTAATCGCTCCGGAATACCATATCTGTCTTTAGCAAAAAGTAGCGAACAAAAAATGTATGGGGCACTTTTTGATCGGTCCAGCGGATGCTGAGCTACAGTAAAAAAGAAATTTGGAAAAAATTACAAAAAATTAAATTTGCGAGATTATCGGTCGGGAATACCGCCATAGTGATTAGAAGAAAGTTCTGAACAAAAAATGTATGGCGCACTTTTTGATTGGTCCAGCGGATGCTGAGCTACACTCAAAAATAATTTGGAAAAATTTTCAAAAAATTAAATTTGCAAGATAATCGTTCGGGAATACCGCCATAGTGATTAGAAGAAAGTTCTGAACAAAAAATGTATTGGGCACTTTTTGATTGGTCCAGCGGATGCTGAGCTACATTAAAAAACAAATTTGGAAAAATTTTCAAAAAATTAAATTCGCTAGATAATCGTTCGGGAATACCACCAGAGTGATTAGAAGAAAGTTCTGAACAAAAAATGTATGGCGCACTTTTTGATTGGTCCAGCGGATGCTGAGCTACAGTAAAAAACAAATTTGGAAAAATTTTCAAAAAATTAAATTTTCGAGATAAGCGCTCCGGAATACCACCACAAAAATAGGGAAAAAGTTTCGAACAAAAAATGTATGGTGCACTTTTTAATTGGTCCAGCGGATGCTGAGCTACACTCAAAAATAATTTGGAAAAATTTTCAAAAAATTAAATTTGCAAGATAATCGTTCGGGAATACCGCCATAGTGATTAGAAGAAAGTTCTGAACAAAAAATGTATTGGGCACTTTTTGATTGGTCCAGCGGATGCTGAGCTACATTAAAAAACAAATTTGGAAAAATTTTCAAAAAATTAAATTCGCTAGATAATCGTTCGGGAATACCACCAGAGTGATTAGAAGAAAGTTCTGAACAAAAAATGTATGGCGCACTTTTTGATTGGTCCAGCGGATGCTGAGCTACAGTAAAAAACAAATTTGGAAAAATTTTCAAAAAATTAAATTTTCGAGATAAGCGCTCCGGAATACCACCACAAAAATAGGGAAAAAGTTTCGAACAAAAAATGTATGGTGCACTTTTTAATTGGTCCAGCGGATGCTGAGCTACACTCAAATCAATTTCGGAAAAAATTTTGAAAAATTAAATTTTCGAGTTAATCGCTCCGGAATACCATAACTGTCTTTAGCAAAAAGTAGCGAACAAAAAATGTATGGCGCACTTTTTGATTGGTCCAGCGGATGCTGAGCTACAGTAAAAAACAAATTTGGAAAAATTTTCAGAAAATTAAATTCTCTAGATAATCGTTCGGGAATACCGCCATAGTGATTAGAAGAAAGTTCTGAACAAAAAATGTATGGCGCACTTTTTGATTGGTCCAGCGGATGCTGAGCTACAGTAAAAAACAAATTTGGAAAAATTTTCAAAAAATTAAATTTTCGAGATAAGCGCTCCGGAATACCACCACAAAAATAGGGAAAAAGTTTCGAACAAAAAATGTATGGTGCACTTTTTAATTGGTCCAGCGGATGCTGAGCTACACTCAAATCAATTTCGGAAAAAATTTTGAAAAATTAAATTTTCGAGTTAATCGCTCCGGAATACCATAACTGTCTTTAGCAAAAAGTAGCGAACAAAAAATGTATGGGGCACTTTTTGATTGGTCCAGCGCAACGTCAAGTACGAAAGGAATTAAAAAATATTACAAAATGTAAATGTACAATATATTGAGATTGCACAATAAATACCTGAGATGGAAATTAGAAGAGAAGTAGTCCTCCAAAGGGCACTTCTATGTTCTTTATCATTTCCTTCCTGGCAAGCTTTTGAGACAGCATCAATTAATCGATCGGCAACTATATTCTGACCTACATGATTTGTTTCATTTGGAGATTGTGATTTATCCTCAGCGAGATTAAGCATTCCTGCAACTTCTCCCGCATACCAAGAACGTGTTGACATCATCGACAGAAGCCGAGAACTAGCACCTTTTGCTCGAGCCCTCTTATCTAAAGTACTAGTCTATAATTCCAGAAAATATTATTTTAAATTTTAATTAACTTTAAAAATAACATTATGATGTAAACAATCTAAACATCTTACTAGGACAGTGGTAGTCGTTGGAAGTGCAAGGTCAACAAATTCAAGAATGGAATCAGCTGCCATTGCATAACTCGCATAGCCACTTGTGCCGGAAGCAGGAATACGATTGATATACTCTTGTAAATGTGAGCGTGTTGCATGTGGTGCCCATTTCATTGCTTCCTGCACGATTTCTTTGCATCTTGCAGTAAAATCTTTTACAATATTCTATAAACAATTAAGTTAATTTTACATTAGATCGCGTACAGAAAAAAATTAATTTTATTAGATATGAAAATGATACCTCTCGAGCATCAACAGTTTCCATTAATTGAATGCTATAAAGTGTGCCGGGTATTTGTAATTCTGGGGTTTCTTCATTTGGGTCCAAATGAAGAGAATAAGATAAAACCTATAAAATATTATTATAAGTAACCATTGTTAGTAACATTAATCACTAAATTACTATGTAATATTTTTACCAGTAAAATGTCTAACATCGTCCATAAAACTTTACAATTCCAAAGAAGATGAGGAAACGTATCTATTAGAGCACTTAAATACTTGTCAGCAACTCGTCTAATTTGCTTATGAATATGATTGAAGTATACCAAAAGAAATTTTGCATGATTTTCTAATTGCCGCTCTCGTTTCTCGTCTTTTGGTTTACGATGCATAACATCTTTAAATTTTGTGAATACGGCGTCTCCAACACAGCAAATACACAACCACATTCCACTTTTATCTTTCAACAACGCAGCATCACTAAGATACTCCATAATAGGTTGTAAACTTGGTTCGGGACTATTCTCCACTCTCAGTGTCTCTAACCAGTAAACTGATAAAAGATAAGTGCACTGAGCAAACTGTAACTTCGCAACATACGGAGTAATATCGCTTGATCTGTAAAACATTAAGATTAGAATCATCTGTTACATTAGGCGTTACAAGTTGCACAATTTTTCGTACCTGCTACTCATTTTAAGTATTTGACTTCGTAACTCCTGAAGTTCGTTTTGTGAAACACTATCATTTCTGACGACAGATGTAAACTGAAGTTCACGCATTTCGACCCTTGAACTTATTTGAAACACAAGATATGGAGACTTTATAGCAATGTCCTTAATTCCTATATACCAATCTCGAGGCCGCATTCCACTTGAAGAATCTGACACAAATCCCATCACAACACAGTATAACCAAAAATCCTTGAAAATTTTTAACATTCGTGGACGTGGATTTCTAATGGGAGGCAATCTTCGAACTAAAATTGCTATAACGGGTATTAAAATTCCCATTCCAGCTGAACAACTTGAAGTTTTCTGTTACGAAATTAAATTAATAAGACTTTAAATAGTAACTAAAATTCTAATTAAAATAAGTAATTTGTTTTAGTACCGTAGCAGTAGCTACATTATTTGTAGATTTATCGATTGTCCTTTTCGGTTCAAGGCCCAACTGTACAAAAAGTTCTAAAAGACGAAGAAGTAAGTCATCCAACTCGGACTCTCCCTGTATATTCGCAGCAATATTAGCGAGGGCATTGGTGACTGCAGAAGAGACATGTAAATATTTCTGACGATCATCTGTTGGTACAAGGGACATCCAAAACATTCGCATAATTTCCTCATAAACCTGTGATATTGATTCTTTCTCATTTCCTTCACCTGTTCCACATTTGGCAATAACCATACAACCTAACTGATTTACAATCAAAGCGTCTAAACCACTCTGTTTTCGACAAAATCGCTGCTGGAAAAATTGTAATATTGTCCGAGTAGTCTTTGGTTTATCTTTAAGAGCGACTGCAACATGTCCTAACATTATCACAATATTCGTAGAGATTAATTCATTTGTTATCTGTTTATCGTTTTCACTGAAAAAAAGTAATATTTAATATTTTTATATTCTTGTTTACGAAAGAAGTAATGTAAAATTTAAAAATGGAAAAAAAATTATAAAAAATTTAGTCAATTAAAAATATCTACCTTTCGCTTTTTTCTGCAGTAAAAAGTCTATTTGAAACACTTGCCACTAAAGCAGGGACACAGTCCGGATCAACTGAATGTGCAGCTTCAAGAGCAACACATAGATTCCTAATAGCTGAGTCTCGCAATGTTTCAAATGCCATTTCAGTTAAGGAAGAAGTTTGTTTTATGTTAGTTTCTCTCATCTCGTTATCTTGCACTAATTAATAAAGCAGTTATGAAATAATAAATGAAGATCCAATTTTATGATATACGGTAATAAGAAGATAATGCATTACTTACATGTAACTTTAAATTTATTTTTAATATCACGTTCTTTAAATTGCCGATAAAGTTTGAGGAGAATTGGCGAAGGTGTCACGAGGAAATCACGTAAATTATATATGGAAGTAGTTGCAATGTTAGGAAACTTTTGCGCAAGTTTACCTAAACCGTCCAAGCAGACCATTAATAGTGGCATATGTGCAAGAACTAATTTGTGGCTATAGTTTGAATAAATTTTTTCCGTTAATCGGCTACAGAGACTATCAGCTCCTGTAAAAAATAATAAAATATTTATTGGGAATCATAATATGTATATTAAACTATAATAACTTACCTGTTTCGTCACCAATAGCCCAAACCAAAATGTCAACACATGCAGAATTTGCCATTACATTCATTTTGAACCTATTAACTGATTTGTAATCTATATCCATCAACTCGCGATCAGTTGTATCATATTGCTGGCGTGATTGTAGTTCAGTTTGTCCGGAAAGAAATAAACCCTTCATAAATTCTTGTACATCTCGTGTAAATGGAATTGGTAAATCTCTTTGACCTTGTAATAGTTCTCGTAAAAGCGCTACCATAACTAAGTTCATTGTTTCACTGAAGGATTTGTATGGGAAAATTTGTACTGCTCCAGAACTGTAGACCTAAAATTTGAGTGATTATTAGAATTAAAGTATAAAGAAACTGTAATGTAACTTTTACTATAATTTATAAATAACTTTGAAAAATTACCTGCTGTGCCTCTTCATCAAGAAAAGCCAAAGTATCTTTCATAAGGAGTTTCTTGGCCAATGCAAGTACACTTTGTAAATGTACAATACTCAATTGTAAATTTGTTCTCGTATAAGGACTTTCATTTTGTCGTATTTGAGGAAACTGATTAAAACTGGAACCATATTTATGAAAAAAGTAACTGCTTGGATCATATGGCACCGATGAATAAGATTGCAATGAAGGACGACTATCATAATCGTTGGTGGATAACGAAACTGCAGCATTTTCCATGGGAATATTAATATTTAAATTGCCACTTAAAGAACGAGGAATAATGGGCTGAAAATTAGAGCAGTGAGTACTTTTTTTATTGCTTAAATTATTAGCGTCGGATATATTTGCAGATACTGGTGGCTTTGGACGAGGAAATAGACGACAGAGTAATGGAGGGTCTAAAAACATAAATCTTCCCATCGAACGTGCCAATCCAATTAATACGGGAACTAGACATTTGCATAAGAGTACTGAAAAAAATAATTATTTAATTAACTATTATTCAGGTATAAGGAATGTAATAATAAAAATCTTAAAATCTTACTTTTAGCCTGTAGTCCTCTACCATTATTTTGAAGGCTACTACCTCGAATAAGGTTTGTTAAAACAGCTAATATTTCAACTTGAGTGGCGATAATTTCTTCTCTTGCAGTTTCACATCTTGCAGCAATATCACTTAGTAATGTATTCAAGCAAAAACTAAAACGCTCAGCAACGGGAACTCGTTCTATTCTATTGTAAATTATTTCGTCCAACCATACAGCTTTAGGAAGGCCACGCAAAAGTCGTAATAAATAAGGTAAAATTCGGTCGCGATGCTGCAGTCCCGATTCGAGGAAGTAAATTCCAAGTGCAATCGTTGCATCTTGTCCCCTTTGATCCAATCGAAAGACACCAGAACTCTCTTGGGGGCATCGTTTATAGAGTGCATTGACCTGAAATTAAATATGAATTGTCTGAGTTAGTATTAGAATAAAAACATTTTTTTCCATTTAAAAAATGAATATTCTCTGCGTAAGTTTTTTATAAATGAAAGCAATAAATTTTAACACACTCATTGTAGAACATACATCCTATTATTAGAACATAAGAGATCAGGATTCTTCTCAAACAATTAAAATGATATCGTGCAAGTAAAACATTTATGTAACTTATAACATTAAGAAATCTGTATTACATAATGAGAGTATTAGACATACATGATTTCAGGTACTGCTACACAATTAAACGTGTCAAAAAAAATGTTGCCCTATAATTGTTTTATTTTCTAACCGATTTTTATTCAGTTGCGATATTAAACTACGTAATTTTTAAATAAATAGAATGGAAATAATAATTAATTAACAATAATCAATAATATGTCGTATCGTATCATTATGATACTAGTATAATAAATATATTATAATAATATTGAATAGATTCTTCCAGAAATCGTTGTTCAGCTATTATTGATGATTACAATGAGCCTACATTATTTTATTAAAATCTATACATTATATGTCAGTATTATTTAGAATTTAATATTATAACCTACAATTAAAAATTTAGTTGTGCATCATTTTATTTTAATCACACTTTTAATTGTAGTTCGTTTTGGTGACGTGACAATAACAAAAAATGATAATTATCCTATCAAATGTAAAATATATATTAATAATCAACTTATCAATTAGTTGAATTACCCAAAGACCTGAGAAAATAATTGATGTATATTATTTAAAAATTAAGTAGACTTTAACTTATAGAATAAACCAATTTAATTATCATACTTTTTCCCAAGGTGTAGGTGTTATTCCTGCTAAAGATCTGGCCAAATGTTGAACTGTTTTTGAAAAGAAAAACTTCTCATCTTCTGACATAATTTCTCCTCTGCTGTTTTAACAGCAGACGACAAGTATTAACTGTCAAGAAAATTCAGGATTCAACCATGATCCAACTACAAAAGTTACATCATCACTCACGAAAAAAATGTTGGTGCATCAGATGCGCATTCTATGGTTGAAGTGTTGTACTATTAGTTAAGAGCAATTGTAACCGCACCCTACTCTAGTAAAAATTTAGTGACTGTATTTTTTAAAATGAAAGTTACTATAAAGTTACTAAATTTTCACTAAAGCAGGATGCGGTAGTTGACGAATCAATGTGATTTCACCTTTAGAAAAATGCGCGCGCATGGTTTCGATAATGCATTTTGTTCATGTCGATAAAAAAGTTGTAAAAGCAGCTTTTTGTTGGATAATGCTCTAGCAAATCTTTATGTCTTCTACGTCCATATTCTTGTTTTTTACTTGAAATTAAAAATGGAAAAATTTTTGGGTATTGATAAACTACAAACATTAATTCGTACAATTCGTATGCATGGAGGCGTTTTGGCATCTATTCGTACGTTGTTTAGGTATTTAAACAATAATTTATAAATTAATTTTATAATTCTTAATTAAATTTTTCTGTAAGATCTCAGTTGTAGATATACAAAAATACATCAAAAAGGAGACTGATAAAAAAATATGAAAAAATTTAATTTTTCAGGCTTATGTTATTGAAAGGCGTTGTGATATAAACAACTAAAAGTCTTCTGTACAATGAAATAAAATAGAAATAATTATAAACTTGTAAACAATGTTTTTTATAAAGTATAGCCAATTTTCGTAGACATTTGTAGATTATTCAGGCTTAGAATAAAATATATTTTAATTTTGACAAGAGAAAATGGGAAAAACTAGGAACTAACCTATGAACAAAATTAGTGAACACCTTGGCTTTGTTTAATTATTGCTTTATTTTATAGGATCGATGATTTGCCAATTGGAACGTTAATTGGTGAAGACAAATATGGAAATAAATATTACGAAAATCCCGCATATTTTTATGGTGAGAATATTTTTAATTATTATGGGAAGACTGAAGCTTATTGAATAAATGTTTGCTTTTTGTTAAAACTTTTTATTTTATTTAATTTTATGACTGATACCGTTTTTTAGAATTTTGTTATTTATTGGCAGAACAGTGATCTAGAGACAAATTGTTGATTTTTGCATTTTAGGTCGAAACCGATGGGTAGTGTATTCTGAAAAAGTAGGACTAAATTATGATGGCTCTCAAGTACCGGCAGAATGGTTTGGTTGGTTGCACTATAAAACCGATTTACCACCACATTTAGATCCCACACGACCTAAATACAAATGGATGTCTGATCATACTCCTAACTTATCTGGGACGAGTAAAGCCTACATGCCGTACAGTACAACTCGGACTAAAATTGAAGGCTGGCAACCACCAAAATAATTAATTATACAAATATAATTAAGAAATGTAGTTTTATTATATTAAAATTATCTTAACTTGATATTGTAATTTATGAAAATGATTGTAAATATATTATATGCACATATTAGTCTATGTTAACATTTATTCACATATATAAATAGTTGTCTCTGTTGCATTAAATGTAACATAAATACTAGTTAATAAACTATACATTACATCATTTACTACACATTAAATTAAAACACTTTTAATGGAACTAAGCTGGCAGATATGCCTTGCCTGGAGTAAGAGCTTTGGTTGCTTTCTCTTGTTCCCTGCAATCAATAATAAATATTATAAAACAAGGGAAAGAATTTCAACTTTGTACAAAATTAAAATAACTAGGAGTTTACATTACTTTATATCTCGTCAAAAAAACAACAGATTTACATGATCCAAAATAAATTGAAGATGATGGTCTAGGCTCAGTTACTTACCCTGCTGTTATCTGCTTTACAGTGGCTGATGAAATTACAAGAGGAGGTTCGACTTCACGTCTTGCATCGCGTGTAAAGTAATAAATTTTTGATGTTTTATGAAAGGGTCCTCCAGGTAAATCAGGCGGTGGTTGAGTTCTAGCTGCTTGATCATCTGCGTATCTTAGTGCATTTCGATGTTGCCTCTAAAAATAGAGTAAAATAACTATTTTATTAAATTCAATAATTATACATTGTAAAGTGAACAATTGACAATAAAAGACTTGTTCTCAACTTTAATAAAACTTAAGATATGGTGATTTAATTTGGCAAAACGTTTAAACGTCGACTTTGCGTATAACCTATTCGCCAGGGAAAACAGCCTTACTTAAATAATATATTCTTAGTTGTTTTTTTTAAATATGTAATATATCCTAACTTTATTTTATTCAAAGAATGTTACGACATCTGAACTTGACAATATTTAGATAAAAATATACTCACTCCTCTCAATATTACTCGTATACCATCTATTATAGGAGTTACAGTACGATGTTCTACTACACGACCCATTTTTTAAAAAATATTTAATAACACATATACATCCTTTTTTTCGTTTTTAAAAGACACTCTACAAATGAAATAAACTAAATTCTCCTTTTTTTGTGATAAAAAGTTAAGGCCGACGCACAATAGCTACGTGAAGTCAAACAATTGTGCGTTGGCCTTCATGAACCAAGTTCGTGAATCGATTGTGCGTTAACCCTAAAGAAGAGAACATCAACATAGAAATAATAAAAAAAATAATATTCACAAATAATTATATTCAAGAATAATAAATTAATAACTATTAGTTTTTATATATACTGTAAGTATCAGTTTAATTGTGAATCTTATTTAGTGTTTTGAGTATTTTTGAAAGATGTATTCTTTTATTAAAATATAGGTTAAAAATCATAGAGGTTTCTTCTGCTATTATTAATTCCTATTTGTAACTAAATAATTTAATCTTGTCAACTGTCATTGATTACAATAAAAGGGTAATCAATTATGTAGGTTTAGATAAAATTGCTCAGTATCATTTCTTTGTTTATAAATAAATTACCTCATTCTTATGAAAAAAAATAGATGACTGTTTTGAGTGATGTAGATGTCAACAATTTATATGAACATGAAGTGACCTAGGTCAAGTTTTGTATTAGAGAAAAAAATTTAATTTTTATTATTTAAACTCATGATAATGAAAAATTACAATGTTTTATTAAATAAGTTAATTAACCATTGTAATTATTATTTATTGTAATTGAATCATTAAATGCTTAATTTTTTCTAGAGGAAAAATGGCACATTATAAAGGAGCAGCAAGTGAAGCTGGGCGAGCAATGCAATTAATGAAAAAACGTGAGATTGCACAACAGGAAATTGAATATCGAAAGAAAAAAATTGAAGATGATCTTAAAATTCATAATATTGAAAATAAATTCGCGACACATTATAATGCTGTTGAACAGCAACTTAAGTCAACTACTATTGGCCTCGTTACTTTGAATGAGATGAAAGCTAAACAGGAAAATATCGTCAGAGAAAGAGAGAGAAAGCTTGCTCAAAAGGAGAGGGAGAAAGAAAAGGAAAAAGAAGAAGCTCTAGTTGCTAAACAATTGGAAAAAAGTAAGCAAAAAAAACAAATTCAAGCTCTATCATTCAATCCTGATGATGATGATGATGATGATCATGATGAAGATTTTGAAGATGATGAATGTGAACCGAAAATAAAGAAAATTAAAAAAAATCCTGACGTAGATACAAGTTTTTTACCCGACAGAGAAAGAGAAGAAGAAGAAAACCGATTAAGAGAAGAATTAAGACAAGAATGGGCAACAAAACAACAGGCTCTTAAAGAAGAAGAAATTGAAATTATTTTTAGTTATTGGGATGGCTCTGGGCATAGACGCAGTGTTACAATGAAAAAAGGAAATTCCATTTACCAACTACTACAGAGATGTTTAGAAGTTCTGAAAAAAGAATTTAGCGAATTGAAGACAATAATGGCTGATCAATTAATGTATGTAAAAGAAGATTTGATTCTTCCACATCATTATACTTTCTACGATTTTATAGTTGCAAAAGTAAGTTGAGAATTAACTTTCTAAATAACTATTCTAATTTGCATTATATAAAGTGAAAATTTTATATCTATAGGCTAGAGGCAAAAGTGGACCTTTATTTACCTTTGATGTACATGATGATGTTCGAGTATTACATGATGCTTCAATTGAAACAGAAGAATCACATGCTGGAAAAGTCTTATTACGGTTGGTAGATATTCATTTATTTATTCTTTATTCTCTCTTATTTTTTTTAATTCTAATTTAGATTTATCTTTTGAAATAAAATTCCATTCAAAAAGGCAGATTATGTAACTAGGATTATTTTATTTTTTACAGATCTTGGTATGAGAGAAACAAGCATATATTTCCTGCAAGCAGATGGGAACCTTTTGATCCAACTAAAACCTACGATAAATATACTGTATCTGATAAAAGTAAAAAGAAAGAAAAGATGTAACAGCAAGTGTATTCAAAAATTAAAATGCAATGTAATAAATACCTTACTTTTAAATACTTTTATTAAATATTAAAATGTCTTTTTAATTTAATTTAATATACTTTTTGAATAAGAAAATTCTTTGATGAGCTTAGAGTACTAAAAATCATTCTAAAAATTAAATAAATGTAGAATATCTCAAAAATTTTTGTTTTTGAAAACATTTTTTATTATTCAAAAGAAACGTTGAACATTTAACTCTTTACATTTGAATATTTACCGCGATATTTAATATTTGCTCTAAAATCTTATTGAAGACTTCAAAAATAAACGAATGATTGTTAATTCGTTAATAGAAATACATAATATGTACATCGTAAAAATATTACTTAATTTACTCAACCTCTCAGTACTTTCGATAGTTTAACTTATTAAATATAAAAAATATTCTTTTTAAAGTAATTTATGAATTTCCTAAAAGTTGATGGTTTTTAGTCTTTTGCATACAATTCATATTAATTCTGTTGGGCCTTTTCTTCTATTTTACTCGCTTCTTCCTTTTCAAGTTGTTCTCTGGTCAGAAGTGAAAGACCCAATTGATCTTCTCTCGTAAATGGTTGAGCCATTTGTCGCAACCATCGTTTACTAATCTGAATGGCCTCCTGAGTCGATAAATCGCATAAACTATCAGTCAAATGTTCTTGAATCCATTTAGGAAGTTTACACCGTTTATCAGCTCTCGAAAATCTCTGCAAACAAAAATAAAATTTACTTTTTGTTAAAAATGTAAAATAAAATTTTTTTTTAATGTAATCACCTTGTCTGCGAAAACCATTATGCCGTAGTCAGTCTTTCCTCTAATAGCTCGACCAACGCACTGTGCTGCATGCCTCATAGCATCGAAAGTCAAAAAATCATTTTCTGCAATCTAAAACAAAATATTTAATTAGTAAAAATATAAGTTTGTTACAGACACAATTTTCTCCGCGAAAGGGAATAATATTATTTTTGTAAAATAGAAAATCATTGTAAATATTTACAATCACTTACCTGAAATTGATCCCGGAGGTATTGCAATCTAGCTTTTAAAATTCTAGATTGAGTATAAACGTAAGGAATTCCAAACATTAATACTGCTCTTCCCAAATGATGATCAAAATCGACACCTTCTGAAACTTTTCCACGTGCAACAGAAAGTAATACTGCACCTCTTCCATTCTCACAAGCTTTAATATAATTTATTAAAGCCAAACTGGTTTCTGCAGAATCTTGAGTTTCAATAAAAAGTAATTTGTGCCTTTGAAGTTGGTCAACCATGCCTTGATCATACCTTAATTTTAATATTTTAAAGTATTTAATTAATTTTATTAAGTCACTTGTATTTCAAAAAATTTGAAATTTATAGAAAGAATTAGCTTGGTATGTGTTAATTACTAATTACCAGGCTGCAACAACAGATTCCATGTATAAGTATGATGTGAAGAAACAGACCATTCCATCAGGTACGATCGCAGCGAATTCTACTAATAGTTGTCCATAATTTCTTATAACTGAAACGTCTTCTCTAGTTTCATACTTGGAAGAAATCACAGCTTGATCTTGTCCTTTAGATACAATCTAAAATTAATTTAACTGAATCAACTGTGTTTAATATATTAAACACAGACTTAATTTAATTATTATTTTAAACTAACCATAGGAAGAAGACATGGTCTTGCCAGTGTCATAGTAAAAGACGACATGATAACAGGATGAAAATTCAAAATTTTTGGATACATATCCAGCGGAGATAGTGTTCCCGATGTGATAACCACAGACTGAAATCTATCAAAAATAGGTTTCATTGCTATCGAACAGTCTAAACAACTAAAATGTAACACTGGATTCAAGACAGTTGATGTTTTATCATCAAAAGGTTCAATAATTATTGTAAACCCTTTCGTGTAAGTAGCAACCAGCGTTGCTAAATGAGTCACTAGTATTAAGGGAGAAAAATCTATTATATCAGTTAATTCCAAAGTTCGCAGAAGTGATGCCAAACGTTCAGCACAAAACTTGAGTGGTTTACGTTCAATGCAAACTTTGCTTTGTGTATCTCTCAAAAATGAAGCAGGAGATTCTTGCACCACATGTTGAACACGTAAACGTGTTTTTATATACTCCACGAAACGTTTTAAGAAACTAATAAAATGTTCAGCATTTCTAATGTTTCCAGGAACTACTTCTGCAACAAACATAAAAATTATACAATTGAATGGTTCGTTCAGTAATAAAACTATTAATTGGTTAATAGAGACAAAAAAAGAGTTAATTATATTACCTTGTAATATTTCACTTGGTAAAACAGGATTTGCTAAGATTACGTCAGTTTCTCTTGCGATTTGTGCTTCCTTTAATCCTTCAACTAGTTGATTATATTCTTCCTGCAATCTGTTCACATCGTCTTCCCTCATTCTGTTAACAGATGTCATAATGTGTTAGTGGTTTCAGAAGCATTCGTCTTAAGTAAATAGACGAAAAATATATAATGATCTTACTCTGATACAGCTTTTTCGAGAATTTGAATTTTCGCAGAACATTTTTCCATTGTTCTTCTGTTAATTTTAACACTCATTGAGTCAATACACACGTTATCTAAAAAACAAAAACATGAAATATTTCTCATAGAAATAAAATTAAGTTAAGCTGAAAAATGTCAAAATTACCAATATTATGAGCTTCGTCGAAGACAACAACGGAATTTTTTGATAATTCTTTCGAAACAGTTTCAGCAATTTTTGGATCTAATAAGTAGTGATAACTGTAAACCACAATCTGGGCTTGCATAATCTACAAAAAATATTATTATTCTTAATTTTACTAATTATTAAGAAGTTTTCTCGGAAAGAAAAAATACTGTAAATCAAGTGCTTACCGCAAATCTTGCCAGAAAATATGGACACCAATTTCTGTCTTTTCCATAAATTTTTAAATCTTCAAGGGAGTAAATTCCAGAAGACATAAGTAACTCACGACCTTCCATATCGAATGTTTCATAATAACTACAAATGGGCACGGTATCATCATAGTGATGCCTTTCTCGAACGTAGGAAGCAGTTAAAGAATGACAACGGCCATCGACAATTTTTCCATCTCTTTCTTTGCTAACCTAAATAATAGAGTCAAAATAAATTTAAATAACAAACTCATCTCAACTATGATATTTATTTCACCCACCTCTGGATGAATGCATAAATTCTTTCTAGAACTTAAAACTAGAGCTAATATGTTACTCTTCTTTTCAGCTTCTCTTTCATAATAATCTATCAATTTTTTTAGTTCTTGTATGACTTTTTCTATTTCTGGCATCGTACGAGAACAATATATTAATTTTGAGATGATGTGAGGATGTTCCATCATATAGGCTAGGATCAACGATAACAGAGTTATAGTTTTTCCAGTACCTGACGGCATTTCCAAAAGACAGTGACCCTGAAATATGCATTTAAAAATTCATTTTAATTATTTACATAATAATGTAGATGTAAATTTTATTTCGAATTATGGAAACTCATTTTTTAATTCCATTCATTACACATGCTAAAAAATGTAAAATACTTTTGCATCGAGACCACGTTTCAGTTCCAACATATACGCATACTGCTCTGGATAAATATAATCGTAAGGAAAGTAAACCACCAGCCCATCAACACTGATCCTGTAAAATGTAAAAAAAATCCCAAGAAATCAATTAAATCACGATATTGACACAATTAAATGAAGGTGGTATTTTTGAAAATCCATGCGAGAGATTATGAAGAATCATTAAAAAAGTATAGAAAAAATTTGACGATGCAAAAAAAAAAAATATAACCTCATTTAATAATTTAAATTTTTGTTAATATTTATAGTAAGTATAAATTTGTTTCCATTTTAAATATTATCAAACTTTTAAGATAAATTTTTATTTTTACTAAACAAATATGCTTGAAGAGGCATGACAACCGAGCCGGTAAAAGGTCTAAAATTGAGAAAATAAAAACAGGAATTTTATTCTACCACCTTTTTTAGATCGTATTTTACTCATGTTAAAAAATTATAGAAGGAATAAATTTAAATTCTGTTAATAAATATTAATTCTCTAGTATTATTCATTTATACTAGGGAGACAATTAACCTCTTCCTCAACAAATTTGAATATGCAAAATGTTTAAAAACAAATGTAATCTATAAAAACAAACAAAATCCATACTTCATCTTGTTTAATCCGAAAAAAATCAGTAATGTTAAATAGAAAAACAGTAATAAATGTAAGTGTTATTTATTCTTTCACTTTGTTTACAAGAAATCATTAACATTGAACGTTTAACAATAATGAAGAGTGTGTCAACAGGCCTGAATACAGTAACATAATTCTCGTCAACTACAGCACCCTGCTCTAGTGAAAATTTAGTGATTTTATTTTTAAAATTAAAAGTTACTATAAAGTTACTAAATTTTCACTAGAGCAGGGTGCAGTATTCTGCGTTTCCGTGTGATTTCACCTTTACGTATGCAACCTGCGATCGCATAGTTTCGATTCTACAGTGCATTCTATTCATGTCAATGAAAAAAAGTTATTGTAGAAGCAGCTTTATTTATGAAGACCATGCTTTTCTTAAAAATAAAAACAATAATTAACCTCACTTTTAAAATAATTATAATTCTTGATTGACAGTACGTAATAAGTTTTTTACAGTGCGATTTTGACTTTTAAATTGTGTCTTTGGAATCAAGAAAATAGAATTTAACATTGTTATTGCTTATCTTACATTTTTTAATAAGTATGACTAAAACAACTAACAATGAAAATAAAAAGATTAAAGTGTATCAAAGAAAGAAAAATGTCCCAGAAAAAAACATCATTAAAAATCTGCAATCTCAGTACGAGACAGTAAGTTTTAAAATTGTATTTTTTATATTATTTTTATAGTTTCCTAAATATGTAGTATTATATCCTAATCAATTGCAGTGTTCAAGAAGCTAATTCTTTATTGCATACGTATTATTATTTTTTCACAGATCGATGAAAGACAAATTACGAAATTCGCAGATTTACCACTATCATCACAGACTCAAAAAGGATTAAAGGAAAGCCAATATATTACTTTAAGCGACATACAAAGACAAAGTATTGGCCTTGCATTAAGAGGACTTAATATTCTTGGTGCTGCTAAAACTGGCAGTGGAAAAACCTTAGCATTTCTAATACCTGTAAGATTTTGTTAAGCATTATAGACATAATAAGAAAATTAAAAAATTTTATTCTTGTTAAATTTTAGGTTATTGAGACGCTGTATTGCAAACAATGGACGAGATTGGATGGCATTGGTGCAATTATTATAACACCAACTAGAGAATTGGCATATCAAATATATGAAACTTTAAGAAAAGTAGGACATTATCATGATCTCTCAGCAGGTTTAATTATTGGTGGAAAAGACTTACATTTCGAAAAGAAAAGAATGAATCAATGTAACATAATTATTTGCACGCCAGGACGTTTATTACAACATATGGATGAAAATCCACTGTTCGATTGTACAACTATGCAGGTTAGTCAGTAAAATTAAAACAAAAGTGATTTTGAACCTTTCTTTCAACAGGTGAGTGCAATTTTTTTTGTCCTCCAAAAGTATATTTTAATTTTTCTCATATTAAGTTTTGAGCAACCCTGTCTTCACATTCTTTTTTTAGTTCAGTTACTATCAATAATAATATCTTCTGAATTTAGATACTAGTTCTTGATGAAGCTGATAAGTGTTTAGATATGGGTTTCGAAACCACAATGAATGCTATAATTCAAAATTTACCAGAAGATCGTCAAACACTGCTATTCTCTGCAACCCAAACTAGGTAAATAATATATTATAATAAAAAAAATTTCAAAACCAATATATTTAAATAAATATACAATTTTTTAATAGATCTACACGAGACTTAGCTAAATTAAGTCTTAAGGATCCAATTTATGTGTCTGTTCACGAATATTCAGTGCATACTACTCCTGAATTTCTTCAACAAAGTTATGTAATTTGTGAATTAGAAGATAAAATAGCGATGCTATGGTCATTTATAAAAAATCATCTAAAACGAAAAGTTATTGTATTCTTTTCTACATGCAAGCAGGTAATGATAATACCTTTTTTTAACATTCAATTTAGCAGTAACTGAACACGAAATTAATATTTTACTTTTCAGGTGAAATTTATGTATGAAGCCTTTTGCCGAATGAGACCTGGAACAAGTCTTTTATCATTATTTGGAAAGATGCATCAACTCAAGAGAATGAATATTTATGAAACGTTTTGCAGAAAACAAAATGCAATATTGTTTGCTACAGACATTGCTTCTAGAGGATTAGGTAAATAAGCATTTTAACTTTCAATCGCTACTCTGAATATTTTTTAATAAAATTCACAAAAATTAATATTATTATTATTTAAAAAAATTAAAAGTATTTTCAAGATCAGATCTATAATAGGTTGATATTAATTTATGTAGACTTTCCCGATGTTGACTGGGTTGTACAAATGGATTGTCCAGAAGATACTAATTCCTACATTCATCGAGCAGGTAGAACTGCAAGATTTCAAAATGGTGGGGAATCTTTATTAGTATTACTTCCTACAGAGACAAACATAATCGACAAGTTACATTCTTCCAAGATTCCAATATCAATGATCAAGTAAGCAAATTTTATTTACCATTTCATATAATTAATATTAATTAATATTAATCTGTTTTAGAATCAATCCAAATAAATTGCAGTTTCCACATCGTAAATTAGAAGCTTTACTTGCTCGTGATTGTGCATTAAAAGAAAGTGCGCAAAGAGCTTTTGTTGCATATGTTAAATCTGTTTATCTTATGCAAGATAAAAATATATTTAATGTCAAAAATTTGAAAATTGATGCTTTTGCAAGGTAAGATGTTTCTTGAGCTAAATCAAAACACACTAGGAAAAAATTGGCTTTTTATAATACAAACTATAATAATACTTATATTTTTCTCTTGCAAATATAATTTACTATTGTTATTTATAAATAATATTAATATTCCGAATAGATCACTGGGTTTAATAGTGGCTCCAAAACTTCGATTTCTACAAAAAATTAAGGATTCTTTAATCAATGATACTGACGTTAACATGCAAATAGATAAGAAAAAAGAATCCGAAGCTGTGCAACTTTTAAAAAATATCAATTCAAGTGTAGATAACGATTCTTCTGAAGATATTTCTGACAATTGCTTTTCTGTAAAATCAAATCACAACTCTGGTTCTCACTTTAAACACTGTAAGTATCTTAATTATTTATTTATGTTTATTTATTCCGACTTTTATAAATCCAAAAATTGCACTTCTTCTTTTTGAAACAAAATTTAATTACAAAAAGTATTATACTTTAATTATTTATTTTGTTATCGAATTTTACAGCTGAAGATCATGATGTTGTTGATGATGAAGATGAAGAAATTTTAACTATCAAACGAAGAAATATTAAAATTGATCCATTAATTGAAGAGGATGAAATACAATTTAAGAAAAAAAAATCTGTGACTAAAGCGGCTGTAGCAAAGAAAATTCTAAAAAAGAATATAGTACCAAACAAAAAAATTAATTTTGATGAAAATGGACAGGTACGTCAATTACTAGTTTACCTAATTTTTGTTGATTAACTCAAAAAATTTTAAATTTTAGAAGTCGAACAATTTTATTCGATATTTTTTTTTAAATAGTATTCAATTAATTTTAGGAAATACTAGATTCAGCAAAATCAAAACAATCAGATTTAGGAAAAGAATACGAACAAGAGGAAGACTCTGGAATAAATATTGAAACAGCAAAAAAAGCATTGCATTATGAAGATAGTTTTGACAAAAAACGATTTAAAGAAAAAATTAAGGAAAAGCATCGGAAGGAGAAACAAAAACTTAAAATGCAAAACAAGGCTTCTGAGAAGAATGAGGAAAGCAGTTCAAATTATTCAGAAAGTGAAGAATATGAAAGTGATAGGGAATCAAATTTATCTTGGTTACCTGATCCAAATAAAATTTACGGACAAAAATCAGATGAAGATAGTGAAGATGAGAGTGAGGATAATAGTGAAGATAGTACTGAAGTCAATCAGGATAGTAAGAAACACAAAAAAATGAAAACTAAATTTGAAAGTGCTGAAGATGAACCTAAAATTGATAGGTAAGAATTCTAGTACTTGCTTTCAATCTTATAATGTTATTTTTTATCGTATTTTAAAATTTTGATTTTTTCAGAGTGCAAAAAAGGAAACTAGTGATACGCAAAGACGATAAAAATATAAAGAAAACTCGTAAAGAATTGCCGCTGTTTGATACATTACACAGAGATGAAGAATTAGCATTGCAACTTCTTCGAGATTAGAGTATAAAGTCCTGTGAATTTAAATTCAAATTTTTTTATACTATAAGCTCCAAAATACTAACACAGGATAGGAAAAAAAAGTAAGTGTTTTTAAATATCACCAATAACGAAATAATGTATAAAAATAAATACACAATAGAAAAGATTAAAGCAGCTTTAGAACCTTGGGAAAAATTTAAATATGTAAACATCCCTGTTAACTCGATAAATTCTAAATTACTTTATGACGGCAACTCGTCACAATATGTAGTCACTAGCAATAACATTGATCCTATAACTGACGCTCCAGAGAGTAGCAATCGTTTAGGGACCAACCTACTCTTTCTAAAACATCGATCAACTATATGCTTCTCGCCTTTGCACCATTGGTTTTTAGACATTAATAATGTGCAGCGTTGGCATCCGGGAAACGGTAAAGATGAAAACATCCTAATGGATTTCAAGACAGATGACGACAAACATAATGATAACATTTTAGTCTGTATTTACGAGTTTTGTCATAAATGCACCTACTGGTTTTTGTTGAACAAGTTCTACAAAGATGAAAGCTTTCATATAGCGTTCCACAATTGTGAAGTTATATTTGATTATGTGCATCAAACTTTTTTTGTTGAAATTTGTATTATTAGTTATGCATTTTTCTGTTTTACTGGTTACATTTTGCTGGTATTTATTAGCATATTAGCCATCCTTTTAATTTACATGTCAAATAAGTTTGAACACAACAGTGTCTCATTGTACAAATGCCCGCACGTTCGTGATCATGTATATAATCGTGGTATCTTAAAAGTAATTTAAAAAAAATATCTAAAAAACGAATGTCAAGAAATTAAATTTAAACTTATAAACTAACCACTGCTTCTTTGCACCTCTAAAACAATTTAAATGCAATTTTTTAAATTTTACGGGAGAGCAGTTTCAAAATTTGTATAATTTTAAAAATTCGAAATTATAATATGCTGATCATCATTTATACCCAGTAAAAAAAAAAACTAATTCAGATGAATTGAAATTACAAATTAACTTTTTTTTGGTAAGGTTTCAGTACGAATATAGAGTTTGGAAGTTAGAAAAATTGTTTTATGAAAAAGAATAAAAATAAGAACATTCTTTTCTAATTTTTGTATCTTTATATTTTCATTATGTATTCATTTTTAAGTACAAAACAAGATAATGAGAATAATAACATGGATACAAGTAATAAAAAAAAATGTGATGATAGTGAAGAACAAAAATCTAAAATTAATATTTATTTAAAATTATTGTATGAGGCCGAGGTGAGACGTATCCTTAATTGTCATTTCATTCCTCTAACTGTTAGACGACGATACGCAACTTTGCCTGCTTGTCATCGCAATCAATCGATTCATGAGCATAGAGTGTTATTGCGAATTTGTGATCATTTTCAACAAATGAACATGGTTTTTACCTTCTTGTCTACTTACTTGCGTCACTTTTTTATTCCCCGTTTGACTGTTACAAGTCAGCAAAACAACTATATAGCATTTATATTACCTTTTCTTAGCAAAGCAGAGATCTTCCTGCGCAAATATCCTTTTCGACACAATTTTTATGAACGTTTGTTGCGACATTCAATTAAACGATCTATCAAGGAAGATATCCAGGATCCGTATCAGATTCTCGATGAGGAAATGTCATTGCCATTACAAATCATATGGGACTTTGTCAAAGAGGAATTTTCTCTCTTTTCTATGTTTCTATTAGAAAATGTTGAACTCTCCGACGATTCAAATACCATAGAGATTCGTCAAATGTACGATGAGTTACAAAATCAAGTGCCTGAATTGGAAGAACTGTTTGAACAACAACAATCTTATAATCATAAGGAATATTACGAAGCAGAAGAAAAGTTAAACAATGATTTGAAAGTTTCAGATAGTGAGAGAAATGATTTAATCAACGAATCAAAACTCACCAAAAAGGAAAATTTGGGCAAGATAGATGATAATGGCAAAAATGTAAATAATAATGATATAATACCAAATAATACAGAAAACTGCAAAAATGGAAAAAATAATATAGAAACAAATAATGTAAATGTTTATCATGAGGAAAAAGAAATTTCTACAATTAGCGATTGCGAAGCTTTTCCAATAGACCTTCTAAACAGCGATTATTTAACATTAGAATGTTTAAAAAAAGTTGGTTTGCTATCGGCGTGTAGTTATGATATCCTTGACTTTCCGCATTTCATTCATCAATTGATTGAATCATCGTCTTCATGCGGGTCATCAATCTCGTCGTCATTTGAAAAAGTAGACGATGACTAGCAAATTTTTATCTACTGAGGCTAAATTTTAGCACAACCTCAATATCACAAAAATTATTTCTAAATAATTTGATTAAAAAAATATATATATTAAAAAACCATGGAACTCTTTTTCGTAGAGAGTACAAAAAGATAAAATTTTTGCGAAATCAAAAATGTCAGTGCATCCCACAAGGAGAATAAAAATTGAATAAATTTTACAAAAAAAGTTGAGGAAAACTATTAAATAAATGTTCTGTTGAATAAATCACGCGTCAGCGCACACTAAATTTCATCCTCAATGGACAAGTGATATTGATGAAATTAAGTCGCGCGCGAGGCAAAACGTATATTTATGCTTTACTTGTAGAAAAGAGTGGGGAAGTAATTGAAAGAGAGAAAAAAAGAGCGAATTACATAATTATTTTGAATTTGCAAAAATAGAAAGTGGGGCAAATAACTATGTTCTATAAACGTTTTAAGAACGTTCAACAATTCAAAAGCAAAGAAAGTAAAAGAAAAAAGGAAACTAAAAAAATTAACAGTTTTGAAAAGAAATCTGAAGAAATTATTCAAAAAGTGAAATGTTAAAAATGAAAAAATAATAAATTATAACTGTTTCACATAACAAATTTTGAAGCTAAAAAAATACTTCTTTGATTAATAAGATATACTACATTAGGTTTGTGTCATTTAACAAATCGTTTTTTGATAAAGCAATATGAGTGATAAATTAAAATATTGGTCTCTTTTTATAATGAGCTGTATGAAGTGTATATCATTTTTAATAATTATTTTCTTATCATAAATTATGATGACTGTGTTAAAAATGAAAATTACTTGGTCACATATTAATGTTAATAAGATCATGGCGACTGTATTCAATACATAAACTTGATTGATAGAATTCATGAGTACAATGGATAATTTTTTTGTATTAACAGAGCAGTAGGACCATAAGGCAAAAACGTATACAATATAAAAATATAAATCCATTTTTTGGGTGCCATTTCGAATTTTCAAAAACCAACTTCAATCCGCCAGGGCTGATAATTAGATTGCTCTCAGTTATTTCAAAGTATATAGATTTGTATATTAATAAGTTTTATGCTGACAATGGTGTTACCAACATTTTACGAATGGGCTAAATTTAATTTATTTCGTCATATGCCTGACGATGGAAAATGTGAAATTTTATTTATCCTTGTACCTGGTCTTTTTGGAAATGAACTCTATCGTGAAAGAATTTCCACATCGAATAAACTTATACGAGTCTATCCACCAACATTTAGTATAGTTTTACGTCACAAGATAAATTCTTTAATTAGTCGAATAAATGGATCTCAATCACAATGGGAACAAATAATAGCACATCAGCTTGTTAATCCAAAGAATAAATTAGTGCCTGGTAAAACGATTAAATCTTACTTTGGACACTATATTTATCGACCTCTCTATGACTTAATTTTAGATGAAATTGGCAAACATCGACGCGTTAAGTTGTTGGAGTTTACGTACGATTGGCGTAAACCGATTATACAAATTTGTTATGAGTTGCGACATTTTTTGCAAACCAAGTGTATACTTGTCGAATACAAGCAAGCCAAAATTGTGCTAATTGGACATTCATTAGGTGGTTATATTATTCGTTTATTAGTAGAGTCTTCAGATTTTTCTAATTTTAGTGGCATTGAACGTATAACGAAATGCATTTATGCATCGACACCGCTCTTCGGACAACAACGTCTTCTTCAATTATTTGAAAAAATATACGAGCTACAAAAAACAAATTATATATCGACACGGGAGAAAGGTTTTTCGGATACCTTAATTGATGAAATGCGTGTACAACAATTACGTCAACAACTTTATGACATGCTACGTGAAAATGAATTTTTTGATAAAGCCCAGTTGATTAATTTCCTCTTCAATTTTAAACAATCATTAGCTTTGTTGATTCGACATGAAGAAATGAAAAATGTGTCATTGGAATTACTCTGTAACATTATGGAAATAGATATAAATTATGCATATTTTATATATAGAACAACAGCATCATTATCAACATTAAACAATAAACCTGACTCAATTCTATACGTGTGCTGTTACAATATGAATGACAATTCTTTATTATATACGGTGGATGAAATGGAACAGATGAACAATTGTCGAAATTTTATTCAGATACGCGATACTTGCTCTCAACTTGATCATGCCAAGATTTTTTGTAGTTCTTATGTTTTACAGCATTTAAAGGCAATTATACTTGAACAATAGGTTTAACATTCTAATGGAATTTCAAACATATTTTAAGAACGATAAAAAATTTTATGACATCAAAATATTAAAGCGATGTATGCAGGTACATGTAAATATATTTTTTAACTTTCTCCTACACAAAAACAAATTTTATGATGATGAAGTAAGGTGACTTCAAGAAATAGGAATAATAGGTGAAATCAGAAAAAAAGCATATACATTTATAAAGTTTTATTAAAAGAATATAGTATAAACTCTTAGTTCGCCAATGCGTTTTAATTTCTTGCGTATTTTATACACACTTCCATTTTCCGCGCTAGCTTCGATAGTCATAGCTTTTAATATTTATCGACATATGTATTTATATATATATATTTTTCATATACTCTTACGTCACTTTTTTCTAAGTAACTAGGGGATATCTTTACTGGAGAAATACTTGGCAATGCACGAGTAATTAGTTACTACGAAGCAATTTTCTGACCACACACGGTAACGTGCTAGTTGAGCGCACGTCTTGATATGTTACGTCCTTCTTCTGTTAAATATTTATTTTCTTCTTTTTTGGAAGTGAAAGCGTAATGCAGTGAGAGAAATATCGTTTCTTCTGATCATGATTATTTCCAACTATTTGCTAAAATCATATAAAAATATATTAATAGAATCTACTAATTTTTTTCAGTATATATATAATTACCTACCTTTGTAGTATAAATCCCTGTGCATGGTTGGACAATTTTTAGGTCCCTTAAAGAAATAAAATAATTTACTTTATAGTTAACATATATTATAAATGTATTCTTTACCTGCACATTAAAATTAATATTAGTTCGAACAGGTCGATGATGAAGAGGTTGTGGTGGTCTATAATTATTTCCAAGAGGCGCTTTTGGATTTTTTTTATCACCCTGCATCAATTTTCTCAAGGCGAGAAGCTATCAAAGTAAAGTAAAAATTCTGTGAATTGGATCATCAGTACTGCACTAATTTCTACATATTTAAAATTTCATTTCTAATTTTGATTCCAATAGAAAATATTGTGCCACCCCAAGACTGTCAAAATACATAATTTACCTGTTGTTTAGTTATATAGATTGGTTTATTTAATATGATCCATGTGGTTGTTTCATGACAAGCCGGCAGAGTAATGGAGCCGTCATATGTCATGTAATGGTTCGTGTCCGGTAAAAGTTCTCGCACCGCAAAATTCAAAATATCCTTAGATTCTCCTATAAAATATGTGATGATACATTTTTAATCGTTGTAGCGCCTATAGTCGATATTACTGTAAACGTTTAAATAGTCTTACCTCCATAGAGTATTTTGTCCAGTTGCTCAGTAAAAATTCTTAAGCCTGGGTTGGAAAGATCACCTACCTAAAATAAGTTAAAATATAGTGTTGTATCATTTAAACTAATCTCTTCATTGAAGAATAAATCGCTTACTTGTAACAGGAGGGATACTGCTACTATGCCTTGAGCTCGATGCAAGGCTTCCGAAAAATTATTGTACAATTGAGAGTTAAAGCCAAAAATCTGCATCTGAAATGAAGAAAATGAGCTTTTTTGAGGCGCCAAAGCAATTTCGTTTCGAAAAATTAATAATAAAAAAAATATATTGACTCACTTCCGCTGGAAATGCATATCCATCGACAGTATGCTCACTTCCACTTTCGTCATATAATCCATAGTGTAGATGAATTTCATGAAATTGGTATCGATAACTGAGAGAGCCGCCAGAAATATTTACAGGATGTCTTGTTTCATTATCCACAGTGAAAACTACACTGTGCCCGGTGTTAGTGAGAATGCCTTTCACACGATGTTTATCCAAATGAAGTGGTTGAAGATTGGGATCGAATAATAGTCTAGACGGCTCCAAATTTACAGGAGACTGTCTTCTACCTTTGTTACAGAGAGACCATTCAGGATTGATAAGACCCCAAAAAGCAGGACCTGTTATTTTAAAATTGACATAGATCAGAATAAAATTTCTTGGACTTAATTCAGTATAGGATACTTACCGGAAATTCCATCATATGTCCACCATTCTTCCCAACTTACAGGTTTAGATTCTGTAAAAATAAAAAGAAATGTGAAAATGGCATAGTAAAATAACACACGTAATAAACGGGCAGAAAAAGCATACCTTGAAATAAAAATAGTATGAAAACTCCTAACACTCTCAGGAAGACAGTATTATGTTGACACATTTCCAACGAAGACGTCAATTGATCATTATTAATAAGCATTCCTGAAACAAAAACAGAATCAGTATGAAAAAAATCAGTCAATTTGTAAATTTAATTTATACCTAACGTAACATTGTCGGAAAAACTCTTTCTATATGTTATTGCTCCACCCCAACGATACTTCACTAGTATATTCTTAGATTAGGAAAATTCAAGTACATCTACTTCAGCTATCGATCCATCTGTACCCGATATCTAATACTCAATTACATGCATCTTTCGCAAAAAAAATTGTTTCTTGTAACTATAAATGGAAATACTTTATATGAATATTTCTCTCTATATAGCATACGGAACTGAATTGAACGTTATAACAATTTAGTCAAAGACCGAATTTTCTTCGATAATTAGAAACTTTTCGCTCTTTCGAGAAACAACTTTTAATAGCAACCCACATTAGGTGTATAAGGGTTTTTGTAGTCCTTGAACTCAAATATGAACTTCAAAAATAAAAAATTCAAAATGGCGGATTCAAAATGGCGGATTTTTTTTTAAATTTTTGTGGAATTTCATGAAACTTAGAATATAGGAGTTTTTAAGGTCGCTGAATTCAAATATGACTTCAAAAATAAAGTTTAAAGCAGACATTTTTTTTTAATTTATGCGAAAATCAATAAAAATTAGTATAAGGGATATCGCTGAAGTTAAATTTGACCTTAAAATTGATAAAATCAAAATGGCTGACATGATTTATTTTTTATTATTTTTCTATATTTTGAAAATTTTGAGTTTTAATTTCTTAAATATTAATATTATTATTAATATTAAATGAAGAATGTTTAAAACTGTTTGTAAGTTTTTTTTTAACAAAAAAGTCACAAACAATTTTAAAAATAAAATTTAAAAGAAAATAATCATCTTATTTTAAATCATATTAATAAAACAAATACTGTATACTAATAAAAAAAACTCATTTTATAATTTGTAAATGATATTGTTACTTACACAATTTTCAAAATTTCTAATCCACTTATATTCTCCATTGATTAAACGTCACGAAAGTTCGCCACCCACATGTTTTCGACTAAAGGACTGGCTGATTATGGGGAAGTAAAGCACCAAAAAAAATTTTTGTTGTTACCATTGTCGAAATATATATAATTAAAGCGTCATAAATGCACTTAGAAGAAAGTAAAAAGTGAAATAAATAATTTTTTAATCTCGCGCACTTAAAAATATATGTAAAAAAGAAGATTTTATAGAAATCAATAAATGGCAATAGACTTTACAATGCCACCGGTGTCGACGATATGGCAGTATCCTGTCAGCAAGGACCTCCTATAGTCTAAATTGCAAGCATTATCTAAAAACGAGTTTAGCGAATACTGACCCCAGACAACGTCGAAGAGGAAGTATTTCTCTTTTCGCCTCCTTGGGGATGCTATGAACTCGCGAGGTTCGTGTCGCTAAACTCGATTGAAATAATTTTGTTAAAAAGCGCTGAAGGTACGACAAAGGAGCAACTAACTGCCCTCCGGACTGAGGGGCTGTTATCACATCTGCGCAAGCTCTTGCAACCTTCCTTCATTCTAACTCCGCTGCGTTATCTGAATTACTTTATTACTACTTTTTATCTTCTATTCTTTTAAATTTATTATTTATTCTCGCACATATAATGCGGCTATGTTGCCTCAATATTGCAATGAAAACCTCCGTGCAATTTTGAATTAATATATGACGAGTTTTACACTGTTAAAAAAATTAGATTTTTCTTTTAAAAATTTTCAATTTTCTCACGTCACCATGACGTATTGAACAATAAATAAATATAATTATAAACAAATATTTGCAAATAAATAAATAATGTAAACTAATTAATTAATATTGTAAATTACAAACAGTTGCATTCTCAATTGTAAAAGGCGTATTCCTATACATGATCCACCACTACTTGTGTAGAAATTTCGCTTGGGCCCTAACTTGGACCAAATTTGGTTACCCTAAGCCTAATTAGGCAGCCCAATTAACGCCCGAATTGGGTGGCTGAGGTGCTTAAAGCGCAATGCTTCAAGCCCAAGGTATCCGAGTTCGATCCCAGTTTCATATACATTTTTTCATTAATTATGTATAATTTTAAAAATATAAAATTAAACTTAAAATAAAAATACAGTATTACTGTATTTATGAAAGAAATGTCTATGAAGATCTGAAGGGCCCATTATTTCTGCAGGTAGTGTTCTTGTAAATAAATTTAATTCTGCATTTATTTATTATTATTATTATTTCAATTTTTATTACTTTATTTTTACATATTTTTATTACAACTTGTGATTTCTACCAGGATGAACTGAATTTAAGTGAAGTGAAAAATTATTTTGGGTATGGGTCTAACCCTAATTTTACTCTATTTTTCTTAGAACTAATTCCTTCAACAGGATTCATTTCCAATGCCAACATACGCTTCATTTGCGCCACTCGGTTTTCTTCATTGAAAGATTCAGGCAATGGTGGGTAAACTAAAAAGAAGAAAACAATTTATTATTTTAAATTATACTTTGATTAAGGTCATGTGACTGTTAGGTCTGTAATGTTAATTTGTCCGTAACTTTTCTCGTAAAATGCTGAGTGGATTGAGCTGAAATTTTGTGAAGGAATTTAAAATATGATAAAGAATGGTTGTGAAGTGCGAAAATGTTGATTAAATAAAAGTCATAAAAATTGTTAGAACCCCATATTTTCTAACTATTTTCAAGTGTTTTATAATAATTATTTAACAACGGAAGTAACTTACCAAACAATCTAAAGTAAATAAACAACCAAAGTCCAATAGCGACTCCAATGGCTGATAGTCCAATAACGGACTTCCATTCTCCTGTTGGTGCATCCATTTCCGCCAAAGTTTGACAAAAGCTAGCTCTGTAAAGTTCTTTTTTTTCATGAATCGAAAGTTTTTTCCAATCTCCTTTCTCTTTCTCCCTCAGAGCCTAATAAATTTGTAATAAAAAATTTATTGTTCAAAAACTGTAATAATTCTCTCGCTTTTGAATATTATATTTACCATTACGTCAGGAGTATTTTCTTTGAATCTTATGGCGGGCATTGGTCGCTCAAATCGATCAATGTAACATTCTGTTCCATTTATCCCGAATCCAACAACATCACGATTTCCAATTTTGTCAACATATGTAGAAGTTGAATGCGATAATCTCTGTAATGTATTTACTCTATGGAGACAGGCTAAAAGATTTTTCCCAGCCATGGCAACTATAAATAAAATATAGTATTATTGGCACTAGTGGATAAAAAAGTGTTTTATATTATTATAACATTCACCTCAATTCTCAATTTCAAAATGGCGGATCAAATATGACGGACAAAAAAAAATTAAAAATTAAGTTTTTGCAGGACAAGGCTGAAAAAAGTAGCCAAACAGAAAAAAAGCTTGACCGAACTAGTCAAAATAGAAACCATCACTTTTGTAATTAGACTTACTATGTTACAATAGTAAATTTTCCAAAATAAAGTGAGGTTATGTGGAAAAATAAATGAAAATAAAAGAAAAGTTCTCGCGTTTCCAGATATTTTGATTATATCATGAAAAATATTAAATATTTTTAGAAATTAATTTATTTGCATGACTTATATGTATCCTAATGATTATTATTTATTTATTATTAAATAAATACAAATAAAAAAATAATTAATTAAATTTTTAAATACTTTTGAAAAATATTTGAGGTTACTAAATAATGCCTTCTATTTTTAATCATTGTTGTCATATGCGGAAAAATTAAATTTATACCATAAAATTTGTAGTAATTAATATCGGAAATATTCCAGTTTAACATTTTTAGGATTCGATTTTTCACAAATATGCGCATAATCTTAAGATTAATCAATGAACTTACAATTATATATTTATATGACATAATAGAATAAATTTATGCAATGGAAGATTCAAAAAATTATAGGTATGCTATCAGTGATACAAAATGTTATCAAAATTTGTTCCTGTTCATAAACACATTTTCTTTTAATTACTCAATTCTTCAAATATATAAATGATCTGCCGAAACCTTATACCTGCATGCAATGGTTTCATATAATGGCAAATTATATTTGAACTGAAAATTAGTGATTAAACAGTAGATATAAAAAAGTTTGTTTAAAGTAAAATATGAAATTCGAATGATTACCTAATCATACAATGTCAAGAAAATGAATGTATTCTTGCTGAGTAAAAAGAAAAATATAAAAATAAATGATCAAATAGATATGGAATATTGGATACGTACATCTTTTTAAATCTATTTTAGGAAAGTTTTATAGCTGCTGTTTCTAATTTATAATCTTAGTTTTTTATAAAAATTTAAAACAAAAACTGGATCACATAAGGTTCCATTAGAGGAAAATGCAGACAGTAATTCTTAAATACCTTTAATATAAGTCAGTGTTGGGAAGTAAAGTGTTTGCACCAAACTTGTAAAGTAGAAGATCTGTAATGTGAAAACCTCAGGGTGAAATCACATGGAGGCATATAAAGTTGTTGTCCCATTTCGACGTAAAAGAGAAGAGCGCATGCGCGAAAGTAGTATAGCTAAGTGGTCTACCGCACCCTGCTCTAGTGAAAATTTAGTGACTATTGTGAGTTGGCCTTTAATCTTTCAAGAAACTGGAGCTGGACACACTTTCCGTTAGAACAGTCTACAAAGATCAACCTTCTTATTACTATACTCCGTGATTTGACAGCTGTTAAAAAGTGAGGTTATGTTTTATTATGAAGGTTATTACAACGTCAAAAGAAAAGAGCGCCCCCTTTTTCCCGTAACATATATCGTCATTCAGTGAAGTTGTACTGACCGATACCTTCTAAAATATTATTTTCGTGGACGTCCCACGACCAAGAATAGCCAAGAGTGAACACAGATTTTCCTCGGAAGAATTTTTCTGTTTAATATCGAGGAAAAAAGAATCCACCCTTGCACTCGTATATGGGGCCAAAAGACGACAAACCGTTATTTAAGCGAGGGAAATCGCACCCAGTGGAAGTGAAGTGAGGTGGGTTTTTTTTCACGGGGTTCGGAAACCTCGCCACAAGTGAGGATAGAGAAAAGTGTTTTCAAGAAGTGGTTATTAAAAGTGTGTGTGTTTGTGTGTGTGAGAGATTTCGTCTGGCGCGAGTGCACCACGGTTAGGAAATGTCTCTCGAAACCAGGTCGAGCTCTGCGCTTTTTAAACGGGCGGAACAGCTCAAGCGATGGGAACAATCGGATACAAATCGTGAGCCGGCTCAACCACGTCAGATCGCAAGGAAAATCAAATTTTCCGCGGACTGCGTATTTTTGGCAGCGTGTGCCGCAGGCGATAAAGAAGAAGTGATACGCCTTTTGCAAAAAGGAGCTGACATCAACACTGGCAATGTCGATGGACTCACTTCTTTGCACCAGGTGAGTGAAAATTTTACAAATTTCTAAACAATAGAAGAAAAAACTGTGTTTTTGCCATTTTCATTGACTCCCGCCCTTAAAATTCTTGCTCCACATAGAAAATGGAAACTTGTCAGCAACATTGCAGAAATAATTTGTCAACATTGAGGCAATGTTGCTGCAAGTTTCGGCTGCTGTGTGGGCCAGATCTCCCTCCCAAGATGGCTGCACTTCCCTCCAGCTGTCTAATTTCGGCTCGGCTATGCTCGGATTAGCTTACAACTCTAATCATCAATTCGATGCATCAGTTTCTTACTCATCGAGTTGTCATATGTGTCAGATTATATATTATTAAAAGTCAACGTACCGACTTTTTTCTCCCCTCACCCGCACAAGTCACTGACTTGTCGACAATGTCCCCTCTCCTCACCCCATATTAGCGAAAACTGTTTACATCCATTAAAATTGATAATTTCACTCAAATTCGAGTGATTAGTACATTCTCTGCTAAATAAACTCACTGTGGAAAATGATCTATTAAACTTACTAATTTCTTTTTAAATCAAGTTCTTTAATATTTATTTATTAGGTCTTAGGGCAAAAAGAACCCTCCAAAGATCAATTACATAATAAATTAATCGTAATAATAATGCTGAATACAATTAACATTATTATTATTAAAATGAATAATTCAATTAAAACTAAACATTAACTACATAAATGTTTAGTTAAATTTTACGACATGCTTTGAATAACAAAAAAAAATTATTATTATTATTATTATTATTGCAATCTTTTTAAACTGTCACAGAACATGCTTTTTCCTACCCACCAGTGACTTTTTCCGAGTCTTTTGCTTAGAATATTATGTAAAGGCGTGAATTAAATTCTATGAAAGGGAAGGCACAACCTTTACTTTGACCCTTTTAAATTCTAATGATCGCACGATATTATATTTTTTATAGCATTATTTGGGTTCTAAAAACATACAAGGTGAAATTATTTGAAATTAATTTTTAGAATTGAATATTAAAATGAAAAGTTCTTTTGAGTCATTTAAAGCTTTATTTATTTTTAACTTTGTTTCTGCTCCTGGTTTTATTTGAATTTTACGATTGAATGTCTAATCTTATAAGAGTGTTCACGCACATGTTTGAATCTTTTCCAATTAGAGCACTCGAATTAAGTTAACTAAGTGATTAGCGAAATTATATTTGTTTGAGACTTTCGCTATACTGATGTTGAAAAAAACGTCGAATGCAATTTGTTTATATCGCATTGTTACTACTATTCCACGTCTATTTCTGGTATTCACGTATTTGCAAAAATAGATAGCATAGATACATCATGAGTGCTATTTTTAGTTTTCTGTTATAAGTCCACAGAATCATGGTGTATGTGTTTCCTGCGTTAAATCCTTGGTGTTCCTGCCTCTGCAGCCTTGTAACGTGTGTGGTTTATTTTTTCTGGCTAAAGACACACGGCAACCTATATGCCAAGTTACTCGAGCAAGAAAACAAATAATTTAAGCAATCTTTAAAGTAATGGACCTTTCGTAATAATTGTAAGTTGTTATAATACTTTAACGATTCTTTCATTTTATCCCTCGTAAACTTCTCAATTATAGTATTTTCCTATATAAAGATTGAGTGTATTTTGAATCATTCTTCTCATTAGTACCTTAAAGGTTCAAATTCAAAGCATTGAATAAAATAAAATCAAGAAAATGTGACTTCAAATTCGTATTCCCATAAAACCTCGAGTAACAAGTTTCAAGTAAATTTAGTCGATTTTAAATTTTTTCCTCTGACAAATTGGATCCACCTTATTGAATTTTGCATATTTTCAAAATTTAACGATTCGTATTCAGCGACAATTTCGTCATTTGATTCGCCGAATTTTTATATGTTCGAATTATTATTTTTCAGAATTTTCATTAAATCGATTTTCTATATTATTGAATTTTTATATAACCAAAAATTCAATTGACAACATTTTTATTGAGTAGAATTTTCATTTGTTCGAATTATTATTTAATTTTTCAAAACCTAAAAGCTTGCTCTAACGAATGTTTTGAAAATTTTTAAGATTCTCTAATCGTATATTCATGTATTTTGAGTATATTTTTAGAGTTTAGTAAATATTTCAGGAACATTGTTATTGTGAATGTTAGTTAATATTTAGTTTACTCTTTTATTATCTATTAATTTTAGTTTATTTTGTAATATTTAGTAATTTTTATTATTTTTACTCAGTGTTTAATTTTTTTCATTGTGTTTAAATAACATTGTTAAACTAATAACGTTTTTCATTCTTCATTGTTATTTATAAAATGAATGATGACTCTATTCTGAGAATAAGAAACAGAAATACAATTACCTAAATGTTAAAATATTTCTCTGTTCAGAAAAATTAATAGAATTTAGTGATTTATTAAACAAAGTTATTAACAATGAATTGCTTTGTTAATAAGTCGACGTGCATAGTCGAATTTCGGGGCAACTCTTCTTTGCATCATCATGAAAAAGAAAAATATTTTTGATATCTTTGGCAAAAGACGCTTGCTCATCTTTTTTCTATTTATATCGAAGATTAATTTACAAATCAAGAGAATCTGTTTCCGTTATATATTTTTAAAAACACCAGAATACGTTCTATTTTTATAATTACTTTATTATAAATATAACTATTACACATGGTTTACTTATATTAGAAAAGAAAAGTCAAATCTTTTTTTATATATGTACATATTCATCAAGTTCTCATCGTTTACATTAACGAAATTTTCTCTTATTTATATATTCCGGAAGTTGTAAACAAAATCTTTTGCTTTTAAAATATTTTCAATAATTACTTTTCTAACTAAAAGCATTTTTATTTATTTTTTTTACCAACAAGAAATTGATTGTTATTTAGAGTAAAATGCTTAAATGTTTAAAAGAATCAATAATAGAATAATATGTAATTAATAATGTAAGTTTGAGAATAATGAATAATTTCTTATTTGGGAGAGAGAGAATAACTTTTTAAGAAAAAGAAGATCCTTATTAAGATTTAAATTAGTGCTGATTGAATAAAGAAATATCTTATGTAGTTAACACTTTTCTTCCCACACGTTAATTTCACATAAACGAATATTAACGTTGAAATTTGTGGCAGATTGAAGAAAAATTTTATTACTAAAAATTTAAATTTACTTCCGCCTTCAGAAAAAATTTCGAATAATTATAAATAATTTAAATTGCATTTTTATTTTTTCAGGCATGCATCGATGATGATTTGGATATGGTGGAGTTTTTAGTTGAACAAGGCGCAGATATTAATCGTGGAGATAATGAGGGTTGGACACCTTTACATGCCACTGCCTCCTGTGGATTTATATCAATTGCCAAGTAAGTAAAATATAATAAATAATTGAATAAAATACATTAATAGTAATACAGTAGAACCCATGCGTATTGGATTTCAAGGGATCAGAAAAAATAATTATTAATAATAATATTTAATTAGTTATAAATTTGTTTTTTTTTATGGGTTCTTATTTAAAATTCTTTTTAGATACTTAATTGAACAAGGTTGTAATCTCGCTGCAGTAAATAATGACGGCGAATTGGCTCTTGATATCGCGGAAAGCGATGAAATGGAAGATATGCTCCAACAACATATTAATAAAGCTGGTAAAATTCTATCAATTCCTTTTAAAAGTCCACTCGAAAGCTAGTTTCAAACATGTATTTGATATTATCATTTAAAATAGATTTTTGATTTAAAGTTGATTATTTTTTAATTACATCAGATATTGTTTTTAATTTGAAATTATATTTTCATATATTAATTGTAGGTATAGACTGTGATCAAGCTAGAAGTGAAGAAGAGAGATCGATGTTAAATGATGCGAGGGCTTGGAGATCCGGAGCTGCTGGTAAAGATACAGTACATCCAAGAACAGGAGCTACTGCGTTGCACGTGGCTGCTGCCAAAGGCTACATAAACGTCATGAAGTTAGTAATCCCTTAATATTGCAGGTTCTGTAAAATTTTCTACAGAATCTAATTTTAATTTGAAAATTCGTTTAATTTTTATGGGAAATTCATGTGCCCCTTTTTTTGACACAAAACAATTTTTTCAGTATTTTACTGCAAGCTCGGTGTGACGTTAACGCCCAGGACTATGACGGATGGACACCTTTACATGGAGCTGCACATTGGGGCCAATTAGAAGCCTCTAAACTCCTTGTGGAAAATTTCTGTGATATGGATATTAAAAATTATGCTGTATGTTTCATTATTATGATAATTTCTTTTTATCAAATTGACTTTATTTATTTTTTAAATCAATAAGTTTGTTTTTTCTTCTAATAATTTTCTTTATAAATAAATGAAATATTTTGATAAATTTAGGGTCAAACGGCATTTGACGTAGCTGATGGTGATATCCTGAAAGGTTTAGAAGAACTAAAGAAGAAGCAACAAACTCTACTTAAAGATCATCCACAAATCATTAACAAGAAGCAACCGGCAATACCAAAGAAACGGTAGGAAACTTTGCAGATTTTCAGCTAATAATATATTTTTTAATATTACAAATATTTAAATTTGAATTTATAATTTTACAGCGTATCTACAAATAATGAAAATACAGTGATTGCTCAGGAAGGTGTAGAATATGAAGAAGAAACGCCGAATAAAGTTAAGAAAGTCGAATTAGAAATTCAGTCTGATAAGGAGGAATCCAGCATAGGCACAAATAGTGAAGTCGGTAAGGAAATTTCAATGTTGATTAAAGCTTATTTTTTTTTTAAAAAAAAGGTTTTCGTAAACAAAAAGTAGATAGTCAATTTTGTTGATATGTCGATTCATTAGTTTATATCAACAAATGTAGAAACTGTTTTTCAAAGAGTGATAAATTTTTCAAAGTTGATTTGTAATTGTAATAAAAAAAAAAAAAAAAAATTCCTTGTGATAATGCTGCATGGATAGAGGAAGATGGTGAGATGGATACTGAAGCAAGCGAAGGTGAAAGTGATTCTGAGACTAGCTCAGAATCACAATCTTCCACGTGCTCAGATCAATCTAATTCCAATCTGTCGAATCATTCTTCTTATATTAATGAAGATGGTGAGTTTCAGTTGCTGTCAATTTTTTTTATGGTTCTTTCTTTCTGTATTGTATTTTATCTTTATCTTACATAGTTATGATTCATATCTAGTAATCATCTTTTTAGTCATTGGGAATTTATTTGGAAAGTTTATACATTCTCATTGAATGAGAAGATATCTTTTACTATTTTTGGTTTTTTATATTATATTTGTAATTGTTTTTTTTTATTTTGTGCCTCTGAATCTAGTTAGGAGATTTTCATTCTGTTAATTGACAAATTAAGAGAAAAAAATAGAAAATTGTTGATTTTAATTTGATTTTGACGTTTTCAGAGAAAAAGAATAGAGTGAATAGAGACGAAACAGCGTCACATAGTCCAACACCTTCTATAGAAAGCAACAAAGTTCCTAATCAGGTAAATAAGAAACGATTCCTTTTTTAAAACAAGATGCAATCTATTTTTCTTCAATCCTTTTACTTTTGTTCTCAAGGCCTCAATCGTGCCAATCAAACAAGAGACTGAGAATAACGATGAAGGTTCAATTCCGTCGTGGAGACGTTCTGGATCTTTTAAAAGTAGAAATCAAGATTCAGAACCTGTCAATTCTTTATCTTCCAGTGAGTATCAATTAAAAAACTTTCTGATTCTATTTCATTAATCCACGTGCTTTACTATTAATTTAATTCATTCAAATTTAAATTATTACGAATATTACATGATTTAAAATTTAGTTTACTCATTAAAAAAAATTTATTTTTATTTATCTAAATTAAATATTTACAATTTTTTACTTTATAATTAATAGAGGTGATTTTTTAGAAATAGAAGAGAAGGAGAAGACTGTAAAATTGACACCATCGCCAGTAAAAGTGAAAGAAGAACCTGAGGTAGTTTTGAGAAGAACCCACAGTTTCGAAACTGATGAAAAGTGAGTATATTTTTATAAAAAAAAAAAAAAAATAATTATAAAGCAATTTAGCTTCTTTGACACTAGATGCGTTACTATTTTAAAAAGAGCTTAGCGCTATTAATTGTTTTAATGTTATGAAAAGCTACATTACATCATCTCAAGCGCAAAGAATTCATTCATCGCTAACATTAACCCTCCGAAATTTTGATACTCAAATTAATGTCATTTATTCAGCTTTTTACTAAATTGCAGTGTTTCAGAGTAGAATAAACAAAAATTAATAATTAATAATAGAAACCAAAAATCGGAGGTTTTTTTTGCAAATTTTAAATGTTTATTAAATTTTGAGAATATAAAAAAGTTTAATTTAATTTTTTCATAAAATTCAAAAATATTTATCTAATAAATTGTTAATCCATAAGACAATACGAAATATTAGGGATTTCCGTAAAAGAAAAATGAAGAAATTAGGATTAGGTTAAAGTAATTAAAAGTTAAGTACGTAGAAGTACGCATGGCATGACGCATGTTACGCAGGTTCTATGAGCAGTACTTGGCATTACGAGCTCGTATCAAGGCATCTTCCTGCCCTACTCTCCATCGTTGCAACCCATCTTCTCCTACTCATAGCAACGCTGTGACCACTCGCTCTGCGTCCCTGCGCGAAAATTTCAGGTACTTGCTTGAATTTCAACATTCGTTAGCTTAATTCGGTAGGGTGCATGAATATCCCATTAAAAAAAAGATGGTTACAATTTTCATTTTAAAGAATTTTATTAGATATAATTACTTTTAAGACCTTAAAAACCTCTGAGGGATCACTTTTAAATAAATTAAATCAATTTTTAAAACATCGTCCACCATATTTGAACCGCCATTTTGAATTTTGGAAATCTGACATCAGATTCGAAAACCACGAAAACCTCTTAAGTAAAAATTCATTTAAAAATTAATTATATCTCATAAAATTCTTTAAAATGTAAATTATCAACTAATTATTTTTATGAGAAATTCATGCGCCCAGGCTCACAAGTTTTTGTTTAATTGAAATATTTTAGAAAGTTTTAGTTTTATAGTTTTAGGAATACTATAACGAGTGACATAGTATATTCACATACTTTTAATGAATTAATTAATATCTCTTATGATAGATTAAAAAAAATTAATTAATTATGCCAATGCTGAGCTAAATCATCTTAAATATAATAATAATCATAATAATATTTCATAGCTTTCAAAATGCTTCGAATTTGTGCTTCCAAGCTTTTGTTTAATTGCTTTAGTTACATTTTTATAAGTACAAAAGTAATTTTTTTTATCTATCGATTAACAATAATGATAATGGTCAATTCATTATTAGAAAGTGATAATACACATTTTTCAATCTGAATATAGTAATAAATTATTACATTTGAATGGTTGATTTTATGAGATTTTGAAATTTACGAATAAACTATTAACAAATTAATGAAATGTAACAAATTGAATAATAATCGTCAATGATTATACGTATTTAATATTAGGAAATAATAATGTTAATCATAATAGGGATGTGGGAATAGTTCGAATCGATCTTTTCATTTTTATTTTTTTTTGTGTTCATGTAATTGATTTAATTCGATTTGAGTTCTTAAATCTTTGATTTGCTTATCTCTAAATTGTAATAGATCCTAATATTTTACGATTAATTCCGATAAAAAGAATGTTGAATAATAAAAATTTATTTTGTTTAAACTTTAGGAAAAAGGACATTAAATTGAATTTAGATTTATCGAAAGTGCCTCAAGGGAATAATTTATCGCAATCTATTTCTAATAAATCTTCGCCTGTCTCTTCACTGTCAACATCAACAAATTTCACAACTACAACTATTACTAGTCCACTTCCTGGAAATCAGATTCGCAGGTAAATCTATTTTTATTTTAAAAATAAAACATAAATTAACAATTGTTTCTTTTGGTCAGAACGATTGTTAGTCGATTTTCTTTTATTATTAATTATTTAACTATCTAAAATCACCTACATAAACTTCATCTTAAAATAAATGTATAAATATTCAAATTTTTTATATTTGAATTGGTCTTAGAATCATTCTGACGAATTGTAATTATATTTAATATCACTGAATAGTTCTCAATCAGCGGATGACACTACAGTTATCTACACTTTAAACAATTCTGTGACGACTCCAATAACTCCCACAACACCAGGAGGTAGTAAACTAAGTCCTGGAAATATCTTCAAAAATTTCTTCAAGTGCGTACCATTTCATCGTCGTGGAGGAAAAAATGTTTTGTCTCACCACGAAATATATATGCAACATTTAATTATTAATTTAATCATTTATTTGCAGCAGCATGGAAATTTGCTTTTTCGTGTGAATCTTATTTACCTATATAAAAACTGCATTTTTTACAGAAATATTTTGCCAAATTTAATAATATTTTTCGCTTATCATATTACGTAGGTGCTCGACGATTTTTTTCAATAATAATTTTTTTTTTTAAAATACATTACGATGTATTTTAATTTATAAATCATCACATTTGCTGGAGTATCACATATTCCATTTAATTAATTATTTTGATGATTACATTTATAATTTTATTTTAAAACCTCAATTGACATTTAATTATTAGTTGACAATTTATTTTATATCTATTTCATAATTTAATTCAAAGTATTTAATTGCAACAATATATCTTTCTTTTTTAAAAAAAAATACTCTTAGCCCGTCAGGATGTACATTTTTTCCTCAGATTTAAATTGTGTTTATTATTAATAAATTTTTAAACCTATTTTATCCATAGAATGATTTGTTTTTTTTTATGTTGAAGCAAAGTGCGCTTTGTTTTATGATTCTTTTCTTTTTCTTTGATAAATTTTGTAATATTATAGAGCGCTTTGTTTTGAAATCGCTCGTTGTTTAATTTTATTTTTCTATTTAAAACTGATGATAATTGATGTTACTTTTTTTTGATAATACTTAGGTCATTCGTGCCTCCGGTCCGTGACGAAGAGAGTGAAACTCAGAGAAAGGCACATGCGAAAAGAGTGAGGGAGACACGTCGATCGACACAAGGTGTTACATTAGATGAAATCAAAAGTGCCGAGCAATTGGTGAAAAAAAAACAACAACAAAATAGCGATTCTCCTACCACTACGGCACCTTCGATGCAGGTAAAAACAATAACTTTCAGTAATTCAGTTTACCAAAAAAAACATTATTTACCAATTTTTATTTGTAGATAGTTATATCTATTTTTTAGTTTTGCCATTTTTTATTTCACCCTTATACAATGGAAAAACATACGTAAGTGATAGTTTGGTGAAAAATTAGTTTTTGTATCAATGGATTCAATAATTGTTTAAAATTAAAAAAAGAACAATTTTAGCAAATAAAATTACTCAAATTTTCAATTTAAAATCTCATGAAATTCAAATATTTTCAAAAATTTAAACATAAGAATTTTTTTATTTTTTTTTTTAGATAGATTTATTTTTATCATCGTGTACTTTTATTGTTTTAATTCATTTAACTTTATCATCACACATGAAATTATTATTAAGAACATTAATTCTGCGCTTTCTAGAAGAAGGGTATTTCCGTTAATTGGTAATGGATTTTTCTATTAACAAATTTACAAAAATAAATGTATAATTTTAAATAAGATTATTAAATAAAATGCGAGACTAACAAATTCATGAGTTACATAGTGGGACAGAGTTAATTTCAGGGGAGCTTAAAATTTTTGTGACGTAAATTAATAATTCTAATTTTTCAAGTTTTGTTGACTATTAATTTGTTTAATAACCCAGCCTGCGACTTCTGTGAGCAATACAGCCTCGATCACAGCTACCATAACAACAGCTACGCCAACAACAGTGACAGCAAGCAAAACATCCGAGGAGACTAATTTGCCTGAGAGACGGCCTTCTTGGAGACTCAGAGTAGATAACGGAAGCAAGGTCTGTGGATCCCATAATCTTCAAGTAGATACGACTAGAGATCAACACAGTAGCAGTTGGTGTGCATGGATATTAAATGTTATGGGGTGGAATTACGACTAGATGTTAGGTATATTAAATAAAAAAAAAAAAAAGCGTCACTATTTAGACTCATCGCGAGAGGTTCTATTTTCACATTCATCGAAAAACAATATCGAACCGCGGTAAAATTTGTCACAAAATGAACAAATTCTTTCTCGTTGAGAAAATTATAAATTTATTTTAGATGCGCGGAAATTTTCAGCATGACTAAGAAATACTTTATGAATGCAACACACAACCTTGGGATTTTCATTTTTACAGTTTCAAATTGAAATTCACATCTTCCAGAAGTCTACTTTGAATGAATTCAATCTGTAGATTGAATGCTTAGCTGTAGAAATTAGGAGCGCATGAATTATGAATGAGCATGTATTGTAGATTTTATTTTTTTTTTTCGTTGAACTATTTTAAGGGGAATTGACTCGTTAACAACTTGGAAAAATGTTTTAATGTATGTGTGATAAATCACGAGTTTTTAAATATTAACTTCTAATATTTATTATGAAGCTAATTTTTAGATATTTATTTGCGGTTAAAATGAATTATTTTTGTCATCTTTAGATGAGAAAAATAAAAAAAATCGATTTGGACCATTTTAATCGATAATAAGCTAAAAATCATCTTCATATGGTAATTAATTGATCTAGGATCGATAATAATCAATTAGATTGGCTCTTTTTGTTTCTTCTTGGCTTTTCTTATTAATTATTGAGAATCTAGTTTTAGATGTTAGTTCTTTGTTTCTTATTGGCTTGCCTTTATTAATAATAATTTTCTTGGCTGATCATGAAAAACGTCGATTGCTGAGAATGAAGTAATTTTTTTTTTTTTTTTTGTTATCAAGACTTTATTATTTTACATGTAGTTCCAGTTAGAGGATGCAAATAATAGATCCAGCGATACAACGGCCTACATCCGAAGACCTTCCGGTGGCTCTAATACTCCAAGGCCTAGTTCGGCTCCAATTGACACCATCACCGCCAGTACTGCTGAAACTACTGTTACTTTACCTCTCAGAAGACCTTTGAAACCTCCGGAAGACAAAGGTTGGTTCTATTATTTTCCTTAAGCTGTTAATTTATTAATAAATAATTAAATAAAAAATTTTATTCTTTTTGCGTAGAACAAGATAAGGAAAATGACAGCAGAAACGCACAAGCCACCCAAGCTGTTATACAAAGGAGACGAAGGCCAAAAAGAAGATCAACCGGTGTTGTTCACGTAGATATGGACGTAAGAATTTTCAATTTAAAGAATTTTATTTTATTTTTTAGGCGAATTTTCATTTTTCGAATTAGCCTTTAATTTCGGTGAAATAAAAATTGAAAATAATTTTTAATTTTTTTCTGGAATTTATTTAAAATCTACTATCTATTGACAATATTTGTTTGCGTGAGCTTCTTTATAACATGAATGAGCTTTAGTGTGAGAAACATGTCTGGAATTCTGTGACATTTTCAGCACAACTACCTTGTCAGAAATTTATGCTATTTCATAATCTCTCATAACACTGACTCGCATCTCGAGGCCCATGATATTTCCGCCCGCCATCAGACTGCAGTGCTTTTATACTTTATTTTTCATGCGAAACTCACCCAATCTTATGTGTGGGTGTAACGAATTACTGTTTACTTTCACGTCAAAGTAAACATTAACCCAATAACAACTCGTGAGAGTTGAAAATTGATCGATGATTGGTATATGATGATGAGAAAAATATTTCAGACACAAATTCAACCTTGTCCTTAATATACAAAGATTTTCATTTTTTACGATATTTTAAAATTCCATATTGGTTAATTTTAAAATTTACGCTGAAATATTTATTCGAATAAATGAAAATTCTGTCAAATAAAAATGCTAACAAATTAATTTTAGGCATTATTCATGCTCTTATTAGTTAGAAGATAATATTATTAATTTCATAATTTAATAATAATTATAAATTTTAAAATTTTGTAATTTCAAATTAAGTTTGCTGTGATTTTATGTCCATAATTTTTTCTTGTAGGAAATAGATCCCGAAAAGCAAGATGTTTCAGCGGGAGGTGACTGCGACGATTCTAAAATTAATAATAACGAGGTGAGCTCATTCAAATATTACTAATCGATTATTTATTGTTTGATTTAGATTTTTTATTTTTATAATTTCATTATTTATTTCATCATATTGAATTTATGAGATGGATAAAGAAGCTCTATAATTAATTCTATTTTAGACACTTAAAGGTATAAATTTTGGTTAATATAGTTATCGACACTTCATTATAACATAAATTTCTTATATAATAATATTATATTTCCTGCATTTATTTTATTATTTTTTATTTAAGCGAATTTTAAAATTCGAATCGCATAAAATTCGATTGAACGAGAATTCTGTCAAATTTTAATTCGAAAAATGAAAATTCGTTTAAAAAATAAGTATTTTTGATAAAATACTTTGAAATAAAAATTTTAATTAATAATTTTTATGGGAAATTCGTGCGCCCCTTTAAAATTTGTAGAGTTCGGTTTTTTGAAAAGAGGTATCGTGGGAACGAATAGCAATTTTTTTAGTTTGTTTACAACTTGGCTGGCAAATTTTCTGGTAAATAAGTCAGTGCTGTTAATAGCTAGACCGATTTATCCACAGTGTAAATTACCTGTTCGAATGTCAGTTCTCGTATTGGCAGACATTGCGTCTCGGGGGAATAAGTTCTACATCAATACATACGACATATATGAATAATGCTGCGTAATATTTGAGTACTTTTACACTCTACCATGGCTTTGTGATATTTTTGGATGAGTTCCTGAGAAGATTAACCTCTTGTCTTACAAGCTTAAGTAAAAATAGCCTCTTTGGTTTGTAGAAATTTGATTGAATCATTTTATTTTGACGATCATGAATCTCAACAAATTGATATTATTTTATTTAAAGCTCAAATGAAAAATTTCATAAATTACAATTAGTTTATTCTTTGTCATTTTTTTTAAGTATTTAAAAATATTGGTTTTTTGTATGCATCGCGTGTGGTGAATACATAGGGGAGATCTATTTTTAACACTACCTTCCAATCGCATTATTTGAAAACTAAACTTCTCGGCAGTTCATGAATTTAATTAAAAAAAAACTTCCCGAATTGTAAAAACAATTGTAAACTATTTTTTTTAACATTGACAGATTTTTGAAAATTTTTTATTTTACAAATTCCTTGAATTCGCACTTTAAAAAAAATTGTTAATTTTTTTTTATCAACTGTGCAATTAAAGTTTTAAAAAAATTTGAATGTTAAATTATTCCTGCAGCATGACTTGCTTTTCTTTTATTTTCTATCTAAGGAGATACAAAGCGTTTGAGGAGTCAAGAAACATAATGTCACGCGCCAGAAATAATTTGCAATAGAAAATTTATTTTTGTTAATCAATATACTTGCTTATTTATATTTCTTTCTACATTTACAGTAAGAATTTAAATTTATCAAATTATTTAAAGATCTAAATGATCAAATTTATTTTAAAAACCAAATATATATATTATTTCGTAATAGAAAAAACGAGAAAAAAAGAATTCTTTTTAAGTAAACGACCTTAAATTGAATTTTAAATTTTTTCTATCTAAGTTCTATTTGTTTATTTGGTTATTTGGAGAATAGAATATGTCTGGCTTAGTTTCAACCTTGAAATGATTTCCTCGACTTCTGGTTTATCCAGTAAATTCGCTTAATACAAAATTGGCTAATGTGTATCATTAAGCTATAGACACGTGCCAAGTAAATATTGCGTAGCAATAAATTTGAATTGTGAAAATGATTTAGCGTTTCTTACAAGAAATTTCGTTTTAAAAAGAAAACAAAAGATAAATAATTAATTTTCATAGGCTATTTGATAACTTTATTCAACTTAAAATATTATAATTAGAAATTGAATAATAATTATATCTGATAAAATTATTGAAAATGAAAATTCTAACGATTTTTATGCAATAATTACGCGCTCCAATTTCTATAAATTAACTGTTTTAAGAAAACAGGAACTGAATTTTTTTTAAATTTCATTTTTTGAATTAAATTATTTAATTGATTGAGAATTAAAAATATCAACTTTTTGAAGCTTTTATATATAATGTAATGCGATTTTTTTTGTGTAAAGTCAAGTTTATTGCAAGCAATAGAGTTTGCGCAAGAATCTCTGCAATCTCATTAAAAAGAAAAGCACTTGATCATGAACGTGTACTAAAGTTTCTAAAAATAATAGATCGACATTAGTAACATAGTGTTCATTTGACATTTAAAAGCACTCGTTGTATTTGCTTGATGATCGTGTCTCCTCCTCTAATAGTAAGGTGAATCATCGAATTTTATTGATAATAATTAATTTTGCGTATACAATAAAATTTGTAGGAATTTTCATGACGAAGGAATTTTGCCCTTTCCCAAGGGTTATTATCATCATTAGAGACTCGCGCTTCAAATCTCGGGGATTCACTTGGTGTGAGATTTTACGAGCGTTCCATAAATAACTTGCAGAAGGAAAACGATGGAGAAAACTTGATGATGAAAGGCTAGTTCTGCTAGTTGGTCTACGTCAGTTAAACACTTGCTGTCAGAAGCTGTTGACTTCTCTGAAAAGAGTGAATTCTCAAGTGTCCATTTATTTATTTATTTATTAAAATTTTTTATAATTATAATGAGCGTTTTAAAGTGCCGCGTTAAATACAAGTCAATGTGTAATTCAAGGTAAATTTAAATTTGTGCAACGAAGGAAAATTCACTCGCCAAAAATATGTCATCGTATAAGAAACGAACCCAAGCAAAACCAACGACTGCAGCCGGTTTGAGAGCTCAAGCAACTGCAAATGGAAGTTCAATATTCCGAAATCGACCAAGAAGTATATCGGGATTGTATGGACCAAATCAAAATAGTTATTCATCTCTTTTGGGTGTTCAGTCATCAAATTCGCCATACACGTCTGCGTCATTTATAAACAAAACCTCTTCAAAATCGCCGAGTTCATCATCATATATTAAAAAGGCCTATTCGAATTCGGCAAATAATTTAAATTTCCCAAAATGTTATAGTGTTTATGGTGGCACATCTTCCGGTTATGGAGGTTTAACAATACCAACTCACTCGAGTATTAGTTCGCTAAATCTCGCGACACCCATCAGTAGTTACAATTATTTAGGGCGTAGTAATAGTTTCAACTCAAGTAATAGGACAAATTTGAAAAGAGGTGGCAGCTTCAATCGATCGAAGAAAAAATCACAGTTAAGCATCGGATCACGAAGTTCGAGTCTGCAAAGTTTGACAGGATCTGAGGGCTACGTTGTAAGGATTAGAAATAAATTCTTTGTACAATTGTTTATTTTTAATTACATAGAAGTGTCATTTTAGACATTATTCATGCGTCTCATAAAATCATTGTTAAATTAAATTTAAAAAACTTAAATTTAATTATTTTTCTTTTCAACAGAGTGGTCAAGAACGATCAGGACGATCAAGTAGACTTGGCTCAGTATCGTCTATAACCTCAGAGACTCCTTCGCTGCCAACGAGGACAAAATCTGTAACCTCGGAAAATGGGGAGCTTGACTACAAAAAATTGTATGAGGAGTCACAGGCAGAAAACGAGAGGCTTCGAGAAAAACTTCGAAGATCGGATGAACAATTAAAAGAAGTCCGCGGTCTTCTCGATAAAGCGCAAAATACCCAAAATAAAAATAATCTTTCGGAAACGGAGAAAAGAGAAAGGAGAGCAATGGAAAGAAAACTTTCGGAAATGGAAGAGGAGCTTAAGGTAAGATTCGATTTATCAATTTTAATATTATATTTAAAAACCTTCTGCTTCGATTATCATATACTTTTATCATGGGTATATCAAATTCTTTTTTTTCGGAAAAAAAAATTAAAAATATAAACTCGAATTAATTTCTTTATTCTATTTGCTCTTTCAGTGTCTCGCCTAACAATTTTCCTTTATTAAGAAATGCACGTCCAAGTTTTGAATTCTGTTTTGTTTTTTTGTGATTGATTGCAATGAATTATTCTCACCTTTCTTCGTGGCTGTATCTGTATTTAATCATTTTTTTTATTTTTTTTTAAATTTTATTTTACGATTTCATTTTACTGAGCGTATAATTTTTTTTTAATTTTCTTTTTTATTTATACCTTATTATTTCGTAAAGAAATTTTTTCTTAATTTTTTTGAGTCTCACTTATATTTTTTTAAAAATTGAAATCAATACTTGGATACAGCTATCTATAATTATCTTTTTGAAAAATAAAGAGAGCTTAGCGCATTGCTTTTTTCATGATCATTTACCGACTTTTCTTTGATAGGTATTTGTCCTTTTATTTTTTGATACCCTTGGATTGAAACAGACGGACTTTGCCTCCTTTTCTTTTATTAAGATTGAAACCCAGATTTGTTCCCCTGTGCTTTCGAGATAAATAATAAATCGTGTTTCTTTAAAATTCAATTTAGAAATATTTAATTATTTGAAGAAGGAAAAGAAGCAGGTTTGAAAAAAAAGTTGGATAAGTTATTCTAAAAAATAGAAAAATTTGGAAAGGAAAAAGGAGAATGGAAAATAAATTGAAAGAAACGAATCCATTTCTAGGAAATTTCAAAAGGCAAATGCTTAAAAAAAGCATCTGTCTTTATAATTTATCGATTAAATTAATGACTGCTTGGTTTTTTTTTGGGAGATCGAGGCATCTGGGTTAATTGGGCTAACTGTTTCACTGTTTACAGCAATTGCAAAAGCTCAAAGCTGAAAATGAGAGATTGAAATCCGAAAATTGGGCACTTACCCGCGTGGTAGCCAAACTCACCAATACTACTAAATAGGTAAAGGATATAATGACAAGCATCTGTGTTAACAATGTAAAAATTGTACATTTTTTATGTACGACATTAATTACATTTTTTATGTTCTGATCTGCAATATTAAAACTTGAATTGTTCATCGCTACACTCACTTTCTTACACCACTAAGCTTTTGCAGATAGTTCATTTTTCGAGTTTTGGTTACTCTCACTCTGATCATTCATTGTACGATTTGTTGGGTGAACAAATAACACTGTTTAATTATGATATTCGTCTACACCTATGTAATTTTTAAATTATTCAATATTTAGGTTGTCTTGATTGTTCACTTTAATTATTATTAACTTTGCCATATATGTATATGTGTCAATTAATTTTAATTGTAATTAAAAACAATTTCTTTAAGTAGTTCACACACAAGTAGTCTTTATCTAAAAATTGATTTTGGATCCAACAATTTATAGTTAATCTCCGGCCTATTATTTTCATTTTTATTTGCTTATGTCGTTCAAACTTTAACTCTAAAATTCAAATTTGACATGAATAATAGTTCAGAATGGATTTACTTCAATCTAATTCTACCAGGTCTTTGGTACAAATTAATCAACTGTTTTTTAAATGTTCCTATTTTCATTTTTTTTATTTCTCGAGCATTTTGTATATTCATATTTATATAAAAAATTGACAAAATTTTGACTGATTTTTAAATGACACACGCTAAAAAAAGTTTCAATGAAACATTGTAAGTAATCTCTGAAATAGCTATAAGTATAGTTAATATGGCACCAGAGATAATCCAAGTTCGCTGGAATAGTGAAAATGACATTTCTGATATTCAATTGTATTATAGATATGGCAGAAATCTTATTTCACAGAAACTTCATTTGCCAGAATTTTTATTTGTACAAATTGTCATTTGATAGAAATTTTAAAACGCCGAATTTTCATTTGACCGAAATTGCAAATGATCGAACAAATATCCGACAGAAAAGTTACGGGAATTTTAAAATTAATCACAATTTTCTTGATTATTTTTGATAATTTTAAAATTCACGTCAAAACTTTTCTGTCCGATATTTGTTCGGACATTTGCAATTTCGGTCAAATGAAAATTCAGTGATTTGATAATTCGTACAAACTTCCGACAAATAAAGCTTCGATTAGGTATTTTTTTCTATTGAGGAAAGAAATCAGAAGAATGGCGTTATAGATGCATGAAATAATAAAATTACATCATCACTTAAACATAAGGAATCATTTTTTCACGAGAAAGACGAGGAAGCATGACGTTTAGTATAATTTTGCAAATAGATTTTATTTTTTCCAATAACATAGAAATTCATGATTTCTCCTGTTTGGACATTTGTAATAAATAGCAAAGACTGTCTTTTTTTAAATTAACCACTGGGTGCTCTAATTTAATTTTTTAGGAATTTTTACTTTCACTCTTGCACTATCTATTTTTTTATAGAGAAATAATTCATTCGCGTTACTGGAATGTATCTCTTTTTAATTAATGTAACTTAAGTTATGAAAAATCGAGTTTCACGCCTTTTAAATTGGCATGAGTTTTCATAAAATTAGAATGTGTGTCTTTTGTAGTGTTGCAGAGGTAAAAACAATTTTTAAGAAAGAACATTTTAATGATAATATCCTATACGCAAATTGTTGAAATATTGATAAAAATTAATTAATAATGTAAATAATAAAGTAGTTTGGAAATTTAAAAAATTTTAAATATTATCAAAATTGTTAAGGGTTTGTAAAAATATAAATTACGAAAAAGTTTGTATATTGAAAATGGAAATTAATTAATTAATGTAATGACGGTAATTCTCTTCATTCATTACATTAAATTGACATCGAGAAACAAACAAATTTTCAACATATTATAAATAATTAATAAATATATAATAAATTAAAAAATTTTCTTCTAGGTGATGGAGCAATTAAAATGTGAAAATCAGAAATTAAAGGATGAAAATGGTGCCTTGATTCGAGTGATCAGCAAGTTATCCAAATAACTCTAATGATCCCAGTTTAAAAGGCTATCCCACCGCTTTATCCAACTCGTATTATTAAAATGAATTTATTTTATCTCTACCAACAATCGACGTATCTTTGTGTTAGCTATTTAATTTATTTTAAATCGAATCAGTTACTCTTGTGGCTGTGCCAAATGCGTAAACAAACCTCATTTTTTTATTCCTCCGATTTGATGGATTAAAATCTTCAAATGATGAGGAGAAGTATATTTAATAATCTTTTTCTTTTATCGCCATTTAATGGAATTTTCCCTTTATAAATAATTTGACAAGATTGTTATTTATTTTTTTTTTTAAAGTCGTATTTAATTTATAAATCTTACTGCAATCTTTTATCATATTACAGTCAAAGAAAATGTTTCATACTTTTAAGAAAATAAATTTTTATATTAATTTTAAGAAATAGGTTTTTCTAATCTGCATAAAGGAATTTTTTTATAAAGAAATCTTTTCATCAGTTTTTATTTTGATATCATTGAGAAAAGCTTTTCTTCTTGAAAAGGAACTTTTCTGCAATTAGAAGAAGAAAAAATTGTATTCAATTTTTGATAATCAAATTTTTAAAATTTCGTCCTAAATCTCGTGCTTCGTGTGGCCTTTCCAAAAGACTGCATTTTAGAAACATTTTCATCTCGCGATTATTATTGCAGCGGTATAATATTGAATTTTAAATATTGTAACATTTGCAGACTCGTATCATCGAGTGCGTAATCACATTTTAGAATAACTTTCTAAATTTATACATAAAAAAATACCAATTGCATTGTGGATAAAAATATATACGAATTTTGTATTTATCTTCAATTAAATCTCACGGATTGCTCAGAAGTAACGTGGATTTTTTTCTTAGTCCTGTTTAGAAGTGCTTTTACGCACGCACATACACCCACACGCATGCGTTTGCGCGCGTAATAAATATATATATATATGCAACGAGAAAGATTTGTAATCGTGTATCTGTGACAAATTATAAATTGACACGTTTTTAATAAAAAAAAAAAAAAATGCTGTTGTAAACAATTGTAAAAATTAAGTCATTATATAGTTGTTTCATAATGAAGTCTGTTACAAAAAATAACATAGAATAACCAATCATTTAGTTAGAAACTTCTATTGTACTGTATATGATAGTGATATCTATGTGCTTACTGTATTATATAGTTTTTAAAGTGTTCAGGCAAGACTATCACTCTTATGGAATACCCTTTATATTGTATATGTTATCAGAATTTTATTATTAATAATAAGCGAATTCATCTTTATCAAACAGGCCAAATTTTATTCACGGTGATATTCGATTTTTATACGGGATTACACATTTCTTATGGGTTGCAGCTTGACCCCCCATATATTTGTTGGTACTTTCAAAAATATTTAAATCTATTTTTTTTAAAGTCCTTATTTTTACTCCTTAAAAAGGATTTTATTTTTTAATACAGAATATAAAATTGATGTAAAACGTTAAATAGCACTTGCAATAGGGTAAGTGTGAGTATTACTGCCGCTTCCACTATGGCTGCAAAATTTAAAAAAAAACTGATCAATAATCAGTTAATGTAGTTATTTAATAAATCGCACTCTAGCAAAAATCTATTTTCTTAAGCTCTTTATTAAGGATGAAAAAATTTTAAAAGACAATCTAGAAACAATAAATAATTTAATTTTTTTTGTCAGAGTGTGATCAAAGTTAGAACTAAAAGGAAAATTATCGTGCTTGATTTTGGAAATATGATACTGATTTGATAAAGATAAAATTCTGTTTAAAATTATTTTCAAAATCAATTGTCTAACACATATCATGTTACAATTCAGATTGTCTTCTCATACATCGCTCTAATTTTTAAGCTTCATTTATAAAAGAATCTAAAAAAAGGAAAAACAAAATTATACACATACTCGAAGAACTCCGATTTATAAGTTAAACACTATATTTGATTTTGTGCTTGTATCTATAAAGGATAAATCAATTAAAATTTGCAAAATATATTTTATATTTTTGATGTTTTAACTATGGCGATATTTAAGAAATATTAAAAAAAAGATAAGTTATTTTATTGTTTTCTTTCATTGAGTTTTGTGCTTAAATTATTTAGAGGGACAAGAAGAAACAAAACTTTAAAAATGTGATGTTATAAATTTCTTTATATATCTGAATAAAAAAATGTGTTGACAATCAGACTCGGAATAATTCTATTGAATTACAATTTCTTTTTTAAAATGAATTATTTTTATTTACAGCTAAGGGTTTTTAAGTTTCATTAAACAATTTTTTAAAAATTTCAATAGCCTTGTTCACATTTGCTCGCTCATCTGTTGATTTTGTAACTTGATTAATGAAAAATTGAAATACTTTCTTTTTTCCTCCTTTATATTGTTTCAATGCTTTCGGATTATCGTCGATTATTTTCTGACATATTCTTGTCAATTCTTCATTATCCGTTATTTGAAACCAATTTTTTTCGATTATAATCTGAAATTTTTCATAAAAATGTTTTTAAAATAAACGAATTCAATTTATTTTTTATAAAATTATTAGAAAATTATTGTTGGGATTTTTTTTGCCTTTTTTGTTCTAAAAATAGATTAGAATCAAATTTTACCTGCTTTGGCGAATTTTGTGGATGTAATAAAATTTCAGGTAATACTTTTTTAACAATATTTAAGTTAATGGACTCATTTTCTAACAAATCAATTACTTCTCCCAAATGTTCTTGAGTAATTGGACTGAAAATAAAATTTTGTTATTTAGTTTACGTACTTGAACTTTTTGATTATTTAAAAATGGGAACTTACCAATTTTCCTTTTTTAATTTGTTCTTATTTATAACTTCAAGAAAGAAATTGACTAGAATTTTTGCAACAATATTTGCAGAACGTTTTTCATTGTTTTTGATAATATTATAAAATATTTCCAGTAGCCAAGAATCATTCTAGAAAATAATAAATGAAAAATTTAGTAAATTATCGAGAAACAAAAATTGAAAAATCTGTATACCGTTATCACTTTGATGTAATCTTGAGAAATGGAAAATGTTTCTTTAAGCTTTTGCCTTGTCTCTTCGGGCATTTCAGGCAATTGATCTTGCAAATAAGGCACGTCTATTAAATTATTTTCGTTCTTTACATCTCTGTGAATATGTAAGCGCAAAGGTGGTAAATTCGGTTCAGGCATAAATCGATAATCCTAAAAATGAAAATTTTTTCATAACTACGGGAGAAATAAAAATGAAATGTGCACAGTATTGAAAACTGATCATTTTTTTATCATTAATTGCAAGACATTGGAATTTTGATACTTGTTTATCTTCCTTGTCTCTCATAGCAACAGTTTTGTTACATTCTGCATTCCAGGCTCGAGTTTCGTTTACAATTTTGCGTCCTTCGTCGAGCATTAAAATTTGCCTTTCTATTTCAAAATTTATTGCAGCTGCAACAGCACGTACACTTCCGATATTTTTTATTTCGGTTCGTATGCCCAAAGGCTCCCCTAGTCTATTTACTGAAACATTGGCATCTACACGAAATGCACCCTCTGTCAAGTATAATATTTTAAAGTCAAAAAAAAGAGAGAGAAAGTAAAATTTTAAATATAAAAATTTTATGACCTTCCATTTTGCATGAACAAGTACCCAACCTTTCGAGAATAGCACAGAGTTCTTTAATCAAAGATGCTGCTTCTTCTCCATCGCCAAGATCAGGTTCAAATACGAGTTCCATCAATGGCATTCCAGCACGATTTAAATCTATTAAACTTCTACAAAATAACAATTTCATTTTATATTTGGGAAATTATTCGTCAAATATCTCAGTCAAAAATTAAAAGTTCTGAGACCTTTTATTTTCATCATCATGAAGACTTCTACCACTGTCTTGTTCCAATTGCAATTGTTTAATTTTCGATTGCTTAGAATATGGTTTCTTATGCCAATATGGATTAAATACATGAAAATTAATAATTCCATCTACTGCCAAAGGTTTTCTCTGCTGAGTAATTTGATATCCAGTCTAAAGAAACATTTATAATTTTACTTTAAAAATGTATTTAACAAATACAGAAATTTAAAAAATTTTATTACTCACTGGTAAATCAGAGTAAAAGTAATGTTTACGATCAAACATGGAAACTTGGTTTACTTTGCAAGAAAGCGCTAAAGCCGTTTTTACTCCAGCTTCAACGCATCTTTTATTTAAAACCTACAAAAATTATTAATTTTAAATCAAATCTTCAGAAAAAATATTTGAAATTTAAAAAATTCAAATATTATTACTGGCAATGTTCCTGGAATTGCTGAATCAAAAAAAGAGACAGATGAATTTATTGGACTAGCAAATGCAGTTCCTGCATCGGAAAATAATTTTGATTTTGATGATATTTGTGCATGAACTTCAAGTCCAACGACGGAATTCCATTTTTCACTGAAATGGAAAGTTTTAATTCTTTTTTCGACATTTCAATAAAAATATTAATAAACAATATATTTATTAATGATATTAAATTAAATTTCTTACCCGATTTTCAATTTTTCATGAAATTTTGAGTAAAATCTTCGACAAATTTTTTTTCGACTTGTATTAGTCGAAAAAGAAAAATATTTTAAAGAATTCATTAGTGTTAAAATTTATTTTTATAAATGTTGTAATAAATGTTTAATAATTGTTTTCAGAATTTACTATCAGTAGTGATGTGATACTGGAATAAAATATTGCAGACATACCTAAATACAGACAAAAATTTTTTAATGGTCATTTTTGGATTCCTTGTTGTTTTATTATTAACAATTATTAAACGACAATAACACTTTTCAATAATTAAATTAAATTTTTAAAAATATTTTTCAATTCTTTATTCCTTTATATTTTTGTTTAATTGCTCGCATATTCTATAACACTTTCACAGAATTATCTTGAACTTTAAATAATTATTTTTTATTTATTTTTCAATGATACAATATAAATAAGATATTTATTTATGTACAATTACTTTTTCTACAATTCCTAATAGTTCCCCAACCTTATTTTGTTATTTAAACTGCAGTAGAAACAATAAAAGAAAACGAAACGTCGGCTTTGGGTGCCAGATATTTACCAGGGTAATAATGTTACATTAAAAATATTAATATCATGTTGCCATGTTTGTAAAAATATAGTTCGTATAGTTATATCATTTTTAGGTTAGGATATTCATAACAATTTCCAACTATGAATGTCGTAGATGGAGCATGGTCAATAGACTGCAGGAGGTTGGTTTCTCTAGTAAAAATTTAGTGACTTTTAATTTTAACAATAAAGTCACTAAATTTTTACTAGAGCAGGGTGCGGTATCAGAATTTTGAAACGAACATGTGCTTCTTGGTTAATACAACATCCATGGTGAATTCTGACAGAACCACGTGTATTGTGTATTGTATCGCAATTATTTATATTATATTGTAAATATTATACTTTTAATTTGCCCAGTACGTGTTTGAGATAATTTGTACACAATATTTCGTGACATATATACACACATACATTTGGAAATTTTGCTCAGGTATCTAATTCGTTTAGGTGATTTATAATGAAAACAATAATATCTCATAGAAGAATGTTTAATTAAATTGTATTTATTATGTGAATTTAGATTTATATTTTAACACTTGTATTTAATATTATTATATTACATTCTTAATTATACTTAAATTTAGGAAAAAATTCCATATGAAGTAAGCGTTTAAATGATTTGCCAATCCATGGATTTTTTAAAATGAGTGTAAAATTTTTTCTTTGACTGCGTCCTACTCTTGGATAAGGTACTAGACCAATAGCTCTTCTATCACTTTGCTTCAGTTTTGGTACAACTGAAAAAATGATAAGTTTCATTAATAATTTTTACCCTAATTTCTATATTAAAAAATGAAATGAAAATGTTTCAGGTTCGCCAAACGTTTTCGAAACATGAAACGTTCTTCGAATATTATTTTAACAGACATGCACGTTCTAGATACGATTTAGGAACATTATTATAGAACATTTAGAAGGATTAAAATTTGGAATGAAATTTTAAAATTCAAAAGAACTAAAATTAGGCTTCGGAATTTTTAGTTGAGAAGTTTAGATTTGGTTAAAGAATGGAATGCTTTGGTGAGTTACATTAAAATTTAAATTCAGATAGAAACTGATTGGCTCAGAAACAAATAACTAAATAGGGCAGTCCTTTGATAATTGGTATATTTTGCAATTACCTAATATTTTATAAAGTTTTACTTACTATTTGCTGAAAGCGCTGTTGTTAATGTAAGGAAGAATATTACTATTTTCAATAATATTAGGTATTTCATTTTAATGTATAGTTTTACAATGTTTAATTACAATTGTTAAAAAATTGTTTCCTTAATGGCACGAAGTACTTTTCCTTCAAAAGTTTCTTTAATACTGAGTAACTTTGTTAAAGGTGTAAGGGATTTTATATCAGATGCTGCTTCAAAACCTATAACTCGTCATTCCCCATGCCATTCGTTTATTTAATATTGTCACGCTGAGATCTAATTTACACTCTCTAACGACCGATTTCAGAGGCATGATTGCAGACATAAATCTTCCATAAAACTATTCTTATTTATTAAAAGAAGATTAAAATACTTGATGAATATTTTTTAAAACATTTTTATTTAACAAATAAGTTGTTTAATTAAAATCAACAGAATTTATTATAGCTAAATGCGTATAATTTAGCATAATTTAATCACAACGTAAATTGTAGTATAAATTGATCTAAAATTCAAACTAAAATTTAAATTAACATTTTCTAATTTGGGCCAATATGTAAATACTTTTGTATCAAATTAAAACGTTCTCCTCCTTAAATTTAATCTCTTAATTCTTCTTCTTAAAAAAAGTAAAGAAATAATTTCTTTAAATCAATCAATTTCTTCATTAAAATGATTATTGATCTAATCCTAAGACATAAGTACAGCTTTAATCTTTCGTTCATCTGTCGTTCGTGACAAAATAACATAAATTTCCTCCAAGCTACAACCGTTTAAGTTAACATATAAGTCACTAACAACTGTGATTCCAATACTTCCACGGATTGTGTCACCACAAACCAATTGCATTGGATAGCCAAATAGTTTTCCATATTTTTGCATGCGGGCATAGTGTGCATTAGTGATGGCAATTTTCTCTATATTCTCAAATAAGAAATGTGATGCATCTTCACAAAAGAGATTCATAGTAAAGAAAGTAGGCATAACTTTATATATTTTTTCATGACGATCAATGCACGTCAATACACCACCGTTTGAATCATCAATATGAAGAAGAGTTAACAACTGTCCACGACAAAGTGTATTTGTTTTATTAATGAGCATTTTATAAGTCATACCTAAAATAAGTGGTAAAAATGGTAAACGTACACGATCATAGTAACCATTGTGAAATTTACTATTGGCGTAAAAATAAATTGGTGCTAGACGTGGTTGAAAATTTACAGTTTCTTCTTTTTTAGAGAAATAGGTGCGATAAATTGCGTAGAAAACAGACATGTTAATAAAGTGAGCATCGACATTACACCAGGCAAAATAATTAAATGAATTAAAGTGCTTTTTATTTTGTCGATACCATTTTACCATTTGTGCAGGGTTTTTAGATTTTCTCGACAAATCCATGATATTCGCAATTGGATAGTGTAGGTCAATTCGATTTTGCAGACAACGCCGATTGAAGTAATTAATAATTTCTAGTTGCCAATTTTCGGAAGTGAGGATTCGATTAAGAAACTCCATATAGCGTTTATCATTATTACGTAATTGTTGATAGAAGAAAATTTTTTCATTAACTAAATCCAAAATGTTACGACAATTATTCGAAATATATTGATTTGCATAACGCGTTTCTGTTTCACTTTCATAAATTACTACTTCTCGATGGTTCAATCCAGTTTTCATTGTATATATTGGCTGTATCTGATGGCAATCTCCAGACAATATTATAATAAATTTATACACATTACCCTCTTCATTCAAACATTTATTGGCATGTTCAAGCCCTTTTAACAATGTTTGTAAAATATTATAGGAAATCATAGAGAATTCATCAATGCACAAAAAGAGAGTACAATTTCTTGACGATGAATCATATGCTGAAAACAATGATTTTACAAATGTTACAGAAACAGGCAATTTATTGAAGAGGAGTGAGAAATTTTGCACTTGATTTCCTGTGATACTATTGTTAAATGTACACTGTTCATAAAAATTTAAATCAAACAGATTCATGATAAATCGACAGAGAGTAAAAACTCGTTGAGGATTCAATCCTAATTTTATTGTTGCATCTTGCAGTAAATTATTTTGAATAGTTATGTATGAAAACAAATGATTCTTCTGTACAAATTGTTTGAGACAAATTGTTTTTCCAGTACCGGCTGGCCCCACGAGAGCCACGACCGAGAAATCTTGTAATGATGACAATCCAATAATTTTCTCATATGCATTTCTTTGACTCGTGTTGAATTGAAAACAAGTCTGAGTTAAGTCTGTCTCTTTTAACTTCTGATAGTTACATTTAACTTTGCTGTCAACTGAAGTAATACAATTGGCTTGATGTTGAAGCAGATTATGTGAGTTAAAAAAATGTGTTGGTGGAAAATCAGGTAAATCATAAATGTGCAAAATTTTCGGATTCTCTTGCACTAGGCTATTTATACGTAAATACCAATTTTCGTTAGTATCAAGTCCGTTAGGATTGACAAAGAATCTGAACAGTGACTTGGACGAGTAAGGTATTCTTTTTGCCGAGTAATTTGTTAGACCACGATATTGCATTATATCTTGAATTAGAACATTGTCGAAGAGGAAATTTAATTTATTGGTTTTATTTTTTCGAATAAATTCGTCTTCTTCTGTATTAACGCTTTTTCTTTTCATTTTCCTTCATCTACGAGAATAATCAGAAGCAGAATTTTCTAGGTGCGAGACTAGCAACTTAAAACAGTCGATACTCCTATTAAAACTAAAAAATGTACATTGTTTTAAGATCTTGAAGTTTTTTAATTTTTTTTTACAATATCTTTTTAATATTTCAAATTCGTATAATCACGTGCAATTTTTGTTTATAACAAAAAATGAATAGTATAAGATATTTACAATATTATCTGATGTTAAATCCAAATACCAGCAGAAAGCATTAAGTGTCGTCAAACATATAGTAAAATAAATTTTGCACAGACAAATGGAGAGCGACTTGATATTTTACGTCACAAAAACTTTCACTGGGATATATTAAATAATTTTATTATCAAAATTACTTTAGAGTGAAATGAATTTTAATGAAAATGTAATACAGTATACAATACAGTTAGTTTTCTGTGGAACTTACAAAAATAATGATTCCTAAAGAACTTGGTATAAAATATTTTTTAATTACAATTATGAGCATCAAATTCGATATAATTTTAATTTTAAGACTTTTTAATCCGCTAGACAACCTTCTAAATTTAAAGCGCGAGATAAATTTCGAGCCACTGCCAAGCGAAATAATTCAATTTTATTTTGGAATTTTGGATCATTAGCATATATTTCTACGCATCGAAGTAACTCAAAACTATCGTCCGATGAAAAAATAACATCTTCAGCTTCTAAAAGAGGGATAGCATCCGTCAAGAGAGTTGACCAGAAACTAAAAACAGTAAATTATTAATATTTAAATACTTTATTTTTAAATATTAAATATAATAAATTATTTTATTACTTACTATTTTGGAGTCAAATTGGAGGCAAGGAGTGATATTAATAATCCTGCTGCTTCCTTAAATTCTCCTATTTTGTAAGTTTGATGGAATTCACAATACTTTCCTAAAAATAATAAAAATAAACACTGGATCGTATTATAGGGTTTTTATACTTTTTCCATAAACAAAATTTTACTATGCATTTTTGGGTATAAAATAAAATATTATTTACTGACCTAAAAATGTAAGTCTGTCGCTAACAAGCATACAACTGCCCAAATTTTCAAGCACGTCTTGACACTGTATTTCTCCATGTTCTGCATATTGTTTTAAAAATCTGTCAGCAATGTACGTTGCAAATGATCCGTCCTGGGCTTTTAAAGCCCATGCCAAAGCATTGCCATACCTTTCTCGACGAATACACTTCATTCCTTGAATTTTGCATATACTAGTAACTGTAATATTAATTTATTTAATTAAATGTTTCATATGATTACTAAAATATTTATAAATAGCATTCTTTCTTCTTTGGATCAAAAGGAGTCTAATTTCGGGTTAAGGTTTTAGAAAATCTAAAACAAAAATTTCGATAAATGAATACTAACCGACTGAATGCATTTTGTGATCTCGTGCTAACTCAATAATTTTATTAATTTTTGCCTCATTTCCAAGAGGAATAGATTGCAATAAAATTTCTAATCGTGATAGACCCTGCAGAGGGCAGTGTTCCAAATAACTCACTCCACATTGCCATAAAGAATGATGTCCCATTAAGAGACTTCCATATTCTAAAATTAAGGATTCATGAAGTTGAGTAGTAACGCTGAAAAATAATATAAAATACAGGTTATTTTGAAATATCAATTTACTTATATAACTATTAATTGGAAAAAAACATACTTTTTTTGATTTTTGTCAAGGATTTTTAAACGGCCACAGCGAAATAGTAGGTCAGTTAAATGTGCAGAAAACCAACCATTGTCGTTCATATATTGAATTCCTCCAATAACTTGATGTAAATCGCCTTCCATTAAAGCAAGAATCACATTATCTAAATGTGTACTAGCCTGCCACTTTAAAGCAATATCATTTGCATAACGAGCTAATTCTGGTTGCTTACAACAGGGAACTGAATAAAATAGTTTTGCAGCTAGCAGCTCATACCATGCATCCGTGTATTCAGAAAAGTCCCACAATTCACTGCCGACAACTAACTTTAAAAATATTGAGAAATAAAATTAACACTGTGATTTGCAATATTTTTGATTATATATTAACTGAAGTTAACATTAAAAAATTATTTTACCTTCATAAGAGCTTCTAAATTTGGTTCAACAGAAAACACTTTATTTTCAATATTCGAAGACAAATCCATTTGCCAATTTTTCCAACGAATGGAAAATTCACTAACAGAATAACCACCATAAATATTGTATACTGTCATTGTCCTTAGAATATTCTCTGCAGCTAAAAAGGCTGGATGATCTCTTTTACTGTGCAATGAGAGTAGATCTCTAACAACATCTAATTTGCCATGTAATGCACATCCCATTACTACTTCCCAGTAATTACTGTTTTCTTGATCTGCTTTAGCGGATTTTTCGGACAGAATTTTTATTGCTCTTAGTTCACGAGATGGAAAATGAAATCTCACCCATTCAAGTAGTCTAGGAAGTACTACATCGCCTAAAAGTAACACATTTATTTAAAAATAATCAAAAATTTCGGAATATATGAAAGTAAACACGTTTTTGTATTCGATATAATTTCTTTTTCGTTTGCTGGGCTAACACCCGTCTTTACTTTCAGTAGAATGTAATATTAAAATTTTGTTTACCTGGTATTACATCAACGTATAATATTTCGGTTAAATGCCATATACATTCAATTTGATAGAATATAGTTAAGAAATTTTCATACAATGATCTCTCTTCTGGAAGTGATTTTTCTCTTAGGTCCTGTAAACTTTCAACACATGCTCTCAATATAGAACGATATTTTTTACTATGTTTCAACAATTCAGTTTTGTTGTCCCCAGAATCAGAGTGCTGAAGTTTTTGCAGTGATAAGAAAACTCCATTACTTTCATTTACAAGATTTCGTAAAACTGGAGTAAACAAAATAACTTCTGACGATAAAAAGTGAACTTTTGTTTTACATGGAGCAAAATTACTCACATTATCTGTAGAAAAAAGAATCATTAAGAACATGATAATTTAATATTTTAAAATATTTTTGCTTGCTTACCTTCAGAGTGTACATTTACATGCTTATAAGCATACACTCCAACTTTGGTAGGTCCCACCCATGCTGCTGCACATCCTGATCGCCTACACAAATCATCAGGTATACCCTGCAAAGAACGTATCACTTATTACACAAGCCTGCAAATTAAAATATTTTTTGGGCGACTAGGTGCTTCCAAAAACAATTTTTGCGCTGTATTAGGATTCTATTAGTATTTTTGTTTTTGTGTGGCACAAAATTTACAGAAATCGGTCAAATTGGCTAATACTCGAATATGTTGTAGTTAATGTCATTCTGAACAAATGTTTTCTCTACCAAAATTTAAAAAAAATGACTTTTCATGTTATCCTCCATAAAAGGTTAGAAACTCGTGCACTGTGCTTTATACAAAAAGATACAGTAAGAACGAAAATAACAGATATAAAAAGTTCTAAATGTTATTATTGATATTTAGATGTATGGTTTAAAGAGTTTACACATAAAAATAATTTGCCATTTCTCTGAAAAATATAGGTTATTTAAAATGCAAAATTAAAAGAATCAATGAACTTACAATTATTTGAGCATTATTTATTTCATCCATAATTAGTTTAATTAAATATGAAAAGTTAATATTAATATAATACAATTATTTCAATGAATATTATTTTTTAAACTATAAACAAAACCGGCAATTCTTTCCACATTCGTATGTGTATAAAGTCTAGAACTGTGCTGGTGGGAGAAGGGTCAAGTGCTTGTGTGAAACACAACTTCCAAAAGTGGCCACTTGAAGCGCAACAATCGGAAAGCCGTTTCCGAATTAGAGTTTAAGCTACTTTCACAACTTTTTTTCGTTGGTTGGGCAACCTTACATTTAACTAACCATGAAGTATGTTACCTACCCATCCCTGCCATTTACAATTTACGAAAGTATTGTGCTCAGACCCTTACGATCATTCTCCGATCTGCAGTCACTTTAGGCAATTAAAAAAGATAAATATGCCTATTTTAACCTATTTTGTTATTATAATTTGTTGAATTATTAAAAATAAAAATGGGATGTTGTTACAGTTTTTGTAAAGAAGACACTGGTACACAGGTAAATGCCAAAATTTATAGAATGTAACTTTTAAGTCTAAGGGAAATTATCCATAAATAGTGTTTAATTTATAACAATATCTTTGTTAATTACTGGTAAAGTAGAATCAGAAAGAAATATATCCTTTGTTTATTTTGAAGAAAACAATTTATAAAAGTTTATAAACGGTAAAATTGGTTTTTAAATTATTCAAATGTAAACATAACCTTAATTTTGCGATCTATTTATAAACCCCTTAACGATACAAAATCATTGAAAACTACTGCACAGTAGTTGAAAATAAATCATTTGCCAAAAACTTTATTACAAAGAAATTGTTGAAAATAATTAACCTAAAAACTTTTTATTTTGTACATAAAATAAAACGAAAATTAAATCTTATTTGCTTTACAGAGTGATGTAAATGAAAGGACTCACTTATTAGTGGATCCAGTTAGCAGTAATGCTAATATTCCTCGAGTTCACAGGTAAGATTATTAAATAAAATATGAAAACAAAAAAATTTAGTAACCTTCAAAATTAAAAAAGTTATGAACATTTTTCTGACAAGTAAACTTACGGAAGTGATAATCTCCGATTTTAATGAAACTTGTTATGAATGTAGTACTCGGGAAAATAAGAGACCCGTATATTTTTATATCTGCCATGATCCACTTTAAAGGGTAAAAATCATCTCTTGAAGTTACAGGGGTGTAATGTCATAATTAGAGGCTGTGGTCAAACTATTACAAATAGCTAAACAGTGAATGCCGCAATGAAAACATTAGAAATAAAGATAATTTTCTATAGAAAAATATTTAAAAAATTCAATTGTTTAAGCACTGTAATCATTCGTTATTATATTGTTATTTCGCAATGAATGAGGTACATTTTTATCAACCCCTATGTGGGTTGAAGAGCCCTACTTTTCAGCTTCAAAATGAAAAATACTTTAAAATCGGTACAAAAATAAAAAAGTTACAAGTGTTTTTATTAATAAATCACGTGAAAACGGTTTTTTGGCTCTAAATTCAAAATTTGGCAGTTATGGATATTTTTAATATACCATTCTTCTTAGTTTTTTGTTACCTACGAACTCCATTAGGTACGAAGTTTTGTTTTCGCTGTCACACAGTGTTATCTAATGTTTTTACCCTAAAAATTAAAAATTTAGAAGCTATCTTCTCATAAAGACTTTTATTTACAGTGATGTTTACGTTAATGAATACACGAGTTCTATTCCAAAGAAAACTGACGAGCAAAGTGCATTAAACAGAATACTTCATGAAACAGCAGCGTAAGTTTAATATCACTTTTTAAGGCCATGTGACTGTTAGGTCTGTAATGTTAATTTGTCCGTAAAAATTAATTAATTAATTTCTCGTTAAATACTGAATGGATTTAGTTTAATATTTTCGATGTCATACGAGATAATAATTAATTTCTCACGTCACAATCGCTATAAATTTAAAAAATGTTTACGATATCTAAATCAGATTTAGTTTCCCAATAAAAATTTTACAGTTTACAACCCAATTTTTTAGAAATATAATCGATGTTGGTGCTTTGGATTCTCATAATTTGGAGCAACATGAAGTTATTGAGAGATCTAGAGCTTATGCAAAACGATTAGAAGCTATTGGTGTCAAAGTTCCCGAACAGACTCCAAGTATGTTAAAAGATATTCCTGCTTTAGAAAAAGTTCTCACATCTGAATCTCTTACCACTACGGACAAGGAATTAGTAAGTACAAATATAAGTGTAGCTCAATGATTATTAAGGACAGGTCAAAGTCGATGCGATTTTCCCATTGAAGCACTATGTAAAAATTGCCTATTCTGTAATTATCATCTTTGTTAATACATGATATTAATTTATTGTTTTACTTATAGATAACCGACTTGCTCAAGAAGGCTGTGTTAGCTTTGAAAGATATTAAAGTGGAACATAAAGAGGATTTAGTTGTACCATTTCTTTCGTGATTTATAAAATAAATTTAGCAATAAAACTACCTTAGGATTTATAAAACTATATTAGCTTTACAGGTTAAGGCTTTTAATTTGAGTAAAAATATTTGAACAAATTAAGTAAGGTGAAATTAACAAAAAATATTTGTTTCGTGTTTAAAAAATATTTATTTTTTAATTATTAGACTCCGTATTTTCTTTTATTGCCGTTTTAATATACGTGGAAAATATTGCAAGCGGCATTGAAAATCATCTTTAATTGTGATTATTCTGTTGAATTAACAGTTGAGAAAAATTTCTAAAAATGTAAGTGTCATTAGACTCTGTGTCTATAGTTAAACTAGTTTCAATGATTCTTATAAATCTTATAACGAGAGAAAGTTTTTTTTTAAAAACATTAAATTTCTGGTAACCTTTATTTTGTCTTTTTACAACTGATAGAAAAAATGTTATTGTACTTTGACATTCACAATGAAGGATTTAAGAATTAAAATGACGACAAAAATGTTTGTGTCTCGCAGAAAAATTCAAAGAAAAAAAAATTTGAAAAATTAATTGAAATAACCACATCTATGTTTTCAAAAATTTTAAGATGATTTTCAATAACTCTAGCTGTGAGTCCGCATTCTTTACGGTGGTAGTCTAAATTTGAAAAAAAAATGAATTTATGTAAAATGAAAATTTAATCAACCCTAATATTTATGTAATATAATGTACTAGAATGTATATTTTATCACATTACTAAAAAAAATCATGTATATTGGTTACTTGAATGTATGATTTAACTAAAATATTGTGTACAGAATATAGAATTTTACTTTTTTTTTATATATAATTAATTAAAATAATTTTATAAGGGATTAAATTTTTGCGTAAAAATATTTTATTAATAAATAAATATTATTGATGATACCTGTTTTTATATGCATGTATAATAAAAGATTAAAAAATAAATTTTTTGTCATTTTATTACTTTATACCCTCATTTTTCGTTCAAAATTTCGCAACTTTGACATTTTCTTTAACATATTTAGCAGGGTTATTAGGGTCTGGCTATTTTATGGTGACATATACATGTGAAATACTACCTATAAAAAAAGCCAGACTTATAAAAGACGCTTCAAATTCCACAATTGGAATTGGAGTTTTATGACATTTAGACATAAGGATTGACATCATGTGAGTCTGGTCCTTATAAATATTAAATAAATTTTCGACTTTTTTTAACTGTCTCATATGTGAAAACGCAGGGGATGCGTGTAGTCAGACTTGTATTTTTGTAGAGAGGAGTATAGGAGGCACCTATTCTCCAATTATAGGCCTTATAAAAAACGCTTCACCAAAACTATCGCTAACTCTCCGTCTATGCGAGAACTAATAAATGTTTTAATGTGTGTTATTGAATGAAGAAAGTTAAGTCAATTTGAGTAAATAAAAATTTATTTAAATATATATATTGTCAAATTTTATAAATAAATGTAAACAATCTTTCATTATAAAGATACAAAGTTCTTTTCTGTAACATATAATATTTCTTGGAAAGTATTTAAATTAGATAATAATGTTTATTTTAATAAAAACTTTGAATATCTTTTACAGTAAACATATAACTTTTCTATAAACTCGTTAAGAAGGCTGGAATAGAATTAAATAATTCATAAAAGTAATCTCTTTAACGGAATGAAGAGTTGTCTTGTTTTATACGTTTGGAATTAAAAATTTACAAAATATATTCTACTAATGGAATACAAGTTTTGTTTTGTAATTGAAAATAATTAATTTTTTAAATATTCTGTCCAATTTTGGGTAATAAAAAAGAAAGTGAAATTTTTCGCATTAAAAAGGGTTAAACATTATAATTATAAAAAATGTATAATTTTTTATTCAAGCCTTCTTACCAGGAGGTTTGCTGCATTTATTTTGTATTACAAACTAACTTATCTTCCAGCAAAAATTTTTCTAACTGCAGGAAAAAAGTTACTTTAAAAATACTAATTGATATAAAACTGGTTTAAACGATCTCGAAAATCAGCACTTTGTGATTTTTATATGTATTTTATATTACATTATATAATATCAAATGCACTTTCCTGTATCAATTAGTTATACTTTAGAAGCATTAAAAAATGTTTAACAATTTTTAATAATAAAATAAATTAAAAAATTTCAACCACAATACATAATCTGTTAAAAGCATAACAATTTACTGAGTTTTCCCAATGTCATTCACATATTCAGAATAACATTGAGGATTCAGATTTTTATTATTGTCTTCGATGAATTTATCCTCCATTCGTATCGAAAGTTTCTATCGAAAAAGGAACTTGCCGCGCTTACAAGTTCAAGAGCCAGGTAGAACAACGACAAATAAGTTAAAGATTTTATTGCAAATATAATTCTTTTACCAATCAAATAGTGGGAATGTTGACTTCCTGGCTTTAAGTATATATTTGAAACTACGCAAAGCGTACCTTCTTATTGAACCCAAAGATTCATTTATGAACTTAATGTCAATATTCTAGCAAAATGCATGGCTGTTACATTTTGCTAAAATGTATATTAACCTTGGAATATTATCAATCATTTCGATATTAAACGTACATCCAAACATATTATATCAACCAACGGATATAAACATTAACAACTATAGGGGAGAGTGGGTTGGACACGTCCATATATAATATTTACTAAACTATGTTACTTACTATTTGCTTTTTGTTAAAATCGTTTTTAAATTAAAAAATGTAATATAATGTAAATAACTAGAAACAAAAGCAGTCTAGGCCTTTTCATTTTATACTTGTGTTATTTACATTTATTTCTTAAATGTTTGTGCTTTCGATGTACGTCAAACCTTTTTTTAATGATATTCAATCATCGAAACAAACATTTATATCTATGTTTTAAAAATAATAACTAGAAAACCTTAAGGAAACGGGTCTGGCCGGCTCTCCCCTACTTAAACATTTTTTACACTATTAATTAAAATAGTTGTATTATTTTATAAGTATCCTTTCAATTAGAATAATCAATTAATCAATTTTAATACATTTACATAAATATATACTTTTTATGCATATCATTAAAAAATGCACATTTACAAGTTTGAAGTTGTAATACATGTATAACGAATATATTAATTATAATTCTTGATAAAACTAAGTATAAATAATAGTAATCCTTTCTTCACTTATTAGATGCGACTCATGAAAATATTCTTTTACTTCTATCGTAATAAATTTGAAATCCCCAATAATTGATGTCTTCGTGATCGACTCTATATTACAAATTATATATTTCAACTTCAAAATTGTAAAAGACTCCAAATTATTGTCTTAAATGTCATTTATTCAGCAGCTTAAAGATCTCTACTCAACGATGTTAAGTAGATAATTAAAATGTTTTTTTAATATCGATCAAACTTATTTAAGAGAATTAATAGTACCGTAATACGGTCTGAATTGTAATAGAAAAAAAATTGATCGATAAAAGAAAAAATTTTTAATTTGATCTCTAAGGATGGAAATCGTATTTTTTAAGTAATTCGGAGCTTCTAACTTTTCTTACATAAGTTGATATTTTTATGTATTTTTAAATATGAAAATATTTGGACATAAAATAATCGTTATAGTAGTTTTTTGTAACTGGAAAATTGTATACAACAATGACGTATAACAAAAAACCGAGTTGTAAGATATTTTAATTTACAATTGATATAGACTTTTTTATGTCAAATAAAAAATTATTTATTTCTGAAGTTTCTGAATTAATTATAAATTACTTCAGAAACTTGGAAAATTAATTACATATACGACATTGTTGTATTCAATATTTCAGTTTATAAATACAGAATTTGTGGTGTTGAAAACCTTATTTGATCCCAGTGCTTGTACTAGAAAAATATTTCGATTCCATTCTTCATATATTACTATTTAAATTTCACTTTGAATGAACTAGGTTGAGAAATTCTTCTCGAGTTTTTGGATCGTCTCGAAAAACTCCTAACATGGTTGAAGTCACGGTTTTACTGTTTATTTTTTGTACTCCTCTCATGACCATACACATGTGCCTGTAGGCAAATAAAGTAGAAGATTTCATTAATTTTTGAAATTGGTGCTTTTAACAAAAGTAATATATTATGTTAATCCCAAGGTTTAAACCAAATTTAGATAAGATCAGATTTTATATGATTGGAGAGGATTGTTCCTCTTACCCACTTCAATAAATCTTGCCTATTCTCTTTGTGAAAATTCTGTATAAAAATGACCACATATGCCAGGAGAGTTCAGTTTAGATTTTAGTGCACGTCATCTTTATATACGAAATTTTGTACAAGTACTGTTACTCTGCCCGATTTCATACTCAAGTTCGACTTAGAAGAATTTCCAAGTCAAGTGTTAAAAGTTTCTACATCAAGAAGAACTCATCCAAGTATTCTGTAAATGTAAATTCTACAGAATAAGATTCTATCAAATCATAATTCTAAAAAATTTGTTTTAGAGCTTATTTATGCTTCCCAAAAAATTTTCAGAAGGTGTTATAGATTTGTAGTTAATCTTTGATAAGTATTTTTATCGTGAAATAAATTATTAATTTTGGTAGATAATAATCGTAGATTAGTTGGCAATTGATAATTCAATATATTATTTCTTAAAAACATTAATAGGTTTGCGGCCTTTGGTCCAAATAAATAAAAATATATTTTTAAATGTTATCAATTTATTACATCAAGCTCTTCCTCCGTAGTCCTAATTAGATGAGCAATGTTCACAACGAAAATGCATTCGACCTTGATGTAATAAATTGATCACATTAGTTTTAAAATATATTTTTATTTATTTGTATCAAAGGCTACAAACTTTTTAATTGTATTTATAAAATCTAACTTGTAGAAGTTTTATTTGTGCATAAAAATATATTTCAAAAAACTGAAGGTGAGTTTTTATTTCATGCCATACATAAAAAAATGTACTTAGTTATTATGTCTTTGTAAATAAATATGAGTAAATTTAATGATAATAGATCTTAACATTACAGAAAGCTTATATAAATATACTAAGAAATAAATCATGAATCTAATTATGTATTTATTGCTCTTAAATATTGTTTAGAAGTTAAAGACTTAATGTTGTTATATAATTATGAAAGACATATAAATCAAATAAAATTGTAAAAATTACTCATATCTTTTTATTAGTACAAGGTCTAATTTTTTAAAACTAATAATTGGATCATACAAAAACTATTGCTTAACATGTGCAACGAATCGGAACCAAAGACCAAGCTCCAGTATTAACTTACGTTTTCTCAAGAATATATATTACAGATAGAAAATATGAAATTAGACCTCGTCATTCAATAGAAGGCCTAAAAGATTTCTGGTCAACCAGAGTAACTGATATTTAGACTAATAAAGCCGGTTTCAAACCGTAACTCAGATTGCTTCTCAGAGCAGGTGTTTGTTTCTTTAGTAAATCTCCTCTATTTCTTCATTTGGTTTTCGTTTTAGATAAAAAAAAATTACAAAAATTTTAACTATTTAAAAATTTGAGGTTTTGCAGGTATTTTAATATCGAATCTATTTACCAGCTTTTAAAATGTCACGAAGGTTGGTTAATATTTTATTGTCAAAAGTATCATAATGAAAATCCAAAAAACCTTGAAATAAATGATTAAAAGAAAAAGATACCCACACTCCTTCCACGACAACTGCTACCCCAGATGGATGAACTGCATTGGAAACAGCAGCTGCTATTTGCTTAGTAAGTCGCTCTTGTACTTGTAAACGACGACTGAACACTTCGACAATCCTAAAAAAAATTTTTATTTTACAAAGTACGTTCAAAATTTTTTGATATGCGAAATCTTACCTTGCTAATTTACTGAGACCTAAAACTTTCTTTTGTGGAAGATATCCAATTGATACTTTTCCATAAAAAGGTACCAAATGATGTTCACACATTGAAAACATTTCTATATCTTTAACAACGACCATTTCATCATGATCTTCATCAAAAATTGCATCGTTGATGACATCTAGAGTATAAAAAAACGCAATAATTATTAATTACTCCCATATTTATGACCATATTTAGGGTCTTTTACTTTATGACCGTATTTATCGTCATATAAAGGGTCATATTTATGATCTTTTTAATACGACTATGTGACAGACGGAGGGTTAAAGAAATTTTGCTTTTTATTTTTAGTAGTTGATCATATTAGGATTATGGTATATAGTTAAAAAATGAAACACCAAATTATTAATCAATAAACCAAGTCTTTATTTAAATGACACTTGGAAGATGCATTTAGATCTTTACTCTATACCTAAGCTTTCGGCAGACTAAACTCTAAGACAAAAAGGACTTATTACGTCATGTCAAAAGTGAACGATATTCGCTTATACCGAATCCTTTGTTCGTTTTAGTTAACATTATGTGGATGATCATACGCCGTTCTGTCGCCCCGAAATCAAATCTATATAAACGCCACCCAGAACGAATTCGTCGAAGAGTAATATAAGATTTAAACAGAGATAATTTTTGAAACATTTATATTTTAATAAACCAACAGATCAATTTCGTCCTAATTACGACTGTGTCTTAATTTTTCTAGTCAGTGACTTGAGGAAAGTACAGTTAAAAAACGTGTCCTGTTAAATTGCTCAGTCACTGGACACTATTTGGGACGAAGTTCTAATTACAATTTTGGTCAGATTTTATGTTCAGTGACTCCACAGAAATACAAACTGTAAGAAGTGTTCAATTAAACTGTTCAGTTACTTATCAATGACTAGCTGGATTATCTTGCTAAGTAAAACTTGCTTCCAACCCCAAGGATATTTGACAAATATAAGTTAAAAGGAATTTCAATAAATTTTTAAAAATTCTTCTGCCTTTTATAATTTTGGAATAATCTAATATCAGGTTCACAATTAGCGATCCCAAAAGCAAGTAATAAGTTTCAAGAAAATATTTCCAATAATATTGATAAGATGAAATATTAGTATGTAAATAATATAAGATTGACAGTTCTTTTAATTTGTCTCAATAATAAATGAAACAAGTAAAAATGATTGTCAGATCTAAAACGTTTCCATTACATTAATACATAATTTTTCGATACATCTGGTTATGAATTATTCAACATTGACCTAGTTTCTAGACTGAGTTGGTTGTCGTCGATAACCATGAGTCAGTGATTTCTAGATGTTGGTACGTAGATAATGGGAGAGGGAGGCTGCTCTCTATGGTTTCCACGGCAACCTTAACAAGAAACACCTTCGCACTGACCCTCTAGAGAACGAGAAATATAACGGTAGGAAACCATGGAAAATTATAATTGATTTTAAAATATCAATCAAATCTTTTTTAAAAAACTTCAAATATAAAATAAATTTAAAAGTATGAATTTTTGTGTTCATTACACGAACACTTTGCTTCCTAATCGAATTTTTTTTATGAAGCATGAAAGCTTCATAATATATAGTTAACATGGTCCGAATCCCAGGGTTGAATTATTTTTCGTATTTTTTTGTTCCTATGAAAATTTTTTCAAAATCATTATGTGAAGAGGTAAAATGAACAGAGGATTCGGTTTCGGAGACACCAAAAACGTAAAATAAATATGTTCAGTATCCGAGCCCTTATAAAAAAATACTGGAATACTTAATTAAGTACTGAAAGGAATATTAGATTACATGGTAGAAGTATTGGGACTAAGTATTGCTCTACTCTAAAAACCCACATGGGATTCTACATAGTACCCAATGTAGGATCCCACATAGTACAATATGAACTTCTCTTGAGTCTACACATCAGATTTGTAAAAATTTGGGAACTTATAAAAAAATAAAATACGTATACCATTTCTTCCTGCAAAGAACGAAAAAAATATATTTATCCGTACTTAAAATGTCATATGTTAATTTCACGTGGAATCGCCCATATATAAAAAGAACCTTTCAGGATTACACCAGAAGTAAATTATAGGATAGAAAAGTACATTCTTGATTAATGGAGAGGGGTTACTTCTCGCACTAAAGTAGGGTGGCTGATGCTTTCACATAATGAAAGAAATAAGACTCTTTACAGATTCACTGAAGCGAACTTCTTTTTATTACCTCAGCATGAACTTGAATTTAATTTTTACTTCCATAAATAAATTTAAGTTGTTGAAGAAACGTTTGATATAATAGGTTAAAAAAATGTTAAAAATTCATGCGAAACAGAGAGAAACAGTTGAAATTCTCGTATCGTCATGCATCACTAAGAAATGGTGTCAAATTTTTATATAAGTTACAGAGAAAAGTTCCTATATGTCACCTCTCTGTAAACTGTATAGACTTTTGTTTCACGCAGGTAACATTTTTACTAAAATTACTTGCAATCGTTTAGTTGAAGTATGAGTGTATTTAATTGGCTTATTTTAAATTTAACATACAATACACCTTGACAATTAAAAGCATTTTTATCTGCAAAAAAAATTTTACTGAGATTTGATCCATTCGATACTGTATTATTCTAAAGTATTAGATTGTAAAATTTAGTATCCATTTCTATAGAAATGAATACACATTTATTTGAAATGAAAACTTTATTGTATATTGTACTTAAGATAGTTGTTTTTGCAAAGTGCTTTAGTTATTTTGAATTAGTCAATCATTTAATGAGACGTGAAAGTTTTATCCTTGGACTGTAGCCTATTTACAACATTATTTTTATTAGAATTAATTGAAGAGAAAAACAGGACTATGTAGTGACGAGTCATTTCAGGTGTTTTACATTAACGTAGTTAGTTCTTAACGTGAAGTAAAATTCCTATTTTACGAATAATAAATAAATATACTGAATACAATGGGCTGATAATATTAATAATTTTCGGTGACCCAATTTCATATCTAACTACATACTCTCGAGTATTATTTATTAACAGTAGAATTTTTTTATAGAAAGAAGGCTGAATCTTTTCAATTTCATCCAGGTACCTAAGGCCCCAGATCGAATAATTTGTTTACCGGTTCCCAGAATTCTAAATTTAATCTATTTATTAACGAGATTTTTGATCCGGGTGTCGCGTCGGACGGAGGGTAAATACATTTGTAACATATAAATAAATACTAATATCTACCTACTATTGAATTTTAAGTTGCGACATTTAAAATTTTTTAAGATTTGGTCTTCCGAGTCTAAGAAGTTTTAATTTTGAGATTAAATATCTGGAAATTTTTGTCTATATTAAAGAGTAAAATATATTTCTTGTAATTTTGATTTACCTTCAAGGCTTTGATCGTATCCTTTTGTAAAAAATAACATAGCCTTAGCTGCTCTCTCTGGTGTCTTTAAAAGTCCAGGTCGATCCGGATTTTCTCCAAGAGAATTTAAAAGTAATTTATAACTTCGTGACATTTCTGGAAGTAATGCTTCTCTTGTAGGTGGACGATGATCCAACTCCAGATCATGATGAAATGTGCATTTTTCATGTCCTAAGATATAATTGATTATTATTATTATTAATTAATTAAAGTATTCAGGGTGTATTTCTATTAGGATGATCCTAATCAACACGGCCCAGTAATGGCAATTCTGGCGCTGAGTCTTAGTAGACAATACTAGGCCAATTGGCCCAATCTTGGCTTAGTCATTAGTCAAATTAACTAATTCATTCATTATACATTTATAACATAAGTCCTAAAAGAAAGCGCAATTTTTTAAACATTACAAAATTTCTAACGCTCGCTGAAATCAAACTCGCAACCTAACGCATATCGCGGATATGGGAATCTCAACACAAAAATGTTTTGATAAATTGCATCTGAGAAACTCAATATACATAATATAATCCTTTTCCTTAATGACCTAAATATTCAGGTTATCAAGTCAATTTTGTTACCACATGCTGTTTTAAAAAATAAACAATTTACAAACGCCTTTTAACAAAACTGTCTAAAAAAGGAAAAACAATTTTAAAAAATGTATTTAGATTATGGAGTAATGAAGAAGATAGTCTTATCATATGTCATGAACCTGTCGTCTCGTTTGCTTATTTTTAACCTCTCTTCGTAATAAATTAACAAAAATCCAGTCAAACTTTCAATACAGAATTTTTGTTTCATATATAGGTATAATAACCCTACCAAGGAGGGTGAATGAATGAAAATGAAAAATTTAATGAATTTCTTCTAAATTTAAATTAGCCTAATATATAATTTGCCTAAATTCGATTGTCACAATCATCATATCCCTAGATTGAAAAAAATTAACTCTACTCTGTAAAAAATTTGGAAATGAGTAGCGTACACTAATCATTTTGAAATGCAGCAGAAATGAGTCAGGTTGGTGGCGCCACTTTCTGAATCGTTTAGCATTGACTCATTTTGAATTGCAGCAAAAATGAGATCGGTGATCTTATATGAGAATTTTGAGCAGGGTTGCGAAAAAATATCAAATTTTGGGTTGTTTTTCGTCGCCGCAATGAAATCTCTCTTTAATACTTAATTTTAAGACTACATATAACATTCATAAAATTAAAACAATCTAGTATTACATTCGAGCAATACGAAACGAGTTCGAGTCTCATTTCATCTAAGGATAATCAATATCTTTAAACGTATCATTTTTAAATTGAAAATATTCTAACCATATTTTCATGTATTGTTAATTTCAATTGTAATCTTTATTATTTATGTCTTTTTCTTAAATAAGATAGGTTGATCATAGAAAAAGTTCAAATTAATTTTTTAAAATTTAAGTCAATTGTAACCTTGATTAGCTATATTCATAGAAAAGTTTCTAAAAACCTTGAAATATAACTTAATATTTATTATTTAACATTGTGTAAGTAAATTACAAGGTAAAATAATGAAATTATTCATTGAGATATTGTAAAAAATTCTGATATTATGATTGAAAATAATGTATTACTAACAATTTCATAGTTTATAACTTAATGTTTTAAGTATATAGAATGATTGTAATAGAATTTTAAGTTTAAAATGTTTAATTTCCAATTAATATGTCGCAGAACTGACAACCACCTGTTGGAAATTATTTCAGACATAGACATAGACAATGCTTCAGAAAATAGAAGCCATTATCATTAAATTATTTTTAATTGTAACATATTTAATATTTATGTAAAACAATTTTTTTTAATCTTAAATTTTTTTTTCTTTTACTAGTTAAAAATTCACAACTCTATAACAATAAAGCAATAAATTCTAAAACGATTTATAATGCAATTAAGAAAAGAAACATTAAAAAAATAATTTTTTTGTCCTAGAAAATTGTTACTTTAAATTAAACAAGGATAACTAGAAATACCTGGAGTAGTAGATGTTCTTGGAGTCCTCGGTGTTCCAGGAATATCTAATTCTGAAGTTTCCACGTTTTCACTCCAGGAAACATTTCTTAGTGGTCCGGGTTTTCTAACTACATCTCCTGAGTCATCTTTGTTATTTATCTTGTCAGACTTAACTTTCGTACACTGTCCAGTAATACCATTCATATTTATGTTTAAATTTTAATACACATAAAACATATAATTTTCACTGAAAATAAAAATTTCTTTTTATTCATTTAAATTATAAATTAAATTTTTTATTATAAAACTGATGCAATCAATATAATTTAAAATTCCTTTTAATAAGACCAAGATTTAATTGCTTTCACAGGAAAATATGTAACTGAATTTATTAAAAAAAACAAGCCTATTTCCAATTATAATGAAACATAATTAAATAGAGAGGAAAAATCCTTTTCCTTGAAAACTAAATACATTCTTGTTCGAGATTACTAATACTTAATAAAGTTTTTTATTTTTTTTTTAAATTTTGAATGGTGATTTACAAAAATTTTAAATTGTAGATTGTTTACAAGTTAACATATTTCATAATTTATTTCAGTATGTATCAAATATTTAAATTTAAGCATATTGCTTATTATTTAAAAAAAACTGTTTTACAAAAAAAGTTAATTCATTTTAGTTAACAATATTTAGCACCTAATTGCATTTAAAATATATATTTAATAATATAACCAACCGTCAGGTAAACTAATAATTTTTTGTTGAGAATAAACTATCAAGAAAATTGCAGTTAAATATCAGAGAACCGAATAACACGAGGTCGCTACCTTGAGTGGCGCGGTGCGACTGAATCATTTCAAACCTGAATCAAAGTACTGCACCTCGTGGTCTGGTTTGGTTTGATCTCAGCGCTTAGTTTTACCTCATAACGAGATACAATTTTTATGACATGGACTCTCAGCTGCCGTACCCGTCTTCGACAAGTTCGCGTCCCTGGCGGGTCACATAAACCAAATGCCAACCGAATTCAGTTGACTTTAGGTTTATTTTACAAAAATTGCACTTCTTTTGTTAAACAAATCATCATATTTTTAAAACGGTTCATTTCTTGGAAATTCTCTTCAGTGAAGTTGTAGTTAATATGTTTATGCAGAAAATAAGCCATAGTAAAAAAAAATTGCATCACTTTTAAAAAAAAATTGTAATAGCGATATGAGAATTTTTGGCGTAGCCGGGTTCAAAGCCGCCAAGGGTCCAGATTTAATAATTTAAAAAAAAAATACCGCGGGTGCCAGTCGACTGAAGATCGACAAAATATATATAATGCAAAATAATTAAATTCACATAAAATACCTTTAAATTAGAGCAAGAGAAATATAGTTACAGGGTGGGTAAAATGGGAGAACCCAAAATAATAAAATAAGCGTGTTCAATCAGTCGATTTAATTAATGACAGAAGATCTACTAACAGTTGTCGACGAAATAGATTAATATCCTTTAAATTATCAATGTAAAATCTTTCTAATGTCGACACAATATGAACCATTCGCTCACATACAATTCACATAATAAATATATAATTTTACGTTTATTGACGTTAACGATCGATTCAAGAGTGCCATGTGCTCGATAAGCACGCAGTCTTACAGCGTCCTGTTAAACGCATGCGTTCCATTTCCCATGGATCACCAGGCTTGAATCGATAACTTTATGCAAAATTTGAGTGTTAAGTCAAGTGTTTATCCTTCGATTAAAGAGTAGATTATTATGTATTGAAAAAGTATGTTAAATTTCAAGACAATCGGTTCAGTAGTTTTCAATAATAGTGGTCACCGACTTCAAAAATATATTTTTGTAAAAAACGTGTTTAAAGTTTTAACTTATATTTACATGAAGATGAAATTTTTTGTTGGAAATCAGATAAAATCAACAATTCCGGGTCCATATAATAGTTCTTCCGCAGATGAAGCTGCTTCCAAAATCCTATTTCAAATATAAAGGTATAAAGACCCACACAGCCTGTATATCTCATTCAATTTTCACCGGATCATCTTAAAATTTTGTAGACATTTTTTAACTGCATATACTCTAAGAAAATGCAAGAAAAAAAATCTATTTTTTGAAAGTTACAACTGCGAGTGCCCCCTTAAATTTTTACGCAGCTTCTGTATAGATGTCTTCTTAAGTATTGCCACTCAACGGCAATAAGACGATCACTCATATCTCAGATTTTTTTATCGTAGTGTTTGGGGACATATTTTATTTATGAAAAGGAAGAAGAGAGCCCCACCTTCGCTCTCTTCTGTGAAGTACATCCATTGCCTTTTAATAACATTTTTAATGTTATTTACTTGCAACTCAATTACTTCTCCGTTATGGGAAAAATGGAAAAGAAAATAATTTTACATAATAAATAAAGAATAAATAAGAATAATAATAAATAAGAAATTTTCAAACTGTTCTGAGATATGACTGATTGTTTGCAATTTAAATGCCTCGTATACAAGATTTTGCGTAGGTTTAATGAAGAAGGAAGAACGATTTTAGCAAAGGGAAGAATGGAAGTAAATTTAAATGCAACAAAAAAGGAGTAAAGAAAATCTTGGTCGATTTACAATCATTAATATTCATATTTCATATGTACAGTGTAACTTGTCGAAAAAAATTTGACAGAAAGTCAAGTTAATGATGTAAAGCTCTATGTTTTACAGTAATAAAAATGTAATAAACATTAACACTTTTGAAATTTAGTAAAATTCTTCTATCAGTATACATTGTATTACTAATAAAACTGAAATTCTTTAAAAAATTGAGATCGATATTTTATCTAGAAATTTAATAAACAATTTAGGAGATATCAAAAAATAAATTGTAAATAATAAATGAGTCATTTTATGAAATTGAGTCATTCTAACAGGAAGAAATCAATGTTATACTACTCAACGTATACAATAATAAAGATGTTTAGAAACGCTGTTACTGGTATCAAAAGGCGAGTATCTTTTAATATTTATTCAACATCTTCTTCTGCCATCACGCCTTGTGGATTAAGCCTCTGCAATATAAGAAACATTTTTTATTCCAATGATTACTTTAATGGGTCATGTAAATTTTCTAAAATGAAAACTCATACTTGTCCAACTGCTGGCAACCGTTGCAAGAGGAGTTGAAAAACTGGAGGTGGAAGTGTCTTCTGAAGAACTTGTAGAAGATGATGGGGTTGACCACACACTGCAACAGCATTGGCCAAATGCTCAATACCACCATCTACATCACCTGAAGCCAACAATTCTTCACCCAACTCTACCTGTTAAAATATATTTTACCAGTTAAAAATTTTTCAATTTCAATTTCAAATTATTAGATACTAAATTTTTAAAGTACCTCTTGAACAAAAAACTTTTGGACAACATCATGATCTTTGAGGTTCGGTATTCTAGAACCAGATTTTTGAGCTTCTTTTCTCGCTTTCCTTCCTACAAAAATATAATCATAAGTATAGATATAATTACGAAATTTAGATTATACATTTTGAGTCTCTCTCTAATTATAGGATTAAAATAGGTAAATTCTGTCATTGAACATTCTAAAATAAAAAATCATTAAAATTCTGAAATTTTGAAAAATTCATATCTCGAAAACGGCAAAAAAATTTGCCAGTCTCCAGTGACTAAAAAAATATGAATTTTATATAAATAGTTTTGGTACATAAAAATGAAGTTTTACTGAAAAAAAAAATGAAAAAAGAAAAAATAACATTTTTCCCCGTTATACATTTCAAAAAATTTTTAATATCTATTTATAATATTAAATGAGAAAATTATAATTCATAAAATTTGGATAACTAATTCTAAGTATCTTACGTTCGCAAAGTTTCTTCTTAAAATCAGGATCACTTCGACGCTTTTTGTCAAAATAAAAGCAGTATCCAACAAAAATACTGGCAACTCCAAATGCAATTCCCACTGCTGTTTTTGAAACCATGATTATTTTTACATACAAATTTGAAAATTATTTTTCACAAACACCTCACATGCTCATTGCTAATTACAAGAAAAGCATGGCTACCATGGTCTTACTAAAGAAAGTCTCACCATACACATATAAAAAAGTACACTAATCAACGCACAGCAACGACGACGGCCATCTTGATATTTACTCGGTTTAAGGGTGTGTTCACAATAGGCAGAAAACATATGGGTTGGTTTCCATTGTCCCCACTCGCCATTTGTCATAATTCTTGTCAACTACCGCACCCTGTTCTAGTGGAAATTTAGTAACTTTATAGTAACAACCATCGTATCGCTGAATTTGATTGGGTCCATAAAAAAATCCATTCTCACTATTCCAAAAAATTCCAAAGCCAATCAAAGTCAGTTACACGATCGTCAAATATAATTTTGCCGAATTGCATATTCTTTAAAAATAGAAAATAAAATCCTACTGTACTTAGGTTTATAAATTTCATTAAGTTATTTAAAGATTTAAATTTTATCCCATATACTTTCAATGTAAAGCTGTCATCCGGCTTGCGTCCATTTTGATTTTTCCCCTACTCAACTTAAACTACTTAATGTTCTATGAGGTTGTTGAATACATTGATTGGGTGATAATTTTTTACTTGTGCGTGGTAAGAGCTTGCTTCTTTTTGACATCGGACTGTTGGACGAAGAACCGGATTGGCGGGTTCATAGAGACGCGTAGCAATATCGACACTCTGCTAGAAACTGTCTGCTATCGGAGTGGCAGTTTCCTACCACCAATACACAGGAACTTTACAGTACTCTATCGCCGACCATTGGTCCTCAATTTACGGACCAATCATTGGGAAATTGCCCACAAAAATATCCAATGTAAGTCCACAAATTATCAAACCAACCCGGTGAACACATACGGCACTGTTTTCTAAATGACATTTTGTTTTCGCATTTCGATGAAATATTGTGTTCATATCAATATTTTTTCTTTCAACTTTCCTAACAATCATTTTCGATTATGTGTGCAACAAATATTAATATCATCCCTAATATCATGATTATACTGATGCAAACCTTATGGTTCTTATTTTTTATTTTCGAAAGTTTTTAGAAATTCTAGATAAAATAAAAAATTCTGTTTCTTATTCGCGTAACTTGTTTGTAGTAACTGTCAATAGTAGTAGCATTCTTTAACGAAATTATAATACTTTGTTCTCTATACTTTTACGATCATATGTATCCTACCAGAAGCTTTACAAGACTTTTACTTAAATACACGATTCAATAATAGACATTCCTATTAATGTTTCATTACATTTTTAAATAATTTTTTTTATGCGACACTTAATAATAATAATAATAATAATTGTTAGCACGATTAAAAACATTGCACATAATAGAAATCAATTTAAGGACGTTTATCCACGGAAATGCAGACCTCTAGAAAAAAATAATTAATTAACATTTAAATAATTAAAATAACATTATTAATTGTACTTTCTGAAAGATGAGATATCAATTTTCAAGAAAAAAATTGTAAACCTGCAAAATTTATTTGTTTATACAATTTGCATAGGATAATTTTTTTTGGTATATCGCTTCTGCAGAATTTTTTAAAAATGATTCGATTTTAATGAAATATGGCTTATTTTCTTCAGAAAATAATTCTCTACAACTTCACCGTGGGGATTTTCAAACAAGCAAGCCGTTTGGAAAATACAGCTATTTGTTTAAAAGAAAAATTTAGATTTTCTTAAACAAATAGCTGTATTTTCCAAATGGCTTGCTTTCTTGAAAATCCCCACGGTGAAGTTGTAGAGAATTATTTTCTGAAGAAAATAAGCCATATTTCATTAAAATCGAATCAATTTTAAAAAATTCTGTAGAATATGGTCGCCATATTAGATCTACCATTTTTAATTTTGAAATACTGACTCCAGATTTGTAATCAGCGAACTCTGAAACCCTTAGATACCGAGTTCCATATAAATTATATAAATCAACATGTGACATTAATTTCAGATTTTTAAGAGCGGGGGTAGATTTTCCACACTTGGCTATAGCCTTTTCATATAAAAGAAATTCTTGAAAATGTGTGCAAAAGACCCAGACTGCCTCCTTAATTCGTATAGTGTTTTAGCATCACCTATAGTAGGTTAAAACGTATTCTAAATATTTCCTTAATGAGACAAGTGAATTGGGCTTACTTTTAATTATTTTTTAATTTATTTTTTTAACAAGAAGTTAAAAACAATTTGCGTTTTTAGATAAGTAATTCACTATTTTTAAAGTAGTTGGGAATGTTTTATCACTTATTGATGAACTACAACATGACTCTCTTAAAAAGTCTCACTTGAAGAATTCGGGAACTATTTCAGAAAAAAATGTGAGTTAACTAAAAGAAAAAGTTAATTTTTTTCTCTTACCATCACTCTCATTCTTGAAACAAACAATTCTTGGAACTGGGGACAGTTCCGGTTTTACTTTTAAAGTAGTTAAAGTTACTTTATTCGTTTATCCATTTTTCTCCATGTATAATTTTTTTGAAAAATAGTTTATTTTTTTACAGCAATCTATAATGGATCAGCTTGGCGAAGGCCAAGCGGTAATGGTTGGTAGTGCGGGTGGCACTGTTCAAGTAGTACAAATGAATCAAACTGGACAGACAATGATGCTTCCTCAAACTATTCAAGTAGCTGCTCCAAGTGGACAAATTCAAGTAGTGCCTGTTTCAAGTTTGGCAGGAGCAGGGCAGCAAATTGTAATACAACAGCCACAAACTCCACAAATAATTCAAACTCCTGATGGACAAACCTACATTTATCAGCCTGTTCAACTGGAAGGTCAAGTTCAACAAACCCAACAACCGACTGGTAATAATAATCAAATGAGTCCCAATAATTCCCGAAAGTACTGTATTTCACAAAGGAATTGTGTTTCAGTAATAAACATCAATGGCAATTTAATGCAAATTGGAGGTTCGTCAGCACAAACGACATCTTCAGCAGCTGCAACAACTCCAGTGCAACCCATGTCAAGTCCAACGGCAACATCAACACAGGGAGGAAATATTGTTATGGTGATATTATAATCCTTAATATTTGTCAACTACAATGATTGTGTTTGCTTAATTAATTATTATTTATATAGATGGTTCCTGGAAATAGCAATCAACCTCAATTTCAACGAGTTGCATTGCCAAATGCAGAATTTTTAGAAGAAGAACCACTGTATGTAAATGCTAAACAGTATAGGCGTATTTTGAAACGCAGACAAGCAAGAGCGAAATTAGAAGCTGAAGGAAAGATACCAAAGGAACGACCTGTAAGCTTAACTGTTTGGTCTTAAATATCCCACTTTTAATTCATACTTTTTAAATTATTTATAAACTTTTAATTTTGTTTTTAGAAATACCTACATGAATCTAGACATCGTCATGCTATGAATAGAATTCGGGGTGAAGGAGGCCGATTCCATTCTGGACAAGTTAAAAAGAGAAAGTAAGTTTAATTTAAGAAATTTGAAAATAAAAATTCGCTAGACATTTGATTAACACTAATTATAATATTGTTACAGAATGCAACGTCGTAGTCCTTGCCCAACGTAATCATTAATTTCTGAATTAAAAATCAGGTGAGTACTGCGGCGAAATATATCACTACAAAATAGTGATTGAAATGACGGCGAAAATGTTATCTAAACATCAAATTCGTGTGTATTATTAACAGCAACCATGTAATCAGTGCAGGAATTATTATCTATCGCCGAAAGTGTATATATACACGAAAATATGTACATATGTATATACGCGGAAGAAATGTTGGTAAAGGTTTATAAAAATCACCAGCAGCAGTGCCCTCTTCTCTTTCTCTCTGTTTGAAAGAGAGTCAGTTTTCGGTGAGAAATGCTGCCAAGATTTTATAATTAGAGAGCACTGCTGCAAATGATTTTTAAACATCTCCATATTCACTTCTCTAGCAGCATTTTTCTCGTGTACACATATACCTTTAAGTAAAGAATTCTTTATATCTTTTTTCTATTAGTTATATTTTTATTATTATTTTGTTTTTCCTATTATAATGTTAGACTTCTTGTTACTTATAAAAAAAAGAACTGATGTTTAAATTAAGCAGGAGTTAAGTGTTTAACAATGTATTTATATTAGTTTTCTTCCTTATTAATTGCTTTAATACAATTAAATTATCATTAAAAATTATAATTAAATATAATCTTACACTTACATATATTTTTTGTAACACTTATTTTCTTCATGTATGCTACAAATAGACGTCTCAAATACTTAAAATGGTATTTTAGAAATAAATTAATATTTTATAATAAAAGAATGCCGATTATAATTGATATAATAAATATTGAAAATGATTATTAAGGGACAATATAATATTTAAAAAATCAATTATTTTACTTAATTGTATATGGATTTATTATACAACCTGGATTTCTATTTTAACTTCACTATAGCTAGTAAAGCTGATCACCCAAAAACAATCGTGCGTTGCACGAATCTTGCACTGCGTAAGTGCTAGCGATATCCCTCGCACTTCACTATTACATATGCGATTAACACAAATGCGCTGAAATGCATGCACAAAATTGCGAATATGCGTTGCATATGAGTGTCATACTGGACGTGCGACTCATATGAGGACGCATCTGTCTGATCTAGTAAGAACACGCCTGCGGATCACATCGGCACGTTGCGAGGTATATGCCAGGCATATTGCTGACATTTTCCTATCTGAGATAAAGCTGTGGATACTCTTGTTCCTAATCTTCTTTGTCTTCTCGATCTCGCTTGTCGAGTCAAAATGTGGATTCCCCATAACATTTTTTTAAAATAATTTACTGTACACTTTATTTTTCTTAAATTTGTTTGGACTGAACAGTATAATTTCAAAATTAAGTCCAAAGTTACGTTACATAAATAAAAAATAATCAAATATAAATTATTATACATTTTTATCAACATAATATTATATTCCAAAAGTAACAATTGTTATATATCATTCTAATTACAGTTATTGAAAAAAATGGTAACTATTTATTACAACATAATAAAATTAATGTTATTCCCCAACACTTACAAAACAATAATAGATAATATAATATATTAATAGACTTCCGAAATAGTGGATTCAATGATAACTCAAACAAAGAAACAATATTCTCTTTACATTTTTAAAAATACGTCATTTCTATTTTGCTGTATATTTAATTTTATGGACACAAAGGAATAAGTGAGATTTTTAAGTTCAGCAAATGTTTCATGGCAGTAATTTCTGAGAAAAAAAATTACCATCTAAGTTAACATAGAATCCATTAAAAGTTTCACGATTCAGAATGAACTAGACTAAAATCGTATTTCCAAAATGTTTATACTACAATAAATGGAATAAGTACTATTTAAGTCATTTTGAAATAAAAGAAACTATTTTTTATGCTGCTATGATTTTGTTGGATTGAGAACTTCGTTTCGAGCGTTTAACATAATTTCTAAAGCATTCTTATCAACAAGGCTTTGAGCGACTTTATTTCCTAGATCTTCAGCTCCAGCAAGACTTAGACCACTTACTTTTCCTGGTGCAACACTGCAGTATAATCGAGGCTCTCTATATGGACACTTTCTGGAATTAAACGTATATTTTTGAGTACATTTAATCTTAAAGTCCTAGATAGTGAAATACCTAGATTAAACTTACTTTGGTGGTTCTCCATCGTCGTATGGTATGAAGAGTTTCTTGTCTAATGTATGCTGAATTAAAGTTTGTCCATCGAGTGACCAGACAGCACCAGTAATAGTTAAATTGTCGTCAATTAATGAAGAGGAAACTGCCACGGGAGCTGAACAACCACCACCTAAAGTTTTCAGAAATGAACGTTCACAAACACATCTGAGTGTAGTATTAACATCATACAACGGTTCAAGAAGGGATAATATTTCCCAGTCCGATTCTCTGCATTCTACGCCTATTGCACCTTGACCAACTGCATACAAGGCTTCTTCTGGTTCCAATATCTAAAAAAAGCTATAATTTAAAATCTAATTTTTTAAGGTAGTATTGTAGTTGTATTAAAAGATGGTGTGGAAATTTACCTGACTTATTCGATCGTGCCAACCCATTCTTTTCAATCCAGCTGCTGCCAAAATAATTGCTGCAAAAGGACCATTTTCATCGTCCAATTTTTTTAACCTAGTGTTTAAGTTACCACGAATATTCTCTACTTGTAAATTAGGCATATTCCTTGCTAACTGAGCAGATCTTCGCAATGAACTTGTACCAATTATGCTTCCTTCAGGCAGTGTGCTCAAGGTTTTACCTTCAAATTTTTTAGACATAACGACAGCATCTCTTTCATCTTCTCGCCTAGAAATTTTACTTTTTAAACTGCAGTACTATAATCATTGATTCATTTTTAATAAAATATAATTTTACTTAAATACGAATTTATCAGGCATTATTGTAATATGTATTTTATGTTCATAGCAATTCTCTGATAGAGCGGGTTTATAGATATGAGTGCCGAAGCTTGTAGGTCAAAATCAGACATTTCACATTTTCCAATTAGTTGTTCGTGTTGTTTTTCAAGGAGCAATGATGTAGCTTGTTATGTCTTTTCTTTTGAGTGATCTTTAACGTCTTTCATAGCACAATGTGTGTTTTTTGTATATTACCGACCGTATGTACGTGTTCCCATAATAGTAGAATTATGTAAACAAATTCCCTATATACTTAATAATACTCACTTCAGGATTGCACCTAGGATCATTCCTTTTGGCAATGTTGTCGGCAAATCTTTTAGAGAGTGAACAAGGAAATCGACTCTACCTTGTTCTAAAGCCAGCTCTAACTCCTCAGTAAAAAGAGACTTTTCTCCGATTTTTGGCAGTGATTTATCTAAAATTTTATCTCCCTTGGTTTTCATAGTAACTGTAAAACGTGAAGAAAACGTCAAACTTTCCTATGCAAGGCACGATAAACAATTTTGAAACGACTAGTTATTTTTTAAAACTAATGACCCAAATAAGTTTTCAAAACTTTTTAATATATTTCAAATTAAAAATTAAAAAAAAATAAATCGCGACCGTCTTAGTTGAAATATAATAGTTTGACTCGTGTGTATATAACGTTCAAGGTCATGTCAAAATAATTAAAATTCTAATAATCATGTTATTTTTTTAACAGTTGCCTCATCATATTTTATCATAATTGTATACCTTTCTTATCACTTAAACAAATTTTATGAATTGATTGACAATAAGGAAGTAATAAAATAATGGTTAACAATTTGTAGGGCATTTAATAGTGTTATCATTGAATAAAAATATGACAATTTAAATCTTAAATTATTCCATGTTAAATACGCGTTAAAATACAACTACAGGAAAACCCCGCAACCTGAATATTTTCCAGAATTTTTCCTCCTTCTCAAATTCTCAACCTAGCCAGCTTTCTCCACCACTACCCTACCAAAAATTGAATACTGGTGCGATACTGGTACCAGTCTTGCGGCAGTAGTGAACGATGGCAATTTTTGGTAGAGTAAAAACCAGTAATTTCAGGGCTGTATACTTTGTCTATACTTCATACGGAACAATATTCTCTACAATTTACATGCGGACATTTTAATATTTAAACAATTTTTTCTGAACCCAGCGATTTAATACTCCCAAGTTAACGTTTAAACATTCAATGAATCTTCGGGGAATTTTCGGTGCTGTGTGGGTAGTATCATAAAAACTATAATAATATATATTCTTACCAATTTCAAATTTTTTCTTGGGATATAAGTCCTTTAAGCAATTAATCACATGTTTTGTTTGAATTAAGGCCAGCTGAAAATAAAATAATGAAAATAGATAATTTAAGCTTTTAAAGCTTATTTGTTTCTAAAATAAGACTATATTCTTTAAATCTGAATCGGTGAAAAAATCACAGGTTTATTCAATAAATGAAACTCTTACTGATATAACGGTGTTTTTTACGCACAGTCGAATCAGTGAAAATTGAAAGTTAAGTTCTTCTACAGTAATCAGCTAGCAGTGAAAGAAATAATATCACTTAATCATTGTATATTTGTAAAGTATACCATTTTTTTAAATAAAAATGACTAGTCACGTTGCAGATCGTTAAGATCGCTACTATTACATACTTTTTTTTAGTCTCTTACTACACTTCGAAACCTGATTGTATGAACAAGATGTGTCGAAATATCAAATAGATAATTTAAAAAAGTCGACATTCCAGCAATTCGATTGACAAGATCGTAAAAGAATTTGTATCGAATTGCTAATTAAATAAATGTTATAGTCTCTTTTTAGTACAAATTTTAAAATCTAAATTTTGCAAGGTTTTTGATGCTTATCAAAAATGTATTTGATTAGTTACTTTTGAAATCACGTGCAAAGAACGTCATGTTTACTTTCACCAATTATTTCATCGTCTGCTTCAATACAGTGACAGTATAAGAAATGACGGATAAAATAATGATTAGAAGTTGAAATAGTCAGAACTAATACACTTTTAGGGTAGAAATTGTTAAAATTTATTTTACCTCACTATTGCGAGACCCAACACGGATCACTTCTCGTGGTTCTGAACTCGTCATATTGTTTCTTTCAGGTACAAACATAGATGTAATTACATGAATGTCACTATATTAATTAATGTAAAAAATAATGATGTCATCAAAATTTTAGACATTAATTACGGATAATCGATTTAACAATGAAGTATTTTTATTTTCTTGTTCAAAAACTGGTGGTTTGTGTGATTGAGAAAAATAAAATTTACATATTACACAGTCACTGACACTGCAGCAGAATGTGACACAGCAAACGTAAATATGAAGCACCTAACTTAACAACTCTACGCCATGATCCATGCATGCACACTACTGGCTTTTCTTTTCTGGTTGGATCATGATGACAATGTGATAACGTGATATTTGTCACATCCAGTACAGAAGTGTAAAATGTGCGCATGTAATGCACTCCTCGACCGCTAGAGAGAGCGCAAAACACGCGGTTCACTTTAAATAATTACACAGGCCGACAAGATTTACTTTCCAAAAATCAGACAATACTTTTCCGAAGGTTTTGGACGTGCTGAATCCAGCTATTCTTACTCTTTAAAACCCATTTTGAAAATTTTAAAAATCTTCATTTGTCTCTGAGTAATCGTTCATTCAATTTTCTGAGTATGGCGAATTCTTCGATATTCCAAAACTGAATAGAGGAACAGATAAAACTTCGATAATAGAGAAGAATATAACTACAAACATCTAAATTTTAAATAGTTCTGTAGATTTACGGTATAACTGAACAGAATTCGATGTCAGATTTTCAAAATTCAAAATGGCGGACGATTTTTTAAATATCAAAGAATTCGCCATACTTAAAAAATTGAATGAACGATTACTCAGAGACAAATGAAGATTTTTAAAATTTTCAAAATGAGTTTTAAAGGGAAAGAATAGCACTTTCAGATGCAATATTCAATCTACAATAAATGTTCAGTAAACTGCAGTAAATTTTCGGTGCTGTAGGTGTGGGAGGATAGAGGTACATATATAACTATCTCTCTCTTAGTTCGCGGTCTACAATGAAGAGTACCTATTCTATATGTAGTATATATTCACTGAATCATTTTCGTTATTTGAATTGACCTGTAACCTATATTATACAAACCTAGTAGAGATAGCAACATGTTTTCTGATTCCAGATTTTGTTAATTTTATTATAATATTTACATATAAAATTTGATTTGTTTGTAACTTAACATTATTAAAATACGTTAAAATGCATAAAGTTACTGTAAAGTTTTTGTTTAATGTAAGTAAAAAAATTTTGTTGCATGAAATTACTATGGGGAGTATGAGTAAATTAGCAATCATTGTTAATAATATTATAAGATTATTCATTTTTTTACAAAATATCTAGAATAAAGCTGAATAATAAAAGAAAGCTGCTTTTTAATTTACATTAAACTAATGTTTTAAAATTTTTAATATTTTGTATATTATTATTAAATTTAAAAAAACATTAAAACTACTTAAAGGGCTGTTTCTGAATTACGTTTTAGGGGTAGTTTTTAGGAAGGAATAAAAGGAAAATTTCATGAAAATTTCCCTAAAAGCGAAATGATAGTGGGGGTATACTCCTTAGGGCAAAGTCCCATTTACGGAAGCGCCTACGCGCAACTGTAAGATGGCATTTAGAGAAGTAGCCTGTATGTATTAGGTAGTTCAAGATAGGTGGGAGAAAATTCAAAATGTCGATTTACTGGTAGGAGAAAAAATTATCATTATCTGGCGGCGTAGGTGTGGAACTATGATGATCTACACTTACACCGCCAGATGGTGATAATTTTTTTCTCCCACAGTTGAGATCAGTCTTGATATTCAGAATCTATACATGAAATCCCATATGATTTTCATAAGGGTTTTTATAAAGGAACCTATATGGAATCCCATGCAGGAATCTTCAATAGGTTTATGTAAACGTCGTACTTACTTCTTTTACAGAAAAGTTTCTGTCATTCACGACCTTACAGCACAAAAATTTTAAATGATGTTGTAATTGTTGGTGCTGCAAGGACTCCTATTGGCAGTTTTCTTGGATCACTCTCCACTCTTTCTGCTACTCAACTTGGAGCAATAGCAATTCAAGTAAAACATTAACATTCATTATATTCGCATTTATTTTATAATAATTTTCCCTTTTGAAATTTGTAGAATGTTGTACAGCGATCTAAAATTACGTCAGAAAAAGTTCAGGAGGTGTTTATGGGAGAGGTTTGTCAAGCTGCCGTTGGACAAGCTCCAGCAAGACAATCTGCATTATTTGCAGGTAAGATAAGAGTCCGGCAGCCTAGATTAATACCAAGGCAGACTCGGAGTTTCGCCGAAAAGTAGATATTGCTTTAACATTGAGATATAGTCCTTTATGGGTCCAAGTATCCCAGTCGACTCTGCCGACTTAGTGCAACTTATTTGACGATATTTTAAAATATGAATATTTATATCTGTAGGTCTTCCAAAGTCAACAATTTGTACTACTATTAATAAAGTTTGCGCAAGTGGAATGAAAAGTGTTATGCTTGGTGCACAGACGTTACAATGTGGCCATAGAGACTTGATAATTGCTGGAGGTATGGAATCGATGTCTAATGTACCATTTTTTTTGAGAAGAGGTAAAACAACGTATGGTGGAATGAAGTTGGAAGTAAGATAAACATTAATTAGTAAAAACAGAGTGTTAAAAAGAATGAAGTACAACTGTCGGGTTACTTGCCATTGTAAAAAATGTTCTTAACTATTTCAGGATGGGATAGTATGTGATGGTTTAACTGATGTATATAATAAGTTTCATATGGGTAATTGTGCAGAAAACACAGCGAAAAAATTAAATATTTCACGTGAAGATCAGGACGAATACGCCTTAAATAGTTATAAAAGAAGTGCGACTGCATACGAAAATAAAATATTCGAAAAGGAATTAATTGATGTCAAAATTCCACAAAAACGAGGTCAACCAGACCTTATTATTACTGAAGATGAAGAATATAAGAAAATAAATTTGGCTAAATTTCGCCAATTACCGACTGTTTTTCAGGTAATATAATTAACTACTTATAATGAATATAATATAGCATGTATTAAATGTTTATTAATATTATTGTTTAGAAAGAAAATGGCACAGTAACAGCCGGTAATGCATCAACATTAAATGATGGAGCTGCTGCAATAGCTTTATGTACAACGGATTTTGCTAAACAGGAAAAACTTGAGCCTCTTGCAAGAATAATTGCATTTGAAGATTCTGCAACTGATCCAATTGACTTTCCAATAGCTCCAGCTTTAGGTGTTCCCAAAGTATGTTTAACAGTTCTAGCCTATTGAAAACTTCTCTAAGGATCCTATATATAGGAGTAGGATCCTTTAAACAAATTCGATGTATTAGAAAATCTGCTATACAAAAGTTCGGTTAAATTTTGTGTTTCAGCTTTTAGAAAAGGCTGGTATTAATAAATCTGATGTGGCTCTTTGGGAAATTAATGAAGCTTTTAGTGTCGTAGTTCTTGCGAATCAAAAACTTCTTGATATTGATGGTAATAAATTAAATGTACACGGTGGCGCTGTGTCTATTGGACATCCAATCGGGTAACAAAATATTTTTGATATTAAAATATTTTCAATAATTTCTTGAAATAATTTTAACATATTTCTGTAATTTTTCAGAATGTCCGGAGCTCGACTAATTGTACATTTGGTTCATGCGCTAAAAAAAGGTGAAAAAGGTGTCGCTTCAATTTGTAATGGTGGAGGCGGGGCTTCTTCAATTTTAATCGAAAAACTGTAATAGTTTTATTGGATTTACATCAAAACTGAATTTTATACATTGATGAAGATTTACACTTTTATAAAATATACAGCATTTATAATAAACTTAAGCGGAAGTCATATATGAATATTTTTTTAAGAAGAATTTTTTAGTATTACGATTAATTGTATCTATTTTCAATAAAAATCGTATTGTTTTCACTTTGAAATTTGTTCTTATTTGTACATTGATATTAACCACTTCACTGTCAAGACGTTTCAAATAGCGTTCCTTGTTGCCTGGCAAAAAATACATATACTAGAATACAAGCATTATGGATAAAAATCGGTAGGCTTGTTCCTCATTTCACCATAGATGTGTTTGAGGGACTTTAAGCTAACCTTGCATGAATGATGATTATATGCTTTGTTTGACAATGACATTAAATGAATCAAGAAAATGCAATATTACTTTTTTACAAATTTATTCAACATTTATTTATATTTATTTTTATATGTATGGCAACCATACTTGTTAGAAAATCAAAATCAAAAGCGGGAGATGAATTTACGGAATCAGCAAATGAAGAAAATAATCTTTTAGCAGAACATAAGTTGACTGTTCTTAAATCACATGGTTATACATTAGGAAAAACAATTGGTTCTGGATCATATGCCACGGTTAAGGTTAGAACAAGCTTAAATTTTGAAACTGCTTCTTACCGGAAGTTTTATATTAAATGAAATATTCTTTAAAGTTTACTAAGGGTAATAAACAGGATAATTTTATCGAGAGTGCACACACCGCTGTACCTCGTCGACAAGACTCGTTTTTATTTTAACATTTTCAAAAATAATAAATTTAATTGTCTAAACAGGTTGCACAATCAAAAAGACATGCTTCCTTAGTTGCTGTTAAAATAATTTATAAATTTCAAGCTCCTGGAGATTATTTAAAAAAATTTTTGCCACGTGAAATTGAAGTTGTGCAAGGCCTAAAACATTTAAATTTAATTCGATTCCTACAAGCCATTGAAACTACTCACCGGTTTGTTATTTTTGTTTATTTCTTTCACTTTTAATCTCCGTTCTATAACCTTCTATCGCTTTCTATCTCCTCTCTATTTATTGAGATTTCTTTCGCTTTTAATAACCGTTTTTCTATAACTTTTAACCTCTGTTCTATAAACTTCTATCAACTATCTTTACTCTATGATTACTAATGAAGAAGTGTTATCATGTTATCATGTTAGCATTTTCTCCTGTCTTAATATATATTTTACAGGGTATATATTATCATGGAATATGCACAAAATGGAACTTTGCTTGACGTTATAAGACGTGATAAACAGATTGACGAAACTCGAAGTCGACAATGGTTTAAAGAATTAGTGGAAGCAGTTTATTATTGCCACAATCGTGGAGTAGTTCACAGGTAATAATATCTTAACTAAAAGTTGTGAGATTAAATAAATTTCGGGAAGAATTTATCACAAAAAATAACTTACCCATAATGCAAGAATTGATGTTCCTCGAGCTCTCATAAAGCCGGTAGCATCGTACAAATTTCTAACCTGACTTCAGTCTAGCGTACGTGAGTGCTCCTTGTCGTCTACACAAAAGGCGCGAAATAAGTTTAAATTTAAAATTATAATCGCAACGTTATAAGATAAATTCCTCTGAGTTAGCATAAGTAAAATAGTTTGAATTTAATTTCCTTTATTCATTTTAGAATATTTTGTAGAGACATCAAATGCGAAAACCTTTTAATGAACCAGAACTATGTCATCAAATTATCAGATTTTGGATTTGCGCGAAGTCAAATGAAGCCTAAAAACGGAGTACCTTTGTTAAGTGAAACATTTTGTGGAAGTTATGCTTATGCTTCACCAGAAATTCTTAAAGGAATCCCTTATCAACCTCAACTATCAGATGTGTGGTCAATGGGAGTAGTTCTTTTTGCCATGGTATTTGGTCAATTACCGTTCGATGATACAAATTATAGTCAACTTCTAAAGGTTTTTACATACATTTTTACATATTTATGCTGAACATGTACAATTTCTTGTTCAGGATTTGATCAGAACAGGTTGGAGTTCAGCTACTGAACTTGAACAAGAATATGTTGAAGATTTTGTATAGGAACCAAATAAAATATTTTTGATGATGAATAATAAAAATTATATTTTAGCAGGTGCAGAAAAAAGTGATTTTTCCTAAAGAATCTACAGTTACAGAATCTTGTCGCCTATTAATTTCACGCTTATTAGTTGCGCAACGTATTCGTTTGAATGTTGAGGACATACGTTATGATACATGGTTAACACTACAATAAATGTACAGAAAAACAAAATTATGGTTAGAATAAAATAATATACAACATATGAGGACTGTTCTAATATTTTATACAAATTGACATGGTACTTATAATTGTGTATAAACGGCTTTAAAAAATTCACCCGAAAAAGATGTCACATTTTGGACGTTTTACTGTAAATTCCACATGGTAATTCCGAACTCTGGCGACTACATCAACACAGGTTAGGCTCTTACACTTTTGGAGCTAAATATTAACTATTGATATTAATGCATTGATAATAAAAGTTTGTTTATAATTATCGTACACTTTGTCTAAGCAAGATTTTCTTACTGTTTCAAGAGTATATTAGACGATATAAAGCATTTAGGACGTTAAATGTCATGAAAAACTAACCTATCAAATATTGGCGTTTAACGCTTTCTTACATACAGAGATACAGAGCACCCTTCAACTATTTTTTTGTCAGTTTAAAATTTTTTTAAAATTGTTTTTTATCCATAACTTTAAAAAATGTATTGATACCTATAGATATTTTTCTTTAATTTTGTATAGTTTTTCAAGGCGCATCTTTTGAGTTATTAGCGAACATTCTACTGTTATTTTATCCAGAGTTGTTAACATAAAATTAAAAATTTTTGAAAAACCTGATTTTTTGCATTATTTTTTTAGAATCGAATAAGATCAATAGTTCTAACATATGAAACAATGAGAAACGAGGACAATATTATGAATTTTTTGCGTTCTACAGCCCATAATATTAACATTTAATCGAGCATATATGCGAATTATATTCGGTTAAATAAAATGTTCTTCTCTCTGAGACCTCGCGACAACTGTTTGGTTTGCAATACTAGCAGTCACGATCTGTATCATTTTCCGACTGTTTGTCCTCATTTCGATGACATCAGAATATTTTTTTCCCTGATATTCTGTCTAATGATTGCCATGAGTCATTTTGGAAAAATATACTTTCTACTTCAAGGACTACAATAATAAAAAAATTTGTTTTAATGTTTATGAAAATGGTTGAGGTTCAGAGTGCTTAAAAATACTCCGTCTTCAAAAGTTTTAAAAATTATTGTACTAACAAATGAATTTTTACATTTTTTCCAGGGTTTAAAGATAATGAATTCTGGTGCTATATTCAGCTAAAGACAATAAAGTTAAAACTAATTATTTCTAAATTATATTACATGATTTTATGATAATTTATTAAGAATAATATTCTTTGAAAATGAATAGTGACTATACTAGTTCTGAAGATGAGTCTGTAATAGAAGCTTTAAAAGAAGCCACTGATGAAAATTTTTTAAAAGAATCATTTTTTCATAAACCATTTTCGAAATGTGTGGAAAAAAAAGGTATTAAATTAAAAGTTACTTACAAAAATGTTGTAGTTTTGAGAACGTTTTCATATAAAAAGTTTACATCAAATTTTTTTAAAAATGAATTTATATAGGTATTGATATATGTATTTTTCAGAGTCTTCAACAAATACACGTGAACAAAAAACTATTCCATCCAATTTGACAAAGAAGTCAGAGCTCAATTTATTTGGAGTCTCAGATTTTTTCCAGGAACATGTTGCTGGCAGGCTAAGCAAATTATTAGAGAAGTATTACTCTTTAAATATGAATTATTAGAAATTTTTATTCCTTAAATTAATAATTGTATATATCATTTATTGAATATTTTTTATTTTATTGAAGGAATATTCAATTTATTGACGATTATCAAAATCTACACTTCACTACAAAAGGAGAAGAATTAAAATTAAAACTTGGAATTAAATTGTTAAGCCGGTTTGATACAATAACGCAAGACGAAGAAGTTAGTGGCGTTGAAAACAAAAGTTCTTTTGTGCAGAACAAACGTCCTAAAAATGTATTACATAAAGATGATGCTGAATTGTGCAAAATAAAAATTAAAGAAGCAGCTGTGTCCCCTGAAAGAATTTTATCAAAATGTGATACAAAGGCTTGGTTTATTAAAAAACATGAAGCCGATTTTAAATATAAAAAATTATCAAATGGAACTTTGGTTGAACAATAAAGATTTTTGAACTAACCATTTTATGTAGCATTTATTTAAGTAATAATAACTCTCGAAGTTATTGACTAATTAGTCCTCTCGCTTCTAAAACTGTACCTCCGTTAGTTAGTTAGTTAGTGTAAATAAATAAAAATAAATATACCTTATTTATAAAAGAATTTTTATTGAGCATATAGTAAAGTACAAAAGAGATATGATTATAGTATGTTTTAATCTTCACCACCTCACAAGAATGTGATCTCCATCTTGAATCGAATAATAGCTGAGTTTTTGAAGAGGTTTATCGAGAGGTATCTCTACTTTTGATAACTATCACAAATTATTTAAATTAGTATATAAGTTTAAATATTTAAAATATGATATACTTTATGAAGTTTCTAAATCTAACTTACTTCTTGTTGGACAAAAGAAAGAGTTGGTATTTTTCCGCAAGTTTTAAAAAGTCTTTGAGCAAGACCAGTTACTTTTTGCACATCCATATCTTTCAATAGTTTTCTTTTTATTCCTTTCGACTGTGCTGGATCATCAGGACATGCAAATTCAACAGAAATAACATTGGAAATCATTGCCATGTCTGTTTTTGAGGTAGGAATGTCCGCTACTCCATATTCTATAAATAAAAACTAATGGAAAAGTTGTACATTTATATTTTAAATGCGAAACCTACTTTGAACTAAAGCTGGATATCTAGGATGATTGTTTAAGAACTTAATTCTCTTTTCAGAATCATTTTCCGATTCAATCCATTCTTTAGCAAACATTTTTAAATAATCATTTTCGGCTCCTGATCTTTCTGTGTAGAAAATTTCTGTACTATTTAACAATTTCAAATTTGATATCCTAGCTATTATTAATTGTCGTGTTGTTTCAAAACTTTCCTTCCTTAGAATTGGATTTTCTCTAAATTTTAAATCTTCTAAACATTTTAATTTGTCCAATTCACTTACTGAATTCCACTATAGAAAATAAATGAAGATTTTATCAGTAATTGGATTGGGATACTGATTTATTGATAAAATAAATGCTCTTACCTCTGATATATTATTATTAGATATATGCATTTGTTTCAAGACTGAAAAGTAGTTGGTTTTTTCATTTGAATTTTCAATGGGAAATCTTATGAACAGTAGTTTGTTACAATTCAGATTAATGGATTCTAAGCTGTAAAGCAGTCATCATTAAAATTTTTACCTGAAGTTCAATTCAGCAAACAAAAAAGAATTCAGACGAATTAATACGAATTGACTTATAACCTTTAGGAATCCCGCTTAGTGAAAAATACAAATTGAAAATCTAGATTCTCTATTTGAATATCAGTCAGCGGATTTAATGCGAATTCGCTAAAAGTTAGTTCATTTCAAATAGCCTGAATTTCTTTTTTTTGGGAGGGAATGTAAAAATATTAAATTACAAACCATGGTAAACATCCCAGTTTTAAAATTTCATCCCAACAGTGAATCTCATTTTCCTCTAAGGTTAAACTAGTTAATTTCATACAGTTAAATTCTTGAAGTTCTTTTATCAAATTAAAAGAAACAGAAAGAATTTTTAAGCCAGGAAATATATTTATACAATGATTAACATCATTTGAGGTATAATTCATTTTCGTCATCGTTAAATCAGTTACAGATGTAAAGGCATGTTTTAATTCATTCAACTCTTCTTCATCAACAATTAAATTATTTTCACTAAAAAAATGCGTTTTCTTTAAAAATCACAATGTTTTGTCATCATATGGCAGCGGTTTTTATATAATAGTAATTATGTTAGATTTCATAATACATTAAATCAGGCCTGTCCCAATACTTCTCCTCCCGCACTTTATAGCCCCCATTGTTCCAACTTACCTTCACACGTTGTTTGGCGCGGAAGGTGAAGAAGGAACTCCGTATATGTTTCATGGTGTAAGGGGTGAGAGACGATTTCCCACCAACAGCTTTGTTCCGGGAGCAGATTTTGGACAGGCCTGTATTAAATAATTATTTCTTTTATGTTTAAATGACTAATTATAAACACAATAAATATTATTCGTTTATCCCCTTTTAAAATTGGAAAATCCCTATAGTTGCAGGTGATCATGATCTACAACATTATTTACGGTAATTTAAAGTTTAAAACTTTATTAATATTCTTACCTAACATTGAGCCTTTTTAAATGAACTAGTTGAGAGACTATTTCAGCAACTGCCTTCCACGAACAGATTAAATTTTTTGATAAATCTAATTCGGTTATATTAGGTGACAATTTAATTAATTCATCGGGATCTCCAGCATTGCTAACACATTCTCCCCTCAAACAAACTACTTCTAAATTTTCAAATTTACTTTGTTTCTTGTTTACTTTTGAAAATCCAACCATTTCCATGAAAGGTGCATTTATTTCTTTCTGTAAACTAGACAATTTGTTTCTGTCAATACCAGCTAAATCGTCGTTGACCAGACCATATTTCATTTTAATGGCATCAGGACAAGATATTCCAAATTTCACTTTTTCTAAGCGTACAAAAGACCCTGAGTTTGGATGCCTAAAAATAGCCGAAATATTTATAATTTAATTTAGGTATCTTTTAGATATCTGACGGCACACTCTGGGGAATCTTTTCAAGTGAGTAGAATATAAAGGAGCGCATGATTATTCCATAATGTGAATTAGTTAGAATTTTCATTTTATAAAATTTTACACTCTAAATCTGAATCAGTGGAATTTATGTGTTTCTATTTAGTGTTTAATCAAATTTAAATTAACCAGAATTTATACTTAACAGAATAACTATAGATATTTATTAGTTTACGTGTTATCTGGGTTGTAATTACCATGTTTTGAAATATTCCACATCTTTGTAAGTTCCACCGTGCTTTCCACGAGAAAAATCATCCCAATCAATACCCAACCAAATTCCCTTTGTATTTTCTACTGGACCAACATATTTTAATGTACCACAATATCCATCACACAATATTCGACTACCAATCATGTGGTCTTTATCCTCTACCATCTTTTTTAAGATTACTGAAAATATAGGTAAAGTAGCAGATAGATAGATGTCAAATTCTATCATTTCGAAATTAATATTTTACAAATTAAAAATGAGCGTATACAGTAATAGCCCCTTTAGTACCAGAACAGTCCCGGTGACGGTAATTACTTTCTTATTAAAAATTTTAATTACTCATTTACGTAAAAATTGCAAAAAACGATTTTTTAGGTTTTGAGGTTTGTAAGCGTTTAGGCATACTTTGTACTAACTTTGACACAGATTGTTTGTTTTTATTGTTCCAAACTTGTAAAAGTTTTTCTTTTAACACTGTTTTGCTTGTTATATCGTATTTCTTCAAGTTTCTTTCAACTTCTGCATCACTCACACAAGACTAATAAAATGTAAGGAAATTTATATTGTAGAATTTAACTGTGTAGAATTTTACGATAATTTTCATTTTTTAAATAAATTTGTGTAGAGTTTAACGGTGTGTAATTTAACTGTGTGGAATTAAATAAAATGAATTTTATTTTTAAATATAAACGTGTGTAGAGTTTGACGGTGTGCAATTTAACGTGTAGAATTTAACAAATAAATTGTGCAGAGTTTAAACTGTGTAGAATTTAACATTGTACAGTTTAACATGTAGAGTTTAAATGTGTAGAATTTGATCTGCGTCAATTTTTTTTACCAAATCAAGGAATATTGACATTTTTAATATGGTACAATCACTTGTTTATGTAAAAGTGACACATTAAAAGTGGATAATAATCATTCTCTCTTTCAAACAGGTAAAATTCCTATTTATGGTAAAATTTAATTTAAAATGAAAAATTATATTTTACTGTATTTCATTTTACTTACGTGCCGTTATGTGTCAAATGAATTTTTGACGTAAATGATGATTAATACTTTTGATTATATTATCTTAACCACTGCAAAATCTAACTTTAATTATATTCAATTTTAATTCCATCATAAAAGGAGTGATTAATCTAAATACTTCTTTTTTATTGGCCTACTGGTGATCAGATGTTCATTTCTAAAATCTAAAAAAGTAGTCTAAAACTAACGTAAACATCAGCAGTGAGAAACAGAGTTGAAAAAGTAAACTAGAAAAGTAAAACGTTCGAAATGCGACACTTTGCAGGTGAGGTTAGGGTGCTGTCACACCTCTTTCGTAAAAAAGGAGCTATAGAAAATATATTTTTGTATAAATAATTTTAAAAAATAAAAATTACTTATGTAACATAAATATGAACATTCTTTAATAAATAATAATTATCATTGTATGAATAATAGTAAAATATAATAATAAATAATAAAATATTCAAAATATAACAATACTTATTAATTTTTATTAATTAAATTTTTTTAATTTTCTTTCTAAATATTTTCTACATAATATTTTTTTTACAATCGTTACTGCTTGTGATTTAAAACTAAGCGCCGTTATGTTTATTTACGTCGAGGTGTGGTTCGGCTGCGCTTGGATCTATTCAACTGAAACGTTTATGGTTCTATGAAGTTAGCTCTCTATGAACAGTCGGTTTTACACACAGACGTGACGTCATGCTAGTCCAGTTGGGTTAGGTTTTTGTGCTAAAAATTAATAAAAATTTTTTTTAGGATACTTAATTTAGCTAGTTATTTCATTGATATTAGAATTTGTGCTGTCGAGTTAGTGATAAACTTATTTTATTTTTGAGGTCAGTTTGATTAAAGGCTTCCTTTACAAGACATTGTACATGACATTTTAAGGAAAAATGAGTCAACATGATGGTATGTATTCTCTTGTATATTTACGTTAAATGTCTGCTTTCAAGTTTAGGTCATGTCTATCTTAATGGAGAATATTTACATTTTTTTACACAATTATAATAAATAACTTGTCATATAAAGTGTGTTAATCATTTTTATTCTCTTTGTCAAAAGTTGCGCAATTTAGCTCGATTTTATATATTTTTATTATATATTTTATAATAAAAATTCATAATATATTTTATGAATTTATAAATATTTTTAATGTAAAAGTTTGATTTTCTTGACTTTTGTTAATTTATCTAAATTATTCTAACGTATGTCAATGTATTTATACTCATGACAATTAACAGTATATCTATATATGTATATAGTGAAACGATACCATCTACATTATATAAACATAAATTTTTAAAAAATTAAAAAATCAATATATTAACAATCCTAAGTAGTTAATGAAATTTAATTTTAAATAGTCATTTCCGCTTTTTTATGAAAATCATCAAGTACATTTTTATGTACTGCATTTTATTAAATGGAGCATGCGCTGAAAAACATGAAAAGCCTTGAAAGCATTTTTAGTTTATTATGAAAAAAATAAATTTCGTTTAATAGTAATTCTTCCAAAAATATTACATTTGCATGCCCTTAAGAATTTTTAAATAATTTTTAAAAATTTACATTAATATTTCATTAGTCCGTTACTTTTTTTTAAATTCTGCAAAAAAAATTGTACAGATTATTTAATATTCTTTTTAAATTTAAAATTTAAAAATTCACTTTATGCATATTTTTCAAAAGCTTTTTTATTGTTAGAAAATTATGTAAAAAATTTGAGTTGATTTTGATGTTATGCTAGTTATATGTTATTTTTATAAGTATCTAAGTCAGAAAAAAAAATCAAATTTGTATTTTGAGGATTTTCTTCTATTCAATTCAATTTTCGAGCGATTAGTTAAGATTTGTACAAGTTATCGTGGGGACAAAAAAGTGTCTACAGACAGACAGACGGACAGGTTTTCAAAACCTATTTTTTGGCATCAGGAGGTCTCAAAACATGGAGATTTACTGGAATTAGAAAAAGACTAGAATCGACCAAAATGAGATTCATTTTGATCGATTTTGGACTTTTTCTTTTTTTCATTTATGATGAGAATGTATGTGCAATGGATATATGGGTCAATCCATTATATTTCATCTAATGCCATAGCAGCCTATTTTTAGAAAGATATTAATTCGTAATAATCATCGTTTTCTATATCCGTACAATTTATATTTGACAATTATTTAATAAATGTTTATATACATATATAATATATATTTTTGAAAAGATATAATTGTTTTAACTTTCTATATACTAGCGTAATGACTATAATTCCCTAACAGCATCCGGATATTCAAGATATCCTACGTATGACCTAGGGATAACTGGAAAGTCGGATATCAATAGGATGTCTCAGAGATAACCGGAAAGTAGGATATCCTTAGGGTGTCTTAAAAATATCCTGAGGACATCTTAGGTCGAAGCTCATGGTGACTATCCCTCTAGGAAGCTCGATGCAAAATAACCTACTCAGAATACCCTCCATTTCCAAAAATCCAGAATCTCTTCTACTAAGAGGCAATGAATCCGTTCTAATTCCACAAACGCTTGTCCCCAGTATTGATGTCTAACTTCCGCAAACGCTGAACATTGATGTAGAATGTGAATCGATGATTCTTCATGCGATTCATACAATCTATACCTAAGTGACACTTGTCTACCCATTTTGTGCTGATGGTAGTTGAGTAAGAACAAACGAACCATATAGACTGAGAATCAGTAATTCTGTTTTATTAAATGTTGATAAAACAGATGAACTGGTTCAATTAGTAAAAAAAGTTACTGTCAATCAATGAAATTCTACTGAACAAACAACAGATTTTAACTGCCAATTAGTCATATTTCACTGATCAAAATAAAGAAACTCTTCCACCAGAATGACTGTGAATCAGTCATATTTCCCTAATTGTCAGTGGTATTTCACTGATTTGAATTTGAGTGTTGCCTTGAGCGCATACTTCTCGTTGAAGAATTCTTGGACCGTACTTGTTTAGGTATACAGTGTGTGTTGTGGCCACATGGCGAATGGAATTTTATATTGTATGAAATAAGAGAATAGAACAAATATTAAATTATATAAATCACGATTGAGAAAAGAAAATTATTATTGATATTAAAGATGTCGACAAACAAAACTGTATAAGTAGATTCTTTAATAAAAACATTAATTAGACGTTCATTGTTCTGGGTTCCCCCAATTTCACCCTCCCTTTAGGAGAGCCCCAAAAATCGTAGAAAAACATTATAATCCCTGTACAAGATCTTAAACATTTTCTTTTACAACTTTAGCAGCTAAACTTCTTCAGTTCTGGTCAGTTCCTATACACAAAATTGTACAGCTTAAGAAATTGAAACAAGCTCATGTGTCTATATTTTTCTGCAATATTCAGCGTAAATTATTTTTAAAAAAGTTAAAATTTATAGCGGAAGAACGTAATGATTTATTGTTAACATTGACATTTATGTATTTCAGGTGTAAGTTGTGATTCTTGTATGAAAGCTAATTTTCGAGGTCGCAGATATAAGTGCCTGGTGTGTTACGATTACGATCTATGTGCAAGTTGTTATGAAAGAGGTGCTAGTAGTACTCGCCATCTTACTGATCATCCAATGCAGTGTATACTTACAAGAACTGATTTTGGTAATTTCAAAAAAACTGGTTTTGTTATTTTTTTAAATGTTATTATTTTTTTTATAAATAAATAAATTTTTATAGAATTATATTATGGAGGAGAAGGTATAAGCGTTGAACAACCTCAATCATTAACTTGTCCTTACTGTACAAAGATGGGATTTACAGAAGCCACATTACAAGAGCACGTTACTGCTGATCATCCAGATACATCTTTTGAAGTGGTATAAATAAATATATCCGAATATAAATTTTTATTTTTGTCCCCACAGGTACAAGAATAATAATAATAAACGATTGAACATTTCCATGAAAATTATTCTTAGGTTTGTCCTGTTTGTGCATCTTTACCTGGTGGAGATCCAAACCATGTAACTGAAGATTTTGCTGGCCATTTAACATTGGAACATCGCAGCGGGCCCAGAGATTTAATGTCGTTCTTAGATGAATCTGCATCCACAAGACCCAGTGTACGTCGAATGCCTCATCCTTCTAGAGGTGTAGGTGGACCTCGTACTCGAAGGTAAATTCTAAAGTGATTCAGTTTTTTAAATATCTCTAATACAATAGGTAATTTCAATATTTTAATGATCCAGTAGAAAAGTTGATTAATATCGATCGTATTCCTAAAATTCAGTGTAAATTTTAATTTTTAGAACAAACATGCACTTTAGTTCATCTGGAGGGCTTAGTCCAAGTAATAGAGAAGGTATTGATCCCATTGCTGAATTATTATCTCAATTATCAGGAGTACGCCGAACTGGCAGCAGTCAAAGTTCATCTGCCCCATCGCAACTACAACAATTACAAATGCAATTACAATTAGAACGTCAACAAGTTCGTGTATGTGTATATATATATAAATATTAATTGAGTTTAACAGTAAAATAAATTTAATTCTGAAGAATATAGATCTTACATCAAATTATTTTATAGGCTGCAAGACAACAATTGGAACGTTTACCTAGAAGACAAACTCAAGTAATTGGTTCTGTTAATAGCGGAGGTGGAAGTAGTGCCGGTCACACTACAACAATGGCCACTGTTTTAGCTAATAATACCGTTACTTCCAATAATGTGTCTAGTAACAGCAATTCAGTTTCATTCTGCACCACATCTTCTACATTGCAAAATTCTACTTTCTTAATACCAAGGTAAATACTTTTTTCAGTATTTAATTTTTTTCCATATTAAAAATAGAAAAAAAGAAAAAAATAATTACGTTTTTTACAGATGTATTACCACGACGCTTTCGGATTCCCAATTACATACCATTGAACGTGAAAGTGCAAATCGAAGTTTGTTTGCTCGGGAATTAGTAGTTAGTACGCTTACTCAAGCTCTTTCGGATTTAATAGAGAATCAGATTACACCTCAAAGAGGAACGTTGCCTAACTCTAATAATGTATTAACAAAAAGTAGTCGGGATACCTTAAGTACGTGTCCAGACGTTAAATCAAGAGAATCATTAAACTCCAATCAAGAAACTAAAACAGGACAGTCAACTGCAGTTAGCAACGAACAATTAGTGCATTCTTCTAGCCTTCAACATGAAACTGATAATAGCGAAACAGAATTATCTTCAACTCTTAACGAAGTTGTGATACAAAATGCATCCATTGTTCAGGCGTTGAGACACAGCGTAGCACCTCAAGCAATGGTAAATAGTTTTTTCCTTTAATTATCTCTCAAAAATTACAATTACCTGAAATAAAAATCTTTTATGATTGACACTTTGTTAACTTTACTTTAGTGCTGGAAGCATTGATAAATCTGGAACATCCAGTAGAGTTTTGCTGGTTCTAGCAAGATATTCACGTCTTTTACAGGTACAGCACAGAGCCGCAGGCAAATTATCTCCGCCGACGTAATTAGTAATAACAGTAGAGCTGCAGCCGAATTGCGTCTCGAGGGGTGGCAGGTAGATATTGAATTGCGTGCCGCGGTCCAAATGGGTTGGAAAATGTGAGCACCACTGGCCTCAAGACTTTTTTTAAGTTTTCTTTACAAAAAAAATTAAAAAATGAAATACAACGATGGGCATGCTTCAAAAAAATGTGCAAGGCATTCGTTAAAATTAATGAAAAATATGATATAGTTGAAAGTAATTTAAATCACAATCACGAACCGAACAGTGAAAAATAATAAATCGGCAAAAATTAAGCAATAGTTTAAAGCGAAAAGTTGTCGACTTTGGATATAAAAACAAATAAAAATGAAAATTTCTTTATGGTAAATGATAAGTCGAATAATATAGTTTTATGTTCAACTGCAAGTATCACTTTCAATTACTTATACATTGTGATAAGCTGCCAGTCCTAAGCCTGGATGGATGCTGATTCCACACTCACCGAGTCGCTACGCTTTTCCATTAACGGACCGCTCGCGCAGTTTCAGGTGAGTGTAGAATCAGCAAGAGTGTGAAGGAAAAGGTTTGACAGTCGGCACGCAATTCGATTGGGAGGGGATCATACCTGTGATTTGGGACGCAATTCGGGCTCACCGAACACTAGTCATATCACTTTTCAATAATTGACCTTTTATAATAATCATTACCTTTTGTTTTCGAAAACACAAGAAACACACGTTGTGTCGATTTTCACTGTGACTGAGAGCTTTGTGTGGCATTTTATACTATGAAAGACGTTACAGATTACTCAAAAGAAAAGACATAACAAGCTACATCATTCCTCCTTCAAAAACAACACGAACAACTAACTGTTTCACTGTTATGACAAAAAAATTCTCAGATACAGTTGTACTTTTTTCCGTGCATATAACAATTCTTCCAATTCTCCTCTTCCGTAGAGGAGGATAAAAGGGAAACCCTAATTGTATTTGCACCTGGTCTACAGCTATCTGCTATTCCCTCTTAAAGTCATCTAAAATAAGAACAAGGGTGGACAAATATTTTATAATTATTTTTATAAAATGTTTGTAGGTTTTACAACAATCAGTATCCCCTCCAGTGAGGAATACGGGAACTGGAACAATCAGAGAACAAATATCTGCTCCTGCAGCTGCTTACATAAGAGGCGGTGTAAGTTCAGTTGGCGTGACAGGAGGTTCTCGCAGAAAGCCTGTTAGATCTATGGATGGAAGAAATCAGTCTACGGACCCACCACCACCACATTAATTTTGATTTAATAGATGGTAATAAAGAAAAAAAAAAGAAAGAAAACATTAAAAAAGGATGAGAAAAAGAAAAAAAAACCCTTTAGCGCTAGTCCTAGTATCGTTTAAAACACCTTACTGTTGTTATTATATTATTACTTATTGGCTATTTTCCCGTCAATTTGTACTGCTATATCTCTGTAATTCCGTGTTATTAATCCTAACAAGTTATTTCATGCAATACGATAAGTGTTCCAACAAGGATGCATATTGTGGGTAAATTACCATCGGGTTATGTATATACAGCTCTTATTGTCAAGATTGTCTGAGAAAAGCCTCTTATAATTTATAATTTTATTGAATCACCTTTTAATCACAATTATATTTTCATATATGGCTGGTTAATTTTTATCAATTTCTGTTGAGTTATATAACTTTAATGCTTAGACGAGTATAATTAACTAAATGATTGCGTGAAGAGCCAAGTATAATTAATAACATATAAACAGAGATTTGTCATGTGAATAAAAACACCCTTTCACAAATACTGATTTCTTTAGTATCTATTATATATGTAATTAAAAAATTATATACTCTAATAATTTCAAGACTATTTTAAACCCTTGATCATTTTTACGTTTTTCTTTAAGATACTTTCATATCTTTTTAGATCTTCAAATAACAGAAAGAAAAAAGTTTTTTAATATGGAAACTAAAAAACAGCTAAATATCAGACACAAAAGTCGTATTATTTTTCAGACAGAATCAAAGTATCTATCTTTAATTTATAAAAAAGAATTGAAATTGGTATTTTTTGAGAAATGTCTAATATTTGGAAGTAACGCGTTATTTATAACGTTTTAATGGTTGCCGTTTCTATTTTAAAAAAATAGTGGTAATAATAACCGTAACGTTTTTTGAAATAACGAAAAAAGTAACGATTTTTCGTTAATTCGTAATTTGAATGTAATGACAAAACGAAAAAACTTCAGGTATGATAGCACTCTTAAGACAAATTACAAAATCATAATGAAATAATGGTAAAATAAAGGAGATATGTAAACCTTCCAAACCCCCATCAATTAAATTTCTTTTTCGGAATATATTGACACAGATCTAATTTTCCTTCCATTTTCACTTCCTCCATCATCTTTAAAGCAACATCGAGTAATATTTTGTGTTTCTAGATATTTACGAAAATCACTTTAAATATCAATACTTTCTTTTTTTAATATTTTCTGCTTTTTTTTCAATAGAAACATAATTTCATATTCTTGCCTTTGTTCAGTAATGTAATTTTTCATTTCTCTTTATTTAACATTATCAAAAATAATATAATTATACTTTAAATTTTAGAGAAATTTTTCTTGCTCTTTATATATTTTAAAGAATAATATAAATAATAAATTTATCATACATACTCATTTGTCCTGTCGTTTTATCACACTTTAAAAAAAAATTCTGTCTAAAATTGTTGTCTAAATTTAATTTGTATCTTATTTTTGTTTTCTTCACGCTGCGCGATTTTACTAGCAGTGTTTGATAAAACGGACATGTCAAAAAAAAATCTTTTAACTTAAAACTAAACTTTCTGTTTAGAAAAAAATCAGTTCTACGAATGATCTAATTTAGTTGTTAAACAGACAGTCTAGATTTAACTTTAAATGCTTTTAATATGACCGCATTGTAAGTAAAATTGTCAATACTGTCAATGTTAGTCACTATAAGCTAACTTTGGTGACGTAAGCCATGCTTACGAAAACTACTGTGTGTTCAGTAATGTTTTTAAAACCAGTTTTTAAAGAAAAATAATCTAAATATTTATGTAAATACCTTTAAGATTAATTTTGTTTAATATTCAATGAAAAATATGCAATGCAATTTATATTCAGTATATTATAAAGCGTTCTCTACCAAAGCATTTGGTTAGCTCTCACAAAAAAGAAACTAAATAAAGCTGTTTATTCACTGAAGTAAAATTTGGTTGACGTTATTAAATAAATTTTGTTAACCTGAATCAGTTTAAAAAATCTAGAATTAGAGTAATCATTCTTGTTTTGCGGTTAAGAGTTAAAAAACTTAACAAAGTTAGCTCTCTTGGTGCTCTCTTAGGAGGAACCCTTATCTTTTATTATTAAATTAGAGGCGACGAAACTTGTCCTGAGATTACGTAGTGTTACGTCCCAAAAATGAGAAAATAACTTAGAAAATAATATTTTATTTTATTTATGTCCGCTCCGGACCGGAGTTCAATAAACCGTGATGAAAGCCCAAATAATGAGATTCTTTCGCAAAGGAAAGAAAAGATGATTTTCCAAATATTGTGACAGGATAATCGTTGAATACTTGGAAGAGTTCTTGTAGATGTAGAAACTTTTAACACTTGACTTGAAAATTCTTCTAAATCGAACTTGAATATAAAATCGAGCAGAGTAACAATACTTGTATAAGATTTCGAATGAGAAGATGACGTGCTGATGGTACCAAAATCAGAACTGATCTCTCTTGGCAAATGTAGACCTTTTATAAAGGATTTTCACAAAGAGGGTTGACGAATTCCCGAAAGTAGGTATTATGTAAGAACACAAAAAATGTTTGATCTTATTCTCTTTCACCCACGTGCATTCTTTTGTACTATATTTAGTGGGTTCCTTCTTATACTTATTAAAGATTATTTTATAACGAGAAAAAATGTTCAAAAAAATATTAATAATTTTATCCGTATAACGCAGAAAGAGGACATTGCAAAGGGCTATGATCAAATGACAATTGTCGATGCAACAATGTTAAACTAAAATCTGTTAAAAAATCACCAAAAAAGTAATGAAAATTAGACTAGTTCCGTTCATGATGCATAACAATGCAAGTATCCCTTATTGTCTCTTGTAAAATCTGAAATGGTCAAAGCTTGCGAAAAGAAAAATTACTAACGATCAGTGGCGGTTTTAGAACATTTTTACAGGTAGGGCGATTATATTGTCTCACTGTCTACAAAATAATTTTTTACATTCTCATGATAAATGAGAAAGTATTCAATGTTGAGGATACGATCAGTGTTGTTAGGGAATGTTTTGGATAAAAAAATAAGCAAAATGAAAAATATAGATAATATAAAGGAATTAGACAGAAATGGAATTCAAAAAATTGATTAATTCACCTTAACGATATGGAAAATGTAAAAAAAATTCAATTCTTTTTAATTTTTTGCTTTCTACTGGGTTAAAAACATGTCAGGCATAATTCAACTTATATGGTTGAACATAGTTATATAGAACATCAATTCATCTCTTTCTAATAAAGTTTAATGATGGCGAGTCAAAGTCGTGTTTTGACAATGGATTAAAGGCGTCACTCACAGAATTAGAAAATTTAACGTTTTTTAAAGTATGTGGACTTTTATCTTCACGTTGGAGGTAGTGTTTTTCAATAATTTTATTATTCAAATTAATGTTATCATAGACTGTAGAATATGGGGTTCCTGTAATAATATTTGTATTATCGATATCTGAATCTTCATGGGATTGTAGTAAAAATTTTTGTCGTTCCTCCAGTGGTGAAACTGGATTTGTATAATAATATTTTGGAAAAAATATTGATACTACAGATTGATTACTTTTAACTAGTTTGAAAATCTCGATGCCTATAAGAATAGTAAAATAAAAAACAATTAGATACATAAGTTTTGTAATCATATTTTAAAGTCATATATTGACAAGTTTTTGTTTAGTTCTTTTCTTAATATTCTTCATACGATATGATTTTCTGAGCAATAAGTTCGTACATAACTTGACCGTGATACTTAGCACATCGACGCTGAAACTTATCCATATCATTTTTATGTGGCACAAAATTATGCAAATTACAAAAAACGCTATTATTAAAATTGTGTTTGAAATAAGCAATTTTATTTTCGTTTAATTGTACAAAATCAGTCAAGTAGATGCTCTTTTGTTTGCCGCGAGTAACAATCAAATCGTAAGGAAGGTTTTTCAAAGTAGCAATCAATCTCTCTTCTTCCCAAAAGTAATTGTAATCTTTCCACGGTAGACCATGTGTTAAGCTTGAAATATATTGACGACGCTTATCATATTGACTTAACATTTTGAATTTTACTGGTTTTTTAATAACACCCCAGTATGCTTTGTAATTGGCAGCGTTTGATAAATCCATGAAACCAAGGTAAAATTCCATTGGAAAGTAACTACAATATTCTCGCGTAATGTAGCCCATTTGTAAATCTATAATCAGGATATTTCGAATCCCAGACCATGAATGTATCTTCGACGGCAACGTAATCAGGTCATCGAGTGGATGCAGGAACATATCAACATCATCATCATCATTATTAAGAATACAAAATTCATTACAATTTCTTATCCTGTTGTTACCTTCACAAATATTGGAATATTTCCAAAAACTATTACAAAAATTATGATTATTATTATTTACCATACTACAATCTAGCATTTCGATGTCAGAAACAGACATAGTGGAACAATATATTTTAAAGAAACAAAAATTTTGTTTAAGCTTATATATTTAAAATTTTCATTTTTATATGGAATTTCTCTGCTTTGTGTAACTAGTGAATCCGACATTAATCAGGTCTAATCCGAAGTTAGTTCGATCAAACGTAGCTAGTGAATTAAGATCAGGAAAACATTCTTTCTAAAAAAAATTATTTTTCAGTATATTTTCCAGTTAGTATGATTTGAAAAAAGTATTTTTTACTTAAAAAAAGTAGTAGTCAATGAAATAAATGAGAAAGTTGTAATTCTTCTTTTAATCTTGAATATGTATAAGTGTATCATGATGAGGAAGCTAAATGGTCATGAAACGAACATCTTATTATTACCTGCGATTCAATATAAATAAACGTTTCAATTCGCGCGCGACTTCATTTCATTTATATCACTTGTCCATTAAAGGTGAAATGCGGTCTGAAGCTGAAGCGTGATTCATTTTGTCTACAGAGTAATTATAATGTTTTTTGTTATTGTTGTGGTTTAAAAAATATTTATTATTTTCATAACGAATTATTCCGATTTCAGGTAATAAAACAACTATTATGCAACAAGAACGTGAAACATCTTTTAAATTTCCTCTTAATTTAGATGAATATTTTATTGCATTAAATAAATTTTGTTTAAAAAGCACTACAATGTTGCCATTTAAAATTATTAAAAAGAATTTTAATATATCTTGGAATCACGAAAATTCATTACAGAAATTTGTATTCCTGAAAATCGTTGATGATCATCTTGGTAACAGCAAGTTAAAATGTTCTAAATGCAATGTTATGAATTTAAAAAAATTGAAATATTACTTAAATGTATATTCTCAATGCACTGATAATTCTAGCAGTATAAAACCAACAGTTACATTTCGTTCAGTTCACGATGTGACTAATGATTTAAATAATTATTCGCTGCAAGTTAAATTTATTATGAATACAGAAATAAAATATTTTTCTTTAGATTACGATTTGGTAATAGGACAGAACAAAAGTGCAGTTGAATTTTATATTGACTGTCCATATTTACTTTT